CATTCTACCTGCACTTGCTTCAGGAGTCAAAATGGTTCTCTTTATCAGTATGTCGCCAATCCGCATCGTACTTCAATCCTCCTATCCTTGTCATCTGGAACTTTCGCGGTGCAAATTCAGGAATTGAGGTCGAGAAATCTCCATTGGGCTATCATTTACTTTGTCAGCAAAGACGAGATACTTGCCGGCCTGCATCAGAGTAATCGCAAAACCATCGCAACAGTTGTGGGTGTGGTCCTCGCTGGATGCTTTGTTGGAATCGTGTTTTCCTATTTCTTGTCGAAAGCCTTGCAACTGATCACTCGGGATTTGCGTCTATTGTCGGAGTTCAAGTTCAAAGAAGTTTTACAAAAAGATTTGAGTAGAGAGTCAGGAATTCGACAACCAACGTATAGCTGGATTACGGAACTGTAAGTGGTTATTTGCACATCGCAAACAGCTTTAAAATGACATGCTTTTTGTTTGAAGGTGGCAGATCCAATACGCGTTCCATAAAATGGTCGTGACATTCTCCGACGCAGTTGCTCAAAATAGACGTTTCTCGAATGAGCAGCGGAAAACTGTAATTAGCGAGATTATACGAGAAGCTAGGGTATCTGACACTAGAGGTCCCGATCGATATTAGGAAATAGGCTATATGCTCATATAGCAAATATCGATACCTTGGTGAATGACTTTTTTTCATGGGCAATATTCAGGTTTACAAACAATAAGTATTCTCCTTTACCAAGGGCCGTGGACCTGATGAGCCGAACGGTACTAGGCGGTAGGTGGTGGCACCAAAAGAACAATGCAAAGATGTTAAGGTTTACATCCCATTCTTCCAAGGGACAAGGGGCAATTTCCAAACAGCAGAATCAGTGATGAATACTTAACATAAACCCTGGAAGGCCTTATAGTGATAACAAAATCATGTGTTATGGACTAGTACCCCAAAATGACTTGCCATGGTAAACAAACGAGCCAAACCTGGCATCCACTCCCTTAACGTGCCCATGCTTCACCCTGCTGAGGCACACACAAATCTACGAGTGTCATATTTCTTTGCACATGCCGATTTTGTCGATAAATACCAGCGGTCTTCCTCTGCAGGGTCATCGGAATACAAATATCACATTCTCGGTACCCAGCAGTGGCGCTCCAACTGAAGCCATTCACGATCGGAGGTCACCGACCAATGGTCAAAATATGGGCATCGGTAAATGAGACATGAATGGCAACTTTAATGACTGGGATTCCATATGATCCTAAGGCATCTTGATATGCGCATAGTTGATCCACTTGATTGAGGTAAACTTTGAATGCAAAATCGTTATAGAGTTTTCGAGGACTGATGAATGCTACCAGTTCATGTTCATAGATCGTCAATTATAAAATCCTACAAAATGTGGCCTACCGCTTTTGACCCTGTTCAGCGACTCTCTTCAAATACTTTCAGAGAGCAGAAGCCGTTATGTCATTGATTAAGAGGAACTTACTGATTCTGCTAGGATGGATATTGGCCAGTGTACCTGTTGCGCGAGGGCGACAGTGCAATTGGACATTACCGATTGGAGTAATTAGTCCATCTACCATGGGATACTTCAACCAGTCTCATTCCGCATACAGGTTGGCAGCAGAAGATTTTTTGGCCACCGAAACGAATTTACCAGATGTATGCGTAGTAAGTTGGATGATAGAGAGTTTGCTTTTACCTATTGGCCGTCAGACCTTTTGTTTAACAGACCATCTCCCCTAGGAATGGCACTACGCAGATTCAAAAGACGGTGCAGGACCAGCGTTGTTAGATACGATGAATTTCATCCAGAACAAGAAGATCGTCGCCCTACTGGGAGACATTTTTTCGTCGGTCACCATTTACGAAGCCTTACTTACTGGTGTTTTAAAGGCTAGTAGAAAATCATGTTCAAGTTGGCTTTCAGATGGATGCTCATATTATCTTTTATGTGATCTCTCTTTTGCTTCTCCTTTCTATTTCTCCGCCGATCTAGATACCCCAAAGTTCGTTTGATTCGGCGAGCGAAAAGCTTTCAGATAAAACCAATTATCCCTTCTTTTGGCGTACCCTTCCTCCCTCATCGGTGGTAGTTGAAAACTCAATTCCCTTGCTAAAGGTAATCTGCGGCATGAGCGAGTTTGGTTTTGGAATATAAGATTATAATTGTTTTCTTTGTCCTTAATTTCTTTGTCCTTAAGCATTTTGGTTGGAACAAGATTGCTATGATATATAATTTGGACGATTTTGGGACGCCAGCTGCAGAGTCAGTTCGTAGACGCTTTAGCTCCCATACGGACATCACTCTCCTAGGGTTAATTGGAGCCTTCCACGACGGCACAGAGGAGGATGTACGGCTTCATGTTATTTAACTATGACGTCCAAAATTTCTAAAGCTTCCTTTCTATGATCAATAGGTTGATGGGGCTCTAGACCAACTACTGGCTCTGCACGCAAAAGTTATTGTGACAGGTAAAGATTCAAGTAGCTCGAGCAATACAAGTAGGAAGATAATCGATTGTGCTCCCGCAGTTGTCTACTCGGAATGTCTTGGTCCACTGATGCTACATGCACGGCAAAAGGGGATGACGGGGCCAGAATATGTTTGGATCAACGTCAATTTGTACACGGGCTTAGATGGTGCCGACACCAGCGTTTCTGTCTTACGAAGTGCGTTTGACGATCGCCTTGTGGATTATGACATTCGTGGCACAATGTACGTATGAACCAGTTATCGCGCTATGTCGCCTGGCATCTACGCTGACCAAGTATTCATAATATGTGCCTTTCGCTAACCTCTGTTCTACTCATGATGTGCTGCAGAGTGCTTGCAGCAAGGACGGACGTGATGGCTGGCTATGCGCCTAATGATGCTTTCATGACCAAGTGGATGGCATTGAATCCAAACGTATACCCCGGCGTAGTGCCCGGACAGCCACCCATATCCGGGATTGTGTATGTTCATGTCAATGTCTTGATCTGTATATTTCTTCTGTTTCCAAAGACTAAATCTCTGGTTACCCAGTAAGGCATACACGTCAGCCTATGTGCTTCTCCTAGGCATCCATCAGGCGACATTTGGACCAAACGCAACGACCACCATTGGCGACGTTGTCAACCGCACCGCGGGAGATGCACTAATGCCCAGCACCTTCGCTGACACAGGGTTTATCTCCCCAGTTGGTGCATTCAAATTGGATGCGAACGGCGACGGCATCACGTAAGAAGATTATGCTCTTCAGTGGATGTGTGACTGGCTGCATATAACCGGAAATTCTATAGTCGCCAACGCATCAGCATATATATTGCAGACGCAGACACAGCCGATCTTGGATATATTGAGAACGGCAATTTCCACCCTACTCTTGCTGATATACCATGGAAAGTGCCCTACGGTGCGGACTGGAGCACCACAAAGATGGAACCTCCCGTTGGGTTCAGTAAGTTTGTTTGATCTCACTTTCTCTTCAAACGAACCTATTGGTTAACTCTATACCATCGTGCGACTCTAGTCTATAATGAGCAGTACGTGAAATGGGACGGCGCCGCGATAACAATCCTTGTACTGTTTTCGGCTGGTATTCTTGTGAACTGCGTCATTGGTGCCTACCTAGTTCGACATGTGCACAGTGCACCGGTGAAAGCTGCCTCACCCGTCTTCCTTTCTCTCATGTGGCTTGGATACTCCTTGGTTCGCTGAGCACTTTTTGTATTCACCTCGGAAAAGTTTCAAACGCTTCAATGTTCATTAGGGTTACATATCTCCATTCTTCCGAATTGGCAAGCCGACGTTCGCAAGCTGCCGCGCTAGCTACTGGATTGAAGTCATTCCTTTTGGTCTTGTGATGGCACCGCTGGCTGTCAAAACGTTCCGTATTTGGCGGTGAGTGGTCCTTTCGGGTGGTTCTTCCCGGAGAGGTCTCGGTAATAAATCATACATGATTTAACAGGATTTTCGGCAATCGCAAGGCAAAGACCCTCCGTCTCTCTGACTCGCTCTTGCTTCAATTGGTTGGAGCTATCATGAGTCTCAACGTGGTACATATCACATTCCTGTTTGTCCAGAACACGTCTTCAATCCATCTAAACCAATACTATTCTTATAGCTCTTGCTCATTGTCCACACAGCATTTGGCAATGTCGGTCCAACCGTCACTCCCGATGATAGTCAGGCCACGATGGCGTATGCATGCGGGTCCACCAATGGTCGAGAAAGTGTCATCTCTGGTATAGGAGCTGCATTGGTCGCGTACAATGGGATCGTGGTATTATGTTGCACCTACTTTGCCTTTAAGACGCGCGGGGTTGTTGCACGTAAGTAGTCGACAGGGCTTTGAGACGTACGCTGGGCCCAATTTAAGCGTCGCTGCTAATATCTACTTATCGAACAACAGGATTCAGCGAGTCAGCCTACATTGGAATCTCCGTATACACCACGCTCCTTTGCAGCGTCTTTATTCTGGTTATTGACAACATTCCCGGGACGACTGTCATGATCCATTTCTTGATCCGTGAGATTGTGCGTTACTTTTTGTGTAAAACTCTCTGGCAAGAACCCGGCTTACCATTATCTTGTCGTGGCAACAGCTCATTTTGATCATGCTCCTCACAAGTATGAGTGCTCTCCTAGGAAAGGTGGTCGTTATGAACCTCTCCGGAGGTACAACTAAGGACGGCACTGTTGCATATGCTGGCGGCAACCAGATCAAACGGACAGGAGATGCAAGTGGTACTGGAAGCATTAATAAAACCGGAAGTCTCCATCGGCAGAACGGCTCCACATCAGGACAGGGGAACAATCTTGTAAGTGCCGAAATATCCTCAACATGTCAACGGTTAAGTATGGGATTAATTTAAAACAATTTCCTCAAAAACCGCAGATGGCAGTATCTCAGGACTTTAGCGTCATCAACCTTAGCAAATGGGTCAACAAATGGGAGCCGGCGACAATCATTCTCCACACGGATGGTGTTTTTCCATATATCCTATTGAAAATTGGCAAGGTCTGTTATCCACATTTTTACCGTTTGTCCTCGCCAACTTGTCAGGATTAACAATTATATCCTATCAGGACATGATTGCCATGGAACTCAAGGATACATTCTGTGATGATTTTGAAGGTGACCGCGAGTGCTTTAAACTACACGACAACCATGGACATTCCTTCCGTGTGCAAACACGATCGTCAACCGAAAGACAAAATTGGGTCAAGCAGATCAAGATGCAAATTAGAACGACCACTGGGGAATCGACCTCTGGTTTGGTTATGCCGTCCTCCACCTCTCTCAAACCAACGCAGGTGTAAGGTCAAGGAATATTTATTTGATAAGAACGTAGCAAAGTGAATTGTTTCGTTTCGTTCAAGTATGAGATTATAGAATGTTTGGGAAATTGTGGCCAACTATTGTTCTGCAATCGAATAGATGCTTACCATTTTGGTATCATTATTAGTACACTCCATGAATTGAGTATGGTCGTATACTAGCATTATAGACAGTTGGTAGCAGGTGTCACTGCGACGGATAAGCCGAGATTTCGCTTTTATATCTGCAATATATTATCGCTTGCTGTTGCGACCGCTACAGGTGAAGTGGGATATTCCTCTGTTTTTGTTTATTTTGATCTTCACACGTGACTTGCTTACTGTACTAGTACTAATTGCTGTCAATGGCCAAGAGTCAAACGCTTGCTTTTTAGCATCTCGCGACGACGCTGCAATCGTCTTTCACCGAGCGCGACCTCCGTCGGCAAGGCAGAATGTCCGACAAAGCACTCAATAAAAAACTAAAGGACATATCGGCACGCATTGACTCCATCCGCCTGGATTGGGATGCCCTTCGCAAGGAACTGAGAACGAACCTTTTGACAGATCCTGAAACGGCTCATATTTCCAGGGACTGGGCTCAGTTTGTTTTTAAAAAACAGTTTGGGCAGAATGTTGCTGGATCTGCTGTGACGACGGAGGCAGAGGCGGAATCTCCTACTGGGTCTGACAAGATGCGAGATTCTGTTGCCAAATTGCGGATTCGGCTGGGAGCCAAGATACGCTCGTCAGTGTCTCGAGAGGGTACTCAACAGGGAGAAGCCACTGCGAGTGGTGGAAAGAAGAAGCCACCAACATGCGCGGAAGAGATTGCACAGATAGTGGAAACATGGATTGCGGCGAAACAGGACCCAGCGGATATATCAAGCCAATTTCGTCCCCTGGATCCCGGAAAGAATCTATCTGCGCTACTCGCTGCCAACGCCACACATAGCAATCGAACGGTGGCGGCCCTGTGCTCTTTACCTCGTTCGCTAGTCAAGGAAAAAACAAACAATTACAAACTTCCCAAGGAAGCAGTCATGCATTTGCACTGGTTTGAGACGCCTGTCGATACTGGTTTAACTCCGTCGGTTCCAGTACCCAGCAAGCTTGATCTTGACATATCCTCCCTCAACGAATCAATTGAAAAGCACGGACAGTCTCATAAAACGTCGTTGGAAAAAGATCTAGCCGACGCTTGGGATCCAGTCCGACAGGTATTGCGCGGTCTCTTACAAGTTGAGTGCGAGCAGAAACGGATATTGACTGTAGAGCTGGCCAAACGCGTCAACGAGTATTCAAGGAAGTACGCTATTGCGTTGAGAAATTTTGATGAGTTCTGGAATTCCAAAACGGAAAAGTGGAAAAAGAAGGGTGGGAAGAAAAATGGAGCTGCGAACGGTGTGGATGAGGGCGCTTTGGCAGAGGAAGCCGATGCCTTGTTTGAGCAATATATTGAACAGATCAAAATAGTAGCGGACGCGTACGCCGAGGAAGTCTTACAGCCCATTTTGAGTGAACTGCGACGTGCTGTGGAGACGTATGAATCGTTGCTTTCGGACCTTTTAAAATCCAGTGATTTAGATCCCAATGAATGCGAGCGTGCCAGACAGGCGATATCTGGACTGGGGCGTCGCACAGAGGAACATATCGATGAGTTTCTGAGGAATGAAAGCAAATCCCGCGCGTCCTTGACATGTGCCTTGAGTGATATGAAAGACTCGTACCTGGAAGGATCCATGAAAACGCTTTGGGGACGACTCGAAAAATGCTCTAATCGCGATTTTCGAAAGCGGATAGCCAACATGGAAGCAGACCAGCAAAAGGAACGGGACATGCTTTCCACCGTTCTTGTGTCTGACGTGGCTCCCTTTTCATCAGTCGCGGTTGTCTGCTTGGTTGTCCTGGAGTGCCTTCTTGTCAAAGGAGAACGCTGTGAAGAGGAGGCGCTACTCAAGCACAAGACGTCTCTTCAGTCGGACGTCAAACTCCAGGAACTGGCCATTACTCGAAAGACATTGGAAGGATACTATGAAACTGGAGTCTTTAGTGGGCAAATAGAGCTTGGGAGAAAGATTGGCCGCGTATTATGGTCGGTAGTCAAACAATCTATGGAGGCGGCTATGGAATCGCAAGTGGTAGCTTACATCTCTAAAAGCGGTGGTGGTAAGTCCGCCGGTTCTGCTGCATCTGCAGAATCGGGCGCGAATGCCGTTGATGAGGATACTAAAAAGAAGAAGAAGAAGAAAAAGAAGGCCAAGACAGGAACGGGTGAAGCGGGGGCAGCGAATGTGGATTCAGTGACACCACCGATTGAAGAGCCGAGTGGATCACCGGCGAGCACCGTCCCGGACACACCAAAGGAAGACGAGAGCGATTCACTGGAGCAGGTTGCTTCCCCGATCAACGGAAAAGCTACCAAAGAAGAAGAAGCTCTGCGACCTGAAAAGGATGTTCCTCCTGTCAAAGCAAACTCTGTCGAGCACGTTTCACCAAGTCCGAAAGAGACAATGAGCGTCCAAGAGAACGAGGAAGTGGATCTGGATCTATCGCAGATAGAGTCTGCGATAGGAGATGTCATAGTTCCTGTCGGCGGTCTTACTGGAGCACGCCCATCAGGACCGCCCGGATTTACTGGTACTGGAATGTGGGGCGGTAATAATGTATTCCCCTTTTCCGTTCCAGCGTTTCCCATGAACCATCCTCTCAATGGCATGTCATCGCCCACAAGTCAGGAACTGGTTTCTCTCCGCGACGAGAACACTTCTCTTCGGAACGAAAATACCCAACTCCGAAGGGAACGCGCCGCCCTGGAAGAGCAACTCCGCGCCGCTCAACACACGATATCGCATTTTATGCAGCGCATGCGCGGTCTAGAGTCCCAAGAGAGTGTGAAGCGCCCTGGTTACAACAACTGGAACCGACGGACTGCTGTCAGTTGTGGGAATTGTGGAGAGCGAGGGCATGAAAGCACCGCTTGTGATGCTGGGTGTCGGTATTGTTCTTCAAGGGAGCATTTGAGTGATGTATGCCCTTTACTTGTCGTGTAACTATACCGTATATGCCTTTTGTTGGGCGTGGCCATATTTTTCTTTTTTTAATTTTTGCAAAAACTGTGTGCACTTGTATATACATATTGCTAATACTACATGATTCTTGCGCTCGTTGTAACTCATCTCGTGTCAATGGGGTGTAGAAGTGGAACAACAGCCATCGTTTGCCAGAATAAACATAGCATGTTGCACCCTTGCGTCGTCAAATCATTTCGGAGCATGTCCGATAATGTCCGATTTGCCTCTGTTGTTCACGTGATAAAATGATTGGAATGATGTATCTCTTTCCTGATTGGCTGGATTAGGAAATGAGCAGTTCCAGAAACTTTTTTAATTTTCATCCAATGATCGATCTTTTATCTTTTTTTTTTTTTAATGATGATTTTTGCATGTGAGGTTTGTTTGGATTCATGGCGAATATAAAAACGAGGTTTGGAGGGATTTTGCCCTTTGTTGGCCATTTGGAACATTATCTACGCATCGCTTGACGCTTTTTCACAACGGATCGCTGATCGTATACGAATATTGCTGAACGCAAACCACAACAACAAACGAGAAATAACGACCGGATCTACATCTATAAAGCCATGCCAGCACCAAAGACAAATTCAACCATCCTGCGACGTCTCTTTTCCACTCGCTCAAATACAAATACACAACCACAAACAATCAAACCGATGCGTATTCTGATGACGGGAGGTGCAGTCGTGCTGGCTGCACAGATTGGTAGCGAAATCCACTAGAATGTACATTGTATATATATACACACCCGCACACCACATAATTTATTTTTTTGTACGTTGGGGGAGGGAGTTGGGGATACCCAAAGTAATAATACATAACGAGTCTAAAGAGTTATGATGAACAACATCTATGAAAGCAACAGTATATGATACTTTTTGGAAATTTATCCATCGCCATCAAAGGCCTGTCGACCTCGCGCTCTACTCTGTACTTGGTCCACTTTGGCGACATATGTAATATACTCGTTCATGTCATATCCTTCACGCACAAACCATCGGACATCATCCACACATTCGGGATACGTTCGTTCAAACAAGTCTTTCAGCATGAAACCGCACTTTTCTGAAAAGCGTTGCATAGGAAGATTGATGCGGCGCGTCAAGAGCCAGACGTAGCGGATGGGTGTAAACGATTCGCTTTGAATGCGATTCAAGGTTCGTAAGATGAGTTCCTGAGCAATACCTTGGGATTGCACAGATTGCATGACGCCAACTTCCGCCAAGTAGATAGAGTTGGTTGGCAGTTGGTGTTCAGAAGCGCAGACGCCCACGTAGCATCGCTCTGTTGGATTGCATTGTGGTTGCTGTTGTGGTGATTGGCTGGCCTTGCCTGCCCAGACATTGTACTTTTGTGGATCGGCGGCATACGTCCCAGTATCTGATGGTGGGCTGTTGAGCCCCGAGTCTTCGCTTGATGTATCTTGGCTGTCAAACAGAACATGTCGCGTACTCTTTCCCTTCTTTCGTGGAGGATTAATGATCCACCCTGCCGCACAGTACCATATCGACGTGCTTGTCGGTGTAGCTGGGCGCAGAATATCGGCGAGGGCGTCTGACCAGGCAGCTCGCAAAAAGTTGTTTAAACCAACAAAGGTGGCGAATGCTGGAACTTCGTGCATAACTGATGGCATACATCCAAAAGGTTCAATTTTTGGTGTTCAAAGCCAATAAATGCCTATAAATCTCACCTTTGGGAGTGGCATACAAGGCTAGAAAAGCATCATGATAGACTTCTGACAAAAGCTCAAGTTGATCCAGTGGCAAATCCGCTCCCGTATAGACTTGGTAGTGAAGTCTCGCATTCCCGACGCGAACATGGGATAACAGACATGTTTTGCGATTTTTCGGGAAGAGTTCAATCGGTCGATATTTCCCCGTCCGATACTATGAATGCCTGTCATGAGGGTCATGCATTCATTCGCAAAAGAAGTCATTCAAGGCCCCACCTTTCCACCACCTCCACAACTTCCACAGAATCCATACTTTCCCTTACAGTTGAGACAGACTGCCTCTACCGTAATCTCCAACTCCACTTCATCATCTGCCAGCGTCCGCACACGTCCACACCCCAACATTTCCTTGCAAATCTCACAATCAACCATTTGGCTCCGTCCGCGCTTTCTACCAATGCTTGGATATAAAGATCGGTTCATCGTAGGTCCGCCATGACTCGCATTTGCACCGGCGCACTGAGCACACAGAATCTCAATCACAAGCCCTGAATCTAGTAATGTTGTGTCTCCTCGGATATTGAAGAGCGCCAACGTGTTCCCGCACTCCAGACATATCCCAGGTTGTTCGACCGTTTTCTTTCGTCTGGCTTCTCTTTTGCGAGGTGGACATGGTACAGGCGGTGGCGTCAATTGCTTTTGCTTTGATTCTTGTCGTTGTGATGGGACAGAGGGAGTGAGTGGCGTGGGTGGAGTAAAGGGCGGGACAAGTTGGAGTGTCTGAGGGAAGGAAAAGGTCTGGGGCGGTACAGTTTGGAGTGCTGCGGCTGTCCAGTCAGGAAATGTGGCTTCCCAGAATGGATCTGGAACACTGGAAACGTCTAGTGTATGTGTGTAGAGTTGTGTTGTCGGTAGTGTGTAGGGTGCAGTTTGATATTCTGCTTGAATGACAGCTGGGGAGTACGTCGGGTGCGCTTGAAGCTCAGCAGATGCATTTTCGGCTTCTTGCTGGACTTCCAATAAAAAGTTTGCAATAAAGTCTTGGTCGTCTAGGGGTTGCATGATGCGCTTGATCGCTCTCGCCCTGGACGGGGAGGAAGAAAGAATTGGGCATGCCAAAAAAGCTGAGTTTTCCAAGCAGCAGAACACTTCGGGCGGACCTGACTTGTGCTGCGCCATAGTCATTTTACTTGTTTTGGATTAAGCACAATGACTGTGCCATCCGTAGAGTTGTTCCACCCAACAGACGCTTCCATTTCGAACGGCCAAAAGCCATGCTCATCAAAACGTCCCATGTCGACCTTGCGACATCAACCACCCCCATCCGTGTATTTGTGACTGAGCCGAACCTTCCACAGTATCCAAAGGCGAGATTCCCTGCCATTGTCTGTTGGAGCGAGATATACCAAGTAACGGGGCCAGTGTCACGCTTAGCGTCCCAAATCGCATCTCAAGGCTACATTGTCGCTTGCCCAAGCGTCTACCATGAATTTGAAGGACCCGAGCCATTAGCTTATGATGAAAAGGGCACAGATAGAGGGAACGAACTCAAGGTTACCAAAACCTTGGCTGCGTACGATGAGGATTCGCGAGTAGTTGTCGATTGGCTACTTGGTTTAGAAAGATGTACTGGGAGGGTGGGGAGTACAGGAATGTGTTTGGGCGGGCATTTAGCCTTCAGGGTGAGCTGAATGCATGGGCATGGAGTGCCTCGCGTACGCATCCCGTCATGAACTGACTTGCAGCCGTCCAGACTGCATTTGATTCACGCGTATCGTCAGCTGTATGCTTCTTTCCTACGGACATTCATAGCCACTCGCTTGGCCAAGGCAAGCAAGACGACTCGTTACAACGTGTGAAAGCAGGAGATTTGGGCCACGCTGAACTGCTCATGATTTTTGGAAAACAAGTATGTTCTAACATGTAAAGAGTGCGCTATGGATCTCGAGTCTTACTTGCTTTGACAGGACACGCATGTCCCACGTGCCGGCCGAGACCTTATCCGAGGCACCCTCGAAGACGCAAACGTCACAGTGAGCTGGTGTGAATTCCAGGCGCAACACGCATTCATTCGGGATACGTCGTCCAAGGGTCGATATGATGCGGCATTGACCTCGGTGTGCTTTCAGCAGATGATGGAGTTGTTTTATAGGACTCTGGTGGTAGATTTGGGAATTAAAGTTGGTGGGAGTGCCAAGTTGGAGCATGTATGTTAAATTGGGAGTTTGGTGAAGGCTGATCGCTCATGGATCTTACGTTAGCTGCGTGGCGCGGGCATGACGTTGACCGAATTGGCCAATCGCTTGTCTGTCAATTTTTTTGGTTTGAATGAGTCACGTGTTTTCCGATCTTGCAAGTTGCTTGAAGCTTTTGTGTTTTTCGTTCAAGGTCCGTTTGGCGTGGGGGCATTGGTCTCAGCGACGACGACAACGACGACGATATTGGGCAAGGAGGGGTGTATATTTTCTCATTGAAGGGTCTGTGACTACCCGCTCTATCACGCCAGTTCCCTCAGCCAACATCCCAACTTTTTCGTTGATAATGGCACCGTCTGCAACGAAAGCTCCCAAACGGGATACCAGTACATTCCGTACCTTGGACCGGCAAAAAGAGTCTATCTTGCCCTCTAAAACCCGACCACACTACCCACGCCTTGCCAAGCTATCTGCCCCACACGTCGAATCCTTTAATAGCTTGTTTGCATATGGGGGAGTTGGTGCGGGGCTATTGGAGACTGCTGTGGGCGATATTGGCAGAAGAGTGGTTTTTGATGGGAAGACAGGAGGCGGCCTTGGAGGGAGAAACAAGCTAGAACGTAAGTGCTTTGCATATTATAGGTTCCGATACTGTGTGCCCTGACTGATGATTGATTCAGTATGGTTGACGAATGTAAATGTTGGTAAACCTTCCATTGAAAACTCTCGTGGAGCTGTCTCCAACCAGCTCTTCCCTTCTGAATGTCGAGAACGTGGCATATCCTACAAAGCACTCATGCAAGTTCGCTTAAACTGGCGTGTGAACGGAGGGCCCATCCAGTTTGAGATGAAATCTCTTGGAAAACTCCCCGTCATGGTTCGGTCCACCCGTTGTAATCTGGATGGAAAAGCCCCACGAGACCTGATCAAACACCATGAGGATCCCGACGAATTTGGAGGATACTTTATCTCAAACGGGATTGAGAGGTTGATTCGTTTGTTGATTGTCCCGAGACGTAACCATCCTACTGCCATTATTCGATCATCGTACACGAATCGTGGACCGACATATTCTCAGTACGGTGTGGCTATGCGATGTGTGCGACCAGATCAGTCATCGCAGACTGTGACATTGCATTACTGTACAGATGGTGCTGTGACATTACGATTCTCGTACAGAAAGAACGAGTATATGGTTCCTGTGTTACTGGTTTTGCGTGCTTTGGCGGAAGCGAGTGATAGAGAGTTGTTTGAGCGGCTGACAATGGGACAGGCGAACAACACATTTTTGACGGATCGTGTGGAGCTTTTGCTAAGATCTTTCCGTCGCTATGCTGTTCATACTCGAAAACAGTGTCTGTCGTACCTCGGCAGCAAATTCGCCGTGATGATGGACTCCCCCGAGGATATGTTTGAAGAGCAGGTCGGAGAGGAGTTTTTGAAACGGGTCGTGCTGGTCCACCTTGAAGATAGCCGAGAAAAGTTTGACATGCTGATCTTTATGATGCAAAAACTGTATGCTCTGGTAGCAGGAGAATGCGCACCCGATAATCCGGATTCACCTCAACATCAGGAGATTCTTTTGCCTGGACACCTCTATCTTGGAATTATGAAAGAGAAGATGGGGGATTGGTTGAGTGCGATCAAGGCACAGATCCAGCAGGATTTGAGAAGGATGCCTGCATCTGTAGACTTTTTTGACAAAAAGTATTTGAGCAAGGTGTTTCAAAAAACGGGAGGATCCGCCGACATCGGTCGGAAGATGGAATATTTCCTAGCGACTGGAAATCTGGTCAGCAATACAGGATTGGATTTGCAGCAAACATCTGGATACACCATCGTTGCTGAAAAGCTCAACTTTTACCGATATATCTCACATTTCCGATCTGTCCATCGTGGTTCTTTCTTTGCGGAACTCAAGACAACTACTGTTCGAAAGCTTTTACCCGAGTCGTGGGGTTTCTTGTGTCCTGTCCATACGCCCGATGGATCTCCTTGTGGTCTTTTGAATCATTTGAGTCATACATGTCGAATTATTGTAGATAAGGTGGATGTTAACAAAATTCCGGGGCTGGTTGCTTCTCTTGGTGTTGGTCAGATGGGCGGAATGGGCGCGCGGACGATCCGCACAGAGGCGGAAGATGTCCCTGATGACGATAATGCTATGGACCTCGATGAAGACGAAGGAGAGGAGGCGGAAGATGAGTTGGATTCGATGGACCCGGTGGTGGAAGTGGGACGGAGACAATACATGACCGTTTCCGTTCAGCTCGATGGAAAAGTCATTGGATGGTGTAGCGCGCGGTTAGCCGAACAAGTCGCCAGACGTCTCCGACAATGGAAGGTGACAGGGTCCAAACCGGTGCCCCTCGATTTGGAAATCGGCTACGTTCCTCCAAGTCGAGGCGGACAATACCCTGGCCTGTTCCTCTTCTCTACACCAGCGCGCATGATGCGACCTGTAAAATACCTTGCCACAGGTGGCACTGATATGGTGGGACCTTTTGAACAAGTGTACATGGATATTGCATGTTTGAAAGAAGATGTTGTTCCCGGTATTACAACACATATCGAATTTACGCCAACGAATGTGTTGAGTGTTGTTGCGAACTTGACGCCATTTTCCGATCATAATCAAAGTCCACGAAACATGTATCAGTGTCAGGTATGTTCGTAGCATTAGGGTATTTTTTCAGATTTTGTGTTAATTTGTATTTGATCAGATGGGTAAACAATCTATGGGAACACCCGCTCATAATCTACCGCACCGAACCGACAACAAACTCTACCGTCTGCAAACGGGACAAACTCCTGTCGTACGACCCAAGCTACATGACGAGTATGGTCTGGATAACTACCCCAACGGAATGAACGCCGTTGTCGCGGTTATATCTTACACTGGTTATGACATGGAAGATGCTTCCATTCTAAACAAGTCCGCTCATGAGCGAGGATACGGATACGGAACCGTTTACAAAAGCGAGTTTATCGACTTGTCTGAGAAGCGACGAAAAGGCGAGCCTATTTCCCATCATTTCGGGCTCTGGGCAACAGACTCTGTTGCACGGTTGCCCCCAAAAATTATGAAGGGTGTAATGGAGTTTTTGGATTTGGATGGTCTACCCATCATTGGACGACGATTGACCCAAGGAGATCCGCTTTATGCCTATGTTGATGACGTTACTGGCAAAGTGACTGTCATGCCCTACAAGGGCATGGAAGATGCATACATAGATGAGGTCCGACTCATCGGGACGGATTCAGGTGACCAAGAACTCCAAAAGATTCACATCAAACTCCGTATCCCCCGTCCACCTATCATTGGGGACAAGTTTTCCTCCCGTCACGGACAAAAAGGTGTCATTTCACAAAAATGGCCGGCAGTCGACATGCCGTTCAGCGAAACAGGTATTATTCCAGACGTGATTATCAACCCGCACGCGTTCCCCTCTCGAATGACGATTGGAATGTTTGTCGAGTCGTTGGCGGGCAAGAGTGGAGCGTTGCATGGTCGGTCACAAGATGCGACACCTTGGACGTTTTTGGAGGGTGCTGGAGAGTGTGCCGCAGACTACTTTGGGGAGGAGTTGAAGGATGCTGGGTTTAATTATCATGGGAATGAGGCCATGTATAGCGGTATCACCGGTGGAGAGTTTAAAGCGGATATTTACATAGGGGTAAGTTTCGTATTGGATGTTGATCAATTCTGCAAAGCTTTTTTCTCATCTATTTGATTTCCGAATCAGGTTGTCTACTACCAACGGCTCAGACACATGGTTTCTGACAAGTACCAAGTTCGAACAACCGGTCCCGTCCATAACGTCACACAGCAACCCATCAAGGGCCGTAAGCGAGCCGGAGGTATCCGTTTCGGAGAGATGGAACGCGACTCTCTCCTAGCCCATGGTGTATCCTTCCTCCTCCAAGATCGACTCATGAATTGCTCTGATTACAGTCAGAGTTGGGTTTGTGGTGGATGTGGTAGTTTGGTAGGCGTTGGGTTGATGGGCCAGGGTGCAAAGGATGTAGGCACGTCGGTCAGCAGTGGCAAGGCCGTTTGCACCATTTGTGGGAATGGTGACAAGGTGGAAGTTGTTGCAGTTCCGTTTGTGTTTAGGTACTTGGTAAGCGAGTTGGTTGGGATGGGTGTAAAATTGAGGCTGACGGTAGAATAGGTTGGGAGTTTGGGTGTATTATAGAATCTGATGGTGAATGAATTGACGATATTTACTTTTGCAAAGAAAAGACGGTGGAGTAGATGCAAGGAGACAAACTTTTGTTCTCACAAATGAAATGCAATAAATCTACGTAAATATAAAACATGCACATCAACAATCGTAACATTCCAATACATTATTCCCCTCCCCAGTTTCCATTCCTTCCTGCAGAACGCTTTCATCCACATCCAATACTTCCTGATAAATATGCTCAGCGACACATGATTCTCCTAGCCTGTTCATATCCACGTCCCGTTTGACTCGCTTTACAAACTCCTCAACTCTCCCACGACTTGCCCTGCCCCTCTTATGGCCCGTTTCTTCCATCTCATCCGTTGTACACTCCATCGCTACTACTTTGGACAGAAACCGGTACATTTCCTTCCGCACCACCCTCGATGCATCCTCGACACCTGCCAGACACAAGGTATCACCACCAATCTCAAAAAACCATCGGTCGTCTTCCTCGGGACTTGCTTCAAATCCCGCATCCCAGATCGCTTCCAATAGCCGTACACCCAAGGCACGAACTTCAGCATCCATATCTTCCATAACTTGTCGTATGGTTTTTGCATCCAGTAACGAGTGTTCAATCTGAAATAAAATCTTATCGGCTTGCTTCTCTGTGATGAGGTACACGACTACATCAACAGAAGCTCGTCGGACAAGAGATTCCGTGTCCTGGAGAGAATTTGTCAACAATTTTGTAAGGAGGGAATGAAGGAGGGAATGAGTCTCTAGGTATACATGTCCACGAGGGTTCTCGCTGATGCGCCTTAGGGCTCCGAGGCATGTACACCGCACATAGACATCAACATCGTCCATCCCGTCAAAGATCAATTGTACCAGATGATGCGTGAGAGCGAAATCGAGGCAAGGCTTTGAAACAGAATCATGGTCCCATTCAAAAAGTGATCCCATGAATTCTAGGGCGCTATCGCGTACGTCCCAGCGAGTGTCGGCGAGGAGTTTTGTAAGTGTTTGACTGATGCGCGTTGGGAGTGTGGACAGAACTCGTTTGCTTCGATCAGCGTCGTCAATGATCCATTTGGTTATATCCAAGCCAAGTTTGATATTTTGGGGTCTTACGGCAGGATTATTGAGACATGATAATAGGCATTCAACGACCTAGTGAAATTGAATGTCAGTCAAAAATAAACTTGAGTTGATCATCCAAGGCGGATCGTCTTGACCTACCACGCTCCATTCGCAGTCATTATCCCTTTTTAGAATAGTTTTCAAACTGCAGAGCACCGCTCGAGCAAGTGGGTTATGCTCTTGATAAGGAGTATACGAAAGGGCTTCGAGGGTTATCGCGCGTAGATTGCTCGGATGCTGCCAAATTAATGCCACATCAATGCCAGCATGCGCATAAAGTGTCACAGTTCTCTGCAACTGACCACAAGACGACTACTATTCAGAATATTTTCCAAGGCCCCAAAAAGGCTGCACAAAACGCTAAGCTTTCGAATGTTTTTCTGATGTGGGGATACCGAATTTATGGACGACTCTATCTAAATGGACCAGCAAAGTAAGCGTATGCTATCATCAACAACTTCATTGATTAAGGTGTCCCATTCACCTGTTGAATTATAGATCTCCCAAAGTTTTCTTCTCCTTTTTCCCAGGGTAACTGCCGAACGTCGTTGAATTTATCTGCCCTTTCCTGCAACCGCCAGAAAGTCGTCATCAACACTTCCTCTATCCATTCACGTAGTTGAGAATCGTCAGCCCGATCAGCAAGGACAGCCAAAATCTCCAGTGCATCCAACAGTGTCGGAATATGGTGAAACTTGAGGTGCTCCTGGGATGTCAATGTGCCGCTCATGATCTGGCAGAAAAGCTCAAAGGCTTTTGTCGCGCTCGCTCCGATGCCAGCGCGTTCGATTGTACCGCAAAGCAACCGATACGGATCAGGAGCCCACACAAAAACCGTTTTTAAAGCATCCAACACTCTGTTCCTCATTATTCGATCATCATCAGTGAGTAGGCCGCAGCCAGTCTTGACAAGCTCCCCATCACTCAGTGCTGCATAAGCTTTTTCGCTTTTTGAACCGCATAACCAAAATACGACTTCGACAGCGGCCAGCTTTTCGCTTCCGCCCGCGGTCGGCTGCAACCAGGCTTGCAGTACACGGTACAAATGTCCAGTGATAATGAGATTTGCAAGCAGGTGATGGTACGGAGTTGGGCCTTTGGGGATTGGATCAGGGTGGTTGATGATGGTGACCAGTAGCTTGCAGGCTGCAGTAACTACCTATGAAAATCATCAGAATATGAAATGCTCCAACTACAGCAAGTGTTTGACGTACGTAGAGGCTGGGTGATGTCAGTGCACGGTAAAGTATGTTTGGGAATCTGCCAGTGTCAAGGAGCCTGGAGTTGTCGGTTGAATTCAAATGCCCTAATAAACCGCAGAAGCGTAGCAGAAACGCACACTCCTACCATTGCGCTGCTGCATCACTTGATAATGCCATTCTCACTGCCTCCAGGCATCCATATAATAGCTGAGGTGGGCATTCTGAATCCAAAGTATCGATCAAGAAATTCAGCGTCGGGAGATAGTTGGCGTAGATGTGGTTAAAGAGCGGTGGATCTGCGGCGATCAATAGTCCTGTATAAAAGTCTTACTACCTGGATGTGATAATAAGTAAGTCCATCACAACCTTACCTAGAAAGCGAAGGGAAAGCGATGGTACTCGGTAATCTGAATGCGAAAGACTATTCTATCCATCAAACAGTTAAACACCCCGACAAACAAGCGTTCCACTATGCAATAGAAATGTACAAACCTGAACAGCATCCAATGCATCTACCTTCCAGACCATCCACTCGACGCAGTCTTTGTTTCTCACTTGGGACTGCAAGAATGAGAGGAGCTTCTCGTGGCGCGCTGGATCTGCGATACTCTGTTGACTTTTGCCGTTAGCTGACTTTGAAAGTTCACAATCGTGATAAGTGTGGTTTTACCAGACCGGATTGAGTTTGGGCAGGGTTGTGAGGATTGCGCGGAGGCGATCCTCTTCTTGCGGTGTGTACAGATGAGCCATGATGCGAATGTATCAAAATGCAGTGACGTTGATAGGGAGGTGGATGCCGCTGCGTTCACAACAACCACCCTGTCGCAGGAAACAAACACTATTCAGATGCCAAAAATGTATTCGGGATCTCTATTACAATTGCGCTTGGTTGCTTCAACGCAACCCTAGTCCCGTTGCATGACAGACTGGGTTGCCTCTGAAGGAATGAACACGGCCGTAATGGGAGGAATGAAATGATGGAGTTCCGGGTTCCCAGATATTCAACTTGCAGAATTATCTTAGCAAGCTGCCCAGTATTGTCGTGTCAAGTGTTCATTACTGCTGTCCATTCACCAGCATTTCCATGTTAATTGAATGGAATGTTGCAAAAACCGTTGGGAAACGCGTCGATCGTTTCCACCTCCTCCGGACATCATCTTGTGTGAACCATTGAAGATCTGGAGATCTCTTCGTCATGGATTTTGCATATCTCGATACACTGCTGGCGTGCTCAAAGCGCCTTGACAAGGACCTTCAGGACCTCGTGTAAGCACCTGTAGTATCTGCACATTACGGCGAGATTGCTAATGGGACTTGTAACCCTAGAGCCACTCTTTCTCTGCCGACGTCCACTCCCAACGCAGCTCTCCACAGCTCCTTTATTGCGAAGAACCAACAGCGATGCGACGTAATTGCCAAGGCAGTTGAGGCTATGGAGAAAGATACTGGAGGAAAAACAGGGCGGCGGCCTTCTGCGGAGGAATTGGTGGACGCAGCGGGCGATGCTGTGCTGCAAATGCAACGACAATGCACAAAGGTTATGGAATTTTTGAAAGAATACGGATATGAGGAGCAAGGTGAGCATTGGAGTTAAGTTTGGTTTGGGTAGGACTGTACCGTAAAACCGGGATTGTCGACCTCGGCAGGAGGATATCGCGAAGCACAACTTCAACCTATAGCCAGACCTGCGGAGCCACCTGTACCCTCGATATCACATCCGCCACCCTTGCTACCAGATGGTCACCAGTCGGAAGAAGAAGTTGAACCTCCTTCGTCACCACAAATACCCATTACCATGGCGATTCCGACGACGCCTCGCGCTTCTGGACAAACAGGCACTAAAAAACCTGCCCGTTCCGCTGCAACAAGTCCCCCAGATAGCCCACTTGCGACTTTGGAAGACTTTGGGCTTTCGTCCTTGAGTCTAGGTCTTTTGGAAGGTTGGTAACGGACGTCAATGACAGACTTTTGATGATGCAGATGTAACTTTCTACCATACAGGAGTGACGGATACGCCCTCGTCAGAAGGTCTCTCTTTCCATTCACATCCAATGTTTGTAGTATAATTGGAGGCCACACGCACCTTGACACGCGAATATTTATCCTTTTGTTTAGAGGAAGAGAATCGATCGACTCTCCTGCTATTCCTATCCCAGATTATCATCCCGCAACTTGGAACCAGTCACCGCGCAAACCGAGAAAATCGGATCCAAATTCCATGTTCAATGCTCTTATTGCGCTGGCCGAGCGTGAGGACTATGAGGCATTGCCCCAGTACTTGAAAGCCCAGATGACATTGGAGGTGCGACAAGGCCCGTTCCCCCATCATGTTAACGCAACGACTAAACTTGTTTGGTTTCTTGCGTATAGTTTTTGAATGATATGATAACTGGTATGGAAATGAACAGATAAACACTTTGAGGATCTTTCCGACATATGAATGACTTGTTCCGCCGCGTATAAAGAGATAAATGAAATCCTAACAGGTGCGTCCTGCATATCCCGCCCGACAAGGATGTGGTGGATTTGTTTGTTAATCTTTTTCCTCAGATAAGCGATTCATGGGAGAAGATCAAGAAGGTGAAGACGTTATAACGATCGAGGAGCTGATGGATGTCACATCAATAGGTATGATATCTCTAGGCATTTTGTTTGGATATGATATCTGACTTTGCAAGCTGTTACAAAAGATGCGGGGAAGTGTAAAGCAGTTTTTGTTGCCATGCTTCATTTACAGAGATTGGAGGCAGAGTCTTTGGAGGGAAGCGACGGGAAGCGGTATAGGGTTGTGTAATATATATTTCCTACTCTTTCCAAATTTTCTTTTTAAAGATTCGAAAAAACAATATGGCATAGAACTAAACCTGGACTCTAAATATAGGAATCTGAAAAACTCTATCGTAATGTTGTGCAGGTACGTCTACCGGCCTATCATCTTTCCACTCCTTCAACTTGCGTAGAGCCTTTTCGCGAGCCCATGTTGCTGTAATGATACTAGCATAACTCCAAGTCAAGTGGGGTGCACCCTGCATAAACCCGGTGTTTTTGTTCACCTGTTCAGAGAGTGAGCCGCTGGTGGGTGTGTGAAGCCGCACGCGGTTTAGAAAGTGGTCGCCTGTATCAGTTACATTCTGTGCCAAGTGCAGATACGAATGTTTAAGCGACGATGGTATAGTAGTGTCCTCAAGGAGGTGTGATGCAGTATGGTAAAGAGTTTCGGCGATCGCCGCGGTTGTCAGAATCCAAGGATTGCCTTCTGAACGGCCATATCCATCGTATGTGTCTTCACAATATCTACCAATGGCAGGTGCAAGGGTTAAATTGGAATTTCCGTTGATAGGATACAAGGGAGCCATGCGAGAAACGAGCTCTTGTGCGGTGAGAAGAATTTCCTGGCTGAAGGGTCGGTATGGCGACGTCTGGTCAACCGTGTGGAGGGCGGCGAGAATTGTGGCAGTATCCAGGTTTAGGATCTTGTCCGGCAAACCGCCACTTTGATCCAGTGTCTCTTGCATGTATCCGGAAACTGGATCCCAATGTGTTGTCACGATTTGCTTCAGCTTCATGCTCTGAAGTTTGTACCAGTCCGCGGCACCTACATCCTTCATTCGTTTTGCAAATTGCGCACCGGATTGAAGAGCGGCGTACTGAACCATCCTCGTATAGAAATGGTGCCCATATACTTCTTCCCAGAGATCAAAGCACTTGTCTCGCCAGGCAGAGGAAGTGAACTCGAGATCAGCTTTGATGACTGTTTGGGTAGGGTATCTGCTGTCATACAACAGTTTTTTTACGGCTTCGATGGAGCCTCCCCGATCTAGGTACGCATTTGCAAAGCGAATCAATGTTGATGCGCGAAGGGCTGGTCCATCGTTCTGCGGTCGTCCCCAGTTTCCATTGAAAGGGGAACCGTTCTAACATAGAGTTTTGCAACGGTTTCTAAGCAAAGCAATGAATAAAGAACCAGAAACTTTTCAGCTACACATACCACATGAAATTTTGGCTCTCCAAAACCAGATTTTGTCTTTTGCAGCTGGTTCATTCTTGAAAATGTTGCATAGTTCCACAGTAAATGTTCATATCGTTTGCTTTCTGGCGATCCAGGTGACGCCCGCTCATATAACCGCTCCACGACGCTCATTACCAGAGCGCTGTCCCTTACCCAATGATAATAATAGTCTGGGTGGCTTTGACTCGGTGAAGCTATCACGACGCCGGCACTTGTTCCGACTGGGTGGACATTGTCCAGTAAATGGTCAACCGAAAATGCATACTGCCTATCAAGCCATTCATCCAGGGTATGGTGTGGTTTCAAGTTCTCAGACGAGGAAGCAAAAGCTGTCCAAATGAACACAAAAGTCAAAAGACAAACAGCGATGGTCTGCATGGTTTGACGGACGATAGCTGGAAGGACGTGAAAGCCCAGCAAATGCGCAGCCGTTACGTAATCATTCAACATTGGTCTTGTTGCCATCCGCAACCGTGGCACAGCGGAAACGTAATGGGAGTACGTTGGCCTTGGGCTCGGTGCTTGGGTTTTCCTCCCTATGGTTCAACCTGCCAATGCCCAGCGACAAACAGACATGGCAGACAAGACAGCTATGCGAGCGCCCTGCGTACCGTCTCTGGACACTTTTAGCTTCACATGCGCCGCTCCTAGTCCTGTTATTGTGAAACAGGCTCCACCTGGATGGACAACTCCTCCCTTTCCACTACGCATGAACTCACCTGCCACGGCAGACCGACATTCTGTACATATCACTACCGGAGCGGTTTCTACGCACTCCAACACATCAGATCGATCTATGGTTCCCTTTCTGAAAACATTTGACTTTACATGCCCGCCACCACAGCCGCCTCATATGCATGCTAGAACTGGTGCCTCCACTCCGCCTTTCGCCCTCAGACTTGAACCAAACACGGCTGGCCATGATCAAACGGGTTTACTCCATAGGGATTTGCAAAGATCGAGTAGATCTGGATTTGGCCACACGCGAAGAGTGCAGAAACTCACAAAACGCGCTCGTCGGGTTGGGCAGCAAGGACCGGTTACAGCAGAAATACCAGAGATCTCAGCAGGGGAAATGGGTGCGAGAGGCGTAGAGGACATTACCGACATGTTTATGAGATTGCAGGTGGCGACAGATCGTGCGGCTTTAACTTCCGGTAGAGGGCCGCTACTCCCGAACATATCCAATATCCCAGTGGGTGACCAGGTGGATGTGCTGTGGTTGAGTAATGAAGACAGCTATGAATACGTATCAACACCTATGAGTGACTTTGATGCGCTAGTGGATACGATGATTCCGGCAGAAATGGAAGAAATGGACCAAACCCTCTTTAATCCGATTCTTGATTCATGGCTCACAAGTACGGGACAGACTCAAGAGCCTCAAGACATGCACGTACTTTATGAGAATGACTTTCTGGAGATCAGAGCATGCAATGACACGGGGACGGCAAGTTCGTGCGCAGAGGTCACTGCGGATGATGAAAAATCGGGCTCGGAGGCAAACGACCGGGGCAAACTTCCCAGTCACCGTGGTTTCATTAGACCGTTGCGTGATGAAGGGCCATTTATGGGAAGACCGGCAATACATGAACAGCATCATCCCCGTCATAATCGCCTGTACCAAACAAGTGCATCTTACACTAGCTGCGAAGACGTCCATACCTGCACAATACCTCCACAAAAGGCACACCACAGAAGGCGCAGAAAACGATCAAATCGCCAAACGCCCACTTCACACGCATCTCCACGCATACATGATCCATCTATGAATCATGTTTTCCACAGTATAGACGACGTGACATCACTGATATCAAAGATTTCTGTCCACTCCAGAGAAGACGACGATGTCGACGACGACCCTGGTAATCAAGGAGATGATGAAGAAGATGAATATTTAGAAAAAGGACCGCGTGTACGAGATCAAATCGCGTCCCTGAAGTCGCCTTTAGTGTACCCTAGTGGCTCGCTTGATGTTTCCATCGTCCGACATGGAGGGTACGAGATGGCTACTGAGCAAGGCGCGGATCTGGATTTAGACGCATACATACGGTGGCCGGATGAACAAGGGTGATTGACAGAACGCGCGGATGTAAATGAGGTTTTATGCTGTACGATAACATGGGCATGCGCGATTTCCAAATCTTCTTCACTTTGTGTGCTTTGCTGAGCGCAAGGACTTGTCTGGCGGCTTTATTGCGTCAAGTTATCCCGCTCAACGTAACGATATGTCATGTGACCAAGTTCATGCGATAGAACGAAACTCCTCGTGTCAGTGGATTCACTGTTGGATGGAAATGTAGGAATGCCCTGATCGAGACTCTACACTTTCAAGGTGTCCAAAAGTGCATGTAACGAGCAATCACGATCAAGTACATGGCAAGATTGTTGCAAAAACGAGGGCAGCCATTGTCGTGTTCAAACAAATTCATCCATTGTTCATGCACGTCCCGTTGATGGTCCGTCCACAAACTAATGTCTTTAAGCGATATTGAAACAGGTCATCAAAGCAGTCAATTTACACACATGAAATAAAAGCTCCTGAATGCCGTACTCTAGTAAAAACTAGTAAGTCGTTGCTGTTGGTTTGAGGTGTGTGCCAATTTGTTTGAAGTTCCTCAATTTACCTTTGATGAAAATGTCGAAAGTGTTCATCAGTCGAGCGAAGCAAACGGACGGTTGAATCCGGATTGAACCACCATCTCTCACGTGTGACTGACTTTCGGAGCTTTCCGGGAAACTTTCCTTGTTTTACCAAGGGGCTCCAAGGGAGGGGAATGATGAAATCCGTAGCCATTTCCTCAAACACTCAAACACTTAGGACAAATATTGAAACCAATACCCGTGTTGAAATGGGATATTGGAATCGCCGTTTGTTGCATTTTGGGCCGTTTGTTGTCATGTTGGGCAAAATGTTGCTTTTGCATGTTCGGCAGGTGGCAGTCCGCAGGTGGCAGTGGACAAGACAAAAGCAGACAAAAGCTGGCTGGGTTTTGTCGACCAAGAAGAGCACATGTGTCAAACAAACAGGTTTGAAACTTTACTTGTTTGGATCGGCTGACAAAGGCAAAACCCAAAGGGTGATGAAAAGAGAAACGATTTTTGAGAGTCCTTTTTTGATGGCGAATGGTTAACAACACTTGGCAAAAAAGATTGACACGACAAAAACACCTGAAAACAACAAGAGAGATTGGTTTCCAAGGGAGGAGGAGGAAAGACAAGGAGGGACAATGCCCAGAAAAAAGGGAGAGAAAAGGCAACCAATGATCAAACGACGACAAGCGAGCTGTGCAAAATGGATGGCCCGTCGAAAGGCCATCCCCCACAAGGTGTGAATTGTTTACGCTCAACAATTCTGGGCAAATTAGAGCCGCTTCGATACAAGTTTGTAGGTGCTTTTTTATTCATCATTGATGTCAAAATGAAGTTTGGGGGATCACGATCATCGCACACACACTGTTCGTTTTAACAACTTGTCATCGTCGTCGTTCGTCTCACTTTTTTTAATAAACATTTGAACTTTTGGTGGTTGGCTGCGGGGTGCTACGGAATTTCTCAAGTGTGGATTTCTCGTGCGCGTGTGTTTTGTAAGTTTCAGGGAGGGTTCAAAGGAAGGGAAACCCCAGAAGGGAATGCAAGACAAGCAAGGCCATTGGCTCCCCCTCTCGTTACCCTTCCTCTGCCCCCCTCCGTCCAAGCTGCAAAAAATGTGAAAATCGCTACGCAAACAAAACGCAACGGGCAAAAAGAAAAAAGCACACTTATGGAATCAAAAAGTTATTATCCATCTTCAGCGCGGCCACCTTGGGGAAGGGCTCTTTTTTTTCCAGACTTTTTCGGGTGGTACGCCGACAACTGGCGGAAAACCAAAATTCCCCCTCTTCTTATCCTTTTTACAACAAACCTTTTGGGGGGGCTTCCGGTCCACATCCTCCTTCCTCCATTTCTCCTGCTCTCCCCGTTACCTTCAAAGCAAGCAAAAGGGCTAAAAAAAAGATCCATTTCTCATCCGAAATTTGGTTCGCAAGTGCGTGATCGTCTTCTCGGCTTTGCGCTCATTTATTTTTTGCACGCCGCCGGATGACAGCACAGATGGCATGTTGAGAAAGGGGTCCATCTTTTTTTCAAAATCGCCGAGTGCAAACGGTCGAGTTGGGCTGTCGCAAAAAAACTCGTCAACACAACACATACACACAATGAAATGATCTCATAGATAGTCCTTGAAAGCAAAAAACAACAGCCTTCGGTCTCCTTCTTGCCCTAGCCTTTGGGTTTATCCGTTAGCCTTTCTCTCGCCCTCCCTGCCCTTCCTTTCCTCCTCCAGATGGCGGTCTTAACGTGGACTGGTCTGCATCCGACGACCCATCCTCACAGCCACTACTACTACAAGTCCTACTCGTCAATGAACCATCATGTCCCGCACCATCAGCCGTCTCAGCGCCGCCCTCGCAGAACTTCCCCGTCCCCGTCCTTGTCGTCATCATCGAAAGCGATACCCCAGTTGGTAGCACACTTTATTTGCCTGGTTGTTCACCGAACATGGCCAAGACCGAACGGCCAGCTCTCTTCGCAGCCATCCTCCACATTCGACGACGCTCAACCTCACCCTTCCTTCCTCGCCTTTGTCAACCGAATTGTACGAATGTCTGGTGTCTCCAGCGACCTCCTTTTCCTCGCCCTCCTCTACATCATCCGTCTTCGCCGTTCCTCGTCCGGTTCCTCATCCATGCTTGAACCTACATCGCCAACGACGCAGTCTTTGGTATCAACACACTCATTTGAATCACAGGCGGCACTTTCAGAAGCACGCCTTGTCACAGCCGCCATCATCCTCGCTCAAAAAGTCACGGATGATAACAGATTCACCAACAAAACCTGGGCAGAGCTGACTGGATTTGTTTTGACGGACGTGAACCAGATGGAAGCGGACTTTCTCGCACGGGTGGATTTTCGGTTACATGTCGGGGACGGGGAATATGCTGCCTGGGTGCGGCATTGCAAGACTTGGGCGAGGCAACTCGGTGTTTTGCTGGAACACGGCGGAGAACAAGTAAACACCGTCCAACCCGTCCAACCAGATGGCAAGGTCGCTGGTTATTACCGAAAGCGCAAAGCGGGTGTCCCCGACTACGCACTCAGTGATACATCTACCCGAAAGCGAGCCGTTCGCCGCCCACTCGACATGACTACATACCCTGTGGACCAAGCAAAATGGGCCGCTCCTACCGCCCCCCACGTCTTTTCCGCCCTCCCCGCTCCATTCCAACAACCACACAACTCTCAAACAGCGCCCATCCACTACGTCACCCTCCCACAGCCAACACCATCCGCATACTCTTGGACATGTTGTGCCCATGAGTTCCAGCAGCCTCTTTACGCTGTCTGTGGATACACATATACCACCACGGGTCACGTCGTTGCTGAAACCACTTGGCTGGATGGGATGGGAATGGCTATTGGGCAGTATGGCTATATGCAGTGAAATAACATTTGGGGATGACTATCTTTATATGTTTGTATGTATATCGTATGTGATTTTCATGGGTCATTGGGGGGGACGTCAATGGGGTTCTTTAAATACCGTATTTGCGGGAATCTTTTCGGGAAATGTACAGCTTTTGTTTTTAGAATATAGGTATGGCATGCTGATACTACAGTGGTCATTTTACATCTTGGGGATCCATATTTCTTTCTTTGTGTTTCTCTGTGTACAATATATATACTTTTTGCTGCTAAAACGAACGAGATGTCAGTAATGCTCATGACGGGGCTTTCTCAATAGAGTATCGCCATGCCGACTAAAGAAATGCTGCTTCGAACACACACACACACACATAGATGCCGAACAATACTACATGTTTTTAATAATTCATACAAGCTTTCGACAGAATAACAAAAAAACAAAAGAGTTAGGAAAGAAAGGAAAATACGAAAAGCTTTCTATTTTCGCCTGGGATTTACTGCTCATAGTCCCACGACTCTTTAAAACGCTGGCAAATCAACTGAAAGGTGGAATTCGCACCTGTAAATCGTATCAACTTTAGATGAACATCACAGTCTTTCAAAATATGGCCGAGAAACGAACAACCAACCTTGCTGCTGTGTAAATTGTAATTTCCATGGTAGACCCTCTCCCTCATCGTTTGGAAGCAGATCAACTCGGAACTTTACATTCTTTATGATGGGTGGATTCCCTTGTTCACTCGTTGGTGATGACGTTGACGGAGAGGATGAGGCAGTGTGCATGGCGGTGAGAATGGCAGCGGATGGACTCGATGCTTCAAACTTGCATTTGTAGCCTCCTCCTCTGAGCGGTTGGTTCCTGATATCATGGGCCTGTTTGAAGAAGATGACAAGGTAAGCTCAAACTATTTCGCAAAAATAGTTCAAATTGAGAAATGGCAGTTTACATACTGTTAATAGTTCTCCAATAGCCGTCATTGTTCTATCAAAGTCTTGGCTACTGTAGACCGTAAAGGCATCAGGTTTAAAGTGGAAAAGATTGGCAAACCAGCTACGTTTGGGGCTAGATGTAATAATGGGAGTCGGAGGGACAACAATGGCTTGCAATGTCACAGAAGAAAAAAATATAAGATTTTACGCTGGTGGATGAAAGCAGAACAACAAAGTAACCTACGCTTCTTTCGATGGAATTTCGGCGTTCCCAGCTCCTTGTCCTGCCCTTGTCCGCTTTTCACGCTCTTGTCATCACCCGAGCCTTCATCTCCCGATGCAGGAATACTAATGGTCAATTTCTTCTTTGCCTCGGCCGACTGTCCGGTCGCACTGCTTCTACTAATAGATGAGGACCGAGAGTGCTCCGCTGTCGATGGCGTTGAAGAATTCTGAGTGGGTTCTTGGGTATGAGCCCCAGATGTAGAGTTCCCTCTGGTAGAAACAAGAGTTTTTGGTTCAATCTAGTGAACAGTCTCAGGACATTGATGGTATCCGGCACACTTACTCTGCAGCAATGTGGGTAGACGCCGAAAGAGGACTGTTCACACGAGGTGCTGTCTCTGTATATTTGCCGCTCAACACTCTGGAAAGGGTAGGAGACAGAATAAGCAAAACCATAAGCTGCTGACGGTGAGGTTTACCAAGAAACATTTACTTTTTGGAACTGTCCCTTTTGGCACCCGTGCTTTTTCCTTCCTCACTCGCAGCGCCAATAACATCCCCACTCCTCCGCCTAGCCCGAATCTCATCCTGACTAGCACTGCTCCCGCTACCAGTCGCAATCAGCTCAGCACTTTTGCGCAACTCTTCCCGAGACCTCCTCAAATCATCCACACTCTTGCGGAGTTCATCGGTGGACCGCCGCATTGTCGAATCCGGGCTTGCGAGCGTGAGCTCGGAGCGGAAGAGGTCGAACCGTGAAGCAGTTGTAGGCGTATTGAGGGAAGCATAGGAGTTTGTGCGGCGGCGGGGACCACCTAGATAAGAGTGTGAGCATGCGGTTAACCCTCAGCAACGGGATACGGTAGTGACAGACCTTCGACATCCCAAGAGCTCAATTCTCGGACATCGTAATGTTCAAAAAAGTCCCATTTGCGTTGCAGGAGAAGATTGTAGAATACCTTCTCCATGTTTTCCCTATCGGGATCATCTGCGTTAAATGGCGGGCCAAAATCCTTTCGAAAGAAAATGCGACTATAAAAACTTACTCTTTATCCTGCAGTGCTTTAGCCAATTCCTTCTCATCACCCCAGCCTAGCAAAGAGAGTGAGTTGAGGATATCGGGATCCAGCTGACTAGGATCCTCCACTGGTTTAGTCAGCTGCCAAAATAAACAGTCAGAATATCAAAGCAGAAAAAACATAAAAGAAAAAGGCGCTCTGTGACTGACCTTTGCTGGATCCATTGGAGTTGGATAGCTACTTTCTCCATGCTTTGGTGTTTGAGAACAAAACCAAGGGTGTCGAAAGATGTCCTTCATCTATATGATAAAGGAAGAATAAATACCCCCATCACCATCACAGTATACATAATCCCATTGACAACATACAGTTATTCGCTTCGAAGGATCCACAACCAGCATCCGTTTGATCAGATCCTTTGCATCCGCGCTAACATGATCGGGTATAAAGTACATTCCAGATTTCACCTAAAAAGAAATGCAGATGAGTTTGATGTCTACGAAATGAAGCGGTACCATTGATTAGCTCAACCTTGCTCAACAGTCTCCTAATATTCTCATCATCGAATGGAAGATTGCCCGTCAATAGAGCATAGAGGATCACACCGCAACTCCAAATGTCGGCTGCAGGACCGTCGTAACGAATGCCCTTTATGATTTCGGGAGATGCGTAGTGGGGCGAGCTGTGTTCGGATAATTAGAACAAGGGCTCATTCCAACTCTTGATCCACAGCACAACTTGCCCGCAACTCGTCTCCAACATTTTGCCAGTAACTTGCAAACTGGCCATTCCAAAGTCTGCGATTTTGACATTGAGTTCCTTGTCAAGGAGGAGGTTCTGCAATAGGCAATGTCCCCAAAGCACTAATGTCAGAACAGCAAATTGATTCCTTTCAGAATTACTCTCGGATTCTTACCTCGGGTTTGAGATCACGATGACTATTGGAAAATATTCTGTTAAGTACAGTCGTGATAAAGTGTTGCCGAATAAGCACCATGCTCTCCACGTACCAGATGAGGTATCTATGACAGAAATCAATTCCAAACATAATCTGCTGAAAGAATCCGAGTGCTTCTTGCTCGCTCAGTCGTCCCTTTTTGACAAGGTAATCAAAGAGTTCTCCGCCCTCGACATGCTCTAAAATCAAAAACCTGCAGAGGTACATCTGCAATTATTTCCCATGTTCATGCAAATCTTGTATTACTCAAAATCCGGGTACATACAACTCTTTGTCGGTTTCGTAAACATCGTAAAGTTGAAGCACATTTGGATGCTGTATCAACTTCATAATCGTAATCTCCCTCTCCAGTTTTTTGTTAATGGATGGCACCGGGGGTGTCGATGATGCTGATGCACTGGGTGGGGTTGAGGTTGCGGGCGACGCGGGGGGCTGTTGGGATGACGATGACGAGGTAGTAGAGAGAGTCTCTTTCGGGATGATCTTGATAGCAACTCGCTGAGCAGATTCTATATGGGTTCCAAGTTTGACTCGACCTGAGTGTTTGACAAGTACTAAGGTTAGCAATCGGTTCTCCCCCTAACGCTCAATTATTTAGAGTGAGTATTATCTTACCAGTACTCCCAACGCCCAGTGTTTTCCCAACAACGTATGGTCCAATCCTCTGTCCGCCGCTACTCGATGACCGATTACTGTTGGCGGAGCCAGGTCGTGGAGGAACTGGCACCCCGCTGGTTGGGGTTCGTGGCCCCGTCACATTCGGGTTTTGTAAATTTGCATCGTTGATATTCACCGTCAAAGGAGGTCGTGGGGGTGTTGCCGACATGATTTTGATATGTTTTCCGATTGCTAATGAAGATAGGCTCACTTTGATTAATTCAGATCATTCTTGCTGTCCGCACTAAGAGGAGAGAGGGTGTACCTGATTCTCCAAAAGATGACCAAAGTTCGATTTCAGAAAAGACTTGTTGTTCTTGATGCACTAAAGCAGGAGCCGCGAAGGTATCGTATGGCTAGAGGTTCGATTACAAGCTTGTGACGATTCCGTTTGCTCGGTTGAACCTCTATTGGGTTATGGTGTGACCACTTGGACAGATTACGATGGCGATGAACTGGATTTTTTAGCAGAGGCCGAATCAGCAAAAAACCTCTGACCAAAGCTCAGCAGTTTTCTAGTCAGTCAAAATGTTCCTTTACAGATCAGAACGTTTTGTCAACGGCTTTGCTAATATTGGCCAGACTGGCTGAAGAGTATACTCTCAATGTCGATTCGGAATCTTGTCAAACTCGCAACCAAACGATATCTTTTTCCTAGCTAGACTGGTACACCAAGCCACACCCTCTTGCCAACGTAAACCACCAGTGGAGATTCCCCTCCATTGGCGTTCATGCGTTGTTTGGATGATCCCAAAAATAGCACATCCGCTTCATTAATTCGTCTGGCCCATGCATTCCCTCAAACAACCGCGCGGGCTGTATGGAAAGCAGCAGCCCATCAAGGGCCCATTCAAGCAACATCTACTGGGGGTGTGTTGGGACTCGTCCCAGTACCATTGCCCGTAATAAAAGTGGATGAGTTAGAGTTCAATCATTTTTCGTTCATCCTATATAGATCCATTGCAACCTTGAAATGACTGCTATATTGGTCTATCTTTTAAAACTAGTCATGGCATGAACGGTTGCGAGTCAGCCTGGCCCGTCGACCGTCTGTCACATCCCCAAACTCCGTTCAATTACGTAAAGAAGCGGCACAGTCAGCGACATCTGCTCATCACTTCAACATTCTTGTTCAACTTTACACAATGTCCCATTCCAAAATCTTTTTTGTAGGAGCGCTATATCAGGACATCATTTTACATACAGACAGGTGATTAAGAGGAAAGAGCAGTACTGATTTCCGATAAATCATCTTAAATGATCCTGTGACCTCCCAAAGCTATCCGATAGAAGATTCAAAGAGCCGAGCTCGAAAGGTCGAGAAAAGAGTCGGTGGGAACAGCGCAAACAGTCTAAGCGTTCTGACGCAGCTTGCCCCAGGAGGACACTGGCAAAATGCTGTTGGAACGGGTACGAGTGACTTGGAATTTGTGGGAGCTTTTGCTGGAGAAAGGGATGCGGATGGAACGATCTGTAGGTGCAGTAATTTAGTCCACTCTTGACTATAATACAAGACGGGGATCTGACGATGAAGTACAGCCCCTTAGCTCGACACATTGCAGCGCATGGTGTTTCTCTCAAGTACTCCGTGACCCGTCCTTTAGCGACCACTGATCCCACCTCTTATATTATATCCACACAAGCTTCCCGAACAATCATAAGTCACAATGATGTTCCAGAACTCACGGCAGCGGAATTCATACCAGCTCTCAAAAAGGATATATTTGAATCTACCTCAACGGCGCCAGACTCGGCGCGATTATGGTTCCATTTTGAGGGAAGAAACGTGCAGCAAGTTTATGATATTCTGGATTTCATAAACTCTGAAAAACGGACCAATGTGACCGTATCGATAGAGTTTGAGAAACCCGCCAGGGAAGGCCTTGCTGATCTTTTAGCTATGGCCGACATCTGCTTTTTTTCCAAAATTTATGCAGACGCTATGCGATCGGATCTTGATGCCGCTGCATTTCTGGTGGACGCAAAGGCCAGATGCAAAGATGAGTAGGTTCCAACAAACCGATGTATAGAAAATATCTTGATTGACTGCGTAAAAAATTTCTTTCCTTGGTATCTAGCGCAATTCTCGTGCTCACGCAAGGTGCGCAGGGAGCGTGGGTCTTGGCACCCACATTGGACTGCCCAGTGCACGTTGCTGCCTATCCACCAGCCCAAGGCGTAGTTGACACCACCGGCGCAGGAGATACATTCATAGCCAGTGTCATAGCGGGACTGTTAGGAGGAGAGTTGGATATTATTGCTGCAGTTGACGTCGCATGTCGAGTTGCTGGCGCTAAATGTGGACTGAGTGGAGTAGAAGGAGTTATTAAAGCAGCTGGCTTCTAGCGGTAATCTAGTGAATATGGGCCGTTGGCATTGTGGGTGCTGGAGACGTGTGACTTATCATGCCGGGCTGGGCTGCGGTATACGGCGGTTTGGAGTGTGAGGCAATCGCGGCTGAGACAGTAATGGCCAGCATCCGCTTGCCCCTTGCTGGACCTCGGCCACCACTAGGCAGAATGATGCTATTTCATGATTGGAGCAACATCGAACGGCGGTAACAAATGTCCTGGACATTAAACATATGGTCACGTCTGACGCTTATTTGACATATAATATATGTAATACTTTCAACATGCTCACTGCCTAATTCCTATTTACCTCTATAAACAACGTCAACCCAACTGTCCGATCAGAACAGCATCGACCACTTCCCCTTGCGCTACCTCCATTCTCCCTTGTGTGCCCGCAGGCATCTTCAAAAGCGCATTTGCGCCCCTCATACTTACCATTCGACTGCTTCGCTGCGATCCTGTACTATAGGCAACAAGGCGCGTTCCCTGATGTCCCGAAGATGGGGCGATGGCAATGTGAGCGCGATGGAATTCAGGCCGCGATGGATCGAGCTGGATTGTATCTGCGAGCTGTGGTCGACGTCATGTGAGCCGTTAAGCGTTCGGTTCATAATCAGCGAACGCCAAAGGCGATGCTTACCTCTGCACGCACTACGGGGAGAATAGGATCTGAGTACCCCGCCATCTTCCTCAAAGCAGGAAGCACAAAGAGATAAAAGGTGACACTGGCCGAAACGGGATTGCCAGGCAGAGCAAAGATTAGCTTTCTTCGACCACCATCAGTCCCGGGAATCGTGGCAAATGTAGTCGGCTTCCTGAAGTATCAGGGCCAGTATTCGGCATCAGCACGCGTCCCATGTTAACCAAAATGGCTGTAGGACCATACCCTGGTTTCAACAGAACTCTTCCAAAATGTATTGTCGCACCCAATGCCCGTTCGAGAACCGGCTTTAATAAATCCAGTTCTCCCATGGATACTCCGCCGGTTGTCACTAGTACATCCGCTTGATCCAATCCTTTCCTGATGATTTTGGCTAGCTCCTCCGCACTACCCACAAATAGAAACAATATTGAGAATTCAATGCAACGAGTGAGGCAGAAGACATTGATCTTTCAATTTGGCTCACCTGTCTGGCGCAATCCCCAGATCAATCGAGTCAAACCCCGCGACTTTCACGGCCGCTGCGAGGGTCGGACGATTAGAGTCCCGGATGACCCCGTATGGAATTGGACCTGGAGTCTTAGCTTCTACCACTTCGTTTCCTGTGGACAAAAGTCCCACCACAGGCTTCCGAATTGCAAGAACTTGCGTTACGCCGACAGACGCCAAAACGCCAATCTCAGAGGGTGTAATCAGGCTGCCCTTTTGCAATATATCTTCTCCAATGGCAATGTCGGAGCCAATCTCTCGAATATTTTGGCCCTCGGCGGCCGTTTCGTGAAGCTGCACAATCTCTTCCACGGTACCATCATCTGAGGCTTTAATCAAGGAGGTGTTCTCCACCATGACAACGGCATTAGCGCCAGCTGGGACAGGTGCACCAGTTGCTACCCTTGCAATTTGCCCTTTCTGCAAATTGATACGGGCTCCTCCACCTGCAATAGATCCAGCAATAACCGGGTACTCTCCTGGTCCATCCGACGCTTTCATATGCCATGCATGAGTGTGGGGCCGCGACGATGTCAACGACATCCGGTTTGCTTACCCACTACAGCGTAGCCGTCAACAATCGATGCTCGATAGCCCGGCACGGCCTCCTGAGCAGCAACATCTTCCGCCAAAACCGATCCTACTAATTCTCGCGGATTGTCTATAGACATGTGAGCTGGCAACAAGGTATCTGCATGGGCCATGACTGTCGAAAGAGCTGCCTCATAAGATACGAGAGGATACAGAGATTTCCGCGGACGCATTGCAACTGTGTAAACCCACATATCAATCAGGTATTATTTCAATGAAGATTTCAAATGACCGTAGAGACCAACGATTGCCATACCTGGGACGGTAATCCCTCCGTCGACGAGCTGTACCACTTCCGCTGTTCCATGTTTTTGTCCATCATGATCACGGTGATGAGAGTGATGATGATGGTGACAGTGGTGGTGATGACGATGCTTGTGTGATGGTCCTTTCGCCTCACCCATCTTTCGATGCGTCTCATCCGCACCCTCAACGTCTCCTTTTGCAAGCTCAACGGCGTGAGCAAGTACAGGTAAAACTGCCTCCAGATTTTCCTTGCTTCCCTTGGGACTACCCGGTAAGGTAATAATCACGCTTCGTTTCCGAATTCCACAAACTGAACGTGATAGCGCTGCCATAGGCGTAGTTTCAAGCGAAGTAGTTATCATGGCTGTTACTATTCCTGGGGCAGTCTTTTCCAGCAGAGGATTAATGGCCTATTGAGAGGAACAAGTTAAAAAGGTAAACCAGCAATATAGAAACAGATAACATGAAGTACCTCTGGTGTGACGTCTCTAGGTGCAAAGCCTGTACCGCCTGTTGTCACAATCAAGTTCACACCTTCAACATCAGCTAATCTCTTGACAACGTCTTGAATGGCAAGTATGTCGTCAGGAACAGTAGCAAGCTCCTGGACATTCCAACCGTCCCCTGACAGTTGGTCTGCCAACAATGGGCCACTACGGTCTTCGGCGAGGCCTTGCGAGACTCTGTCGCTCACTAGGGATTTATGAAGCGACCAGTCTCACACGCCAAAAGTTCATACATGGACAGTCTAACCTGAAATTATCGCAACGCTTCCCTTTGTGCCTGACATGGTTCAACAATTTCAGTTCTGCAATGGTCTCCTTGCGGGGAGATGGACACTGTTGCTTGCGAACGCGTCTGGCAAACCTTTGCCCAAATGGATCAGTCTTGCTGTTGCCCATCTTCCGCCCAGAAGAAACTTTCAGTTTTTCAAGATTAACGACGACAATGTGATAAATAAAATGCAGCAAGATGTCAAGATGATGTCTACAGCCATCGTAGACCACATGGTTTCTTGTAAAGCACTCGAACTTGTGCCCATTTCTGACAATGACGCTCAGTGCAAATCCATCATGGACGGGACATTTGGATAAAGCTCATGAAAACATTACCAGGCTAGTTTTGTTATGCATATCCGAGAAGAACGATAAAGTTAGAAAATGTTTAAAAAAAGAAAACAACGCTTTTTCCATAAGGATACTGACAAAAACATTGGCTGGCCACAGTCAACATGGAGCGCTTGGCGATCGGACCCCCTTCCTAGCTCCTCAACCTTGATTCCGCGCAATCAACAGCCAGCTGTTTGAGAATCACAAGGGTCAGCAGGTATAAACAATCTAGAAACACAAGTAATAGGTTGCAGGGTTGCGCGGAACTTTGCAAGTAAATCTATTCATATCCGATATTGTAAATAATGGCGATGCTTAATTTAAGCCAACATTTAAGGGCAACTTTCCGCGGCCCTCCAAAATTCCGCTAATTACATTTGTAATTAGCAAATGCGATAGTTTCCGTCTTAACTTGGACCCGACAAGTCTCCACGCCGAGTTGCAACTTGCCTACGATATTTTGGTCATGGCTTCATCCGACGGCATTGGGGAACCCTGGCAAGTTTTAGGTCATGGCGAGTGGCATCCACATGGAACGGCCGAGCGAGTGTACAATCTCGTCGCCTTCTTTGTAAATCTTACAAATGTGTTCGGCAATTCCTTCATTTTTTTCATGTTTGCAAAGGATAGAAGTCTTTGGGAGCCTAGGACGCTCTTGGTATGCTTACTTTATAACCCATGCTTCCTCAAGTGCCTCAAAATATTCCTAACCATCCTTCACACCAGGTCCTCAACCTAGCCTTTGCAGACCTTAGTTGGGGCTCTGCGGCAATGATCACGGAATTGATCAACTCGATTAAAGGAGGATTCGCGACTGGCACACTTGGATGCAATGTCGCTTTGCACTTCGCCAGCTTTGGAATTGCGTTGTCAATGCAAACTTTTATGTGGATATCTGTGGACAGATGGTTGGCAATAGTTCGTGAGTAAGTATTTGCTGTTTATCCGCTGAAACGATATATGATGCCGTTGGTTGATATCATTTACCTTTCTCCAGACGACCCCCGAACCCATGGCAAATATACTCTGTGATTGCGTCGACATGGGTCGTAGCGTTAAGTAAGTTTAATTCCCTTGCCCATTCCAATGGCTTAAACTTACGTGAAACTCTCCTGCGTTTTACAGTGTACACAATCTGGCTCATTTTCGCCGGCCGTCCTGCCGGCGGGGGTGTCCTGAGCAGTACACACACATACTGCGAAGCCGCTTGGATGTTTCCGTCCTTTTTGATGAAGAGCATGACGTACTTCACCCAGGCGGCTTATTTCTCCTTCTTCTTGGTTACCACGTACTGTTATAGCAGCATCTATGTGACTTTTAGGGCAAGTAGACGGAGGTTGTATGGAATGAACCTCATGACAGCTGGTACGGTCGCAAATACAGCAAGAGGAATGGTCGGCGGCAGTACGGAAATGTTACAGTTGTCAGCAGTGCAATCTAACCGATCGAATGCCACGAGCAACGTCGAAAAGGGCATCAAAAAGCCGCCGAAGCTACAAGATCAAGAGTACCAAATCATCAAAAAGTTTGTGACCCTTGTGTCGGTCTTTCTGGTTACGTGGGGGATGTGGGTGTTTGGTGTTGTAACATACCAATCTCACACGGGACGACCGTCACCAATCTGGCAGAACGGACTTGGGGCAATGATGGCCTACATGAACTCTGCGATCAATCCAATCCTACTCATCGTAATGGATAATCGGTTTACTGCGAGTGCCAAGAGGGTGATCGGATGGACTTGAAAGGCGCAGGCTGTGAATGTACCATTGTTGCTGTAGATATCTAGTTAGAATGCTATACCCCAAGTAAAAACTACTTGATCTTGCATTACGTAAGATAACCAATTGGTTCCATCCAATGCTCATCCCGTCATGGTTTTGACATGACGAGCGCAATCGCCTTGTTTCTCAACGTGGCATTTGCGACCACGGGCACTGACGCCCTCAAGACGGGACATGAGAGAGTAACCGCATGAGGAGGATCTGAAGCAGACATGTCCAAATCGACCATTCCGACCGAACTTTTAAACGCTGTATTCCACTGGGTGAAGGAACTTCGCGACTTGTACGCATGTTGTCTGGTCAGCCGCTCATGGTTCAGTTCTGCGCACACATATCTATGGGGGAATTTGGAGTGGTATACCGACGAATGCAGGTTTTTTAACCTCCTGGCTCATTTTTCACACGCTGCATTCACTGACATCGCTCCAAATACAGGGGAAGACTTTCGTAATGTACTTTCCCGCCCACGGCACCTTGCTGCCGACTACCGACATAGCATTCAAAAACTTGTCATCACAACATCTTCCCCTCCTGAGGCTGGAGAGCCGCGCCTTATGGGACTTCGCAAACTCTTACACAATTGCCCACGTTTGACTGTCTTAAATTTGGATTGCCCGGCACTAAACGATGACGATATGTGGACCCTTTCAACATCATGTCGTCAACTGCGCGCACTCTCACTCGTTTCAGGGTCCCATCCTTCGGGTTGCGTCACAGATGAAGGTATCCAAGCAATAGCATCAAATTGTCGGAACCTTTGCCATCTACGATTACGGGCGACATGCGCTGGCGCGTTCACTGAACGAGCATTCAGGGCTATTGCGGAAAGATACACGGACCAGCTACAGAGCTTTGCATTGGAATGGGTCGGAACGCACTCCACAGGTTTATCAGTTTACGGTGGGGGTCCCGACGCGGAACGACGTTTTGTGGAAGCGTTACAGGCGGTGATCCTACAGAATGCAAAGTTGCATGCGCTTTCATTGGACTGGCCAATCGGAATAGACAAGTCACTTGATGCTGCCGCGCAAACCCTTCGCTATCTTCGTAGCCTGCGAATAGGCAACGCCCACAACACGTTAGCCATCAAATTACTCATCGCAGCCAATCCGTCCCTCGAATCCCTCTCTCTATACGAAGTTAATCTTGCGCCGGAACCGAGCCGTTTTTTTGCTCCGTTATTATCAAACTTACGAAACCCGCGGGGCCCCACTATACGGGAACTGGAACTGGAGGGCATTGGCTGTGTAGCAAACATCCTCCCCTTCTTGACTCGCTTCCACTCGCTGACTCGTGTCAAATTTGCACAATCTAGGCGAGCTGCTTTTTTGCATCTTCCTGCCATTGACGACTTTGTTGCCGCGGTAGCCAGATCATGTCCACATCTGCAAAGTATTGATATACCTATCATGACCGACGTACCTATACTGCAGATTGCACATGGCTGCCCAATGTTGGAGGAGCTGGATGTCGGATACGGAAAGGAAGTTACAGACTCGGCAATCATTTTCCTAGCTCGAAAATGCCCAAAGATCCACAAGCTGCATCTGGGCTGTGCGGAACTCTTAACCGACACATCGCTGACAATTCTTATGGAATCTCTCGGCCCAAGTCTTCGGCGCCTCACATTACCGTTTGGCAACAAGCTGCTGACCATTAAGACGCTGCGCGCCATTGCTAACCACTGCAAACGGTTGGAGGGCTTGGCAAATTTACCCGCAACGATGGGAATGCGTCCATTGTTGGAAAATGTTCCCAAACTGACAAGATTGCTGGTCCTTGGACTTTCCATTGGTCCGCATGTAGATTCTGTGCAAGGGTGGCGACATTACATGAGTAGAGAGGAGCAGGATACATTAAAAGCTGCCTGTAAGAGGCTGAAATACATATCATACGGTGGATGAATAAAAATATGTCGTCCTGTAATGAAAGTGGAATTGTTTGAAGACCGTTTCTTGATTGGAACAGAAACAACGAGATTAACGGTAAATAACATGTAAACGTAATTGCAGCCAGCGTTGATGCTCATCTTGGAACGGATTATGTAATGGCTCACGTAAGTGATCACCCAGCTAAGGTCTGCGATCTCGTCAAATATAGTTGAAAGTCAAGGCCGAATCGCATATTAGCAACAAGCTGTGATTCCTCGAGGTATGCATCTAGCCATGAAGTTATCGTTTGTTTAACTTTTTCACTTACTGATCTTGATCAATTCTTTCACTGTCTGAGAGGTGTGCCATCTGGTCGTCTTTACATCCCAATCCGCCCGTCCCATTAAAATGGCAGCAACGACGACTTCACAATCGAGCACCAGCAATGTCTTGGTATGAAAATCTGTTTGAGGATCTGGGCATCTATTGATATTAACCATTGTGCGCCTTGGCCGTAAACACATTTAAATAGGGACTAGCATGGACTTTTGGCCTCAATAAAAGCATTCTTGGAGGAGTCCACAACCTGAGTGATAGCGGTAGAAAGGTGAATGTGATAATCTCTTCTTATAAAATCCTAGACTTACCCTATGAATCCTGCCTTCATTAGGTCATATTCTACGCGGCCGCCCACACAGGTGTGCTCTACGACTATGCGAACGGCAAACAGCAGCTTCTCCAAGGCCATGTACGTCCAATGATCCTTTTCCCTGATCTCATACTGCTCACATTTCACGACAATTTAGTGCAATCAAATAACAGCCCTCACGACCTCTTCCGACAAACGATTTCTGCTGACGGCAGATCAGGGCAATGATTCAATGATTATTATCTGGGATACCACAGTTGGAAGTCCCGCTACAAAGGACACTACCACCGATGGGCCAAATAATGCAGCGCTTAACGCTCTTCCTATCAGAACAATCTTTGATTCCCATGGAGGAGCAGGAGTCATTGCGGCCGAGTTTACGAACGACTCGAAGTATGTGGTGACGCTGGGAAATGGTAATCTTCTGATCACTGGCTTGTATGAAAGCCATCTACTTATTTACGGAATGCCCTCTCATGGTGAAATACTTTATAGACTCGCCACAGACTATTTCCATTTGGGATTGGACGACAGAAAGCGATGAACCTGTCGTCTCTACTATTGTGGACGGCGAGGCGCAGGTGAACAAGACAAAGTGATAAATGTGCCTTATCACCAATTGACCGTTGTCACTTCTCGAAAACAGACATCCCTTAAAATCAACCCTGAGGACTTTACGGAATTTCTCACCACCGGTCCCCATTCAGTGAATTTCTTCACATGGTCTCCTGACGCCGGAATCAGCCAGCATGTTCCCGTCCTCAGCCCCAAGTATGTGGACATTGACATCTCAGACAACGTAGCTATTTTCTTACTCTCCTTTGTGTCTCAGGGACTTCAAGCACACGCCTTCCTCATTCACCCATTCTACTTTCCTCCCTTCGACGCCATCGAACACTATCGGACAGGCTATCAGTGCAACCGCAGACGGAGACGTAATTGTGTGGACAGATCGGAGTCTAAATAATCTAAGTGTAAAAATGGAGAGAGGAAAGAAAGCAGGAGTTAAAATAATGCGGTATGTTGTGAGTATTTCTTATTGATAGTCAGGCATACTAAAGCTCGGATGAAGGTTACATACTGGTGCCATCAATATTGTGATGGTTATGCAGGGAAAATGGCTTGTGACTGGAGGTGAAGATGGGTTTGTAAGGGTTTACGATATGCAGGTAATACGAGACATCTGCAATCGTAGACTATGACCCATCGCTAGCCATAAGCTGATGCCGTTCACCTGCGATTTCTAGTTTCGTTTGATTGTTTGGTTTGAGCGTCTTCGAGCAGGTCCTATCTCCTCAATTTCCCTTGGAGGAGGTGCAATAAATTTGGAGCAAGATGATGGTGGTATGTACGACCCGAAAAGGAGGATCTTGCAGATACTCGGAAACTCAGTAATTTTACAGCTGATTCCTTGTCCGATGCGGACATTCCGGCTCTGATTGTCGCTACGAAGCATTCTCGTGTACTCCTCCTTACGAATCTTGGAGAAGGCGTTACTCGGGATACGGTAGCAAAGGGGGGGATCGCTGCGGTATGACTCTTATATCAGCTACATGCCTTTGACGAGTATTTGATGTGTTTCTTAATCAGAATGCGGCAATAAAAACACTCCTTGAGGGTCAGTACGATTCCATGCACGGACTAGCTGTTCATCCGACTCTTCCAAAATTCGCGGTAGGGGGATATAGTGGTGAGCGGCCTAATGGTCTTTTACCCATTCCAACTTTGGTACTCATAGTTTTTCTTGATCAGGTTGGGTTCATGTATGGGACTACACAACAAAACAGTTGGTTACATCCCGTCGATTTGAAGAACCTCATGAAGAGAACCCCCATATAGTCAAAATCGGCAAAAAGAAGCAAGAGCACAATGCAGATATACTGAAAGTACAGTGCATGGCATTCTCTCCAGATGGCAAGACACTAGGTATGACGCAGAATTTTCATTGCAAAACTGTCCTCGGAACCACATCAATAACAGAGACCTCCAGCAATTGGCTTTACAAATGGCACTGTACGCCTCGTTCATACGCAAACATTGCAGGACTTCCACCAATCCACACCTGCGTCTCATCGTCCCGGAATACCTGGATACGCAGCATCCAAAAAACCCATTATGAGAGCCGTCTTCTCCAATGACTCGCAATGGATGGCAATTGCTGATGAGGGTTACGCTGTTGGAGTTTTCAGATTTGGCCCAAAGGACGAATGGGGATTTGTGGGCAGATGTAGAGCACATTATGGAGAGATAGTTGGTAAGAATGACGCCACTTTGTTTCATAACACGGCGACCAAGTAATCCTAAAGTGGTCACGTAGGGCTAGTTTTCGTTCCCCCGGCGCCAGATATGACTTATCCTCGCCTCCTTTCAATTTCACACGACAGACAAATCGCCGAATACGACTTGGAAAAATCCAGCATTACAGCCGGCATTGTCATCAGTTCCCTCACAAGAATCGATCAAACTCACAGTCCGCTCTGTGCAGTCCTCCATCCGTCCCCTCCCATTCGCGGCCCGCACGATGCGCCTCAGTATTACATACTAACAGCCAACACTGGAGCCAAGTTTCGCTTGTATACTGCGGAATCGGGCATGTGTCGACGAACTGTTGTTGCACCTAGATATGGAGGGGAGCTGCGGGGTTTGGCGGTTGTAAACAAGAAAGATGGACAAGGCGGTGAAGATGACAACACATTTTTGGCATATATGACGACGGACAAGGTATTAATGCCCATGCGATTTGCGGACATAATCACACGGGCTCGAACTAATATCAAGAAAACTAGGTGATTGGCCTCATTAAGCTCCCCCTGGACGGTAACCCACATAAATCTATGGGTTTGATAGCTCATCCCGGTGCAGTAAGTTGCAGAACTGTTCTAATGCACACTCCAGCAAAGACTAAGCTGCATCTACAATAAACACAGATTGCCGCTCTGGTGCCAACACCGACCGGTTCACATCTGCTAACAGTCGGATGTGACGATGGTGTCATAAACTTATGGTCCATCAACCCTGCTGCCCTGGATACGCAAATCGCCCTTGGTGGAGAGGAACTAGAGCCTTTTCTCGATTTGCTTTTCGCTGGGCAATCGGAAAGAGCAGCATTTGTGCGAGAGATGGAAGATTACTTTTATTATGCTCAGCTAAGAAGGTGCGAGGAAGCCCTTGAAGCATCATGGTGGGAATTACTTGACTTACGCGGAATTTGTTGAAAAGCCAAGGCGAAGATGTAACCCGCAACCGTCAAATATCCACCACCGTCGCTCTCGGAGAAGTTCCTTCCATCATGCAAGCCATGGGATACTATCCATCCTTCCAAGAAATTGAAGACATGTTGAATGAAGTTCGGTATTCAGGGTGGTTTGAAGGGTACGCGGCGGACCTGAGGGAAAGTGTAACGTTTGAAGAGCTCATCAGACGTGAGTCTTCAGAAAACATATTTGTCATTATTGTCCCCTCCCGGAACTAACGTGAAGGCGCTGTCTGCTAGTCTACGTGAATCATCGCCCGATAGAAGATTATGCTCAATCAGACATTGATGCGTCTCTTGCCCATGCAAAGCGCCTCGAACCCGGTGTGCCCCGTGGCATCGAGGGTGTACTACCGCCTATCTCCGCTGCTGACAAAATCTCTAGAGAGGGTCTTATGGCACTATTACAGCAATACGGTAAGGATGGGAGGCGCAGGCGACATTGTGACCCTACACATTCGACGCTGACATGTTTGACCTGCTACATAGGCGAAACTTTGTCCTCTGCGGATTTTTTGGATACATTCCAGACACTATTGATCAATGATCCACGATATAATGGGACTTTCCCGGACGAGTTTTCTAGTCAAGAATTTGTGGAGGAGATTTTAGGGTTGATCCCGCAAGTGACACCGCAAATAGACGTGTGACAGTAAACTTATTTATTTGACCATAGTTATAAACTCCATATCAGTTTAAAGATTGCATAGGCATAAAGCGGGGTGACACATTTGCCACGCATTCTTACCAATTTCCAACTGCTTGCATCTCAATCGTTGCCGATAACGGAAGTTACGGCAAGATGGAAATGATGGAGAAATCCACATTTAATCAAGTAAAATTCACATGCTTATCCGGGCACTAATGCCTTCCTGACCTTGGTGTTGGCTGCTCCGCGGCGTCTTTTTGTAGATGGACAAAGTTACGAGAATGGGTCATGCTGAGTATACCTTGCTAGATTATTGACGCACGAGTAACATTATTCGCAAGTATATTGAGGAAGATACCAGGCTAGGAACCCTGTTACATAAATTTCCCTACCTACCATCTATCTGCGTAGCCGGGTCATTCGTCCCCGCGCAGCTATCCATAAGGCAATTATAAGACATCATCCGCACCCCCCAAGTTATAAGAGCTATCGAAAATTGGATGACTCGCCAAATTCGTGCCGGGACGCTATCATTCAGGATGCCAAGCATTGCCCCTCCATACGTGACCATCTGTACCGGAGAACGAGAAAGTCAGGCATCCTCCATGGCTTGTATAATTGCATGGTCAAAGACGCTTACCATCGAAAACACCCACGACCCACCCAACCAGTACAATGCGTCGCCCAAAATTCCACGGGTTGTTCCAAAGGTTACATCAGGCTTCAAGAACACTAGTACTGACCATGCAATACACATTAAAACAACGGTGCTGCGCGTCAATAGTCGCATTTTTCGATGCACCGAACATGTGGGCAGGTAGGCGTAGCCAGCAGTGTGTAAATAGCGAGCACCAGTCACGCCCAGCTGAGCAAAGATATTGCAGGCCATCACAAATGCCCACAGATACATGCCCGAGCGCAAGTCATTGAGGCCCGTCATTGTCATCACCACAACATAGAATAGAGTTGATGGCACGCTCACGCTCTCTCGTAGCCTGGTTTCTTGCACTGTCCCAAGATGAAAATGACTGGTTTTCCCTTTGTGTAGCTTAAATCTGTATCGTATATATAAATCCGCACAAGTGTTGCCGACCAGGTCGAGTTGTTCGAGCAGACAGCCTGTGCTGACAATCTGCTGGAAGGTAGTTTTCCAGTTCCCAGTGCCCCCACTGATCGCATCTGCTGCTATTCCGGAAACGTAGTTTGCTTGCAGATTAATCGCCACATTTATGAGACCGACCGGTGCACCAAAAATGGTAAAGCCATTGGAAGCTTGGACGAAAGTAATTGAAGGATTGGCAACAACAGAAAGTAGAAAGAAAGTGAGGTGCCCGACTAGCTTCCTAGATGGAATCCTCATGTCAGGTTGCTAGGACAAGAGCTAAGAATCGCTCGACCGACTGGCAATTTCAAGGGAGTATCTGTCTAGCTCGTTCATCTTTTTCAAGTGCTTTCTTGTCCCTGGAATCCTTAACCCAATATCCTGACATCTTAAACGCATAATAAAAATAAACTGCAGCCCCGCCCCTGAGGCTTTGTCATTGTTTGTATCCCACTCAGTGATCAGAGTACAATATCACCCTGGACATACAAGATATTTTTGGGCAACTGCATTCTTGATGCCATAATACCATCCCGTAGGGAACATGTACAATATGGCTCCAAAAGCAGGGGGTCAGGGCTCAGTCATGACGATGTAATTCAAAACCAACATCCGGGAGATGCAGATATACAGATGCTTACAATCCTACTTGCAAAATACCCCATTGAAATCCTCAAGCACCCTCCGCTGGTGTCTTGAAAAACTTCATTATCTTTATGCTCTTTGACCTCAAGTTGGAACGTCATCCGAGAAGTGAATGGCAAAGCTGTGGCAAAATGTTTGCGCTCCAAACTATGGTTGTAATTGAAAGTTGGCTGCAAGGGTATTCATCAATTGGACAAGGAATGTGTGCCTTTTCTTTCAAACCAAATGCCGTTCAGTTACTGCGGGATATCTGCTTTCAAGGCAGCCTCATATCTTCACTGTCTATCGGATTGAGGCTCGCCCCGGTATGTTATTCTACTATTCTACGACCTAAACTAAACTTTAGCCTTAATCCAATGAGAAGCATCAGCACATCAATGGTTTCAGCAGATGGCGGTATAAAAGAGTCATATGCCACTGAGAGTCGTGGTGAGCATGGTCTGTAAAGAGCTGCGCTCTCCCCATCTGCTTCTTCTTGCTCACATCGACATGAAAGTCATCGAAAACGGATTACTTTGTAGCTATAGGGCTCGGCCACCTGAATAATTCAACATGCAAATTACTAATAGGTACTTGCTTGGTGGGAGGTATAACCGGTCATTATTTGAACTAATTGCAAGTTACATATTGTCCCCAAGTATTTGCAACAACCTATGCCCGCTTCTCTCAAGTGGGCAACTTTGGGCTAAATAACTGGTTGCAATAAAACAATTGGTAAAAACCCAACGACTCAATAGCCTACAGCAAGAAATCTTTCCTTTTCAAGGCCCTTGTCCTCGATAGTTCCAGGAGTGCCGTCGGTGGTTTACGGACTGGTTTACGTAGGATTATAAAATCGAGAATAGACTGGATGCATTTAGACATATGTTAGAACTTGTTGCAGTGTCAAGGTTGGGCTGCTATGTTTTGTAGACATTTTTGGCAGCCTGCCGAATATGTAATGCACGATGGTACATTGAAAACCGCGTATCATGGATTGAGCTAAAGTAATCTTGCTTGAGCGGGATATCAGTGTGAATGCAAGCCATGAAAGTGCAGTCTATCCATCGTTCAGTTGCTGGGTATTTCAGCCTGGAGGTGTCCACTGGGGATATTGGAAGCACTGACGGTAAACTGTCTCGTAACTTGTGTTTTGGGGATAGGATAGCTGTTCGCCGCGTCGGATGCGCGTGTAGGTAAGCAACGTTCCTCTCCAAGCAATGTGGCCGACAATCAGCCCAAAGTGTCATCTTACAGCCCAATGCCTACGTCGAACAAATCCCGCGGGCGCTTGCGAGCAACCAGCTCTAATAACCATTCCGCATATGTCCAGACACCCCCATCGTCACAGACACCAACTCGTCCACGCTCGGGAAGTGCCAGTAGTACCACAAGTGATCGAAGCTCGATCGGTATAGCAAAACCTAATCCCACAGATTCTCCGCGGCGCAAAGTAGTATGGAACTCATCTACATCCCTCACGCAAAAGCGATCTTTGGGAGTAGCATCAAAGCCGCCATCAGGACGAGCTAGCACATCACAACCAACATCTGGCCCGGGGAAATCGCCATCGCAGCAAACGCTTCGACAACAGTATGAGGCACTGCTGGGGTCAAAAAACGGCTCGGACAATGAGTTGCGGGAGGCATTGAGGAAACTGAGGCGGATGGTTTTGACAGAAGGATTGCCCAATGATGTTGAGGTGATAACGTTAATTGCTCTGGATTGATGACTATACATACTTATCCGGAGACTCAAGACTTTTCGATCACCGTCGGACTGCTCTCTACGAGGTCGTATCTGGAAAGTGCTTTTAGGAATCTATCGACTCTCATCTTTTGAGTATTTCAACCTCATCGAACGCGGTCCATCGTCGGTCTACGATAAGATCAAGAACGACACATTCAGAACTCTGGCAACGGACAAAAACTTTCTGTCCAAGGTCGATGAAAACATGTTATCAAGAGTTTTGAATGCTTTTGTGTGGAAGATGGAGGGTAAGAGGTGACCTGAAATGACCTGCACCGCACTCAAATCCTTGATACAACTCTCATATTCGGCAGATCTCCCACCTTCCCGCCTCCTCAACCTCACGTACACATATGTTCAGGGAATGAACGTTCTCGCAGCGCCATTTCTATATGTGATGCCGGAACTGGACGCATTTTACACTTTCACTGCGTTCATCCAGCATGCTTGCCCATTGTATGTACAACCCGCACTGGAAGGTGTGCATTGCGGATTGAAGGTATGCCCTCAGTAACGCTCCAATGTCACGTTGGTCATACCCACTAATCGAATATATGTATCCCTTTCAAGCTGCTAGATAGGTGTTTACAAGTTTGCGACCCATCTCTTTACCGTTATCTGAAATCCAAACGCCTCACAGCAACTGTTTACGCCTTCCCATGTATGTGCATACCACATTCAGTCATAGTTAGTGCAATTGCTAACATCACGATTTAGCGGTCATGACTTTTTCAGCCTGCACGCCTCCTTTAACCCAGCTTCTGCCCTTATGGGACTTTTACCTCTCATATGGCATCCATCTCAACATTCTCTGCATTATATCACAAATCATTCTCATAAGAGACCAAATCATGTCCCACCCGTCCCCCATGAGGCTGTTGAGGACCTTCCCAGACTTAAATGCCAAAGAACTTGTGGCGCACACTGTGGGACTAGTACCGAGACTACCGGAAGACCTATATGATATGTTGGTGAGACATACATTCGATGCTGGGATTTATGACGTTGTAATGGGTGACGATGGGGAAGCGGGAGGTGCTGGTGTTTGGATGGGCGAGGGAGGTGATGTAGAAGAGATTTGACGGGTTGTACAATTGTAACTTAAAGAGCATCCTACCCGGTAATTGTGGTTGATTCATTCCTGGCTTTGAGAAGAAAAAGATAACAAGTTTGTGGAACCCATACGTCTCAACAGTGTGGAATCAGTGTCTAGGCTTCTGATACTGGTTAGGAACGGCCGAAGCCTCGATCGCGCCGTGCCTGGATGAGACATACAATACTTTGGGCCTCAGCTCCTTATGACCATCAAGTTCATCCTATTGTAGACTGATAGCCCTCTATCAACGCCTCTATCGTAATAGTCAAATCCCTCTCTCCAGTATTCCAATTCGCAATAGATGCCCTAATAGCCGGCTCGCCTCTCCACACCGTTGGTGTTACAAACACCTTGCTAGTCTTGTTAATGGCGGCAAGGACGCAGTGCGCTTGCTCCGAGTCACAGTCATTTGCTCGGAATAGGATGGTATTCAAGCGGACAGGTTCCAGCAAACTGTACTGGCTGCTTGCTTCAATCCAGTTTCCTAGTCGCTGTGCAAAGAGGCACGTACGCTCAACCAACTGCTGGAATCCCTCCCTCCCATACGCCTGTAAAGACATCCACAGAGGGAGTGCTCGAAAGCGGCGTGAATTCTCTATCCCGCGATTAATCGGAGCAAATCCAGTGGATATTCCCAAATACGAGGCCGACGCCCCAAACGCCGCTTCATGAACGGTAGAATGTCGAGTGAAAAAGATACCACAATCATAGGGGACATTGAGCCATTTGTGCGCGTCCCCAGTGATGCTGTCCGCCAACTCCAGGCCGCTCAGAAGGTGCCCATACCGGTCAGAGACCCGGGCAAGAAGGTTTGCAGCTCCATCGACATGAAGCCATGCACCATGCTTTCGGCAAACAGATGCTACGCTTATCAAATCATCACAGTCGCTTGTGTTCACCTCACCAGCTTGCGCGATGACAATGCAGCCTGCAGCATTTTCATCCTGCTTTGCTGCCGACAGCAGCCGGTCCAAATCCTTTGGGCACATTCGAGCTGGTCGTCCTTCATCACACTGCACATGTTGCACTTTACGGCCAAGCCCAAGGATGCCCATAGCCTTGGATATACTTTGATGCGCCATAGTTCCAAATACCAAGATTCTCCCTTTCAGAGCTTGGATCCCATCGTTGGCTACATCAACACCTTGATAATGCTCACCAATCCATTGCCTCGCGCAAGCCAATGCTACTGTATTGGATGCGGTTCCACCAGTAGTGAGCACACCGTCGAACTCGGACGGCAATCGCAGTAAATCCGCCAGCATCTGCAAACAAACAGGAATATGTCAACACACTCCTTCTCCATATTCCCTATGCGACTATGATGAAGTCACCTTCATAACGGCCGCTTCAACATCGGCACTGCAGGAGCCGGCTGCTGCTGCTGCCGTCATGACATTTTGATCATATGCGGTTGCTAACACATCTCCAATAAATGCAGCGGGAGTCACACCGCCAGTTATAAAGCCGAAGTATCGAGGCCCACTACTGGAACTCAATCCAGGGGCAATCGTTTGTTTGAACAAGTCGAAAGTATCCGCGACTCCAAGGCCCTGGCGTGGGAGTGTCGAGGGGATCGACGTCAAAGGGGCCAAGGGAATGGTGGGAGCATCACCGTTCTGACGTTGTACCTGAAGGACATGGTCAGTTACCCGTGGTAGTATTGCCCCGAGATCGTTTGAATTCATCTTGAAGCTCTTGAGCAAGGCGCTTGAACCCAGCTGGATGAGTCACCGCTGCTGGAGCTTACGAAATCAAGTTCCAGCCACAGCGACTGTGGCAGTTTTCGGGCTTGTTTGAATTTCAGAACGATGCAAGTCAATGTTTGTAATGTGATCAATGTTCAGTTACAGAAGGGGATACACTCCCATGACGATGCTCCCATCACTATTTGATATGTACTGTCATGGCGCCGTTCATCGAAAAGTATAAATGGTTCTGCTCCCCCCATCACCTCTACATCGCCACTCTAATAGATAATGGCTATGTGCAAAGTAAGCATCCTGAATACCCGCCAGGCTCCAATCCAGTATGTCATCCTCGTGTTCAAGCAGTTTCGCCGACTGCAATCAATATGGTACGCCCTAACAAAGATTAAGACGTCTCAGCTCTTGTCGTTGGGAAGATAATGTCGGATGTGCAAATTTTACCTTGGCATCCAATTCCTTCCTAACCAGCTCAAACACTTTGAGCATCTTGCGACGTGCACCAAGCGCGGATACACCCTTTTCAATCAATGCTTCCTCGTCGAGCTTGATCATATCTTTCCACTGCATGTGCTCAAATGTCGGCGTATACTTGTGGAGCCGAAGACTTCTCAGCCAGCTGGGAATATCTGGTAGTCGCCCAACAGGATTAAGCAATAAATTCTATACGAGCATGCATCACCAGGAGCCTACCATTGAGCGCTTCTAAATCCACGGACTCTGGAATTTTGCCCTTTTCTTTATGCGGTCCAGGACGTAACCGATCATGGTACCCTTCTTGATCCTCTCGGAGACCATCATGACTATGAGTATCACTGTAGTCTGAATGGGCATACGCAGAGGGAGTCGATGATCGCACATCGACGTAACCCCAACCAGGAGAAGGATGGCCAGCATGTGGTGCATGAACGCCCGCCGGAGTGGGTGGGCTGAGGATGATAGGAGAAACTGGCCGAGGTGACACCGGACGGGCGTAGGGTGATCGAGGAGGTTGGAGAGATAAACCAGCCATACTTGGGGCAAGGTCATCATGTGGCAAACCGAGGTGTGGGGTAAAAGTGCCATTACCAAGTGCCCCGCTGGGAGGTCTTTCCACTACTGGCACAGTCGATTTCTGTCCAGTTGCCGGATTCAGGGACCAATCCGCAGACGCAATGGCGTCATCCACCGGGGTGTTCGGTCTCAAGAGTGGAGACATTTGGGCGCTGTTGCGTGCAGACCCTGGTTGTGATCCCGCCTGACGCAGCGACTGATAAGAGTTGCGCTGGTAGGCGTAATCTTCTGGATACTCTACTCCATGGGCGACACCTTCTCTTGAGTGAAGATCTCCCAGTAACTGGGCATACTGTTCATCGGCATTTGGTGCACTGTGGCGATCGTAGAGTCTCCGTGTGCTTCGTGGGCCATTGCCGGCCAAAGGAATGACTGACAAGTATCTGTCGTCCTCTGCATCCAGCTCCGTCGGGAGGGTGACGCCTATGGCGGCGGCAGCTGCAACGGCGGCAGCAGCAACAGCGGTACCGGGTGCAGGTGAAGCGACTCTAGGCGGCATGGAGGCAACTAGCAGCGGAGCAGTAGCTGTTACATTAAACTGTAAAAGTCTAATTACAAGAGATGCATACAAACCTTTTTTAGGAGCCAAACGAGTTGCTTCTGGAGGTACAGGCGGCTTTCCGCTCGGGTCTGGCGGCGCCGCTCCACTTGCAGGATCTTTTTGTGCCATTTGCTGTAGTACGGTAATGAAAAACCGGATTTGCACCTGTGTTGCATGTTGCAATAGACTGTAGAGGGCGGTAGTCCGCTCTGGATCGGACAATACATTGAACCACTGCTCAATGTGCTTGAGCTCCTCACGAAAGTTATCATCGAGCTAAGCACCGGAATGTCGGAAGAGATAAGTAACATTTACAAAGCTAAGCATTGAGATGCTGCTGCAATTACCTTGGCGCGGGCCATTTGCTCCAGCGTACGCTCATAGTAGCTCAGGTCTTCGAACCATCGGTCAATTGCTGTAACATTTGTACTTGTAAGAAATTGCTTGGAACATTTCTCAAACCCATATCTGGTGGCGTAAACATGCACATTTGCTCAAATGAAGTCGGAGATGTCCACGTACCCTCTGCCTCTGGTGATTTATAATGAGAGTTGAGCACTTCTGAACTCGGTCTCTGAGCATTGCCCTTTTGCAGTGTCCCGATATTTGCCGAGACCGGCCTTGCCATGCCAGGATGAAAGTCCGACATTGGTCTCTCTGCGGCGCTTGAGCGTTGAGCTTGTTGAACGTCACTAAGTGCAGGCGCCGCTGACATTGCCCTTTCTGCTGGCAGTTGCAATACTTGCTTAAAAGGAATGGAAGAAAAGGAAATCGAGTGCCAGCTCGTCCAATCTCCCAAACCCAGTTTCCACCCGAGGAATAATGACAAGCCGCAACAGTCACACGTTAACAATTTCATTACACTGTTGCAGGAATTGCCATGGCAACAGCAAATGACATGCACCGCCACCGCCTTAGTTCGCCCGTGGGTGTTGACATGCACTAATGATTAGATTCAACATGCTGCTTCAACAACGAAGCAATGAAAGCTTTTGTAACACTGCTGCCAGCACAGTATTGAAGGGAAATGTGCTAGGTGCTTGATACATGAAGATGAACAAACCAAACTATTTGGACGATTTCCAATATGGCGCTGACGACGACGACGACGAATACGATGTGGGCGATCTGGACATTGAGACACTCAAAGCCCTAGAACAGCAAGAGTTACAGTACTTGTCTCAGCTGGAGAATTCAATCAATTCTCCTTTGGGACCAGTAAGTACTCGTCACGCATGCAGTTGTTGTCACTGCAGTTCACGTCAATAAGGGATGTCAAATAGCAAAAACACCCAAGCTTTTCCGAAGTACACCCCATCAATCCTGCTGCTCAAGATGTGAACGCATTCGAAAATCGGAACCAAAGCCCCCTAGTACCAGGCAATCCCTTTGCTAAGGGGCCTTTTGATGGGCCCAAATCGGATGCTTTATCAATCAGTGAACTTCAGACCACGCTGCAAAAGGTATAAACAGCCCGGGGAATTTCGTTTCGGGAAAAGTTATTCATATGTGTTCTCGAATAAGCTCAAAGAAGAAAAAGAAATACTACAGATGGAAAAGGAGACATTGGTTCATGATAAGCTGATCAGAGAGGGGGAAATTTCTATAGTTCGAAAGAGTTTGGCAAAGGTAGGGACTAATATATCCTGTCATTGGCCAAGAAGAAACATGTTTCATTGATATGTTTGTGGGAATAGGCAGATATTGATGCGAGGAACCTGAGGAGTGCATTGGCTGATCAGGCAGCCCGCGCTGAGCAAGAAAAGGAGGCAATGAAAAATCAATACCAAAAAGACATAGAAAGACTCAATACCGAGATGCTGTTTCTGGTTCGTAGGACCTCGCGTTCTTTAGTATCAACAATTAAGAGTATCATGCTAAAGCGGTATATGGGCTTTAGCAACAAGAAATACGAGGAATGCAAACTCCCAAACGCGGACCAACTGTAGCCTTGTCACCCGCTCCCGTGATTGACGATCACAATGGTACACCAGCACTGTCTGCAAGAACTAATTCTATTTACGCTCAAGCCAATCTTTTGATGGTGGTAGTATCAGGGACGGTGGCAAGTTCACCCTCTCAAGTAAAAGTAGAACCTGAATTGGCCGCTCTGGACAGCCAACACGTGGATGAGAAAACAGTCCCAGCACTTATCGATCAAGATTTACCGAAGCCGACTGAACGATATCGTCTCCGCATCGCGGAACCACCCGGCGCAATGGTACATGTGGAATGTCTATCTTTCTTGGGATCCAGACTGATATAAGCTTCCATAGTTTTTGAGGCGCCTTCTAGTTGAAGATATCTTTACTGACGATGGCACCACAGTATGGACGCCGACTGGGTCCCTATCGGAAATGGCGGCATTCTTGCCATCTTACGTATCCAATCAGTGCTTTCGCGGAGGTTAGTGCTCCCTATGTATCAACATGGATTGCAGGGCTGGTGATTGATGGCCATTTCCAGATATGATAGCAACAGATGCAGACAAATCTTGTGCAACTTTTGTCTCTACTCTCACTAAAGATATCAGCCGCCTCGTAGTGGACCCATCAATCAGTCTGAATACGCTCCTGCCCTGCGTTGATCAGTTTATCGAAATGTGCATGCGACAAGGATTGGTAGGAGACCGCGTCTTTTTACGCATACAAGCATCATTTAACGCGGCGTTTCTCAACAGTTTATACCTCTCCCATTTCTTACACGCATGTGGGGTTTGCTGATTATGTACAGCAGGGAATGCCGCGAGCTTGTGTTGAAGATGGACCAGGATCGTGAGTTTAAAGAGTTCCAGCAAGGTCGGACAAGTGGAACGTCTTCTAAGCGATGTTGCATCTCACCTTAGAACCAAAAACTCCGATCTTGGAACATCTTCAACGCCTGGTTGACATGATTGCTTCCAATTTTCAGCGACCTCCTCAGAAGCAATGGGGCGACTCCATTATACCTGCGGCGCGACATCTCTTTACCGCAATGACCGCACTTGCCGGCACGACCGAGCAAGCTGAACTGCACCGGTGAGGCTGACGAGTTGGATGTTGCACCGTATTTCACGTTAACAAACTTCACTTCTTATCCTCAGACTGACGAAAGTAATATCCCCCGCGGCTCTCCTTTATCTACTGGACCACCGACAGCCCCAGGAGATATGTTTCCATGCTGTGGAGTTTTGTGTCAGTCTACTAGCAGGTACAAACGAGCAGCGTAAAACAAACTTTCTTACCAGCTAAAGGCGATCAAACCATGCAGATCAAACCTTCGTCGACAGAATCTTGGACCAGTCTCTTAAAGCAGAGGGCCGAAGAACAATATTGGAGCGATTTTGTACCATTCTCACCGATAAACATACCCAGACCTCTGCTGCACCTGATCAAAAGCTGCAATTATCAGATACCAAATTTCCTCGATGGCGCCTAAAGGTCTCAATCATCAGACTTTTCTGCACCCTTGCGGCAAAGTATCCAAAGAGCCTGCCCTCCCTATGTACACCCATGGTAGGAAATCTTGCTTCTTGGCAATATTGATGCTGCCGAATGACTCTGACCGAATAGAATAGATAATGAATCGTTTGATTGGTTACCTTCAAAATGAAGCCCAAGTCTTATACTCTACCGGCCATCAATTGCAAGATACCCGGTAGGTGTAGACTAGGTCTGCCTGTCAAAGAAGATTGTTGTATTACTAACTATTCTGACTCTAGGACACTTTTTTTCAAGGACTTACTGAAACTCCTTCATACCCTTTTATCCCACCCACACACGGTCGCAATTGATCCCAAAGCCAGTGAAGGCGCACAGCATATTCTCGTAGCGACATTGGCAGACTTGTTGATAACGGCTCAAGATCGAATAGATATGCAGGACGTTGCCGGCAAGTACAAGTCTCACCAACCGCGTTTCGTGATGGGAACGCTAATTGCATCGGTTCAATTGCAGACCTTACCAAAGAAATCATGCATTGTTTGATTCTGGATCCAGATGCAGCCATGGCAGAGCTTCTGCCGCCAGGTATCGAATAGTTTCCCGCAATAGATTCCAGATAATCGGACGCTACAAATAGCCCGATGCATACATTATTTTTATATATATATTTTTTGGAATACCGCTATTTACAATGTTATCTAGTCATGCGTTTGAAGTGTCTTTGAATGTCTTCCAAAGTATCGTATATGTTCACAACCCTCCTTCCGTTCCCATCTGTTTAGCCATCCTTCTGGTGACAATGGTGCGTTCCACAGCAGGTGTCGCACGTGTCTTTCTCGTGGACCGCGTGGAGGGGACGCTACCAAGCTCGACCCCGAGCGTCTTCCTGCGAGAGGCAGTTACGCTCTTTGTAGTGGACGTGGTTGACAAGGGTGTTGAAAGCTCATCGAGGGTCATTGGGTCATCTTGCGGGCCGGGGGTGGCTGGAACAGCCGTCTTCCTGGCCGGAGTTTTTGCTGCGGTAGCGCGCTTCCGTGTGGTGGATGGGGCTGGTGCGTTCCGCTCTCCAAGTGGCGCTGAACGTCGAGGTTCGTTATGGGTGGTAGCCGGTCGTGAGGAAGTAACAGTCTTCTTTCGTGTACTGGGTTTGGTGATTTCGATATTCTCCGTATCTTCGTGCAAAAGCAGTGGGCGTGCGCGTGCGGGAGTTTTTCCCATTGTACGCGACGACACACCTTTGGGCTTGTTGGGGACGGGCGTCTCTAGTCGTACACCCAACTGGGATGGAACGGGCGTCTCATTCCTCTCTGCTTGTTTTGCGGCCAATCGTCCACTCTTTCTGATTGGAGTCGGCTCCACAAAGTCCAGGAATCTGCGCTGCCGTGATCGCTCTGCTTTCACTGAGAAGGATACAAAGGTCAACGCAAAGGACTACACTGTGGTCCCAGAAAAAAAGTAAACTTACGTTCAGCGTTCTTCACGTTCTTATCCATGTCGGTAACAACTTTCTTGTCTTCCCTTGGCGAGAAATGCGACATGGATCGCAACGGTGGTCCTCTGTTGACGAGCGGTCCAACGGGGGATGTGTGACATTCAACGTGCTCCACTTGCATTCCATCGTCTTGTGCTTTATCGGGGTAAGTGTTACCCGAAGAGATTGGTGTCGCGACATTGTTCAGCTCAAACGTTTTACCATCACGGTAGGGCGTTACCACCATTGACGGCTCAGAGTCCGAATCAGATTCGGAGCTCGAATCTGTGAGCCCAAAGCCGACCCGGCGAATCTTTGGTTGAGCAGTGACATCCATGCCACCCTCTAGGGTTTCCGCGAAACTGGCGCGACCAATTTCGGTCGACTTTCTTAGAGACATTTCTTCTTCTTCCTCCTGCGCCACTGGAGAACCCCTGGATACAGAGTTAGCAAATCGTTGCACCTCGTAAACGCTCAGTTGGTATTACCTGCGCTTTTCGAAACGTTGCGTTGGTGATGGGGTCGATATGGCAGAGACAGAGACGTTCGCGCTGCCAGTGTGCTGTGGCGAATCCACCATTGCAATATCATCCTCCTCATCGCGCACTGATATGGGCGAGGGTAGCGAGAGTTCCTTGATATCCATGAAATCAAAATCGGACATCTGGTTCTCCAGAACCGCTTCGGCAGGAGTTGTCTGAGCTGCCCTAATATCTGTCGGAAGGGCGGTTCGCAGTGCTCTCAACAAGATCTTTTGCGCGTCTGCGGCGGTCTTTGCAACACTGCGGACACATTTTTGGGCAGATAATGGAATGGATTCACCACCATTCTCGATTGATTTAACCGCTGTTTGCGCTAAATAAATAATGAGCGAAGAGCTTTCTTATAGCGAAGACAACTGACTTACGTTCCCTCGCCAGCTCCAACCGAATCTTGTTTAGAGGCGTCAGCATCGTTTGCAAGTTAGCTAGCATGAGATTGATGCGATATTCATTGAAGTGACAGCCGTCTGGTGGGTCGTCCTTGCCCGAATTTCTCACGCTGGCGTCACTGGCTAAATCCTCCAATAATAAGATTGCTTCAACGTGTCGAGCTCGGGCGATATAGTATTTGATCAACGTCTCGCGACATGCTCGAGTTGGAAATTTTGCACAGTAACTGGCTAGTAACGACTCTTCATATTGATTTATAGGAAGCTGAAGAAATTCAGATGCCAGGGGCTTTGCAATGGTTCCTGTAATAGAGATTAAATTACCACTGGGTGGTGACGTTCTGCCATACGAAGGTCCTACTCTTACCATTTTGGAAACAATAATGAAGAAGCTGATGCCACAAAACATCGCCGATGTGGTGATTCTGGTATCGTCTCTGTTGAAAGAAATCGTGAGACGAAGTCTAAGTTGGGCCACTCGCGGGTCGTCCCTTACCTGATATCTGAACGCTTCGAGCAAATTGGTTGCCAAGAGTACACTCATATGAAGGCGAATAGCTGAGTCTGTCGTGAAGTCAGGCTTTACAGCTTGAATGAATGCCCGGGCGTCCCATGGCATGCCATGCATTATTAGAGCTTTGATGATCTTTTCGGGGAACTCGGGCTTGACGCCAGGCCATCCAAGACATTGAACACCTTCCTGATATCCAATCAGCTGTTAGAATTCTAAAATCTCACCCATCGCATAAAAGCTTCTTACCTGAAGCAATCCATGATCCATATCCCAAAATCCACATATTCTTTTATATGGAGATTGACTGACAAATCGGGAGTTTGAAAACTCAAGGTCCTTGCCATTTTTCCAGTCTTTGATCAAGTACATAATCTAACGAGGGATTGCATTTAATTCTGAGCCATTAGTACCTACAAATGACTCAAACAAACCAGGCAGTTCTTCTTTGTTGATGTAGTATCTGCGGTCATGATGGCATCATACAAATCTCGCAGTTGTTGCGCATCCTTTGGAGGATACAATTCCTTTCCTATTCGTCGATTGCAAGATGAGCGATCATGCGCCTCCAGTTGAACATATTACCTTATCTCTCCTACCTATTATGCCAACGGTCGCAAGAAGAAGGTCAAAGAATAGCTCATTGTCTAATCTTTCTCTCATCTTCAAAATCCGTTCCCTGTCTTTGGGCTGATATGGAAACCATCCGGTGGACGACTGGAAGTATTGTTCCCAATCACTGGATTTCCTTGTGCAACTACTCCCGACTGGGGGTGCTAATGCCCTACAAGTTGCAACCTTATCTAAATACAGGATACGGCAATCCGCAGCGTCCGGGGAGGGGCAGATGTCCTAGAAAAACGACGTGAGACAATTCTCTTAAGACAACTTCTTTCAAATAAGATGGGTAATGTACCATCACTTGGTCGGCATCGGAAGCAGGAAGTTTGACTCGCGCGAAGTCATGTTTTTCTCTGCTATCGGCATCCACCGTGATTGCCTGCACCTCGCTGAGCACGTCCTCTCCGCGATATGTGACGGTGGCAGCAAAAACGCGGTGCGCATTGCCGACTGAAGCTTCTTTTAGCAACATAAGCAATCATCCGGAAACACTCTTGCTGTCACGTACCGCGAGCAAACTTCAGAGCCACTAACAAGCCCGGCTTTCCATTGGTCAGCGAGCACTGCAATAGTGTGTCCAATTTTGCAAACCGTTCATCCAAATAAAGAGCGGTCATCGATGGCGACGGCAGTAACCTGCGCAATATTAAACATTAGTCCCGTGCAAAGTGCGTTTCGGCTAGTTCCTTTTCCGCCGCGGTACTAGTGCCCCTTACATTGTATCCTCTTGTGTCGCCGGCGTGTCAGACTGTCCAAAGAGTAGTACGCCATACTTTCTAAAAGTGCCTTCTGGGCCATCGAATCTCAAATGCGTTACCGGAACTGCAATAGAAAGTCTCAGTCAAGACTCCTCAACGTGCGCACAACCGATTACTGTAGAAAGTACCATTTTTTTGTGAGCCCCTGAACTTTGCAAACATTTCAAGTTCATCGTCAGATTCCTCTGAGATTCGCCACAGCTCTATCGTGCTCCGTTCTCTTCCAACGAATATTATTGGGGAGGTGGCATTTGGTGGGACATACGTGGTCATGGCGGTGATCTTCTCCGCGAAATATTAGTGCTCATGTCCATTATGTAATGAATGCAATCCTGGCGCATGCTCACCTTCCCGGATGCACCTGAAAGGTCACCCTGAAAGCGCGTGTACGTGAATACTAACTAGAGTAAATGTGGCCAACTTTGCACCGACCTTATACGAATCCCAACAGCCCTTTTTGATCGCCTCATCAAGCTCCAACAGGTGAATACTTCTTTCTGTTCCGACAGCTAAATATTGCGGTGCTCGGGTGCTGGACGTCGCGAGCATGTTCTCGGACTGAAGGGACGATTAACACAAGAATGATCATCTCCATACCTAGATCGTGCTTTTCCAGCCTACCTGACATACTGTAGATATGGCCAAAGATGTTACCATCTCTTTCTGAAGATCCAAATCGAGCGGGGAAACTCCATCCACTGGGCTGAATAACCATAGCCGTGATGATCTACTTTTCGCATCGCATGTCGACAACACCACCTGATTCGACCCCAGAATACAGCCGCCAATTGCCGCTGTTATAACAGGCTACAGTAAACATTGCAATGAGCCAAACTCATCCTACCCTAGTAGCGGCGGCGCTACAGAACTTACTTGGTCCTTTACGGTGTCTTTCAACATGTGTGCGTGCAACCTCATTCCAGCAACGCCTAGAGTGACATAGGCACGGACTTCGAGTGTACATTGATTATAGCGAAAGAACCAATAGCCTGGCTCAGTGGTCCAGCGACAGCCGTCTTTGTCACTGGTTGTCGAGGGAACGGGTCGCGGGAAGAAGGTCGGAAACTGAGCATGTGTGAAAGGTGCATCCAGATCGCCCCCCGATGCTCGAGCCGGTACTATATGCTCTATGTGCAGCGGGGATGCTTGTGTTGAGCTATCGCAATGCCCTTGCATAATGTGATGAAAAGCAAAGGAATGGAGTGGGATGAAAGCTCCCAGATGCACCTTTGTCAGCTGCGAGAACGAAAGCGTGAAATCTGAAGAGCTAAGCAAAAAGCAGACACGTTGCCTTCGGACGAACGCGCTGGTTGGTTAATGAATCCACATTGGAACCATTCATTGGCTGGTTAATAAGTTTATTCCTTGACGGACATGCGCAACATGGTCGTCGTAGAGAAGGTAAAGACTACTACAGCCAGTAGGATCAAGAATATTAGACGTCGCATGCTAAGGCGCCTATCACTGCAAAAAAAGGTTGTGGAATGTCAACATTTGTGCCCAATGTGGGATGATATGTACAACATGTAGATACGCACCATAACCGCGCCAGAGACGATCGCCAGCCGCCAGCTGCATTGTGTCGTCCGTACTTGTCTGCATCCGCATCCCTAATGTCACGATAAGAAGTTTTTCTGCTTGGTTGTTTGATAGTATTTAAGGGGATACTATTTGTGTGATTGGATTTGCCAGAGACGGGGGTACGAGGGGAAGGGAGATGCGCGCGATCCAGAGAACTGTCACCAATTGTGATTGAGAGGGTAGGGTTGGATGGAGTAGGTATCTGAATAGATGCTAGAATGTCAGTGACATAGCGCACCTTTGTAATCAGACGCATTTGTTTACCACATGCTCCTGTTGTGCCGTTTGACCCCATCCATCCTCAAATGTCTTTATAAAGTGCTCGGCAACGAGGGACCATTTCGTGTCATTAGGACGACTTGATGCCTAGTAAAAGAATCTTTATTAAACAACACTCTTTGGTACCTGCTTTCTTTCAAAACGATCCTCGACAACTCACACCGCAACTTGGACACTGTCCAGCCCCTTGACCACTACTCTTCCTCAAGCAATCGACATGAAACACGTCCAGGCAGGGCAAGCGTACCACAGATCCCTCTTCCAATCCTTGTTTACAGATATCACAGTTGGTGCTAAAGTCACTGTTTTGCAGCCATGTTAAATAAGGACGGACTACACATCTCGGGTGTTCCGTCAGCATGCACTTTTCGCACACATTCTTTCGGTGTGGAAAACAAACTGCGAATTGGTCAGCGCCACTGTCAGCATATATATCCAAGAGAAGGAAAGCCAAGATATTCGGGTCAACTCACACAGATTTGTTACGTTCCTGCACTTGCACAATCCCATCCTGGCCCCACCATTCAGTGACAAACTACCTCCGAGCGAGTGAGCGACCGACGCCCGCGTTCACAGTCACATGACTAGATATCTTGAAGTTTCAAAGTTTTTTACACAAAACCCGTTGGGATTTTGGATAACGCCGACATATGGCATGTCGCCAAGACATGGGAATACATGTATGGATATCTAGTCAACGAACATTGCAAACTTGGCTCTGCAGGAGACGTTTCGTGTTCAAGTTGGCTTGATTTGATACATAAAACAAGATCGTCCAGCCATGGACTGCACCTCTCAATCTAAAGAGTAGAGCCTGAGGTTGCGTGAATATTGACGACAAACAAAGAGATGGAAACTGAAAACTGCCCATCGTTGAGTGAAATGTCGTCGTCAAAGAGTAGATATCGCGCGTGACTCAGCGTGGAGTTCGGACACTAGTGTCATCAGATCCACCACGGTATTTCGCACCTTTTGGCCTCCAACGGTCAGTGCATGTCAAGATGGTGGCCATTCTAGGTACCTCAAAATGCGGACGAGGGGGTAAACAACGAGAATGGCATGTTATATGTCAGAGCATCCATGTTATGGCAAAGTTACATGGACTTGCAAGAACACTCCGCAAGTCGTCCACTAGTGCAGCCATATTGACACTGGATATGACCCAAAGCGTATCGGGGCTCTATTCGGGCGCTTCAAAGACCTCAGCAAACGTTCCTGTCACCCTTCGGCCATATCAAATTGATTGCATAGAGAAAAGTCTTGATATGCTGGAGAAGGGAACTAAGAGACAGGCATGTGCATATATTTATGTCGGCGGACCCGGTTTGGCTTTGTTTACCGAATAAATCTTGGTGACCATTTAGGTAGCCAGCCTTCCTGTCGGAAGTGGCAAAACAGTACGTTGGACTCTGCAACGCTGGTACACTCACCATGTTCTGATGTATGTCGTTGATCAATCAGACGATATTTTCACACCTTGTTCCCCGTATTCCGGCACCAAATCCCAAAGCAACAAAAACTCTATTGTTAGCACACCGTACAGAGCTGATTCAGCAAGCGAAAGACACTTTGAAATCCAGCAATCCCCAGCTGGTGAGAATCTCCTTTCCACCTCTGATCATCGATTCTGGATTGACATTTGCTCAAATCAGAAAGTGGATTTAGACGAAGCAAAGCGTACTGCGGATATGGATTCCGACGTTATTATTGCCTCAGTAGCCACCCTTGGTAGATCCGAAACTAATGGCGGGAAGTCAAAACGGCTACTTCGATACGATCCGTCGCTTTTCAAAGCGATCATCATAGGTTGGCATTTAGGTCTTTCGCGAATAAGTGACGCTTCTAATTTCTGTATCACTCATAGATGAGGTGTGTCCCCCCATGGACTGTATACTCACCAGAATGCTTATTAAACTCCTTGGTTCTTGGCCATTTGCGAAGCAAAGGCTCACCATGCCGCCGCACGTTCATATCAACGGATCCTCGAGCATTTTGGTGCTCACAAGTCGGAGACGAACGTTTTTGTGTGGGGATGCTCAGCAACTGTGCGCAGGCACGACGGGCTGGGACTAACGAACGCATTTGATGGTGTTGTCTGCCATCGGGATATAATAGATATGATAAACGAAGGCTGGTAAGAAAAGGTCTTTTCAGACTTCCTGAGCAAGTTTATTGGACACTTTTGCAATAATAGGTTATGTGACATGAAGGTGGAGAGCGTTTCAACTGACACTAGCCTGGATGGTATCGCGACCGGCTATGGGGATTTCGTAGTGAACCAATTAGCTGAAAAGGTGGATAACCCCGCCCGAAACAACTTGGTCGTACGACAGTACATAAATGTGAGAGGTAAGCGCTCAACCATGCTGAACCCCTTCCGAAAACAAGCCCATACCCTTCCCTTTTGTAGACAACGAGAATAGACGCTCGACTCTGGTCTTTGCTGCAAACGTACAGCATGTGAAGAATTTGGAGCGCTTATTCCAGGAGTCTGGGATAAATGCAAAAGGAGTGCATGGGGGCACACCGGCATTCGAACGACGTAACCTAATGCAAGACTTCAAGGCCCAGAAATTTCCTGTCCTTATCAATTGCGGTTGGTAAGGGTGTATTGTCAAGTGCTCAGTATGTGAAAGGTTAATACATAGTTCAGGAATCGTCACTGAGGGAGTGGACATACCTGCAATCGATTGCGTCATCCTAGCCCGTCCGACTCAATCCTCGGTACTTTTACAGCAAATGCTTGGGCGGGGTCTTAGAACATATCCAGGTATCTTTGATACGGGCTTGTAGTACGCACGGTTCTTAGAAATCCACTAATAAACTTAATAGGCAAGACTCACTGCCTTGTCATCGATATGGCTGACGTGATGAGTAGTCGTGCACGCATGGCTACGGTTCCTTCACTCATCGGTCTTGATCCGGCCTTTGACTTGGAAGGTGCGACAAACGGATCCACTCCAATGTGTGCTTACAGACACGCTCACATCTTCTTTGATGACAGGACTTAGCCTAAAAGAAGCTGTCCCGAAGTTGCAAAAATGGCGGAAAGACGTACCGAGCATACTTGACAAAGCCACAAGTTTCTCAGAAGCACAGGAACTCGCCCGGATGCAAAACAAGGACCCTACCGAACTTTGGTACAAGCCATTTGACAACCCATTTGACGTTGCAAACTTGGATGAGGAGGCTTGGGAATTGAATCAGCTCTCAAGGCACGCATGGGTACGGGTTGGCCCAAAAGAATGTGCCTTGGCATTTCCCCAAAAATATTACATTGTAATATCACAGAAAAAAAATGGTAATACTTCTAAGGGAATGCCGCGCGGGAAATTGCTTGCTGATTAACAAACAACGGTAACTCAGGCCAAAATTTCCAAGCTGTTAAACACCACACAAGGGTGCTGGTAGGAAAGGGGAAAGGTGGAGGACCCCTTTTCGTGACAAGGAAGGATCTGATATTAGAACATGACACTCTCTCCTACGCCATACGTGCTACGGACACATACGTCAGGCGTATGAGGTTGAGCAAGTGTGTCCTTCGGACTGCAGATTGGAGAAAAAAACCGGCCTCCGCAGCCCAGATCCAAGTATTGAAGAAGTTCAAGATCCAGGCTCCGAAGAAAGGGTGGCGGACAATCACGAAGGGACAAGCCGCGGACCTGATCACCCGGCGGAGACTTGGTGGACTGGGGAAATCTGAGGATGTTATTCGAAAGAGGCGAAAGGAAGAAAAAGCGAAGCAGCGCCTTGACCCGTTACATGGTGTAGTGGATACCGTGTCTAAAAGCTTTTAGTAGAGATCATTATTGGGATGGGTATTTTGATGTGTAGATATTTTGTATCATAATATGGGCTTGTTGCATATATCTTCTAAGCTGCTAAATAAAAGCGATAGTTGATAGCAGTTATATTCACATAACACGCACACAAAGCCAACACACTCTATCCTCTCACTTTGCCCGCATGGTGCGGATGGAGTTGAGAATCACATCTGCAAAGTAAACAACAGAGTCAGTCGTCACGTTCCAGCAATTCAAGCAAAGAGATGCTAAATAACCATACCATCCAGAAGGCTTCTCGCCAACGTCAGTCTGTCCAGGTTCTTCTGCACTTCTCCCGTGAGCCATGGCAAGAACTGGGAGTCCACCTCTCTCTCTACAGCGTCGTAAAAGTATCCGGAAGTCGTGAGCGACTGGAACACACTGGGCACCAAATTTTGCAGATAGCTTTGAGCAAAAGCCCTTGCGGCAATCTTTTCGGCCACTTCTTGCTTTTCTTTGAGTATTTTGATTTGCTCTGCTAGTCGTCGTTCTTTTTCTTCTGTTCGTCGGCGTTCAGCGTCCTCAAGGCGTTGAACTTCAGCCAATTCGGCGTTGCGGCGTTCTTCGAAATCAATCTTATCGAATGGACAAAGTGTGAATTTCGCGTAAAGTAGCTCGTGCAATGTAGATGAAATACCATACCTGATGTCTTTTGAGCATCTCCAACTCCTCCTCCTCGTGCACCTCCATCAAAGCCTGCTCAATTGTTTTCCCGACCAAGACTTCCAAAATAGGTTGCACCTCATAGTCAAAATCAAACAGTTCTCCCTCGTACACCTGCGTCGCGACATCCATTCCGCTTTTCTGCGGTATGTACAAAGGACTTGGTGCACGGTCCAAGAAGGCGTCGGTCTGGGTGGCAGCATACGCCTCGGGGACCTTGTCGCTGAGTTCTTCGAGATATAAATCTGTTTGAATGTCCATGTGTTTTCGGCCGGGAACGGGTTCGGGGGTACGAGTACGGCGCTGGGCTTCCGCTCGCTTTTTGGCACGGAGCCGGCGTTTGAGGTCATTTTGACGTTCGATTTCGACGGGATCGGGTTGATTACGCTGTTATAAGTAGGAATTGATGACTAGAGTTTAATTTCATATTCCTTTGCTTGTTTTCTCTTGAACCGTTACTTTGCTTGGCACACTGTTTTCTTACCAGAGGAAGCGTTGGAGCGGCATATGTGCTTCCTCGGTGGATGCGGCGATCGTACATAATGTTTACCGCACTGCCAAAATTGTCATGAGGTCGCTGACATTACTACACAAATGACCCGCTCGTAATAGCTTAAACTCACGATGGCCTTTCTTCAATCTCACTTGGTTCTCGGTACTTTTTCCTGGCTGCTTGGACGGCCCGGGGCTCAGATGCAAAGGAATAAGCCCCACCATCCTGTTGTCTGATGGCAGTCTGAGTTTGGCCCCCTCTGGAGAGAGGAGGCGGTACGGCCGATTCTGTAGCTAACATGGACAAGAAAGCTGTTGGTGAATGGCAGCAACAGTCTTGCAAACGATCTGAAATGGTACACAGTTGAAATGTCGGTGCTGAGATAATTAAAATCTATTCGGTTATGTAAGCAACTAATCCAGGTCCAACGACCAACTGCGCGATGAGAAGCCCTGTGAGCTCCGTACCCTGAACCCTCACACACCCACCTATATAAACATTGAATCCTAGTTAGGGCGGACATCTACCCTCCCCTTACGTCACTGACTACTCTACGCAGATGCTGCGGGTTGGCCTCGTCCCACCGTTGGCAGACGCAGGCCATCCGTTCTCAACTTATCCCACAAACCGTAAGAGCCCACTACACTAGCGAGTATGGAACCTGTCAAAAATGCAGGTCGCAGACCAGCTTTAAAATGCAGAATACGAGTTAGTTTCCTACACGTCGGTAACACACGTGTACCAAAGCAAGCGTTACCTGTCGACTTGAAGATGAATCCAGACGTAAACGCAGCAGAAATATGGTTGATATAGTCAGATTCTCCTCTTATCATCTCAAAGGCGTTGTCAAGTAGTGCCCATCCCATTGCTGTAAATGAAAATATTTAGCAACTTTTGCGTGTATAGGTACCAATCTGCACGCCGAGTACTTACTCAGAATGCCCATAGAGTTTGCCGCCCATGGACCATAACGTGTGGTCTGATTGAGTACACTGTTCATTCTAACCTTGAATGTTGGTACCTGTGCGGTACGCAAACCTCTCAAGGCACCGTATACACCTCCCCCAGATAGACCTGCATTGCGACATTAGGACGAGTTCAGAATCTGGCCAAATAGCAACGTCTTACATACCACCCAGATATGCGGTTCCAACACCATACAAGAGTTTATCATAGTTTGTTCTCATTGGCAGCGGACCAAAGGTTCCTGTTTGGCGTTCCGTCGGCGGAAGTCCGAAAGGGTTGTCCGCCAAGTACAGCAGCTCAACGTCGTCTTGTGGGACGGGTGCAAGCTTCTGCTTTACATTGTTAAGGTCTGGGCCTGCTGAACCAAGGTCTGCCAGCATGTCGGAAACGGTTATTGCTTGCATGGAGGAAGATTGGGAAGGGTAGGAGTGAGGAAGGTCGGATGTGGTTGCTGTGCTGGACACGTCGGTGGAAGAAGTGGGAGTGGGCTCTGAAGCCTGTTGTCCACCGAAACCAAACCAAGAAGGCATGATGATGAACGAGTCTTGTGCGTTTGAAGCAGATGAAAAAAACAAAACAAAAAGTCGGAGCTGCGAAAACTGCTTTGAAAGTCGAATGGAAAATCGCCCTGCACGTGAGTCATCAAATGTCCCCGCGTTTCCACTGGCAACCGATCACTTACTTCGGACGCTACCTTTTGGGGAGATCAACGGCGGGTTTCTGCTCATCTGCGAGGACCTTTTGGGAGCTATCCCCAGGTACGTGACGAGAAGGAAAGCAAGGAGCAACGCCCAACCGAGATTTGGACTGATCTTGCCGGGATGGCTTGGCCAATTTAGTTGTAGAGGCCCGCGCTGCCGATTGCAACAATGTCGTCGCAGGGCGAGAATGCAGAAGCAGCCACTGGCATGCAAGCCAATGATACCACAACCCCAACTTCAGAATCTCGCGATCCAGCCTACTTTCATTACTATGCCCAATTCGTACACCAGCAAAACATGTTGCAAGACAATGTCCGAACATCCGCTTATCATTCGGCAATAATTGTGAACGGACCTACCATGTTCAGAGACAAGGATGTACTGGATGTCGGGGCGGGAAGTGGTTCGTTTTGAAGATGTATTTAAAGAATGATCAAGCAGTGTACTTACGACACTCGGCGTGGACCCAGGCATCTTGTCCTATTTCGCAGTTCAAGCGGGCGCCAAAAAAGTGTATGCCGTTGAAGCTAGTTCGATGGCTCAGAAGATTCGAAAAATGGTTGATACGTCGGAAACAAAGAACCCATGGATGAAAGACAAGATCGAAGTCATCTCATGTAGGTGCAAGATCGTATGACTTGGAATCCGGGTGTGAAAAGATCTCGGGGAGGGTTGATCTGGCTCTGTTCGTTGACCAACGCAAAAGATGAATCCTGTTTTTGTATGTGCGCATTCGATAGCCAAGCTCGAAGATGCGGAACTGCCCCAGGTTGACACTTTGATTAGCGAGCCAATTGGCGTATTACTCGTTCACGAACGCATGATCGAGTCTTACTTGCTGGCGCGAGATCGCTTTTTGAAACCGGGCGGAGCAATGGTGCCATCGGCGGGAACGATCTACCTTGCACCTTTCACTGATGCCACTTTGTGGACACAAACCATGTCAAAAGGTACTTTGAGTGTGTTCGATTTTGATGGTAGATCTCTTGTATCTTAACAGATTGCTTTCTAGTCCGATTTTGGGAGCAGGTAACGCAGCACGTCATCTGCATCTTTTAATCGCGTCCGATTATGGTGTGTGAACCCCATGATTCTTCATAGTCAAATTTTTACGGGGTAGATTTCAGTCCCCTCAGCAGCGAAGCAAAGGATGAGATCTTTGGACAGGTACTTTGACAAGTCGTTTGAGACTGGCAAGTTTCTCTTAATGATTTATTCAATTGTCATTCCAGCCTGTAGTAGGAAACTTTGATCACCGCATATTATTGGCCCCACCTGTTTCGCACCATGGTAGGTTGATAGCTTTTTCTAGTCGAAATTACCACCTGCGTAACCATGCTATTCATCCAGTTGATTTTCAAACCATATCCGTGCCGGAGCTGCAAGACATAGTGATACCTTTTACTTGGAAAGTTCCTTTCACCGGTAAATGTCATCGAGCTTGATAAATCACCGAGTCATTACTAATATCGGCTTTACAGGTCTCATCCATGGAATTGCTGGATGGTTTGACATTAATCTTGGTGGACTGATCTTGACAACTGCACCACATGCGGAGCGAACACATTGGCAGCAGGTCCGGTTTCTTCTGAAAGGTAACCCACACTATGCTAGGGATGGCGAAACTGGACTGTACTGACCACATATAATGTCCTATTCAGAACCTGTCGCTGTAAATGCATACCAAACCATAAAAGGTTGGATGCGACTAACGGTGAACACATCTAGATCATATGATGTTATTGCTGAGCTAGCATTGGGTGAAGATGCCCAGCTGTCCGATCCACGAACATCATCTGCCGAGAGAGTTGCAGACCTACGACTCACGCCAGCTGGGGCTGGAGCGCGGCGAGGACAGTGGGCTTTGCACGAGCAGACATATATGTATGATCAAGGATTAGACTACTCCAAGGTATGTGTGCATGACGTTGAAGAGTTTGGAAATTTAATTCATTTTCTGTTATCTTTGCAGCCAGAGTTCTTGGCCATGTATTCACCAGAAAACGCGAGTACCGAAGCAGGAAACGTGCTAGGTTTGACTACAGACCCATTAAGCGGTCTGAATGCCGGTGGTGTAGCGACTCCTGGTCTTGGATGGGCAGATAGTGGACTAGAGAGCTTACTTGATCCAGCTATGGAAATCGAGACTGGAGAGGGGGCGGGGGCCGATATGGCTGATCTTTGAGAATAGGGGAGGCTAGTCGAATGGCAAAGCGACTGAAGGGACTCGTGAAAGTGCGTGGTCGCATCGTATAAATAGGATCTCTGAGGATATTGACAAACTTGACACAAAGAACAGTGCATAATATTTACGTTTTTGACTATTAAGTTAAAGACCCCATCTACAGAATTACAGCTTTGGTTTATGATATACTACATTTAAACAGATACTGCTCGGTTACACTTGACGGCCAATGACTTCCACTTGAAAACCAATGTTTTGCAGTTTCTTGGTATCAAGGAACAAGCGTCCGTCGAAGATGAAGGCGGGTTTGTGCATGTTATTGTAAACTCTTTGGTAATCCAGAGTCTTGAACTCGTCCCATTCGGTCAGGACGACAATAGCATCTGCATTTTTAGCGGCTTCGTAGGGATCGTGGAAGATGGTCACGCTTTTCTTGTCTGAGGGGAAAAATACCACAGATTGTAGTCAGCACTCTGGTATGCCTGATGCACGGAATACAAAAAGTATCATGTAACTTACATTGCTCGGGGGTAGCGATTCCCGGTTCGCACAGATCCATCTCAATCTGCGCGTCCTCTACTTTCGGATCATAAATATGGATATTGGCCTTCTCCTGAATAAAATGCTTGACGAGAGTAATAGCAGCGGACTCCCGTGTATCGCCGGTATTCTTTTTGAATGCAAAACCAAACACTGCCAAGTTTTTGTTTGTAAGGGTATTAAAGAGGCGCTTGACGATGCGTTCGAGGAAGCGAGATTTCTGGTACTCATTCATGGTGACCACTTGCTTCCAATATTCGGCAACTTCAGGGAGGTGCAAGCTTTCACTGAGGTAGACAAGGTTAAGGATGTCTTTTTGGAAACAGCTTCCTCCGAAGCCTACAGAGGCTTTGAGGAATTTGGGGCCGATACGAGAATCGAGACCGCATGCGTAAGCAACCTCATCCACGTCTGCCCCTGTTGCTTCGCAAATGGCTGAAAGGGCATTGATGCTGGAGATGCGTTGAGCGAGGAGGGCGTTTGCCGCGAGCTTGGAGAGTTCCGAGGACCATAAGCCCATTGTGATGATTTTCTCCTTGGGAACCCAGTTTGCGTAGACGTCTGCAAGAACATTTTGTGCTTTGATACCTTCTGGTGTTTGTAGCGATCCGATAAGGACCCGATCTGGATACATCAAGTCCGGAATAGCTGTCCCCTCTGCCAGGAATTCTGGGTTTGACAGGATATCGAAGCGGATTCCGTCACGAGAATTTGCCTCGAGAATGGCCCGCATACTTTCAGCTGTGCGACAGGGAACAGTTGATTTTTCAATGACAATTTTGGAGCTGGTAGCTACTTGAGCGATGCGACGTGTAGCTGATTCGACATAAGCCAGGTCAGCGGCGAAACCAGCGCCGATGCCCGACTTTTTTGTCGGTGTGTTTACAGAGACAAAGATCAAATCCGCCTCTTGGATAGCCTGGTCAACCTCAGAGGAGAAGAATAGATTCCGTCCGCGGCAGGCGAATACTACATCATCCAGACCAGGCTCGTAGATAGGGAGGTTATCAGAGTTCCAAGCAGCAATACGGTCTTCGTTTAGGTCTACGATAGTGACTGTGACAGTGGGGCATTTGTATGCAATTACGGCGCAAGTTGGCCCGCCTATGTGAAAGAGTTTTAGACATTCATCAAGAGAAGCCGGACGGCTGTTGCCAGACACACATTGCCCAACACGTACCAACGTAACCCGCACCGATACAGCAGATCTTGAGGTTTTCCTTGGTCATTTTTCAAAATTCCAAACAAATGCAGGACAACAGGTCTCGTTTACAAAGCAGGGAAACTCGAGCCAGCGAGTCAAGCTGTACCAAAGACAATAAGCAACGCTAAATAACGGAATGAACGCAAACGTACGTCAACACGTATCCGCAGCACCCGACAACTTACCAAATGTCGTAAACAACCGATAGTGCCCTATCACTCGCAAACAAACCCGGCAAGTCCGTAGAAGGCTGAAAGGGAGGAGGATGGCAGTGGAAACCGGGAAAAGAAGGAAGGGAAGGAAGGGAAAAAGAAGATGCCTTCCATAGCCTCCTCCTTCCGTAATCCAAAAAACGTTCTTTTGACCGCTTAAAACAAACACGCGGCAGGCCGCTTGGCTCTCCGTTATCCAAAAAAGTCTTAATTTTTGTTTGCAGCGGGATTCGAACCCCTGAGTTTATTACATTATGCTAAGCGCTATCTACGACCTATCCAGCCCATGTATCTGAACAGGACCACCATGACGGCTACCATGCTCGCCGTAATTATCCAGAATCTAACAAAAGAAATGGCCATAATTCAGTAAAGACAAACAATTAGAATGAACGGGAGCTCGCTTACCCGTAAACACCCAATCTCCAATGGAGTTCTACGGACATCCAATGATTTACTGATGGTCCATCAAGAGAATCACAAAGTTATAAAACATACCTGGAAAATAATCGAAGTTCATACCAAACACACCAGCCAAGAAGGATATGGGAAGGAACACCAACGAAACAACTGCAAGTGTTTTCATAGCCTAATGTCGCGTCATTCAGCTTACGCTGATAGTACTGTGAAGGCAACGACGCCCTACCTCGTTTGTAGAGTGTGACACAATGTTGAAGATCAAGTCAATCAGGTGTCTTGCGTCCGATTCGTAACTCTCTAGGCCATCCACGACAGTATTTACATGGTCTTTAACGTCTCCCAAATAGGTTTTCGTTAGCTTGGAAATGAAGGGTTGGGGAGGGGGAGAGACGTCGACAGTTGGGGCAAAGTGCTTGCCGTTCTCACGGAGCGTAACAACAAGATTCTTGGTTGGCATTAGAGTGCGGCGGAGAACGCCCAGCTCCTTGGCTATGACGTGCAACTCTGAAAGATGGCGCATTGAGGACCGATCTTCTTTTGCAACACGGGCGCATATGTATTACCTTGTGTTGCTTCTGCCTTTGGATCTTTGAAAACAAGCGTTTCCATAAGGTCCAACAGATGCTTATATGCATTCAAGATTGGGAAAAAATGATCGGTAACCTAATTACAAGAGCTCAACAAGTGAGCAAGTATGAACCTTGAAGTCTACATTTCACCTCTACATCCTCACCGTATCCATCAATGAAAAGAGCAAAAAGCTCGCATCCTCCGAGTCTCGCAAAACAGTTCCCACCTCTCCCAGACGGGTGTAAATTGGCGCCGTCACTTTCTGTCCTTCATGCTGAAAGATGGACAACACGATTCCTTCTCGCAGCAAAAAAAAGTTTGTTTGCTCGATGGTAATCTCGGGACGAGTTTGCATAGAGGGCCAGCTGTCCACTTTTGGTCGATTTGGGAAGAGGGGAGTCCGATAAATTGACTGGGCGGGCCGTGACGAGCTACTCGTCTCGTTGTCTGATTCCATATCATTGTCCTCCAAGGTGGTAAGAATCATGCTCACGTAGATATGATTGTCGTACCAGTCGGCTTTGATTCTGGTTGATATACGTCAATGAGATTAATCTGTGTTGAGTCACATCCATCACGACTCGAAACAAGTACGTACGCTTGCGGGAAATGGAATACATCCTCTACAGCCAATGGATGCAGCTCTAGTACAATGATACCTTAGCTTACGTGTCTCAGTACGTGAAGACAACTTCTTCAAACCGTACTATATTTCTCGGCGACCTGCTTGATGACCGTATAGTTGACACCGCGTATGTCTATCCATCTTACTTTACTCCATGAAGGTCGCTGTACAGCCAAATCATAAATCGTGCGAAAGCAACTCGTCTGACTGGAAACAAGTCACACCTGGTTGCGTAAGAACTCTGCCAAGGAGGCCGGATCGAGATCGTGAATTTCCATTTTAATGGCAGAATAATCTACTACTCTGACAGTCACGTCTTCCTACATAATAGGTCCGTGTAGAACCTTGTAAGATCCGGCTGTCGTGACAAGCATCCTTGCCGTATTTCAGCCGTCCTCACCTTGAACAGAGCCTCCAATGTCGGATTAGGAACCTTGACATCAATACCAGGCGGGGCGCCCGGCACTCGCATATTTGCTGCTCTCGACAATATTTTAGACTGCAGCACACGGGCAAGCCCATTTTTACGATACCCACCCTGCAAGTCCGATACCATGCTTCTAGCCGTTAAGAGAGACCGTATTTTTCGTTTTAGACGGCTTCTTCGCGAGCCTAGGTATAGGACATCGGACATGATGATGAGCTAGTAGATCGAGAGATATATTTCATATGGAGGAGTACAGCGTATATTGCGATAAAGTCCTAGAGTGAATGCTATTTATAGAACTGGTTTTTGCTCACGTTTTTTCGGGCCCTCTTCCTCCGGGGTGATCTCCACCGCTACGGAATCAGGAACTTCCTCTTCCTCATTCTCACGAGCACGGTCGAGCAGGGGTGCTGTTTCCGATGGACTTTGTCCTGGGTCCATTGTCTACAGATGGTTGACAAGCCCAAACTCGAGCTTGCATGATGTAAGTGCTCATTAAACCCAGTTTTGACATGATGCTAAGCCTCGCGATCTGAACTTTTGGTCGCCGATCGCCAGCGTTTGGTGCGCAGCAATTGCTCTCGCCGTAAGTTTTCCTTTCCAAAGACGGAAGTTTCATTGTAAATAAGGATGCAGAAATAGTCCAGTTAATCAAGATGCAGACATGCGACTCGACCGACCAGCGCTCGAAACCCGAAAATGCAAAATATTAGGAAAAGACCATGGACAAGCTGGAACGGGATGGAAGCGACCTGCAGGGACCCACTGAAGCCTGCGGGTGGAGGTAGGGCAGAGGAACAGATTTAAGCACAAGTTATTCTTTTTGATATGGTCATAAACTACCTTCGATCATCCATTCCGTCATTTTCTAAAGGACATGCAGCTTTTGAAAGAGATGAACCCTGTAAGGATGTCGAAAAAAATGCATAACACTGCAAAAAATCATTCGTACTTTGAAAAATAGAGTCCATTCCCTTCATGACAGAATTGGCAGATCAAATGTCCTAGCCGGCGCTAGCGGGTCCTGGACTTGCATCCCAAAAATCTCATGGTTGTTATGATTTTTTGTAAAGAGGGCGCAAACTTGGGACTCGAGCCATGCAAAGGTTGGAGGGGAAAGGCAGTCAGAGACAAAAGGACATGTATTCCGGGATTGGCCGGATCTCCGTATCGTTCCATGGCCGGATGGTTGTCTTTCCTCCAGTTACAGATTTCTGTAATCATTTGCGCATGACCATTGTAAAAGATATTTCATAATCTCCCATGAGCGCGCCGACCGTAAGCAGATGATGAAGCTTCCCATAACGGCCAGCCCTGATCATGTCTCGACCACCCACAGTGGCAGCAGGTTTGAATCTCCAACCACTTTCCTCAAAATTGTATAGTAATTCCATGATGTCTTGATTTGTGAATCACAACATTTCCCAGTTAAGAAAAACGTTAAGATGGTATTCGTCCTTCCCAGCACCTCAACATAACCTTGGCGTCTATCTATCCGAATCCATTTGCACTGTACAATCCTCCCAATCCCGACTCAAAGCTCGCTGGAGCTTGGCCGGGTCTCCGCTAGTTGTTTGATGCGGGCCTCAACTTCGCCTTCCGAGAGGTTCTCTAGAGTTACCTTACGTTCCTGTCCCAACGCTACATCGTATCATGGAGTTAAGGCCCAGCGGTTTAACCATCCTTGGTAGGGTAACAGTAAAACTCACCATAACGGCCAAATGCCCTCGCCTCAATTCCCGAAGCCTCCCGGATAAGGATTGGCAAGGTAGGGTTTGCGTCTTTGATTGCAGAGTATTGTTTCAAGATGAAGTCCCTATAACCGATAATGAGCAAACTAGACTTTGAGGTGCGACCGCTAAGTACTGAGCGCTACCTTGTTCCCTTGCTTCCAGCTGACGTCTGGCAGAGGTGAATACGGAGCTCTTTGAGGTTCTTGGTAAGTGGTGTGCGCCAGGACATTGTGGAAGGTCAATGGATTCGTTCCAATCCCAAAGCCCGTTGGTTGCTCTGAATTGGCAACGCGCGAGGTACTGCGCCATCAATGCTATGACAACAGACTTCATTCAATTCACATTCCAACCGATTCGGTGATCGGCTCGCGTCAGCTTCTGAGACAGACCGCTCTATCGGCCTCTGTTTGCGTTCAACTCGCCAAGATGATGTCGCCAGAGGCAGAGGCGTCCGCCCCGGACTGGCTAATACGGAGAGGATCCAGTGCACGTCCTGCTCTCAAGGAGAAAGTTGTTGCTATTTACGAGGCATTTCTAAAAGTATGGGTTGCCCAATCATAGTCTGGAGTTGACGCTGAAGGACACAGCTGACTGCATGGTCTTACGTTGATAACAAGGGAGACGACCCTAGCATTGGAAACCCAAACTTTTGGGACGAGTTTTTCTTGCTCAAAGTCAATGTTGATTACCTTACTGTCGCCTTATCGTCGCTGTCAGAAGCGCAGCTGTTGGCCATCAAGGCAAGTCAGTGGTTGCAAATGCCTATGAAATTATGGTAATGTTGATGCTCAGAATGTAGGATAGCATAAACAACATTTTTGTCCACGCCATTGACGCGATGCTGGACGAGTATCCAACCCGTCAGATACATGCGATGGAGGTAAGACGCGCCTGTGTATCTCCTACTGAGCAAAACAATATTTTCCAAACCCACATTGTCGGTTCGCTATCAGACTCTACACACTTTATTGCGGAACATTTTTGCGAAGAAGTTTCATAATTTCAGCTTTGACGTCATCAATGTGTTGACGGGCCTTGATCAGGCGGATGCAACCTTCAGAGTGTGTGATAAGTGTGTTCTGGATGCGATCCTCAGCCTTTGATTGACTGTACAACACTGCAGACGCTTGTGGCAGCCATTGATGATCGACTTCTGACCGGTGAATCAGGTATGGCGCATGAAGATGTTTCTCCTCGGCCAGGACGTAATCATGATGCTGCATTCAGCTCAGGTTCGCGGGGCGGCCTTGCAGCTCACAATAACAATCGTCACTGGATCCGATAATATCAGTCAAAATTCCGTGTTAAATGACTATTTTATGATCCACGATGTTTTCGACAGTCTTACAAAGGTACGCTAGCAGACGGCTTTTGGAGGCATCTGTTTGCCAACTGATTCTTTCCTTTGCACATTCAAGAATAGATCATGACGGACTTTACGACACATCAACTGGCCTTCGATGCAGCTGTCCTCCTCACCCTTTTATGCAATTACAACAAGTACGAGTCGAATAATCCGTATTTAAATCGTCTGGCAAAGCTCGACGACCAAAACGTAATCACCAGCGCCGCGCATATAGTATCTCGCGCGAGTCAGGACTGTCGCAAGTAGGATTTCATCTAGTCAAGTCCAATTTAAATATCGACTTGACGATTCTCCTAGGATATATATGGAAACTAGACAGGATGCCGATACTACACCAGGCAGCATACGCGTTCTCTCATACCTTACCGGAGCCGTCTGGGGCCAGACATCAAAGCCTCTTGACGAAGCAGGGTATGTTTTCAGCGGATTAAGTCGCTCTCGACTGCATACATGCATGAGCACTCATCACTCGAACGGCCAGAAAGACTTCGTCGACAGGTGTTCCTTTTGCTACTCTACGAATTTGCATATGCCAACGAAAAGTTTGTTGATCATCTTGGGTCATCGCTTGCGAAAGCTGCCACGTCAGGGAATGGACCGAGCCGTCAAGGTCTCGTAACGTCGGCCACGAATCTGTATTCGGCTAGTACCATTCCTCCCGAATCACAACAAAGTGAAGGGGAGGAAAACAGTCTTACAGGTACCAGCCCCATGGTGCGTCAGTCTACCTTTACAATGAACTAACCTTTGACACCGTTTGTGGTCCCCAGCCTGTGCTCTCATAGATTTTGTTTCTTTCGCTTCGTATCTCTTCCAAAATAACCATGATACAAAGTCTGCCATATACAGCAAACTATCGTTGCTGATATTGACTTGCTTAACTGAGAATAGTGGACTCTGTGGGCAAATGTTGGATGATAATCTTGCGGTAAAGGTTAGGCTATGTCGCCAGGTATGTTAAGAGGATTTTGATTAAGACAGCTTTGGGCATCAGTCTGAACCGAAGCGAGCGTAGAAGCCACCATACCTACCCAATATAATGGACCAACCACGGCCACTAGCATGCGCCATTCTCGACGTTGTTGTAACATTCATGAGACACAACCTATCCAAAAAGCTGCAAGCAGATTCATATGCATACTCGCTCGGCATTGTCGAACGGATTATATGTCAGAGCCGCGGCTTGAAAGTTCGGCTTCCGTACCATTGGAACGAACTTTGGCTGGCCGTGATGACAGTGGTTCAGTTTGTGGCAAGGCAAGAAAGTACTCTTCAGAGTCACACGGGCATCGCTGGACTTATCTTGCAGATATTTGCAATGCTGAATCTCGCAATGTATGTTGCAAAGTGTTTCTGTGCCGCCTTGGTAGTTCTAACCCAACCCCGACCCTTGTTCTCATACCAGAACATATGGGGACACTTTCCTGCCTGATCCGGCAAGCTACGATAATCTCTACTATGAGGTGGTGCGAAATGCCGAATACCTGACGACGTTGAATCGCATCGGTAGGTACCCATGCTGTCCTCAGTCTATAAACCGCATCACGCATGATCTGATTCCTGAAATCGTAGCAACTCGTGAGCTGAACTCTGACACGCCACCACCATCACCATTTCGTAATCCTTCTCTGCGAAACATTACGCGAAGTCCCGCTGGCAGTCCCCGGAATAGCATGTCCTCGATCTTTGTATCAGCCTTGCAAGCGAAACAAGGCGTCCCAATGTCCGCGAGCGATTTTCGAAATATTGAAGCCATCATCAATCATATGCTACCGAAGATTGAGCAGTATGGCGGAAAAGCAGCGAGTCTCACAAGTCAAGATATAGTGACTATCATCCGCGCGAACTATGATACACTGGAGCTCGTTAGTTTGGATGGAGTGGATTCTTATATGCGATACGATGGTGCGGGCGTGTATGTAGAGCAAGCGTTTTTTCGTGGATTAGTCAGGATCGTGGCTGCAGACTTTCGGGAGATGGGGCGATAGTTGAGTTTTAGATATTTGTTTAATTATTGAAAAAATGCTGACTACCGATAGAACTAAAGACTGCAGTCTGGGCTCATCTATCAGATCAAAGTGCAGAATATAAGTTCCCTCAAATGTTGAAGCCTTGTGCCCGCATGCAATCCTGATGCGCTTTGATAAGGTCCCCACATTTCTCTTCTCCATGCTCAAAAACACACTCGTCTCGTGCTTTCCGTGTGTCTGGGCAAGCACAGCAAGGCTTGCACTTGGGTTTCCCCTCGGTCGACGTTGAGGTGGCCGAAGGAGTTGCGGGAACCGGGAAGCTTGTGACGGGTTTGGACTCAGAGGCACCCATGTTTGGAAAGCTATTATATTAAATTTATAAATATTGTCCTGATGCCGGTCGTAAAGCTTTCTACTCGACCCGAAGCATTCCTTTGTCTTTGGGATTGGGATCTAAACGATATTTGCAATTTGGGTGACAAATTCCGAACTTTGATGATGACTCATCCAAGGAACCAGAAGATGCCGGTTCGAGCCTAGAAACTGGACAAGCGCGTGTCCGAACGTCGGTTTTCCCAGCAGGTACGTGTTGCTTTTGAAAACAAGATTGCCATCTGTCAACCACCCGGCGAGCGGTTTGGACTAGCCGCCCCATCCAGCGTATCAACGCACCAGTCTTCTTGCTGAATTCCCTTGCGTTATTACGGCAGTCAAGTGCTTGTGCTGCCTCTCCCACGTTCCCAATCAGTGATCTAGGCAGTTGGGAAACGCGAGCCATGCCCCCGATCGAGCCCTCAACATGGGTGGTCTACGCTGTCAACTTTTCCATGGTGATTGCCTTGGTCCTTTTTGTGAGCGCACTGCGGGACATATTGGTCGTCTTGCGCGACTGGTGTGGCTTTGGCGATACTAAGACCTACGAAGAAGAGTATGAAGGAGATTCCGTGACTGTAAGTCAGGTATCCAGTCAAGACCCGTCGAAATGCATCCCATGAGTCGATCTGATAGAATTCCGGTAGCAGGAAACAGCGGGTATCACTCAGACGGAGAACGCATTCAATATGGTATGCCGAATACCTCTAGGTTTGCCTTGTCGGGAGCTGTTTCTCACAGTTTCATTAGCATGCCAACAAAAGCCCCATCAGCCCGGAAGAGCGAATACCAATGCTGGAGAGACAAGTTGCGGAGCTGCAACGGAGATTATTCGAATTGGAACGCAACGCCAACATACCGGCTTGTGCTGCAGCAGGCACCGGTGTTGGCCCCGCCATGCCTGCTGGATTCGCACCTCCACCGCCACCACCCCCTCCTCCTATTGTGCAGAGTTCAAAGGATCCGGTCCCATTGAAGCAGTCTAATGGCAAACCGAAAGGTACTCATGAGGAAGCGGCCGCGGCGCCATCCATGCAGGATGTTCTGAGAGAACTATTCCAATCACAGCGCAAAGTGGTTCAGTTGGTCAGGTAAGGCGATACATTTCTTATGAATGCATTAGTATGTCTTCTCATATTTCCATGCAGTAGCCCTCGCAAAAATTACCTACACAAGCGGCTGGGTGGCATGAAACCTGTCAACTCTCCTTTGCGAAAGAGTACGACTGCACAATGGTTGACGGAAAAACCTACCGGTCGCTTGGACGCTCCTTCCCAATCAAAGGCACTCCAGAGTTTGAAGGCCATTGCCTCTCAGGTCGCGACTGCATATGAAGTGAAGGATTCTGGTATCATCGCAGAGCGTGAGAACGCTGCAGTACACCTCGAAATGGACAGAGCAGGGTAGAGTAGCAATCCATATTCTCTATTGCCGTTTCTGATATACTGACAGAGGAAGCTGTCTTAATGTAGTGTTACTACACCACCTCTGATTGCTAATTCGGCGGAGAGCCATTGCCTAGTCAATGACAGCTGCAATGTAGATGATCCTCTCGAGGGTTTTACTCAAGTGGACGATAACAGGTACTGTACGTTTAGGAGATCGCCATATCCAGTTTGCATGCTTACAAGCGACGATAGCAGCGACGATAGTCCACGACCCGACGGTGTATCGAGGCAGGGACTATCTGAACAAAAAATGGGAAGGTGTGCTGAAATTTAAATGTGGGCATATGTTTGACCTTGTCTCACGGTTGTCCTCTATCTAGTAATAAAGAAAATAGCCTTCCAAGCAAATTGGCTGCTCCCCAGAAGCATCCTTTGTGAGTACAGGAGGGAGCACGTTCTTAGAGGTTGTATTGACATGCTCGTCTTTCACTCAGCATGGAAGGCGATCTTGCCAAAGATATTGCGTTGGTTCGACTTCGAAAGACGAACATTCCTAGGTCACCTGGTGGAACGACGCTAATCCCTCAGCGTAGGACCCCACCACGGCCGATTACTAGTTCCACCGAACATGCATGTACGTGATGTTTTGGGCAGTTTAAGACCTTGATCTGGACTAAGTGGCGCGCATTGCAGTCATATCCTTGAAAGAAAAGTTCAACCAAGCTTACCCGCGCCGAGACGAGGATGAAGGTCGTACCGTGTCTCATGTCGATGATGGTCAGGTAGAGGATCCGTTTGCGTAACCAAGATGATTTGAGAAATCTTGAATATCAAAAGAAAAGCGAAATGTGCTAAGGTCCACCGTCCCTTTCCGTCTTGACGAATTATACTATGGTTCGAACATCAGGATCCTGCAAGTGCAAGCACATAACATCGTCAACTGAAAGTTGCAATCTATAATTATGTTGCTTCATCTCTTTACGTGTACAATGAAAGCAAAGCATCTGCTACATATGATTGACGCAGCTGAGAGGAAAAGTGTAAGAAGTCCTGGTACTGGTATCTTAAACTTACTATGGGACGACTTACATCGTTTATGATATGCTCAAGCTCCTCGGACGTGGAGGAGGGTGAGGCTTGACTGTCGCGATTTAGGACCCGCACCATCCTTTGTTTGACTTGATCTTTCTATAGGAATAGGTCAATATCTGGATTGTTTATGGCGGACATCGTTTACAATGCATTACCGTTTCCGTGACCTCCGCTAATGTATACGCGTTGCCGAAAGCTTGCAAAGATGTGAACGTCCTGGCCTGGCGTAGATTGGATCCGCAAAACTAAATGACTGGGACAAGCAGGATCTTGACATGATGGAAACCTACCAGCTTATCTACAGGTGGGAATGATCCTGACACCTTCGGCTCCTGCACATACTTGATCGCACAAACCATATCATGCGCCGCATCCAAAAACTTCAGCCATTGCGCGCTTTTGGCGGAAATGAATTCCTGCACCGTTGTCGAATCATCGAACTGTGGCGCGCTGGTCAAACAGACATGGTCGATGATATTGAGGATAGGACCAGGTTTTTGTGCAGAGTCAATTCCATTGAGCCATGAGAACATTTTACGGATTGCTCTGGAGGGTGGAGTTATCATGACAAGGCCATATAATGCTAGAAGATAGGGATTTCGTTCTTACCCATTTACTAAGGATGCCCCTTCTCGCCACGACGGTACGGTTGTGGGGTAAAAGATTAGTTGCACATCAGAGAAGACAAGAAACGCAGACGGTGGTAATCTGGTTTCTTCTGGTTTCGGCGGGATAAGTTTTATGACGCTGGAGTGGTCTATGATAAAGTACGTAAAAGTGGAGGGGATGGAGTCCTGATCGTCTGCATTATCTGGTCCAAATTCGGCCAGAAGGGCACGGCTGCCTTTATAGTACCCGGAAAAAAGTCGAAAGCGCTATATTATGTTTGCGATGATTAGGGCTATTATCTGCAGATCCAAACATGCCGTAGTTGTTTCTCCTAACCTGACGGGTTACGGCCGTCTCTCGTTGTGCTTTAGCATCTCCACTTTCCCTTGGAGCAAAATGTAGTTGTAATGTAGAGCCAGTCTCATCGTCTGTCCAGGCAGTACTTTCAGATATGGTCTACAAGCCGCTCTTTTGTGCTCACATATGCTTCACCTTTTACGTCTGGTAAACCAAAGCAGGCTAGACCCGCGAACAACAGCTCACAAGGAAATCGTGATGGCTCGGCACCTGAACTGCTATCGCCTTCAGTAAACACATCCAGGGCTCTTAGCCATGGCTGCGCTCTCAGAAACAAGTTAACGTCCATGGAAGCAGCGTCTTAAACTGAGCTCCAAGCTGACGTTCATCTCGTATGGCTCCGCTTGGTGGCCGTCCGAAATGTTCGAACTTTCAAACCGCGTCTGTCATGTGATGTCATGTGCTCAGCCGTGGCGCGGGGTTTGTGGCGGGATCCGATACACCGTAAGCACACGCTTGGTTTCACCTGCTGCTGTCCATTCGCCATTAGGCTGGTTTCATCTGTGCGGAATTCTTCACGTTTCGGCGACATTGTTCACTAGATACCATTCGCCATTGAGTCTATCAAATACTGCTGTTGGGATTAGGACTCTTCCTACTTCAAAAGACTACTGACGAACGACATGTCTCGTCAACCATTTATGTCCAATGGTCCGTATACCCCATCCTCGCCCTCTGCAACGAGAGGTGATGCGCGAGGTTACCCAACCTTGCGGGTAGCCAAGTCGCCAAACGAAAGCATGGCTAGGACGAACTGTGTTTTTTTGCACCCGCGGGACATGGACCCGTCGACACGCTACCTGACCATAGAGGACCAGTTTGCATTCACCGTGAGGTTCGTGTTTTGTCACCGCGCAATTTGAAAGTCATCGTCATTTGGATAAGCGCGTGCATCGCAGTCACAACTGATACTTGTACATCACCGCTCACAGATTCAGTGATGTTGTGACTCCAGGAGAGATTGGGACCACTCTCTTTCACCGAAGATATGCTGCATTATCATTGAATCAGGATGTCCGGGTACGACCGTATGATCCATTCATTGAGAATGTCAACTCCTATCTCGGAAGTATCAGTCTCCAGGTAAGGTGTCATCACCTTCAAATGAGTACATGACACGTCCAAGCAGTTTCTGATTTGGCTTTGTGCCCAGATCGACTTTCTGCGAAAGACAATGGAATCAGCAGAGCATTACGATATCACAGAAATGCAGCAGATATTACTCAACTCTTTTGATGGGCAAATATTCGCCGAAGGGCAGACTTTCAATTTTGACTTCCACGGGACCGATCTGCTGGCGGAGGTGGCCGCTGTAAATCTGGTCGATTTTGATGCACTTAAAAGTGGAAACGCTGGTCAAACGTCAGGTCAATCGAGTGGAAATCGATTTAGACGTGGAATTTTGATGAAGCAGACAACGATTCAAATAGCAAAGGCTAGCACATCCTCCATTAAACTGAAAGGCGGTGCGAAGGGAGCTGCTCCAAATGCGCTGCTACAGCCCAATTTCAAGTTTGAAGACTTGGGTATTGGTGGACTTGATACCGAGTTCAGCCAGATTTTCCGTCGTGCATTTGCCTCTCGCATCTTTCCTCCATCAATTGTGGAAAAGTTGGGTATTCAACACGTCAAAGGTTCGTGTTGTGTTGACAAAACAAAGGGCTTTCATCGCCAAAGATTGACCATTATAGTCTAGGTATACTGTTGTATGGGCCTCCCGGTACTGGTAAGACCTTGATGGCTAGACAAATCGGCAAAATGTTGAATGCACGTGAACCACAAATTGTGAACGGTCCCGAAATCCTGAACAAGTACGTTGGTCAGTCGGAAGAGAATATACGTAAACTATTTGCTGCTGCGGAGCAAGAAGTACGTATTGATGCGGCGCTGGTTGTAAGGGTATAGTTGTCTTTATTGACATGTCTCCTCTTGTAGTATAAACAAAGAGGAGAGGAGAGCTCTCTTCATATCATTATTTTTGATGAATTGGACGCAATCTGTAAACAGCGTGGATCGAAAAATGATGGTACTGGAGTGGGTGATTCGATTGTCAACCAGTTGCTGTCCAAGGTAATGTAGCTACAGCCATTCATTAGTCCTTGCGAATTTCCACTAATGACATTGCATTAGATGGATGGTGTTGAGCAACTGAACAACATTCTCATCATCGGCATGACAAATCGTCTTGACATGATTGATGAGGCGCTTCTCCGACCGGGGCGACTGGAGATTCACATGGAAATCAACTTGCCAGACGAGAATGGGCGATTGCAGATTTTGAATGTGCACACTGCAAGAATGCGTCAACATGATTTGCTAGAGCACGACGTTGATCTCAAAGAGTTGGCCAGCCTGACGAAGAATTTCAGCGGTGCTGAAATAGCAGGTTTAATCAAAAGCGCCAGTTCCTTCTCGTTCAACCGACACATCAAGATTGGGGCGACTGCGGCGGTCAATCCAGACTATGATAAGATGAAAGTAGCTAGAGACGATTTTCTTCTTGCCTTGGACGAAGTACATCCGTCTTTCGGTGTGTCGGAGACTGAATTGAAACAGTGCGTAACGAACGGTATTTTCAAATTTGGGAACCATGTAGAGGTATGTGTCTGCTACATGTCTTGGGCACAGAGTGATGGGGACTAGAGCGTTTCAACCTATAAACTAGCGGATCTTGTCAGACGGTCAATTGTTCATTGGGCAAGTTCGGAATAGTAAACGGACGCCGTTGGTGTCAGTTCTCCTACATGGTTCGTTCGGATCTCCTTCTGATTTGAGCCCCACTTTACAGACGTTGACATCTTGGCTATGTTCCAGGACCATCAGGAAGCGGGAAAACAGCGCTAGCTGCCACAATTGCAATGGCCAGCGACTTCCCTTTCATCAAGTTGATCTCTCCGGAAAGTATGGTTGGGTTTACAGAGCAGGCTAAGATGAATCACATCAACAAGGTGCGTAGGAGGATCTATCGTGATTGTTAGCTGCCTCCTCATTATCCCTTTTCTCTTCCTAGATATTCAATGATGCACACCGCTCAGAGTTCAGTGTTATCGTGATCGACTCTATTGAGCGGATATTGGGTATGGATTATCTGCCGAGCTTTTCGGGTACTGGCAGCTACTCATTTACAATTTTTTATAACTTGTAGATTGGGTCGCAATCGGTCCTCGATTTTCAAATACGGTGCTACAAACACTACTGGTTTTGATGAAGAAGGCACCACAAAAGGTTGAACGCAAGTTGTAACGATATTGGAACGCACCTAATTTACACTCCATTGCTCTTGCAGAATCACCGGTTACTTATTCTCGCCACCACCAGCCAACGGCATGTCTTGCAACAGATGGATATGGCGGATGTATTCGATGCATCTATCTACGTCCCAAACATTACAGATCTGGATTCGGTGGATCTGTTACTTCAAGAGCTAAAGACATTTACTGATTCTGAACGTCGGCGCGCCATCGATACACTGCGGGCATCCGGCATTGAGGCCCGTGGGATCTCAATTGGGATAAAGAAGCTACTGATGATTACAGAAATGGCGAGCCAGGATGTGGACAAGGTGGATAAGTTTGTCTATACGCTGACGGATGAGGGATCTGGGGGTGCACGATAGAGCGCAGAACAGGGGCGGGCTCAACAGGACTCGGAAATGTTTTATTCTCTTTTAAAATGTTTGAAAATGATATACATAGATTCCATGCAGTGACTATCATGCAGTTGACTATCACGCAGGCAATCTTACAAAGAGTACTTGCAGGCCTATTGTGATCTACATAACAGAAGTGCTGCTACGACATCTAAGTATGGCTCGTCCCATCTACCTAGCCTTATATACTGGACATCTCCTACTGAGTGTTTCTCACGCAGTTGTACGGGAAATACCCTTCTGCGCGGGTTGTGTGGTTAAACCCTTTGGCCCAACCATCGGCAAACATTTCACTAACACACGTAGCAGAAAAGGATCAGTAATAGAACAGCAAGAAACTTTGAGGTTATCAGCAACTCACCGAACATAAACCACGTCGTTGGGTGAGATGGTGATTTCATCACGGGCATTGTGCTCTGGCACAAACAGCACAGCGCCCACATGAGGAAGTCCTCGACGACGAGGGTCCTCATCGGAAAACGAATTCGGCTGACTTGCCACAGAAAGAGCCGAAAGGGGCCGACTTGAATCACGAGCGGGGGCTGCCGCTACAGTCATTGGAGGAGGAGTAGCACTGATTGGAGGAATGTATGATACACGAACAGGAGCGCTACCAGGTCCACTAGCAGGCACAGGAGGCAAAGCTTTTGCGGTCTGCTGGCCATTCGCGACGCTCACGTTGAGCACGGTATGTTCTGTCTTTTCAGAGGGGATCCAAAAAGACTTTCTTCCCGTCCTCTTCCGCTGAATAGCCATTATAGCAACTCCCGCTGCTACCAATCCTACAGCACCTCCAACGGTGCCTCCTACAATCGCACCCACATTTGAGCTTGTACTTGATGTACTTGTGTCTTGCTTTCCCGTATTGTTGCTGTTGGGGGCAGTGCCGTTTGACGGTGTTGATACAGGGACAGGTGCCGGTGGTGGCGCTGTGCCAGATGAAATATCGCCTACAGCCAGGACATCAGTGGTCCATTTTTTCGAGTTTGTGTTGTAGAAATAGATTCTGGTGTCATTTGCATAGGATCTGCCTTCTGGCGTGCGGATATCGTAGCCTCCGTAGATGATCAGATGTTGACCGGCTCCGTGCATGACTGAATCAAAGCGGCGGGTAGGTTGGTTTAATTCCAACATAGTAGCCTCGGTGCTGGCGGAAAGCTGTTCCCAAATCAAGGTATTTGGATCGAGAACCCACAAGTCATTGAGAGGTCCATTGCCATTGTGGCCTCCAAAAATATAAAAGCGACCATTCAATCCTATGCACGTAGTGCGCGAACGAACGGCCGGTACACCGCTGACGGAGTTGAGATTTACTTGAATCGACAAATCGCGGTACTCTCTTGTCTCAATGTTAATTGACCGTACGATCCTGTTGACTTGCCCACTTCGAAGTCCTCCAAAGATGATAAACGTGGTCGAATTGATCGCTGCAGCGCAAGGACTGTTGCCAAAGATGGGTAGACTTCCGGCTAGATCAATCCTGCGAGCTTGAAATGGGGATATCGTCAGATCGATGGCGACGACTTCATCGCGATAGCCCTCTTGAATTTTAAACGATACGGAATAAGAGAAACGCAAAGAATATCAAGAAATCACCGAAAGCCTACCACTTCCGTTTCCAGCGTAAAGGTACATTGTGCTCCCCAACAAAACGGAACCAACATCCCAGCGGTCCCTAAGCGGGACTCCTCCAAGGATGATAGGAACCTGTTGAATGCCCTGCGGATTAGCAGGATCAATGACTGCCATGCTGGCAGAGAGGGCTGTATCATTGTTGCCAAGTCCGCCAACACAGTATGCTTTTTGGGCGTAGAATTGACACGCTGAGTCGGAGAGCGGGATGGTCAAGGTGGGTGCTATCACTGTAGTGTTTGGCGTGAAACCATTGTCACCGCTAATAGAGACGATTTGCCTCTGTGGACCATTAATACGATCCTCGGTAATGTTGGCGTCTGCCACAATCAAATCAAGCTTTTTTCAGCAAGGTGCCCTCCACGAAAACAATGAATCACAGGAAACTCACTAAAGTCTTGCCAGCCGCCAATGACCATAAAACTGCGCGGTCCGCTCTGCACGATGGAATGCCCACCTCTACCAGGTAGAATGTCCACAGGACCCGCTTGGACCAGCGCAGCGAGCACCAAAAGTGCGGCCACAAATTGAAGATACTGCCTCCCTTGGGCCATAGTCTACACACACGCACTCTCAACCGAAAGGACAAGGGGAAGCAAAGGTTGGGGGACGACGGAGCGACGGGGGGAGGCAAGATTTAAAATCACTACAAAACGAACTTTCTTTTTCTTTTTTGGTACATCGGCGGATCTCGCCGGAAACGCCCAAATTTCTTCCATTTTGAGTCAATTTCCTGCCGTTTTGCTTTGCGAATTGCGACGACGTTTTGGGGCTTTCTTGGTAAGATCTTACAAAGACAGTTGAAATTGGGCTGAGCGTTTGCACTCCGTCTGCTGACTGGAAAGACCTCCGGAAATCTCCGTTTTCTTTTGTTAATAAGCGATTGGAAACCTGTTTCATTCCGAAACATTGGGTTTTTTCATTTGCTTTACAAGAGTGTGATTTCTTATTCTGGGGGTTGATGCTTTGGTTGCAGTGTCGGTATACTGCCATGCAGCAACTCATGCATGGCTCCTGCATGGCTCATGTATTCACCGTGTGTCGTCGCTCAGAGTTGGGGGAAATGAGGAACTGTAGGAATTCGACGTTGCTCGTCAGCAACATTGTGGATTCTTTTTACATTGTGCAAATGTGTAAGCACTATCAGGTATACCTAGCTTTCTGTTCCAGACAGCAAGTTGCGTTCCAAATGAGAATGCAATGTTTTGCAACTTGCCACACCATGTACGGTGCAATTCCGTTCACCACGTCTGGGAGGAACAGCCGACTGGGCCCTCCAAACCCTGACAGCATTTCTCACAACCACTCACTAGTCTATGGGCTTCCTATGTATTCTTTACCCGCTTCATAGTATTTCCTCCGCTTTTGCCTGGTCTTTTCCGAAAGATATCTCTTGTTGCTTGTTCGTGACGGCTCTTGCTCAAGGACGCCAGGGACCGGTCCCTTGCTGACTATTTCACGTCAAACCATGTTCTTTAAGTTGGGCATTTTATATCTTGTGCCATCCATACCCATTTGATCGCACAATAGAGTCAATTCCTGTCATTGGCCGAGGGTACGGGATCTGCCATTACTCGTATACCGCTTGGTTGAAAACTGCACGAGAAAGTACCATACCAGCGCCAATCACATAGTGAACAAGACAACAAAGGCTGCTGAGGTCTACGTCTGCTGAACTTGTAGTCTGCCGATGTCAGAAGCCAGAAAGTATGCTTTTTGAAAGTACCACCTATATGACAACATGCTTCCCTTGAATTGTGAAAGGCTTTTCTTTGATTATGCATTCTGGCTAGGCCGGATCTAACTTGTTGCAATCAGTAGCTTCCTGTTCGCAGGGTTCATAACGTCCTAGCAACTCTTCACCTGCGGATGGGCAATCCCAGCGCCCATCCTAAAAGATAGAGATGTCGCTGTGTTACGAACCACCTGGTGTCTGGCGGTTCCACTTGGACTTCATACGTAAAAAAGTATGCAACCAAAGGTCACCAGTGGGTGCAAACGTACGGATGGTCATTCATTCAATTCGTATTCATAGTGTAGGATCACTCACACCTCAGCGTATATACAAAAACTTCTATTTCTCTGCTGGCCGCGGACAAGACAGCCGGATGCTCCTCTCCTATTGATTCCATTGGGACGGATTCATGTTGTGCATACTCCCTCCCATGTTCTGCTGTTGTTGCATTTGCTGTACATATTGCTGATGGGCTAGCGCTTGCTGTTGTAACGCCTGTTCGTACGAGAACTGGCCTCCACCATAAGCTACTGGCGCTTGAGTGGTCATCCCGTAGTAAGCCTGCTGTTGAGGTTGTTGTTGGAAACCTGCGAGCTGATTCTGCTCGAGGAGTTGTTGCTGATATTGCAGTTGCTGTTGTTGCTGTAGGTACATTTGCTGTTGGGCTAGCTGCTGCTGTTGAAGGAGCTGTTGTTGCTGTTGCTGCATGTATGCATTGTTCATCAAGTTGGGATTTGAATAGCCGCTGCTTTGTAATCCTCCGACATTAGCGCTGGCTGCGGGGTTTTGGGTTTGCTGTGCGTTCGACCGCGTATTCGTGATTGAAGGGGCGATGCCAGTCAACGAGTCCACGTTGGCGAAGTTCTTTCTTTTAAGATCCACTGCTCCAGTACTTCCAGCAGCCAGATTCAGAACAACGTAAAGAGCATTTCCAACAGAGCTCCGATCTACAGTAATTTTGTTCGTCAAGACCTGTGAATGTGGTTTAGATTAAAGTTCTCTTGAACGCTGCCAAGAAAAGTATGACTATAACATACATCAAACCAAGTGACGCTCTCCCCATGCCATCGTCCGTGTCGCGGAGGATCCTCTCGAACGAACCAAGCTACCATATTACTCGCAATAAGCTCTGGAGGCGTAAATCCTCCATTAAAACGGACCCATCCATACACGTCTACCGAGGCGTCAATGGGTTGGTTCCCACGAAGTGGGCCCGGCCGAAAGTTGTCTGTGATTCCCAAGCGCAAAAGAGCGCGCGACACAAGCTTGAGGACCGCATTCTCCGTCATGAAAAGAAGAACTGTCTCTTGACCCGGCTGTATTGTTCCACCTTGATTTTCCAGTTCAATAGCACACGGCGCAGACCATTCTACAAGAAGAAACAGAAATGAATAACCCGAACATGATAACAAAACAAGGCGAAACCTACCTCCGTTTTTTAGTCTCAATACAGCAACGCCTTTATTTCCTCGAATGATCGCGACGCCCATAGCGCTCATGACATATGTAGGCGGAATAGCCGACTCTTGTCTTTGGTCTGTAAATGCACTCAAGGTCTTTGCTGCTTGCTGACATTCTTCCCCAGCCGTAAGCTCTCGCGATGCCATTGTTGGAATGTTTGAAAGTGCATGGAAAATGTCAAGCGGAACGGGGTTAACCCCAGCTGTAGCTGGTATTGCCAGTCATGTGATCGCACATCGAAAGCCGCCAAGCTCAGCGTTTTGGTGAAGGATCCGTTCAAAACGATTTGAAGAAAACAAATGGTTTCCGTTATACCCAACAGTAGAAGAGCGTTGAAATGGACAAGTATGTTTACTTTATCAAGAGGTTGACATGTTTTGTTTGCCGTGCTAACATTGGAAATGTCTCGACAGACGTGTTCAAGGGAGGGCAGCAGCGTATTGCAACGTTACGGGCTCTGCCGACGTGTCATCCCGCACACTGTAGACGAAAACATGGCCTTACCGGACCAGCACCCACGGAAGCTCCTTCTCGGCAAACTGTGCTCCACCTCCGCCGTCCCCTTGTAGCGAATGGATCTGATGTTCAACCAGAGTTTCATGCACCTACTCGCTCTGCCATGTCAGACTATATTCGTTCCGCATCTCTCATGCTGGAGACCAGCCAACAGCAACGACGTGGTATAACCTCCAAGTTCAATTTTGATACGTACAAGCTGGTCCGACAGTTGGAGCGGCAAGGCTTCACCCGAGGACAAGCTGTCGCGATAATGCGAACTATCAACGCTTTATTGGTAGATAGGTAGGTACCGACGTGCCATGGTGCGAGAGACAGCGAGTGAGAGTCATGGAGTATCTGGGAACTTATCATATTTTGTTCTCAGTACTCTCTCTATACGATCAGATATATTGTCAAAGACGGATTTAGAGAACGTACGTGTAGTTTGCCCTGGCCTTTATTGGGAACACGAAGCTCATTCCTACCTTTCTCCAGCAAACCTATTTATACAAGGCTCACCTTCAAGAACTTCGTAATGAGCTGCAGCTACTACGGCAAAATGACTCTGCCCAGCTTAAAGCGGATACTGAACAAATACTGCGAGATATCGAGTCCATGAATGCAAAATTCTCGGAATTTGTAGGAAGTTTGAAAACCGATGTGTCTATGGACTTGAATAACCATAAAACGGATGGGAGGGAAGTCGGTACAGATACCGATTTGAGAATACAAGAAATTCATCACAAATTGATTGTGCGGATTAGCGATCTCAAAACCAAAATTGAGACCATGAAAGTCGAGACAACGAGGATTATAGTTTGTAAGTGGATAACTGGACACTATCTCTGCCTGTGGGCTCATTTAAAATCTCCGCTTCAACAATAGGGATGGCACTCGGCACATTTGCGGTTCTAATGTCGATTGATTGGATTTCACCTGCAGTCTTTGGTTCGGCACCAAAAGGTGGGCAGTCGTCCGATCAGCCACCTCCCCCCATTATATCGGCCTTTCCGCACCCGCTTCGCAGCTCCCAGTCGGTACAGCAACCACCGCAACACCCTCAACCCCAGCAACCACAGCAGTCTCAACCAGGATCAATAGATAGCTCGGGCAAAGTGTTGTCATTTTGATTTTCTTGTACACTATGCCCAATCTTGGGTTTATAGTTTAATGATTTCATAGACATGATCCTGAAAAACATCAACCTGCTCAAATTTCGTTGGGACGAGAGATCATTTAATCGCATCTATTGTCATTTAATGCATATAATCGCACTCGAATGCATGCTGCATCCTCATTTGACCTCAAAGTCTCAACTCGAGTTCTTTAAAGCATTTTGGATGAGCCGTCTTGGCTGTGGTTTTTCCTTGGCAAGCCATTGGTACACCTGTTGTTGGCACAGCGATTTTGAATAAAGTACTCCGCGACATTGCGCCTTTGGTGCGGCCCTTGTACGAGCAGTCAGTGTGTCATTGGAATCCTCCGTGCCACCACCTGAAGAACGCACGGCAAAATGAGTAGCGACGACGAGAGACCGGTATTGTCGGATGAGGAAAAGGAGGGTGATCTGGATGATGAGAGAGACGCTGAGGGAGAGGATGAGGAGCAATTGGAGAGGGACGTTTTTGGTGAAGACGACGATGAAGATGAACAGCGGGAGCCGCCGGAGGATGAAGATGAGGAGGACGAAGAAGACGAAGAAGATGATGTAGGTGTCCTACTCTTACATTCTTCCGCACGATCGAAGGGTTATCAAGATTCCTGACTTCTTGGTATAGCTTCCAAGAGCAAAAAAGCGCCGACGAAAGGCAAACCCGTTCATCGAAGAGGAGGCTGCTGTTGAGGAAGAAGATGAGGAGGAGGAAGAGGAAGAGGAGGATGGGTTTGTGGAGGCTGGAGGTACATAGACCCATGTCTGCTTGACGTTCCGGTCATGTAAGCTGATATGATGGCTCCCATTCACAGAAGAAGACCTGGATGCAATCCAAAAAGAGATGATCGACATGCGGGCTCATCGAGAACTGGACCGTCGAAGGGAAGAAGAGGAAATGGATGCTGAAGAAATTGCAGAGCGTATGAAGGAGCGCTACGGTCGGTCAGAGTTAGGTCGGGGCAGCTACAGAGGAGATCTGGAGCATATTCCTCAAAGCATGTTAATGCCTTCCGTTGAGGATCCAAAACTTTGGCTGTGTCAATGCAGGGTATGGATTGCACGAGTCTATCACCCTCGCTTAAATGTTAACAAGTTGATGTTCCGCAGGAGGGTAAAGAGCGCGATGTGGTTTTCACCATCATGCGAAGAGCTGTCGAACGAGAAATGACCGGGAATGCCTTGCAAGTCCTTTCCGTATTTTGCCGTGACTCTCTTAAAGGATACATTTACTTGGAAGCAAGGCAACAGGCGGCTGTACAGCAGGCATTGGAGGGTATCAACAACATATTTATAAGCAAGCTGCGACTGGTACCAGTTGACGAGATGGTGGATTGCTTAACAATCAAAAAATCCAAAGAGGTGGAATTGCGGATTGGAGGCTGGATTAGACCCAAGAAAGGAAAATATGCGGGAGATCTCGGGCAGGTCTGTCATCATAGTAAACTATGAAAGAATGGCACACGGATACTAAACTTTCCATTACATTAGATTTTGGATATTAGAGATAACGGCGAAATGATCATCTGCAAACTTGTTCCTCGATTGGACCCAGTGAGAGATAATGCAAAGCTACCGTTCGGTCAAAAACGTAAAAAGGCAGAGCCGCGGCCCCCACCCAAGTTATTCAATCCAGCGGACTTCAAGTATGTGATCAGAGGAGGGAGAGAATCTACATTGCTTTTCTTACAATTTTGCAACTGCTTAGGGGTGAAGTGCGCAAAGAAAAGAATTATTTTGTCTACAATAATGAATGGTTCGACCGAAGTGGATACCTGGAGAAGAATCTCAAACTAAGCTCCCTCGTGGTTGAGAATGTTCAGCCAAAATTGGAAGAGATCAGTCAATTTTCTGGAGGAACGATTACTGAACAGCCTGATGACTTGGAGGCGCTCGCTGCTTTAAATATCTCGAGAAAGGAGGATTTGCAAATTGGACAATCCGTGGAACTGAAGGCGGGCGCCATGGCTGGCATTTGGGGTACCGTAGTCTCTATCCAGAAGAACAATGTTGGCGTCCAGCCTGATCCGAAGGAATTTCCAACCGTTAGTCAATAATGATTTATAGTTGCCCACTAGTCGTCACGTTAGTGCTAACTCTGATCGCTTTGACTAGTTGCCGTTGATTAGCGTTACTGCCGAAGAACTTAGAAAGCGGTTTGCGGCTGGTGACCACGTCAAGGTTATGAAGGGAATGCATAAAGACCAAACAGGCTTGATCATTACAGTCAAGGGCAATATCGCCACATTACTTTCAGATAGTACTTTAAAGCCGGTAAGTCAACCCAGATGCGATTAGTCTCGATAGCAGTATAAGAGACGAATCTCACATATGTGTCTGGTAGATCGATGTCTTCACCGAAGATTTGCGTACAGCAAAGGACATTGCAGGCGGAGGCGCTCGCACCAGTCCTTACGATGTTGGCGATCTTGTTTTCCTCTCGTACGTACTTTTAGTCTTTCTCTTTTTAACATGCATGATGGAGTAACAATGTCCTTCTCAGGAATGATGCGGGTGTTGTGACTAAAGCAGAGAGGGACACCATTACTGTCCTTACTCAATTCAATCAGATTGTCAGAGTGCAGCCTCAGCAAATTCGGAATAAGCGTGATTCGAATCGCGCTATCACAAGCGATGCTAATGGACAATCCATATCCGCTGGTTCATCAGTGGACATCATCGATCCGGATCGTCCTGATATCAAAAAGCGTGCCACCGTGGTACATATATATCGCTCTTTCGTATTTGTCAAAGCGCGCGAGACGGTGGAGAACGAGGGATATATGGTCGTTAAATCGCATAACGTAGCGTTAGTGGGAGGAAAGCAGGGACCGGTAAGTAGTTTGCGCTTGACTGATTATCGCATCCACCGTTCCATGCTGAATACATTGTCCTCACCAAAAGAACGGGATGTATCAGAGTCCGTACCAAAACTCTTTTCCGAATCGAGGTGGCTTCGGCGGTGGTTTCCATGGCCGCGGTGGCGGCAGAGGTGGCCGTGGTCGTGGTGGACGAGACCCTCTTGTGTCGAAGACGGTGACAATAAGTGGCGGTGAATACAAAGGGTACCTCGGCATTGTCAAAGATGTGATGGATAACATGGCTCGTGTGGAGTTGCACACATCATCAAGAGTGATAAATGTCCCCAGAGGGCAGCTCTTGGTGCAAGGAGAAGCAGCGGGACGCTTTGGAAACGACTACAACAACAATAATTTCAACGGGTCATACAGTCGCTACGACAGCATCGCTACTCCCATGCATGGCTCCAAGACACCAATGTATCGCGGAGATGGTGGCTATACCCCTAGTCGCTTCCAAGATGGTGGCCGAACTCCTGCTTGGGATGCGGGAAGTAAGACACCCGCATATGAAGGAGGCGGTCGAACACCAGCATGGAATGCTGGAAGCAGAACTCCTGCATGGGATGCCGGAAGCAAGACGCCCGCTTATGATGCTGGTAGCCGAACACCGGCATGGGATGCTGGTAGTAGGACACCCGCTCCTTTACGGAATAGCTCGTACGTTGTTGGCTTTTCACATTGAGAGAACCCACTTGGCGCTAAGCATTGATATCTGTTTCTGCAGGCCTGATTATCCAACAAGTCGCATGTCATCCAACGGACAAAATGGTGGTTGGACACCAGCCGGAGCAAGTTATAATGATAGATACGATGGTGAGTGATCCGTAAGGCGGATAACAAGGAAGGCGGCGTGCTGACAAATCTTTCACTTTAGATCACCCTGCACCTGCACGTGTCGAGTGGCCAATAGCTAAAGTCGAAGTCAAACTCAAAAAGGGTGACAAGATTGGTACTATCACGGCTATCCAGAAAGCTGGTCGTTCTGCTACCATCAAGCTCAAGGGAGGTGACACCCTCTCCAACATTTCCTTTGATGACATTGATCCCGTACGGCCGAGGAGCAAGGATGACAAGGTTATGGTGTTGGATGGAGAGTACAAGGGTAGAACAGGAACGTTGATCAGCGCTGAGGAGGCAGATGCGATTGTCAAGTTGGCGGGAAGCCAGGATATCAGAATCTTTAACATGGATATGATAGGCAAGTACGTGGAGGGATAAACCATTCGGCTGGAAAGCGTGAAGGGAGGGATGTTGCGCGAGGCCATAGATAGCCGGTCTTCCTTTTGGAGCTGTACATAGTGAAAAAATCAATGACCCACCAAAATGGCATATCTTTCTTCCCTCGTTTGATGATAAAAGTTGGTTGCAGTAAGCGCTCGTTGAAGGCTTTCAATTCGATCAGAAAACAAACAAACATGTCATCCAGCCGATCGCAATTCTCAACAGTAAAATCTTATTACAAATCCAACATTCACCATCTAACTGATCTCCATCGCATCCCCTTCTACTACATCAACAAACTGCCTAATGTCGCTCGAGAGAGTTGCTAAGGAAAGAGAAAACACATGGATAAGCCAGCCAGTCATAATTTAAATGACAAAGATCAAGGTACCTGTTGTCCCCCGAGGGAATTTGTAACTCTGCTCCTTGACACCACGTTCGTTGGGTTTGGAGTATCCCCGACGGTAGTCCACCGCACCCTTTGTGATGACGCAAACATCGACATTACTACCGGAACCCAGATCATTGAAAATACCAGCTGAGATGGCATCCTTGACGAGTTCCATGGCCTCTTCACGCTGCATGAAAGAAACAATACCATTAGTGGCACGCTAGGGGCTGTGCAAGCTTTCGGGGCCTTGATTACCTCCATATCCTTCCTCCACCTCGATTCAAACACGGCCATAGCTGCTAAAGATCCACTTCCCATCGTCACAAACGGTAGCTTATCCGTACTTCCATGTGGATAGATGGTATACAGTTGGGGTCCCGTCACGTCAAAGCCGCCCAAGACCAACGCACATCCAATGTGCCCCTGGTACCTAAACAGCATTTGTTTCAACATGGTCATGGCGGTCACGACACGGGACTCGCGGCCGGTATGAAGGCGGTGGAGTTCGAGTTTAGACGATATGAGAGCGGTTGTGGCGTCACAGTCGGCAGCGGTACCAGCACCGCAGCAGTACATGTTGGGAGCAAGGTAGTGGATCTTTTCGCAATTTTTATCAGCGACGATAGGACCTTCGGTGGCACGAGTGTCGGCCCCAAGAACGAGACCGTCCTTTTTTGCCATTGACGCGGTAAGCATTGTTCTCTCCGGGGCAAAAACATTCCTTCATAGTACAGGCGTACCTTGAACAAGCACCCACAAATTGTTGTTCCCGTTTTTGTAAACTTTGGCGCCTTGTATCCCTTGTCTTCCATCATTAGGTTACTGCAACATTGGGCACAAGATGTGTTAGTGCGAAAGCATACAACGCGCAAAACAGTCATTCTCCTTCAGAGAAGAGACGACCGTCAACAACTATCTCAAACCTCACCGGTGGTAGTTTTCAAAATTGAACCCGCCCTTTTGGGGCTCGACCTTGTTGATTGGCATTTTGGTTTACGGGGATTGGTGTTGCGATCCCGTAACGATGGGGGAAAATGAAACTAACGATGCTCAAACTGTACGCGTAGATAAGCTCGTTTAGTATGGATAGCCAGCGCCCCAAAAACAAATGCGCTTGGTTGAAATGGCAGTAACTCACCTAAATGTTTAAACGATCAGCGTGGTGAAATTGCTTGTCGTCGCCAAATAGATGACACGTCGACTGGAGGGATGTTACATTTATCGCCTAAATATCATCACGAGGGGCTTGGCTGCTTTCATAAGCAGCTTTCTGGCTGGCTTTTTTCGTTTTGTTTATATTTTACAGTTTCATACTAGGCTACTTTACGTTCCTTTGTAAGTACTAAATGGTCCAATTGTCCCTTGGTTGCTTCCGCCTTTTGCAACGCCAATCCTGCCTCAGTTGCCATTTTCATAACCCTGTTGTTATATTCCTTTGCTTGGTCAGGTCGGAGGTCCAGGATGTATCTGTGGGCAATAAAAGATGATCTTTATGAGCACAGACATCAAGGTTGAGTGATGAGGCTCATCGACATTACTTTGCAGTCTCCACAATCAGTGTTCCATTTTCTTGTGACACGCTTTCAGTGGTTAGGAGCTCACCCAATTCATTTATTCGGTGAGCCATGGTGGAGGAGACGTATATGCGGTTGAAAAATCCTTGTCTACGTTGTAGCTTTGATAGTGCAGATACAGTTAACAAATGCACCGTTGCTGCTGTTGATACGTAATTTGATGCCTCATTTGCAGAATCTGGCGGCAATTCTTGAATCTTTCCTTCTGCGTCGCTTAACCGCCCATTCTTCCATTCTTGAATCATTCCACCCAGATTCCATTCCGCAATTGCCCTTGCATCATATTTCCGTTGCCCGTTTTCGGTCTTCAGGAGCTTTTTGGCCTCTGCATCTAATCCAAACCCAAGAAAAGGTCCAACTGCAATATCACTAAAGTATCCCCACTTTGGCAGGCTGGTTCCCGTCTGTGTATCTGGTAGTGCGGAGATGGTTGCCAGTGTTCGATTAGGATGCGTGGGAGTGGATTGGCGGATTGGGAAGGAAAGGCCGTGCAGGCGAAAAGATAGAAATTCATGAGATGAGATGGTGGGAGCATGATCTTTGAGCTTCATGTTCCAGTCCCAGTCGATGACTCCTTCTCGAGCATCAAATCGTACTCCATAGTATCGTCGTAACCTGGCGTCCCACATTTTGTCTAGCTCAAACGATTTCCCTTTGTGGTTCCGCCAGAACTGAAAGACCGATTCCAAATCATCTCGTTCTCGGTATTTAAGAAGTGAGAGGTCGAGCTGGATATGCGGTGTTAACTTTGGGGTTGCAGAGTCTGTGATTAAACTGAAAGTGACATGAATGTTAAGCACACATGGAACGGGCACATAGTACATGGCGTCCTACTTTACCGAATGTATCGCGTAGCAGTTTCTGTTATCTGCGCCGACGTCTGATCGCGAAGGAGAATGTTGCCGTAGAGCTCAAGAAAGGTATCTATCCGATCTGTTACAATGCAAGAAGTTAAGAAACATTCCTCGACACAAAGAACAATCACCGTTAGAGCAGACCTTGCAATCCAGCCTCATTTTCCCCAAAAATCACATCCAACAATAACATACATCTCGCTAGTGCCGTGATCTCAGCTTCAACGACCCAAAACTACTTGCAAAAGTCCGCCGCTCATCAGCTTCCTCCGTTCAATACATCGCAAACTGATAGCCACCTACATGTATTTCCCGTCTTCCATACCGCCATGCTCTCGCCATTGTCTTTATGATATGCCGAGCATCACTAGCGCCAAGGATCAAGACATTGAGAGGGGGTACTATGTTCTGTTAGGACAAATCTCAGGTTGATCCTTGGTTTGACAAAAAGTACATACGATCGGTTGATGGAGTCAACTTGACGTCTTTAGCATCCCGCTCCCCATTCGCAGTATCTAAAAAACGATATATCATGAAATTTCTCCAAGTTCTGTAGCTTTGTTACCGAACGATCTTACACAAGTCTTGAAAATCAACAGCTCGAGAGAATCCCCAGACGGATGTTGTCCCAATGCCGTCCATGGCGTGTTGGTCAAGACGCTATTCCCAAACGGTTTTCTCAACGTTTGTCAGTCGCAAAACGAACGTTGCGACAAAGTCGCGTGCAAGTGGACGCGTCCAGAGCATGTAAGCGGCCGCGTCTTTCAACGGAAACGCTCTCGGACCCAAATGTCCTCCCCATCGACAACCCCACCAGTCCTCCTAACACCAACCCTCCTTCCCCTCCTCACCCACCTGGACATCCAAACCCTTGCCCTCCGAACAACCCAATCCGAACTTTACACTGAAATAGAGCACCTCTCAGCAGGTAAAAACAACATGCAGCAAACAATTTGACCGCCAGGTTCCCAATAACATGACTTATCGACAGAGCTCCAACTCCTCCATGCAACGACAACCCCTCCCATAGATCCTCAGACGCTCGCTGCATCACAGAACCGGTTAGCGCTGTTAAAGAAGCGGATTACAAACATGCAGGGTGTCCTCAAGGGTATTAGTGACAGAGTGGGGCGGTGCGAGAATATGTTGGCGGGACAGACGCCCAGATGATGGTCGTGGCAGAGGACGACGGTGATACGTAGGATTTTATCAGGAATGGATTTGCATACAGGGCAGGCAATCGTTTCAAAAGATTTTGGAAACGCCCGATGGGAATTGCACCTTTCATATTACGTCGTCGTCCCATATCAAAGAGCAACAGATTCTAGCAAAGCGCAAATGTATTGACAAAATTACAGAAAAGCCCATCCTTTTGGCCAAACCTCGCAGATGGGGTCGGTATATGTACATGCCCCCCATTTCCCTCTAAATCTATCTACTGTTTTACAGTTCTTCCCCTGTTCAATATTCCTCCCAAGAGCCAGGCCCTGTATCTTTTGCCTTTCCGATGATGATATGAATTCCCTCCAGGGCTCTTTTGGATTTTTCAGTGTTTTTTTCCCCCATTTTTTTCAGAGTTTTCTTTTTTTCTTCCGTGGCTCGTCCGTCCGTCTCATGCTTCTATCGCCCTCTCCTCCATCCCTTCCAACAACTCTTTTCCTACAGGTTGCGGAATCCCCACCCCTCCCTCCGCCGCATGCGCGATTCCTGTTCCACTGGCCCGCCGCGAACCGACTACTGCTTCATCTTCTGGGGTATAGCCCCGTATCGCTGCTTTCATGAATTTGAGGAAGCGATGTCCGTAAAGGACGGGGTTGACCGCCGATATGGCCGTCTATGAGAGAGACGCAGAATAGGATGAGAACCATAAAGTACACCATACCCGGATCGTAGAAACAATACATACGCGGTCATGACTGAAGCTTTTCCAAAAATGTTCTACTTTCTTTGTCATATCATATTTTGTGAATATATCAATGACGCCAATATAGTAGAGCTACAATGATAATAAGGCTCAGTTACATATCACTGAAAAAGACGTTTGGGGACCACAAAAACCTTTACACACCTCTTTCATCGGCTCATTATTTTCGTCCGAGGCTGCAAAACCGCCATCATCTTGATAGAATACACAATTTGTGCGTCTATATAGAAGGAGAGGACGCATCAGTGGCGAGAGGCGCCGAATGCACGGGCAGTGTCCTGCACTTACTCTGACGGTGGCAGATCCGGGAGCCTGGCGTTGGACGGCCCCAGTTGAAGGGGTTCCGTTTCACTAAGCATGCGTCGTAGCTCGCGTTTATTGGGTTTCGTGGAGGCAACACTAGCCCCTCCAGTAGAAATGTGGGATTGGCGGAATAGGGACGTAGATGTGGGTTGGCGGCTTACAGAGTCCGGATTGGGTTCGTAGACAGCAAGTGTCTTGTCCCGTATCTTCTCTTTATTGCCGCGCTTGAGATCATGGATTCCGACGAGTAATGAATAGTCCATAATCTTGTGTTTAATCAAAAACTAGGAGACAGAGCAAGTCAGAAATTGGACCGTCATGTCGAGACAGAGAATCAAGCATTACCTCCACGTCCCTCTCCAGTTGCTCCACTAATAGTTGCCTCTTCTGCGGGCCTAAATCCAGCTTTTTCTTCCGATGCATCCAGTTCAGGTCTTTTAGCACCGCCCGTGGGTCGTCCTTGGCCAGCTCTTCAGGGTATTCTCGGCCGACGGTTGACCCCTTCAAGTCGTACATCTCATGTATATCCTTGTTTGGAGGGAAGACATTGCCCATGACTACGAAATGTATCTTGCGGTTCCCAGGCAGTTTGACACGGTGCAGACCAAAAATCCGTGAGAGTAAAGTGTGCTGATTGACCCGTACGTGCTGTTGGATAAGGCGAGAAAACGTTAGCACACCGTACACACAAAGTGTGAGAGATGAGAACGCTACCAACCTCGTAATAAAATCTCAGAATCTTTCGCATATACTTGTGCTCGGAATGGTGCACAGTTTTGATGATAAATCGGTAATCCGAGGAGTAGTAGAAAAAGCTTCCACTCTTGCCGGCGCTGACCAGCTCCGATAGCACATACTTTCCTGTAAGCGACAACTGTAATGCAAAATCATTGATGAGAAATCAGCAGTAAGACGGTGCGTCAGTAGGATTACTCACCAGGTACTCTGCAGGATCAACATGAAATGCATCCCGAATACACCGGAAAACCCACGGTGCATAGTCCTTAAACTTGAAGTCATATCTGGAAGACGGTGTAAGTTCGTTACCAGTTACATCAAAGGTCATTTTATGCGCCGCTGTAAAGTCTTCCAACTGAAGCACCCGAGGAGGTTTGGCCTGACACCGCGAAACCGACACCCGAATCCCGGTTAACATGTCGTACATCAGGACATAATTGTCATGTCCTTCTTTGACAGGAGTCCCAACAAGCACTTCCTTCTCTGATCGCTGACGTGTAAGACGCCGCCCAATCTTTTCTGGTTCGAGCATCTCAGACCCAGATAGGTGCTTTTTGACCACAGATGAGCCACGCTTCCTCGGTGAAGAAGACGACGACGCTTCAATCTCGCTTAGCGGAATCAAGTGCTTGGCTGACCCAATCTGTTCACCCTGGCGGGGTGTTCCAACAGAGTGGGAACCAGTGCCTTTAATGATGGAGCGTGGCTGTGTTGGGATGGGGCCTGAGAAGGAATTGGGACGTTTACGGGGATCTGCAGGAAGTTTGCGAAGGTCTTGGCGTTGCTGTTGCAGTGCTTGCAAAGCAGCCTGTGCGGTAGTTGCAGACGGTGATGTTGCGGCTCTTACATGAGAGCGTTCATCGGTGGAAACGGTGCTTGAGGGGATGTCGGCTGCCGGGAGTGTAGGGGCGGATGTTGCCATGGGACGGTCATTGGTAGTGCAGTCTGACACCTCGGTTGTGTTGAGGCCATCAATGGGAAGTTCTTTGAATGACACTCTCAGAGCGGCTGAGGTGGATGCCAGAGGAGTCGGAGTCGCGGGAGTGTTAGGATCCGAAGCTTGATTCGGAAGCGCTGCTGTAGCTACAGCAGCGACAATTGTTTCTGTTGCTTGCGAGGCTAACGCTGTGGTCATTCTGGTGGCAGTCGTTCGGGACAGCCCAGAAGTAGGCACTGAGGAGGTATAGCGTTCAAATGAATGAACGAAGCCAAGCGAGATTGATTACTCAAATATATAGTGATATATAAGAGCTGCGTCGTCAAAAAAAAAGTGAATTACGCGGGTGAATATGATGAATCACCAAACGGCCGTAAGCGAGGAGCAGAAGGCGGGGGAGGGAACACGGGCGTTCTTATAAGACGACTTTTGCGGGGGAGGTCTCGCCCGGGGGTTTTTCAATGCGATTTTCTAACCGAAATGTCCCGAGTAAGGGTCAGTTGAACAGAGACCCTCAAAACGCGTGCTGGTAGGCTTAAATAGCAACAGAACGCGGTTCTGCCAACCTTTGAGTTTAACGATTTTGACCAATAATTGGCCCGACGTGTCGGTTGACCCAGGGTAAGGTGTGGGAAGCAAGCGGCATTGTTATGTTGATGTATTTATGAGGAGACAAAAGATGCCAAATGACCAAATGACGAAAGAATGCGGGTCAGAGGACGGAAGGCGAGCGGTGGCCAGGGAATCATGAGAAAATTCCAAGTAACAAGATCCAAGGGATATTCGGATATCGCGGCATATGAGGTATAGGCGGTGTCCAGAGAGTCCAGATGTGTTTGTAAAAAGATAAAGTCAAACGACGAGTAGGAAAGCAATGTAAAGAGATTCGTAGGATGTTGGCAAAAGTAGGCGTGAGCAGCAGGATATATAGTAAAAAGAGACAGTTAGGCTATGAACCGATATCAAAAGCAGGCAATAACATTTGCCTTGCCGTCATCACTTGAACAAATCGTACCAAGATATAAGCTCAAAGTTGGTCAAACGTCCAAAGCAACGCAGTAATGCAATTGGTCGAGTTTAAGAGTTTTTGTGTTTGCAACCGTAAGGATATCGCGCAAAAAAACAGTTTTCCGATAGCGGGGGCGTATAAGAGGTCTTTGTTGAAAAAGGAAGAAACAGCAGCCTATGAGGTCCTTGATGCCAAGTAAAAGCGAACAAAAAAAGAGAAACGAAAGATGGTAGAGGACAATGGTGGTCGAAGAACTGTACAAGTGTTGACTACGCCCGGGCGGCGGAAATGACAGCTGTGCTGTTTGGTATGCTCAAGAACTGCTCGAGTGCGCTTGAGAAGGGAAGGAAATCCGGATGAGCCCGTAATGGTAATGTGTGTTTTTTGGGGGCAACGAAGAACAGAAATGTTGGAGACTTGAAGCCGGGGGACCTGCCGCGCTTTTTGATCTGCGCCTCGCAGACTCGTCCCGCACTGGAAGATGATTTTTTCCCTTCCGCTTTTTTTTTTATTTTTTATTGTAGTCTTTCTTGGCAAATGGACAATGACGACGACGACGACGACGACAAGGACAAGGACAAGGACAACGGGTAAACAGAACAAGTTGGATTCACAAGACCGGCGTTACATTGGAGCAAACAAGCCCAAGACATGTACTAAGGGGGCAGTATTGCCCGCTCTTTGACCGATCAAGGCCCATCCACAATAATGCAATGAACATGGCTTCCAGTTGAGGCCGATTGGGAAGACAAGACGGGCTTGTGAGGAACGGCAGGCAGTCCAAGGCTTCATGGAGGGAAGGCCAATGCCGACGATCTAGAGCACGGATTCGCTACACTCTCACATACAGTAATGCTAGGCAACAGCTAGATTCACCACCAGCAACCAAGTGCATACAGACATGGATCAAAACGTCAAAGACAATTTGCTGCGACAGTTTACACAAATGAATTTATTATTCTACAAGACAACATCTATTCGTAAATGAGCTTGTCCAAAGAGCGCTCGTAGTTGAGGACACCCTCAGGGAACCACTACAACAAGAGAAACACATTAACAGACTGCCATTTACATGTTTCCTACCAAAGGACCCAACACTCACCAAAGCAATCTCCTTCTCAGCGCTCTCAACAGCGTCAGAACCGTGGCAAATGTTCTTTCCAACATCAATGGCGTAGTCGCCACGAATGGTACCGGGGGCAGACGCCAGTGGGTTGGTGGCACCCAACATGACACGGCCAGTCTTCACAACCTCCTTACCGGCCCAGACCATACCGACAACAGGGCCAGAAAGCATGTAGTCGACAAGCTAGTAAGGACGAGATAATATGGGAACCTCGTTCAATTTCAAAAATATCCAGTCACAGTCAAATGAAGCCTACCACATACCTTGGGGAAGAAGGGCTTGCTGCTCAAGTCAGCGTAGTGCTTCTCGAGGAGATCGCGAGAAGGCTGGAGAGCCTTCAAGGCCAAAAGCTTGAAGCCGCGGTTCTCGAAGCGCTTGATAATCTCACCAACGAGACCCCGCTCAACACCGTCGGGCTTGACCATGATGTAAGTACGTTCTTGGGCCATTTTGAAAGTTTTTGTGATCGTGTTGCAAGATGGAAGAACGTGCAGGAAGGTCAAAGCAGAAATTGTGGCCTTCACTGTTGACATGGAAACAGTATGACTCATAATTACCAAGGAGAGGCACGTGACAAAGTGCTTATTCGAGTTCAACGCTAAACGATCTCCATTGCGTTTATCAGAGATTTGTTGGCTGAAAGTTAATACCATCTAGCCGCTAAACAAAGGATGACGCTTGAAAGCCTGCTAGCAAGTCTGACCGCAAAAGAGGAACAACCTATTTCAAAAAGTTCTGCGAAATCTGGAGACGATGTCTCCGCGTTCCTCGCCGAGAATGACGCGGAATTGAAGAAGCTCATGGAAGAATTTAATCGTAGAGTAGCGGCGGCGGAAGGGGGTAGCTCTGCATATCAACCTGAAGTACCCAGTACGGAGATTGTGCCAGAACCAGGGTTTGTCATAAAGACGCATAACCAAACACAAGTGGGCGACTGGCCGGCTGGACTGAAGGTAGATACGCAAGCCTCTAGCGAATTTATGAACGCCATCGATCATCATGATGGGTTGATCTAGCGACTGATGGTCAAATTCATTGGCACCACAGGTGTTTATCAACATCTGTCATAGTCCACATGTCCCCGCCCCCCCGCTTGCTTCCGACGAAGAGATCCGCCGGGCAATCAATGCTGAAGACAACGCTGCATACAAAGTTCCACTGAGTTTAAGCTCCCCAAAGGCAGATCGTGACAAAAGTACGTCGAGCATACCTAGTGAATGATATCACATGGTGCTCACCGAAAATTTCCTTAGCCGGCAAAACGTGCTTGGTGTTTGATGCGTGTGTCAACACTGATCCCCTCAACAAAGCGTTGATGGATATGGATTTTAAGCTATTTTTGATCGAACTGTCCTTGGAGTGGGTGGAAGAGAAACACAAATTGGATCTCAGTAGAGGCACGTCGCATCAGCTTACATCCGTGCCCGACCCTGAATACAATATTAACATTCCAATCGCGTCACTCACCTCCAGAATTCACCATCCCGAAACTAAGAAGCAAAGGCCCACTCTCCAAGCACATCATCCGGCGCACCAAACGCCCTGTCATCGCCGAAGTGGATCCAAATCAGAAATCGACCCCAAAGCCCAAAGCCACCCCATCTGCATCCATAACCCCTATCTCGACGACAATTAAATCCAACAAGTTGCAAAAACTACCACAACCCGTATATACTATTGTTAAAGAACCACCTGAAGGTGAAACGGAGTACTTGGTGGTGGAAGTGTCTTTACCGGACATTGTAAGTCTCAGTACTGCAGACATCAGAATCCTCGTCCGTCGGCTAACATCCAAATACAGAAAACGACCAAAACCGCCTCCCTTGACATTGAAGAGCGTCAACTCATCTTGTCGATTCCTGATCGGTATTATCTGGAAGCCCCTTTACCCTCCGCGATAGATACGCGAGAAGGTGGGGCTCAGTTTGATCGTGGAAGACAGGTGTTGACGGTCACCCTAAAGTGCTGATTAGGCGAGGAGTCACAGGTAGTTCTGTACATAAGATTGGGTTGGGTTTGTGCATAATAAGATGGTGCAGCGAGTTTGCTTCGTAAATTAAAACATGTGCAAACGTGGGCGGCTCGACAACACGCAGTCTGAGCTATGCAAGAAAGAAAGTTTGAAAAATGTCAGAATGTAAATGGAGATATAATATTCAAAACTATAGGAATACAAAATGGCTGCGTTCGAAACGCAAGCTATGAAATGAGGTCTTCCCGCTCAGACCAGCCAAACGGACCAAACTAAGAAACATATGAAGCAACTTGCACGCACAAAATGAAGCTTGAAAGTCCCGTCACGCTCTACCTCTTCCAAAGTACCCAATAACAACACCAACAGCCACACATGCCAACCACCATACGAGGTTCCAAGGTAACTTTTTCAAAAAGGACACAACAGTCTGTGCAGCTGGACCCCGGAGTTTCTTCTCAAGGAGCATTCCGACTATTTTGCGTCCTGTGGCACTGTAGGCCAGAGGAGGGTATCGTATCGATACAAGTTTCTCCAACCCAGCTGGACGAATCATGGTTGAACGGGGATGAGTGTAGGCGAGGAACCCATGATGTCCGTGGTATTTTCCCATCCCAGAAGGACCAACACCTCCGAAAGGCAGTTCACCCACTGAAAAAGGATGACGACAGATTAGAAAACTTGGCACAAGAACAGAAGGTTTTCGGAATTGACAACTCACCCGCCATGTTCATGAACAAATCGTTTACGACGGTGTTTCCAGAGTCCGTTTTGGAAAGAACCGTAGAGATTGTCTTGTCAGATTTAGAAAACACGTACAACGCAAGAGGCTTGTCCCTTAATGGACGCAGTTGGCGTAAGCAACCTGTGTGATCTCAACGACTGCCCTTGTGATTCCAACCATACCTAGACCTAACATATTCAATGGCCTCATCTATATTCTTGATCTCAATGACCGGCAAAATGGGACCAAAGATCTCATCCTTCATAAGAGGGTTGGCAGAGTCATCTTTGCCAACACCGGTGACGACCGTCGGCTCAATGAATAACTCATTCCGATCGCAGAATCCTCCCACGGCGACTTTGCTCCCGGGAACTTTGAGCTGTTCGCTAAGCAAGCCGGCGAGTCTGTCAAAGTGGCGTTCGGCAATGATACGAGGGTAATCTTTACTTGAACGGATCTTCTCGCCATAGAGTTCGTTGAGGGCCGCCGAGCAAGCGGAGACAAATTTGGGGAGGACGTCCGGGGTAGCAAGGACGTAATCTGGTGCAATGCAAGTCTGAAAGACGGTGAGCTTCGGTCCAACCGGCTGTGCAATTTTCATCTCGTCGCTAAACACACCTGTCCACAGTTGACTGATTTGGCCCACATGAGTCTCTTTGCAACAACTTGGGCATCAGCGGTATCATCGATAATGACTGGGCTCTTTCCACCGAGTTCCAAGACAACGGGAGTAAGATGCTTGCTAGCGGCAGCCATGACAATCTTGCCAACCATTCCGTTGCCAGTGTAAAAGATGTGATCAAACTGCAATTCAAGGAGGCGCGTGGTCTCTGGAACGCCACCGTTGACGACGCGGATACAGTTGGGATCAAGGTACTTTTCAACGAGGAGAGTCATGACAGCTGCCGAAAAGGGGGCGACCTCTGATGGCTGCGAGGAAACGTGAGAATGACGGTCTCTAGGCCAAGATGTATGCAGTACAAGCTCGTACCTTGATCACCGCAGCGTTTCCAGCCGCAATAGCAGCCATAAAAGGTCCCAAGGTGAGTTGATACGCACTGATCAAGGTAGGGTTAGCTGCGAGCGACATGTTGTTTGCCAATTTCTTTGAAAACATACTAGTTCCAAGCACCAATGATCAACGCCACACCAAATGGTTCCCGTCTGATCTCACAGCGGTCCAAGGCATGCACGAGACCAGCGTTCACACGCTCCGGCTTTATCCATTCGTCAAGATTCTCCAACGCATCCACGACTTCATTCTTCAAGACCATCAAGTCAACAAGAAAGGCTTCGCCGGCAGACTGTTGAAACCAGGGTCATGTCCGGGCTACAATTTTGCTTCACGGTCTTCATCAAGAACCAACCTGCTTCTTGTCCAGGTATGCCGCTTGACACAAAATGTCCTCATTCTCGTCTAGCATTTTGTAGAGCTGCCGGAGCTGTTGTTTTCGCCATTTGATACTTTTGGTGACATCTGTGTTGTATCCTTGACGAACGGTTTCGACAATCTACACATGCGTGTCAGAAAGGAACCCAGCGACAACTATCTGCCCAATTTTCAACAAACCTTTTCAATCTTGTCCACCGGAGTGTACTCGAGCGTTGGGATAGTCATTGTGGTGTCAGGTGTGTTGGCAGCAATCATATTATGTCAAACTCTATTCAGTGACGAGGGGGAGATGCGTTGGAGACGGGCAGAACAGAGCAAAAAAACAAAATCTCTTCGAATGACCCCAAAACCAAAATGACGATGACAACCACGACAACGACGAGGAATTTTAAAAGCGACCGGCAGACGGGCGAAACTTTCATCAGCAGTGTGGCTTGGATGCGTGTTGTTGTAGCTATATTCGGATATGGTAAATGACGCTGCGCCACGCCGGAGTTTCTTGGCGCTGAGTCTCCGCGAAGGTTTTTTGAAGGGTTGAAGGGTGTTTGGATGGGGGATGTTGGGGGTTTGGTGAATGCCGAACGGGGAAGGATATTGGGGGTGTGCTTGGATCGTTGGGAGATGGGCGGGACGGAGGGGGGTTGGAGGACAAAGTCTACCGTGGATTTCCTGATGACGATGAAGATGGGGGGGGGGGCAGATCGGAACTCCTCAAGTACAACAACCACGGCGGGAGTCAAGGGTGACAACATTATAATATTTCCATAAGATACAAATATACTAGTAACACGCTCTTTGAGAGTACAAGCTATCAAGAAAATACACCACTTTCACGAAAACCTTTGCAACTTTCCAGCCTTCTTGAACAGTGTCACCCCAGCCCGGATCGACACGGCTCGTTGGGCCAAAATCTGCTGGTCAGCAGGTACGCCATCGACCCGGTAGGTTTTATCCTCTTGTAGTTCCGCGCAATCGGTCACTTGCCATTGCACACTCCACAATTTACCGACAGCAACTGCTTGTGCCCAGTGGACAGGATCCCATGGTGATGTGGAGTAATCTACTAATCCCTGTTTTCCGCCAAGGAGTGCAGACATGGCTTGATGGGAGATGTCAATGCCGTTGAGGGGACAGCCAGGGCAGCTGTCGACGATTTGCAGCACGACTCGGGTGCCGAGAAGAGTGTTTGTGACGGCGATGCATGTCCCGCAGACGTTCTTGGGCGACAGTGCTTGGAACTGTTGACTGTTCTGTTGGGGTCATTCCGTGTTGGCCACGTATTGCATGTCAGTGTAGATTTAGTTGCTATCGACAAAACGTTTACAAACATACCAATGCCGCAAACATGTTAAAGTTCTTTGGCACGAGGGGAGGTCGATCAGGAAACGTGCTATAACAAGCCCCGTACCATCCCCCATTCTCTGGTCCTATCGGTGGTGGGTCTAGTCCGCCCTGAATGGTCTTGTCTAGAAGACAGCGCACGTCAATATGTTACTATCCAAGCATTCATATAAAAATAGCGTGCTCCGAGATCACTGACATCCATCACCGTAGTAACTAGCGCTTCCCTGATACTGGATATCATACCACCGACGTTCAATCGAGGCATGGGTGGCAACAACGCAAGCTATGAGGAAGCGAAGGAGCACGACAAGAGCAGTTGTGTAAAACTTGGCTGACATCTTTACTTGGAGACGAGATGGGCGAATGGAGAGGTGTTTAGCTGCACACTATCTCAAAGTATCAGGCAAAAACAGAGAATGGAGAATCCAATATTCGTGTCCGAGCAGTACGGCACACGGAGCAAAAGTGGAAGAGGCACGCACTTTGAAGGAGGGGGGGAAAACATTGTGCTCTTTTAACAGTCTTTCGAGTCCACCTGCAGAACCCACAGAACCAATTTAAGAAACACAGATGACACTAGTCTGCTGCATCTACGCTGACCAAAGCACCTCCACCCATAAATATTCTACAGATTTTCTTTCGCCACTGTATGCCATGTCCAAAACAAAACACTCGTCCAGCTTCTGTCTTCTACGATCCCCAAGAGGGTGAAATCCCTATGCCGTAATCAATCCTGACGCTTAGGCAACGCGTTTCTGTTCGAGTCCCGCTGTGAGTTGAAAGAGTCCACTGCTTACTCAACGCGGGATGACGGCATACATCTGGTGGAAGAAGAAGCGAGCGGAAAAGGAGGTGTGCTGATGGTGTCATGGGGTGGGTGTTGGATAGGCGTTTGTAGAGGGGGTGTTAAAAAACCTAGTGTTTGTCTGTACTCTGTCGCCTGCAAAGCATCACTCGCAGCGGCAACTGCATCCCATTACACGTTTACATACCATGTATTCCATAAATTTGATTGCACTCTTCTTGCTCTTGTCACAATCTGTTTCCTGTACGTGCATTCAAGACGGAACAATCTCCGATGTACCGGCTTTTTGCGCGGATTGGGAGTCCATGTGCGCGGTCTTGTGCCAACGAGGGCAGTCGGCAATGGAGGTATAGACTTTTACTATGATTTTAGTATGCGCATGGCTCATGACAAAGTCGATACAGTGCACCCCCAACGACTCCAATCCCTTTGGTCTCACACTCAATTGCACATGTTCAAGTCACGATCTCACCAACACAACACTCGCCGCGCTGATTCCCGGAACCTGCTACACCCCCACAGCCACTAACCTAATTTCCAAGCTCCCAAAATCCAACGGTCCAACATGGGGGGATGTGGGATTGACGCGCAAGACGGGATGTGATCCCATCGTTGAAGATGGAACAGAGTGCCACCCTGCTCAGGATCGGCCGAAATGTTCGGGCCGGAGTTTTGTCCAGTGCATTCGTGAGTATGAATAGTTTTGCGCACAGCGTAGCATGCTGTATAATGAAAAATATCTGGCTCGGAATAGCGTCAACACCAACAACGGGCCGCTGGCTCAACATGGAGTGTCCGGCCGACAAGGCCTGTATCTCCACTCCGGGAGGGTTCACATGCGACCAGGCATCCAAAAGCGCCTGTCCGGTACAGGAGGACCTGTCACAAGAGATGGTTCACGCAAGAGAGAAGAGAAAGCTGCCATTGTTGTTGGCGATGAGAGGGGATGCTAGACCAGGTCCGGCCAGACTTTACGAATAAACAAAAATAGTTTACATATGTACAAAAGTCGTGCTTAGTTGTAAACAAATGATAAATAGCCGAAAGAACCACCACTTTCTGTCATCACGCTCTTTAATTCCTGTTATCCTCCACCTCGTTATACACAAACTTGACCAGCCGATATCTAATCAAAAACGCAAGACACGAACACAGTGCCTGGACAATCATTACAAAGGTAGCCAACCGCGGTTCGGACATAGGTCCGAACTTTACCAATAAGAGGTTCATGAGCGTGAGGTTGTTGGCTTGCACGGCTTCACCTGTTTTAGGGTCGCGTCGAATGTGAACGAGACGGAAGGTTCGCAGAATGCGGATCATGAGGCGGCCGAGTTTGCCAGTTTTGGATAGCGAGCACCATGTGGGTTCCAAGAGCTTGGTGGAGGAGTTGTAACTAAAAAACTTGGTGAGGGACGCACTACGAATGCAAAGCTTTATGAAGCACTTACCTAGGCATCCGATGCCTCGGGCACTCCACAAAATGAAACAATTGAGGGCACGAATAAATAAAGTTGAAAATCTGAGGCACCATAAAAAGCAAGACGGTTTTGCTAAAGTTGCCTAATATCCCGACCACGGCAAAGATCATTCCTGCAAAGTAGCAGAGTGTATCCCCCCCGAATGCACGTGCGGGGTACCTGCATCCTACTGTCAGCTCCAAATCACAAAATCCACGGTATCAACACGATACGTACCAGTTGTGCTTTAAAAACCCCAATGTCACTCCAATAAAGGGAAGAACAAAATACAGTGACGTCAAATGCGCTTCGGCACGCGCGGGATTGCGATGTAGTTGGAGGAAATCGTTTGCAGCGATCGACAGCGCAATGACGAGGGACTGCCCGGCTTCCACGCCATTGACACCTGCTAGGATGTTGATTGCGTTCGTCGAAAAGATGGCCAGAGCGGCCATAAACGCATAGTAAAAGATGCCTAAAGAAACGAGTCAATACTTGATTACAATGTATACAATTGCTGCACGTACCAAGATGTAACATTTTTTGCCCAAATAGGGATCGGAGCGGGATAGGCACAACAACATCTGTTCCACCATATGTAACGCAGTAGACCATGAGAAGCGGCATAGACGCAATCAAGGGTAGCCAGATCTTGACCCGCCATCGAATATCGAGCACATCATCCGCAAATCCCAGAAAGAGCATACTCATGAGTGACAAGAGTCCACCCAGAAATTGTGCAAACTAGAAAGAAATCAGACGACGCGGATAGATGAAAGGCATGCGAATGCATGTACCTTATTATGCGGGAAATCCGCCAACGCGTACTCTGAATCCCGGAACCATCCAATAAAAGGTACTGGAATAAAAACAAACATGACGATAAAGTATACGACGCCAGCGATCGCGCCCATGCTCTCTGGTCTACAACTACAAGTCAATACCCATCACATACGATTTCCAAGAACATAAAACATACATGACCGGTCTCCCCTCCTTCAACAAATCCTTCCCGGACCGTCCATGAGCTATAAAAACGTCGCTGACGAGGGGAATCGCTTTGTAGGTACCCAGGCCGGCAAGAACCGAAAGACAAAGGGAGACGACCAGGGGGTTATGTATCCCCGCAACCATGACCGCCATCAAAAGACTGGGTGGGCCAAACGCCCATATACCCTGGTTCATCTTGCCCGTCGAGAATTCACAACGGAAGGACGACGCCCGTTGCTTACCTGAGGAGGTCCGCATCTGATGTTGCTATAGCAACAAGACGACCGTCCTACTAAGCCACACTGGGCAAGTTGGAACGTGGCCGACGACGACGGGCTGCCCAGTAGATTCCATTTGTTCCATCAGTGCTTTTGAGAAGCCAGAGTTTATTGGATTGTTGGTGTCGTTTTCCTTTGAGTTTGCCAGGCTGCTTTGTGGGATATTGACACGTTCACGGTTCTTTGCAGGTTGCGTTTGGGGTTGTTTCCTGTGATATTTTGGGTAAACGGTGCACTTACGGTACGCACCAAGATGGTGAGTTTTGTTTCTCATTTGCAAAAAGTGTTGACATCAGAACTCACGACTTGACATTCAGGCAGCAGGCACTGCACTCACATTTGACACGCAACACGAGGACCTGATAGTAAGTTGAACACTGTGTTCGTAACTCAAACATACCACAGACACTGACACCCCGACCAGCACGATGCGCAGGTTGATTACTATGGCAAGCGACTAGCGACCTGTTCTTCCGACCGTACGGTAAAGATCTACGAAATAGAGGGGGATGCCCATCGGTTGGTGGACACCTTGCGAGGGTACGTTCGGCTCAAAGCAACGATAAGACAGCAGAATAAGATGCTAATAGAAAAACAGACACGACGGTCCCGTCTGGCAAATCTCGTGGGCACATCCTAAATTCGGGAACGTCCTCGCGTCTTGCTCGTATGATTCCAAAGTGTGTGTTTGGAAGGAGACGAATGGACAGTGGTCACGGGTATGGGAACATAAGAAGCATGGAGCTTCGGGTACGTTTGAGCTGGCAGGTTGAGTGTGTGCGCAAGAGCTCATTGTGGATTTTGCGACTAGTGAACTCGATTGCATGGGCGCCGCATGAGTTTGGGTTGACACTGGCGGCTGCATCATCAGATGGAAAGGTGTCAATTGCATCCTGCAAGGGTACGTTCCTTCTTTTACATGTTGTTGTACAAACCCATCATAACAAAATACTATAGATGACGGTACATGGGACGTGAATGCCTTCCCTGCCCACTCAATCGGGTGTAACTCTGTGACGTGGGCTCCGGCCACCACACCGGGCACATTGATCCAAGTCACCGGCGCCGCCCCGCCAACTCTCGTAAAACGGTTTGCAACAGCCGGATGCGATAATTTGATCAAGATTTGGCGGTGCGTATATTTTATGGTCATCTTGGGTACAGTACAAGGTTTTAATGTCGATACGCAGAGAAGAGAATGGACAGTGGAAGGAGGACGCGACTTTGGAAGGTCACACGGATTGGGTTAGAGATATTGCATGGGCTCCCAACATTGGATTACCTACCAGCTACCTCGCCAGTTGTTCTCAGGTACGCCTGTACGCGTATCCCTCCTCATCTTTCCTCAACCGCATTTCCTAACACATTAAAAACAGGACAAGACCGTTCTCATTTGGACACAAGAAGATCCCAAAGCCCACTGGTCCAAGCGTCCTTTAAAAGCCGACCCCTTCTCTGATGTCGTCTGGCGCGTCAGTTGGTCGACCAGTGGAAATATTTTGGCAGTGTCGTGCGGGGATAATAAGGTATCGCTTTGGAAAGAGAATTTGGATGGGGAATGGGGGGTTGTCGGGTCTGAAGTCGAAGGCATTGCGCAGTAAAATTGTGTATTCGGACCGTCAACAGTGGTTTCGCTTCCCATTCCTTTCTGTTTTTGTTTTGCATTACTTGAATCCGTACAGAAAATTTATTGAAAATATAAAAAATGTCCTAGAAATTGCTATCCAATCTATGTAACCTAATCAAATCTATGCACACATCTAAACTGCTCCACTGGTTCTGACTTTATTCAACCCAACATAATCACCCTTGATACCTCCTCTTTCAAGCATTTGCGCAAAAGTTGAGCGAACCCACTGGCGAGTGGTCACTTTCCAACTCAACCTCCACAAACTCCTCACCCATCCGTTTTCGGTTCTTCCCCACCCTCCTTCGGCTCTTGCGTCCGTCATGACACGCGAACAGGGGCCGATACGGAGGTTATCAAATTCGCGAGCGAGATTGCCGAGTGCCGTTTCGGTGGAGGTGTGATCGTTGCTTAGGTGCTTTGCGATAAGTTTAGCCAAAAGAGCTGCGTCTGTAATGGCAAGACCTCCACCGACGGAACCATTGGCGTTGGTGGCGACGGGGTGAGCAGCGTCACCAATGAGGATAACGCGTCCGGGATGAAAGTTGGGTGAGGTGGTGCTTTCCGGGTACTCTTGTGCCAAGTCCAGAATATCTTGTGCGTAGATAGAACCTGCGTCGGAATGCGCAATCAGAGATAGAACAGTGGTAGGAAGTGAAGGGTGACGGGAAACAAGGGACAGAGCGAGTCCTTGGGCTCGAATGTGAGAGAGGCGGGTGACTGGGTCATTCGGGGAGGGTGGGGCGAGTTTGGAAGCCAAGAGCTCTTCACGCTGGAGACGGAGTTGGCGCTCAAACGCCGTTTCCATCCTCTTGCGGGTGCGGGGGGTTGTGGGAGGGGAGGTGGGTGCAGAGGTAGGCGGGGTGTCCAGCGACGTGGCCTGGAGGCTGGTTGTGATCGAGTCGACGGCGGTCTTATCGCTCGAGACGCTAGGCACGGGGGAAGCGCTCCGGGAAGAATGGCCACTGGAAGGGCCGCTTGAGGGCACATCTGTGGAGATTTGCTCCAGTCGAAATGGGTCTGTACCAGACGAAGACGCCTGCCCCATTTGTCTCCGCTCTTGTTCTTCCGCAGCAAATTGGGTAGTGTGAAAGTGAGGCTCAGGCTGCGCAACAACAAGATTCCAGCCCAACATGCCGTTCCCGAGATTGTTCACCCCAAAAGCGACGCCGCGCCCAACAATCCCTACCGCGTTTCCATCTGGGCAAAATGCTGTCAATTCACTCATCTTGGATTGTGGGAGAGGGTTCCCGTCCGCGTATTCTGTGGGCATGTCCAAGGGAGGATGGGAAAGATTGGCGATACCGTAAACAACGGCCGCACCAGCATGCTGGGCAGGGTACCGATTAGAACCGAGAAGCTCTCTCACTTTAGAATGAAGACCATCTGCACCAATGAGCATAAATCCTTGTTCCACCACGCCGTTTGTAAATTTCACCGTGACCTTTCCGGTTGATGCAGAGATGAGAAACGAGTCCAGTTCGTATCCAAGATGGAGATCGGGGACGAGGTCCGCGTAGCCTTCATCATGGAACCATGTGTTTCCCCACGCCAGATCGGCGTCAATGCCTTCTGGTATGCCTTCAGGTGTGCTACCTTGAGAATTGTTGGCGGCGGTTGGCACAAAAGAGCCATCGAGTAAGTCGTCTCGGATATCCGACAGGGCCAACAAAAGGGTGCGGATCACATCAACCTTGCGAATACCAATCATGGCTGGGATACCACCGGCCGTGTTGCCAGCTTCTGGGTCCTGTATCTGCTCCTTTTCTGGCAGGCCAGTGAGAGGATCGATGGGGGGATAGTGGACCAACAGCTCATTAGTATCTGCGTCTACTGCCTTTAAGTTATCAATGGGCATGGAAATCCGTGAGAGGCGCTTTCCGAGCCCAAGTTCCAGAAGCACATCAATGGCCCAGCGCCAGAGAATCCAGTGTGAGGACGTATTTTCGCCCGGGTAAGGTGAATTGGATGCTTCGTAAATGATTGGCCGCAAACTGAGACCTGTGAGCGCGGCCACTCGCCTGATGGCAAGTGCGGCCGTGAGACCAGCAATGCCTCCTCCCATGATGAGGACCTTGTTCTCCTCCCCCTTTAGAGGGTGAAGCGATACGTCCGTTTGCTCTCCCATCATTCTTTCCGCCGTCGTCGTTGTGCCCAAATGGAAAAAGATAAGTTGCGAAAAGGAGCCCCAAAAACGCTGAGCGGAGATCTTGCCGCATATCATGTGCTATCACGTGGGTGTGGCGCATGAAAGCTGAGTTTTCGTAAAGTCGACTGCAGCACCCACTGCAAAGGAAATACCAATATCCAATACAAACATATACAGAAGAGCATATGAAATATATCCAGGTATGAACCCGGCGATGGGGATGGACGCTGTTGGTTTTCATTCGTCGTTGTTGTCGCCTGTGTGAGCTGATGACTGGTCTGCTCACTATGGCCAGTTGAAAGTCTGCACTGTTACTTGGATTGGCATGTGCAGCAGAATCTAGGTGGTAAAATCAGTGCCAGGTTGATGTGACTCTTGTTAAGCTTCATTTTCCTGTGAATAAAAATTACCAATTCGTGCCACGCTGTAAAGTTATGGGTTTGCAGATCAAAGACTTGGTCGTGAGAGGTTTATCCTTGCCACGCATCCACCTATTCTGGATTCCACTCGTCATGATAAGGAAGATAGACCATAGTGGCAACTAAGGAAGCAAATGGCCTTTAAAAAAGCAAGTGGACGATATGAAAGGTATCGGTTTTGGTTCAGGATGCAATGCGACAGGGATTGAAGATATGGATAGGACATTGAAATACATACAATAGAGAATCGTGTTTCTTCTACTTTATTAGTATAGCAATGCGACGTTTTATATACAATGGCCTTTGATGCATCTGCAGGACAAACTCAGTAGCTACAAAGGACCATCATATACCTCATCGTGGGCGGCTGTCCGACTGTACATGTCGTGATATGGAAGCACACATTGCCACTAATCTTCATGTTCATCGCTTGGCTCCAGAAGGCAGGTGCTTTACTACCAGCCAAGCCAAGTTAATCTTGAGTCTTCAGGCGACATTGCATCCTTGATGGTGCTCCCAAATTCGAGCATGGTTACTATTTACTGTATAAAGCAAAATCGTTCCGAAGCCAGCTATGGATGTGTATGTGCTTGGAATGAAGGATACCTGTTTCTGCTCGGTGATCTGATCTTGTGAGTGCCGTAGCTCACGAGGAATCCAGAGTGCGTCTTTCAGGTTCTGTCCAATGTAATCGTTGCAATGGTCTCTGCAACCCCAGCCATCGTGACCGGCTGTTTGTAAATCAGCAACGGAAACGTGAGGCTCGTTTGTACGTTGATCAACTCATTCGCCAATATAGATTCAAATGTTATCGACAGTGAGATTCATCTTTTTCAGCAACCGGGCAGTAGCAATCTTCACCACGACCCACAATCTTTGCGAAGCCAATGGAAACTGCCCACCAGCGCAACGCTGTTGCGCACTCTGGCATCAACAGACAGCAGCAAGTAGTGGAAAAGCAAGATTAGCCCTCTTGCTAAGTGTAATATTGCGCATTGATCACTCTGCAGGTAATCCCGATTATACAGCGGGAACGCAGGGAGCCATCATAGATCCATGCCTTTAGTACTGCTATGCCAAATCTTTGACTACCAGAACATACAACTTGGGGGGTACAGTAGCAGAGGATATTGGAGTGCGCCTACCAGCTCGCTGAGGGAGAATTTCTTGGTTGTCACCACCATGGAGGACACTAAGATACCCCCAATACTCAACTTGTAGCCCCAGAAGCGGCTCAGAACTGTTTCTCCACCATGGCAGTCATCCATTATGTAACGCATCGTCCCAACATGAAAAGCCACGTCAAGCCTCTCGATCGGGGCTTACGCACGCGCCAGCTGTCAAAGTCAGACGGTCGCAAGCTTCAAAGGACGCCCCCCACGCGGTTTCCTCCTTTCTTTTCTTCACCATTTACCGGCCTGCTCTTCGAGGCACCACTGCTCCTTCTCTTCTCGTTACCGCACCAATTTGCCGTCTCCGCAACAACCAAGATGGCCCCCACAATGCAGCAGCCCTCTCGTCACGACGACGGCTACCCTTGGATGTATTCGAGCAACAGCTTTGCAGGTCCGGGATCAATCGACCGGCTCGGCCTCCAGATGGCCTCCTGGGTCTATGGGTGGATCCAAGCGCTTCAGAGAGACCCAAACACACCGCTGGGAACTCCAGGTTACCAGTACTGGCTGTGCGATACGACCACGAGACCATACGCGGTGGGCCAGCCCCTCGCAGCGCACATTGCGGAACCCTACAATAGAGCCACCGATGGCGGAGAAGCGGCGGCGGGGATAGTTGCCGATGCAAAAAAAGCTGGAAACAGGGGACGTGACGTCCCCTGCGCGGCCTGGCTCAACGCCGGCTTCCCGCAATATGCCGACGGAGCACCCAATACGGCTTCCTTCATCCCATGGCCGTGTCGTGCAGCCCACCACTTTGCGTCCATCGCCATCGAATCCACTCGAGACTTGCTGCTTGCCCAAGCGGACGTGCCCGATTGTTGCGTGAAACCCCTCAACCCCTCATATTTCGAGTACGCCTACTACAGTTTCCGTGCGTCATGGCTGAAAAGGGCCGCGGAATCCTTTACCGCCCTTTACGTAACCAGAATGTCCGATGCGGTGAACCCAGGAACGTTAGCGCCGGACGCTTCAGACCAAATCTGGTTCTGCACCAACGTTGGCGGCAGAGCCTACGTCATTTGGGTCGTCGACGACTACGGCCACGAAGCTCTCCCCACCGATCGCCTTCAGCTGTGGTAGAGCAACGCTTCAGGCACGTTTTCTTCCAAAGGGAGATGTAGCGACGGAGAGGACCATAAAAGTCGCTTGAGGCTTTAGGCAACCAAGAGCACCTGATCGCGCTTCTAAGCAGTTGGGCAAAGTTATCGGGCGTCATTGAGGGGATACCGTGCCATAATTCCGTAACGGTGGTTTCATTAAAGGGATATGAACATCTGTTTAATTAGGAAAGAGATCTATCAGATACCGCTGGATACATTTAGCGAACCACATCAGGCATTCATAGCATAATTCTTTAGGTAGAAGAGCGTATAAAAGAAACACATTGATGGAGAAAGTCTCGGCAGGAAAATATAACCGCAAGCAACATCGCAAGCCAAGGCTAGCGCTCACAAACTCGAACTTTTGGTTAACAGGAACCCGGCTGCACGCTAATAAAACCTGCAAAGGACCTACCTTGAATCCGTTACATGGTGGGAATCGGGCAGAGAAAGAGGGGCTTCCTCCATATCTGGATTACCTGATTGAATAGTGGACGTTGAGTATATTTATGCAAACCCGGAAGAACGATGTGGAGAATTAAGCTCTGAAAAGGTGGACACCAGCGAACTCATGCGAAACTTTTGAGGGCAACATACATGCGATCATACATGCGATACTTGGGACGAAACTTTACATGGTATCGCTGATAGTCTTGCTGACGGAAGCTTTTCAAAATGAAGATTCCTGGAGGTATCAAAGGGAAACTTCTACCCAGCATTATCACATCTTCAAGCGCATAACCCTTTGTTTTCAGGGCCACTTACAGAAAGATATGTGCACTCTTCCCCTGAGATATACTTTATGACATTTCTCCGCAGATGCACATCTTTACATTGTTTGTTGATATGGCTCATTCATTCCAGCTTGAACAGGGTCTTTTATGCTGTCCGCCATTTTCAAAGGAAACTTTCTCTGGTAGAGGCTCTCACAAAGAAGGTCCCTAACTTGCCCATTGATTACGGTCACATCTGCAACCCAGTGCGAGCCTGAATAAGGTGTAAAGGCGCAAGACGGAGAAAGAAAAGAGAATAGTACCACTTGCTTGGTTCTTTTGGCACTTGCCCATGAAGTTACTTCTGAAATGAATAGCATTCATATATTTAACGCATCAAAGATTGCTTTTGAATTCAGAGAGTTTGCATAGTAGCGATATTTGTCGTGACAATGGTCGTTAAACTCGATACATCGGCACTTGCTTGAGGATGTTTTGGCTCCCGCAGACAAGCACCTTGGCAAGGTCTACCAACCAACCGGCATTTACGAGATCTGCGTTTCGGGATCGCACGCCAGCATTCTCAATGTTGCGGATTGCACTCGTCGCCCTTCTCTCGAAAGCTTTACCGGGAAAGTCTCCGTTTACCTCATGGCCGGCGTAATAGCCTCGTCCCAAAGGACAATGAGTTTTGCTGAAAGCGTCTGGATGCAGACAGATGTGCCCGGGTTGACAATCGTTTATCTCTTTATGCCAATCCGAATTGTACTCGTTTAGTGAGGTGCCCTCCCTTCTTACAATAGAAAGCGTTTCCCAGCCCGTGAACTCAGGTTCCATACTCATTAGAGTATTAAGCGTAGCAGGATGATCCTAAATCAGCTGCTGCTGGAACATCGGACAGCTGGTGATCTGTTGCCGGTGCGTTTCCTTGGTCTTGTATGAAAGGTATGAAATTCTGGATACTGGGGGTGGTACCATTCTCGACCTGTATCTCTATCTGGTATATGCTCATCCCGCGCGGTCCTCTTTGCAAGCCGCAGACTACTGGAGGAACCGAGCTCAGTAAAAATGGTAGAAGTATAATCGCAAACTAGTTTCTACAGATATATTACAGTTAGGTCCAGCTGAGCGATTGGTCTTGACACTGTTTGGGCAGGTACATATCGTTGCTCACCGACAGTCAATTTGGTAATATTGCCAGGGCCCAATACCCAATAAGGGCAAGCAAGATCTGCATTATCCGAAGCTTTGCATGTTGGTTGCACATACTGTCGTTTATAGAAACCTTTTCAGAAAGATGTATCAAGAGCAGCCAAACAGTAGTTAATGGGTAACTTCTGCTGCGAATCTGATTAAATCTGTGTGCAATAGCAGTATTCCTCCCTTGGGTTCCGTGACATGTTCAACGAGAACAACAGGACCGACAAGCTGTCATACAGCTATACAGATTCACTTTACTTGTAACCATATGGCAAGTTACCTGACTCGATGGATTAAAAACTGCTACGAAAAAAGTCAAAAACTTGAGCCTCCTGGATGGGTGGTTTTTACACTGCACACCCTCAGCTTTAGCGAGCATCGATGGGCTACAACCAATGTCATTCACCCTAATCCCTGCGTCCCTGCGATAACACTGCAGAATTCCACCGCCTTAATGCAGCCCGATCAAGGGACCATCAGGTACGATGGCATGCATAAAAGCTTATTTTCCCTGAACATGAATGTTGCTTCCCAACCCTTCTCCATCATCACATGGCACGTCTGAAGACCTCCGCAATGCTGACTAATATTACATAAGCAAAGGCACAGCCATGCACTCAGCCCAAACGAATTTTGCAACTCAGCCGCTTTGGTTTTTATCCTACGGGTTGAAGGTGTGTGTGAGATTTTCCCCATTTTTTTAAAACGGCTTGGGGGAATCAACGCAAACGGAACTTGCATCTCGACATGACAGCGACAATGGCAATGCCGACGATGCGCTGGTGTTTCTGGCTCCTGAGTGCGTGCTTGCTATGGACGGTGCGAGCAGACATTGAGGTCCCCCTCGGTATCCCAAACCCAACCTCGCTCCAAAACCACAAGACCTTTTACGAGGGCTCTGGTTACAAGCACGCCTTTCACTGGAGCATTGAAAATGCAGGAACTCCCAACCAGACGCTGCATGGGATTCTCGAACTGAATGGGAACAATATGAAATGGGCTTGGATAGGGTTGGGTTGGGGACGCACTATGCTCGACGCTCAGTTTATCGTATGTCACCAACTCGCGGGTCAGAGCATTGAAATGCATGAACACGAGTCGACCGGCGCTTACAAACCCCCGGTAAGATTCCACACCAAACGGTGGCCAACATTAGCTAGTGACGAGTTGTGCTCTCCATATAATGTATTGCAACTGAGCAAGAAAAAGAAAGGCAAACTATGGCATGCAAAAAGAGACATGCCATTGGTGAAGGGTGGGACACCCCATCGGGCGACCGTGGAAAGTTGCAGCTTTATTCAATTCCGCATATGACTTTTGGTTGCAGTTGAAGAATGCTAGAGCCCATGATGTTCACAATTGAATGCTGGCTGTCGCCTCATTTTCTCACAACATCTCGACATGGTGACCGATTCTATGATAATCCGGTTCAATTTTGGCGGCGATCTCATGTCTCTTCTCCTATTTCGATCTAGCAGTATCACTACTACGGTGCGCAAGTCACCATTCCTATCCGTGGTGCCTTCAACAACAACACATTGCTATGCGAATTTAACCGAAAGACCGACCCAAACGACGGCATTCATATCAACCTGAACCTGAACAGTTTCACCGATGTCATCTGGGCATTCAATCCAAATTCCGCCAAAAACTATGAAGAAAAATGGTTCTCGTACCATGAAAAGGACCATCGTGGGGCGGCTCAGGCGGATTTGGTCGGTGGAAGCATTGTTTCCATCCCTGCAAAATCCATTGAACGCAAACAACTTCACGGATTCGGCATGATGGCCGTCTGGTTGGGGCTCTTTCCCTTTTCGGTTTACTATGCTCGTTACTTGCGCTCCACGGTCGGATGGCTTTTTGTCCATCTCACCCTCCAAGTCCTCGGCATCATAGGCATCATTGCCTTCTTTGTCATCATTCTGACCGAATACATCGCTCTGAGCCGGCCGCACGCCATCCTTGGATTGATCCTGATCAGCTTTATTGCCGTCCAGCTCGTGCTCGGCATATGCAATATTTTAGGTCTGTCCAACGAAAGCTTGTCACGAGTTCGCAAATGGGTCCGCCGGTCGCATAATCTCCTTGGTGCTGCTCTCATCCTCACCGCCGTCGCGCAGGTCGCTCTCGGCTTGGAGACCTTGTTCCCCTGGGTGGAGCCCCGCGGAAAAGGCGCATGGGCAGTCTTCTTTGCTCTCGTGGCGTTTTGGGTAACTGCTTTCATAGGCACCGAAGCCTTTTTCTGGATCAGTGTCCGTCGCACAGATATCGGAATGCCGCAAAAACAAATGGTGCAGAAATCAGACAAACCCTTTGCGACCAAGGTGGAGCGCGGAGGAACTTCTGTGACCCTTACTGAAACGACGGTTCCGTTGGATCACACCCAAATTCGCCCGGATATGCCTAGGTTTACGTGGGCGACTTTGAACCAGGCTGTCATGAATGGCGAGCTCTTGGTCGTCGCCAATGGACGCTATGTCTACTCTATTGCACAGTGGATGACAAGTCACCCTGGTGGTCAGCTCATTCTTCATGCTGTGAACGGAACAGACATTACCAATGACTACGTAAGTACCCGATCTATGCACCGTCTGCACTGGTATTGTTAACTCACATCCTTCCAGTTCCACGAAGCTGGCTTCGATGCTGAAGAATTTGTGCCCAAACCTGAGGCACCTGCCCAACGTGCTGAACGCACTCAGGCGACTCTTCACCGCCAAGCTGCCTCTATTGCCAGCAGCGAAGTTACCGCCGGTTACAGACAATCCAGTATTGTCCAGGAAATGAAACTATCTCCCCTGATGGCGGAGCGAGACTGGCGATTGGTCGTCCGCTCCCGTCGGACCCATGTACATACGCGTCTCGCGATTCAAAAACTGAGCAAAATGCTTGTAGGAGAGCTTGTCCCGGACCTGGACCAACCTTACGCGAACATTGACGCAGATGCCGCCAGTACGGGCCGCACGTTTGATCCAAACGAGTATCGTCGGTACGCTCTCGTCGAAAACAGTCCTATTACCCAAGGTGCCTCCATTTACAAGTTCCGATTCTGTCTGTTGTACCCGTACGACGTCCGCGACGGCGAGCCACTTGGCTTCTTACCCGGACAAGCCATTGAAATCCAAGCCCGCATCAACGGCCGACTGATCACGCGCTTCTATTCTCCGCAGACAGACGGCAATCTCTCTGTATTTGAAATTGATGTCAAGATTTACCCTCACGGCACGATGACGCAGTATCTCGTTAAACAGAAACCTGGAGACCGCCAGTTCAAGATCCGTGGTCCGTTTGGGACACCCCTCGTGAACCCGGAGCGACCCCTCCATCTTGGATCATCGGACTGGGTACCCCGTCGCTTGATCTTCATTGCGGGTGGAACGGGCATCACACCATTTTTACAATTGATAAAGTACCTCCTCCTCCCTGTTTTGGAACCCCTCCGCGTCACTACCGACTATGCAGCGACACTCGAGGATGAACTGACTCTTACCAGAGGTGACAGAGTCCTTGTCAAACATCACTACTTTGATGGATGGGCAATTGGCGTCAACGTCCGCACCGGCATGGAAGGCGCCTTCCCGCTCACTGTCACTTCTCCCCGCTGCTCATCCCACGTTTCCATCACGTTGATTCACGGTGTGCAAACAGCGTCAGAAACGATCCTTGGAAACGAGTTCATCGAGGGTGCCTTGTTGGCTTATGCGGATTGCATCCAGGTCCATCGTTTCATTGCCGATGGAACTCTACCTGCCGATGGAGCCGCCACGGGTATCATCTATCCAGCACGATTGGGTGCACCAGACTTGGAAAGCATTTTGAGACAACGGTGGCCTCTGGATGATGAGCAAGAAGAGGTGGAGAGGAAACGGATGTTTGTGTGTGGACCCACTGGATTTGATTCGTGGGTAGTCGACGTCGTCTCGGAAATCGGTGTGGATACGCGCTGCCTGACTGTATTGCCCAGTGATCGGGTCATTTAGAAAATTCGTCGTATTTTCTTTTTTTATTTGTTTGAATCTTGTTGTTTGGACAGTTCATGTACTGGATATTTCTATTTTCGTAAAAACTCTGCTGCAATTTTATAGTATATATATTATACAAAAACGTTTTCCCCAGCTGGGTATAAATTACATCATATTTCCAAACATGCCTGCATATTGCATGGCACGTACTGGTGGATGCTACACAAAAGGAAAAGCACAACACAAGGTTAATACACTTGACCACTACAAGCGATTTCCTCACATGTGCTTCCATACCTCTACAGCCGCAAACTGGTGATAGGTGAGCTTGCGATCTGGCGTTACATGGATATATGCCCCCTTGTTCCCTACACTATCGCAGTAATTCGGCGCACTGAAAATTGTGATACCTAACAACCAAACGTTAAACGAGAGTGCCACAATACATTACAACACCCTCCAAGTAACTCACATTTCCCATCATGATCCACTTGATATCCTTCCTGCTTAACTTCATGACTCCGAATCAAGACTTCCAATCCATTCCTTTCTAGGAATGATTTCGTGACATCTGGTCCAAATTGGATGCCTACACCACGTTTGGAGGGAGATCGGCCTGGAAGGGGTTGCGGGTCAGACCACAAAAGCTCGCACATCAGACCTTCGGAGCCAGGTTGCTTGAAGCGATCGATTTGACGGAGCTGTGCTTTGGGCGTCAAAAGTAGGAAACGGAACAAAAAGCAAAAAAGAACAACGCACCTCATCCAACGTCACATCATCCCGACTAAATAACCCTCCGTGTACCACCAAAATCTTCTCATTCACCACATTTCCAATCGGCACCGCATTGAAAATCTCACTGAACAACTTGAACGCTGCCTCAGAGTATTTTGCCTTAACCTCCCCTTCGAACCCGTACACCTTATTCATATCATCCGTCTCATGGTTCCCGCGACTTAGGAATATGGAGTTGGGGTAGAGGAGCTTGAATGCAAAGAGCGTCGTAACGCACTCCACGCTAAACGAGCCACGGTCGACGAAATCGCCGTTCCATAGGTACGCGTTCGTAGGTGATGGTAGACCGTTCAGATCAAACACGTGGAGGAGATCGTAGAATTGGCCGTGAATGTCTCCGCAGATGGTGAGTTTACCACCAGAGGGCACCGTGACATCCACAATGGGTGGTTCAGCCTCAAAGAGCTTTTTGGCTTTCAGGAGGATGGTATAAAGGTACTTTTTGTGCAACTTTTTTTGTTGGCGTAAATGTTCCAGCAGTTGTGTCACGAATTCGAGCGTTACTCCTTCGTCACCCAATCTTGGCCCATCATAGCTCGCCTCAACGACCATACTCTCCACATCCCCAATCAATTCCTCTGCAGATCGCTTCCGATCTTCGAACGCGATGGCTGCTTCAAACGTCCGGCGCTTGAGCTCTTTTTCGCATTCACTGAGCTTCTTGCGTGCGTCTGTGTCATTTGGCGCTACGCGACAAACGGCTCGAAAGTCCTTGACGGCTTCCTTTACTTTGCCTAATGCCATGTTCCCTACGGCTCGGCGGTAGTAGCCCTTGATGTAGGATGGGTCCAGTGAGATCGCCCGATCGGCATCCTGAATCGCTGCGCCGTAGAACTCGGATCGAATGTATGCTATAACAACGTTCACTACCTGCTCTCATGAACATGATAGCCAAATCATGTATTACCCACCAAACGCTCGATTCGCATAATAAGCAGCTACATTCGGGTTATGCGATATCGCCTCTGTATATCGCTCCACAGCCTCGTCGTACTTTTTAGCCGCAAAGCACTTGTTGGCGGCTTCTTTTGCCTACCATGCAGAAAGAAATTAACCTCCAAACACTGGAAAGACATACAAACGGAGCATACAGTTTCCGCTTTTTGCTTGTCACTATCAGAAACGGGGAGTGGGAGGACCTCATCTGTAGAGCTGCTGGCTCTTGTTGCGGTGCGGTTTTGGCTGTCGGTGGGATCGTCTAGCACGTGGGCAGTCATGATGGCAAATCTTGTTTAAATAAAACAAAACGAATATAAGGAAACAATCTAACAACGATCCGTGAAATGTCCAACAAGAATCTTGCAGTCGGCCAAGGGTTGAAGGTGAGCTTGCATATGGTTGTTGCTACGTAACCCGTGGCACAGCACAGTCCTCCATACAGAAGTGGATGGGCAACCATACGGCAACGAATTATAATATACAATACATCGTCTACGACAAAAACCACATCGTCATTACTATACAAATTGGAATGGTCCAGCGCCTATGAACCTTGAACTACTTCTGCTTGTCCCGGTTCACAAGCTTCATCCCCAAGATAGCCAAAAGGGCCCAGCCCAGTCCAATATACACAATACTCACTAACGCAGTCGCGTAATTACCGCTGTCGTATGCACCCTGCCGGAGAGGCATCGTGTGGAGCTCTATCCATGGTCGTGCGCCCGCCTCCTTGATGTACCACGCTTCAATGGCCCAGCGGGGTGCGGAGACAGACCAGAGCCATCGGATGGGAGCGTAGAAGCCTGTTTGCATGACATTTTGCAATTGGGGGTTGACTCCTCCAAACACTACGTATAAACCACACTAATGAGTACGCAGAGTAGATAAGAGACAGTGAGAACGTCAAACACTTACACATGGACCAGAGAAGAACAAAACCAGTTGCTGCGAGAGCAACAGATTGTGGTTTGATGACAGACGACAAAAAGTAACCTAGATAGATCGTGTCAGGATGCCCTGTCTCTTGCGCGACCAGCACAACATGAGCGACCTACCCATGGAGAAAGCAGCAAAGTACAAAACGAGAACCAGATCGAAAATCTCAAATAGCCTTTGGCGGAATGGGAGGAACAAAATCAATGCAAGCGTGTACATGATCGCTGCAATGATAATTCGGGGAATATCCGCTATCCATTTCGCCATAAAGTACGGCAAGGTCGCCATGCCGCTACTGGCATCACGCCAATACACGACGCGTTCCCGACCAAAGGTCCCTGCGCCCACAGCCACGCCCCCGAACAGTAGGCCAAGACATATAAACATGCCGCTTCCAGGAAGTTGATCGACTGCTTTCTGACATCCGGGGCCCTGGCTCAAAGCAGGCGGTGCTTGCCGGCAAACAGCCTGTGGGTATAGACCGAGATAGTCGTTGGCTTGTGTGCCGACCTATCACCATGTTAATCGTGAGCAATGCTGCACGTACACCAAACTCTCATGCGCCAATTCTCCTACCGAGATGAATATGCCGCAGAGCAGATGTACCACTTGGTCAAACCAAAAGGCTCCCGGATTCCTGTACAACTGCAAAACACAAGATATTAGAATTGCAGACTTTGTCTCCGCAACAACGCAGTAGGATGGCCCACCTGAGTACAGGCCCTTAGGTAACAGAGATAAAAGACGGTAAAAGGATTGGGCGTTCTTCTAACGGGATCTTTCGTGAACAATCCTCGCACTGTATCACGCATTTCGCCGCCAACATCAGCAAAGTAGGCGCCGATGGACCGTCCCATAGCACCAGCAGCTACAAAAAACTTCGCTTTGCTACCCGTACTCTTGACGGTTTTTCGCTTAAGGGTTCCCCGAGTGTCTTTCAACGGGAGGGTTGGATCCAAGCCAGCTTTATAATTTTCCCAACAAGTAAACAACTGCGTTGGTCTAAAGGCACTTGTGAGACGACATGGCACCCGACCAGTCGCCACCTCCATGAAAAAATCTGCGGCACTCTCTCCTGCAATATAATATATGTTAGCGCTTTTGTCTAAAATACCGATCTTTAATAGACCCACCTTCCCGCATAGTGAAGCCTATTCTCTCAAAATACTTGATGGCTTCGGCTCTATGACCAAAATAGATGATCCGTCCGCCCTTCCCGAGCAGTAGCAGATCATCAAACTGGTTGAATGCGGCAGGTGACGGAGAGTGTACCACTGCAGCGATGGTCATGAACTGTTCGCGCGCAATAGTATGCAACAAACTGCAGACTTCGAATGATGTTGCAGAGTCCAATCCGCTGGTGGGTTCATCCAAGAATAAGACACTTGGAGCAGCCACAAGCTCCATCCCAATATTGACCCGCTTTCGTTGACCACCACTAAAAGTGTGAACTGCTGCATAAGAGTCCACATCAAAGTAATCACTGCCACAGATGCTGAACGAACCTGATACCGCGTTCTTCTTCATTTCCAATAACGTTATCCATAATGTGATCCAGTCCTAAAAACGATATCGTCTCCAAAACCAGATCCTTCTTTCTCTTGTTAGACCATTCAACCGGAAGTCGCATGAGAGCGGAATGCTACAAGGATGCAAATCCGAGTAAGATAATTTGCATCAGGTGATGGAGTACCTCGTCACACGAGCTCACCATCAGGATATCACGGACAGTCAGCTCTCGTAACATCACATCCTCCTGCGGAACAAATCCAATCAACTTGCGGTACTTTGAGAGTTCTTCCTCAATTCCATTGATGCGTATCGTCCCCGAAGTACGTTTGGCTTTATTGGTAAGCAGAGAAACAAAAGTGGTTTTTCCTGCTCCACTGGGACCCATAACAGCGCAAAGACGGCCAGGTTTCAAGTCGCCAGTGACTCCCTGTACGTGTGATCAGAGTTAGCAATGGCCTGCGGACGTCCTCAGCTCTTTAACATCCATTACCCTCATGATCTCGACGCCGGTGGGGAGGGTGAACCCCAGGTTCTCGAACTCAATTTCAAATCTCTTGTGTTCATCCGATTTTGCGGGTGGGGAGGACGCGTCACCAACAAAGTCTGGCACATCATGCTCATCTTCCGAGTCTGACTCCGCGTCGCCAACCAGCAATCCTGTCTTATTTGTTCCAGCCTCCATGATAGCCGCTTTTTGCTCCTCCTTCCCTGCCGCACTTGCCATACTTGCATCCAGCCGTTTGCGATACTTTATATTGCGTTTCCTCACCATATACTTGCGGATTTGAAAAAAATGTCGACATTACCACAAAGACTGCGGCAAGCAAAATTAGGATCCCAATCCGCGAGACCGATTTTGTGCCCTCAGGGCAGTATGCTAAAAACGAGCAGCTGATGGGCTCCACCGAGCCGACTGGACACCAGCTGCCGGATGGGCACACATGAACTTCGGCAGGGGTTGGACAGTAGAAGCCTGGACAGCAGTAGGCCGGCTGGTATGTATCTGGCGGACAAAGGAAACCTGGCGTGCACAAGTTCCGAGTGTTCTCAGTGCCATTGATATTGTCACCAGGCGTTTGGCAAAAGTGCCTAATAACAAAGAAGCGCGCGAGTTAGAAGCACGAATATTATGGTATCTAGAGCGTATCGACGTACCCAGCTGCACATGTCCAATTAGCTCGCAAATACGTGCAATTCAAGCCAGCTTGCTGTTAATGAAGCCTGTTAGCTGAAGATAATCTATTGGCATGCTACATAGGGGCGCACCTCCAGTGCAGAAGCCTGAGTCACATCTGCTGCCAGCACGCCTGCGGCCAATAAAAGGGAAGACGTCTTCTTGTCGGAATCCATGCCTTTTACCAAATTATCCACCGCGGTTTGGTTACTGGAGAACTGATTAAGGGCATCTGAAACTGTCTGGTTCTGCGACTGCAAAGGCGTTAGCTAATGCAGTGTTTTTGGGGATCACTCAATATCGCAGACCAACCTGTCTCGAGGTTGTATTGTTGTTATTGTTGATGGACGGAGGAACTTCCTGCCTGGTCACCTGATTTTCTGGAAGGAAATTGCCTTGTGGAGGGAAACGATCAGATGGCATTCCGGGAAACCTTTGCGGCGGCTGTTGACGATCAACTGGAGGGCCAAGCGGTGGGCCAAGCGGTGGGCCAAGCGGTGGGCCAACAGGCGGACCAACCGGCGGACCCACTGGCGGGCCATTTGGCGGTGAACCAAATGGCGGGCCAAATGGTGGCCCGGGTTCGAAGGGTGGTGAAGGAGGACCGGGTGGACCTGCTGCAGAAACGAATGGCCACGGTTCCCTCAACGTTTGGGGAGAGTGATCTTGGCGCCATCTTTGTCCGGCGAAGCTGCCGGATGCCATGGACACGGCGAAAAGGAATACAAGCAAGGTTGCCACAACATGGCGATTCATCGCTGCACAGTACGAGTTTGAACGGGTGGGGTTTGCGTAAACGGGGGTTCCATCACCCGTCGTCGAAAATAATAAAAACGACGACAAGCGTTTTGAGGTTGTGCTTTGCTGGCTGAACACGAGGCTCAGCAAGCGCACAGCTTCTTTTGCACAGCCTCCACCATCAATTTCTTTTTGTCCAGATTTGTCCGAAAATGAACTGCACTGCCACCCGGCGCTGATGAGGTAAGCAGGCGGGGCTTTCGGCGCGAACGGAGTGGGGCGGGCGGGCATTGTGAACGGAGGAACCGAGCTTACGACTGTTCCTAAAGCAGGCAAGCTTTGGAATATTGGCATACCAGGGGTCTCTTTGGAGAGTAGAGAATGGTGAATTCACATACGTTGTCTGTGCGTCAAAGAGTACTCATCAGCACACCCAGGGAACCGACCACAGCCTCCAAAAGGGTGGTTTCAGGGTTGCTTCAATGTTCGGCTTTGGCAAGATGTTATCCTCAGCATTGAATTATCAAGGGCATTAATGTGCAGCAATGCCCGCAGGTGCAGCCACTGGAAGGATCCATCAGTGTCCCAGTGTCGTAAGCAGTCAGGCTATCATATGGTTGGCCCAGTCCGAGCAAAGATCAAAAAGTGACCCACCCTCATTTGTCCGCATCATCTTTGAAAAACCTAGTAAAAACCACACAGAAATAGTGAACGACCAGTGTCCTTTAGCAAAACATGCTTGCGGTTTCGCCATCATCATCTCGAGCATGTTCACCTGCTCCTCCACCAGGCTCGGCAACTTCTCGTCGGAAGCCAGTGGGGAAATACCGTGGAATGGAAGCCGATACAATGAGTCGATGCGACTCCATCATGACCGATACCTCTACTTCCAGTAGATGGTCGCGAGGGTTTCGTTTTCGACGCAACACTGGCTCTATCAGAAGGTGCAAGTCCTTCAGTTTGCTAATGGTTCTTTATTTGCTTTGCCTAAAACCACTTTTGTAGTACCACATCTACCATGAGCAGTCGACAAAAATTGACGCAATTGTTCAAGCGTCTGGCTTTGCGTTTGGGTGTCGGAAGTAACCTCTCCAGCTATGACTTGAGCATGGAGTCTCAGCATTCAGTTCCGACAAGCTCAGCTGCCTCAGTGGCGGCAATGCAACTGGACGACATCTCCATCAGATGGGGATCTACCTCACGTCGATACGGAGGAGCCGGAGTCTCCAATATACGCCCCAGTGGTCCTAGACGTATGCAATCTGATGATGCTGCGGCTGTCTGGGCCAATGTGATCGCCAAGTAAGGACCACCAATGTTATTACAAACGGGTTCTGCTTTTTTAACACTCGCTGTGAAGGCATGCTCATACAACAAAAGGGAGTGCACAGGCACGGGCGTTTCGTCATTTACTGCAAGAAAGGGACGACGCTCGTGCAGAATGTGTTCGCCTAAAATCATCTGTGGGCAAGCAGGTGCCCAATGGTACTGACACTTTGGGGGAAATAGGGAGAATTTGTGGGGATTTGAAAGTGGCATTGAGTTCTTTCAAAGAAAGTTTGCCAGCAAAAGACGCCATTGCAGCACCAGATACAACCGTAGCCCCGCTGGAGGCTATATATTCTAGACTTGAGGAGCTAACGCAGGCGCTCGAGGTAAGCGTGAAAATGAAAGCATTCGATGTGAACATGGGTATTAAGCGCAACACAATGTACCAGCGTGTCATCGAGCCTCAAACCAATAACGAACCCACGAAACCGGTCATCCGAAAGCCATCTGCAAAACCCACCGCTCCATCTCCTCGCGTCTCACGCCAAAGTTCAGTACGTACCCTAGCGGACACAGCACAAGCCACCCGCATACCGACGCCTGCCTCACAGATGCACACTGAGCAAGGGCAGGATCTGAGCAATGCGCCACCCACGGAACAACCACCGTCTCAACTGATCACCGCCTTGCCCGACAACAAAACCACTACCGAGGATTCTGATACTTTTGCGCGTGACTTGTGTGGCAGAATTGAGAAGGTCTTTGCTGGGAACGAAAACGTGGAAGAGGCAGCTCATGTGGTTACGCCTACACCCAAGGTTCAACCACGCCCCCCTCGCCGTACTCGCACACTAATTGTCCGCAAGGAGCGAGAACAACCTGATGGCGGGAAGCCCATGGAAGGCTCTGATACTGATAACATCAAAAACGATGACGTCGTAGCAAGTACATCTTAGTCCGCGGCCAGTTTCGTGATACGCAAGCTATACACGTCCATCTCAAACTGAATATATTTTGCGCAACTCCTCCGTGGTCGTTGGAAGAAACGTAATAGGGCACCGCTCATGCTCCTCCACGTACTTGTAAATACATGGATAGCAGAAGACATAGCCAGATGGTAACATGGTGGGGTTTGTTCGTTGTTTTGTACAGAGAGGGCATATTGAAGGATCGGTAGGCAGAGGCACACCTGCAGGATTTGGCTGGACGAAAATTGTGTAAGGTGCTATGCTAATCCGCAGGGCAACACAAATATATACCTCAAGAGGTTTTGGTGGTGGTGGTATTGGTTGATTGCCCGCTTGTTTATGGTACTCGGAAGTGTACCACCATTCCAGGAATTTGAAAAAGAATATAGACATTGGCAATGCGTATTTGAGAAAGTCAAACCCTCGTGACACAATGGTTGCGAGCAAGTGTCGCAGGACACGAAGGCGGGATGCATTTTGTAATGCCGCTTCACTCGCTTTTTTAAGGACTTGTTGGCGATCTTCATGATCCCGCTACATGACAAACGGCATTAATTTTGAAAGTGGGGTTTTGAAACATTTTCGACTTACATAGTCCTTTGCACCCATTCGGCGGATTTGGAGTCCGCACAGATGAAGCCATGGTGAATAATAGTCCGTCTTGCCATACATGTAGCCAATTTGATACACAAAGATAAAGGCCTGATAGCTGGCGTTTATGTAGGGATATGTCCGTTGGAAGATTTTCTTTGCCAATTTTCGTAAACGGATGGGCAGCGGTTCCTATTTTACGAATTAGCTTCACTTGGATACGCAGATTCGTGCTTGATACAACCTCCAATGTGCTCCCCTCCTCGACGTTCGAAAAGAGGTCACCAAATATACGGCTTCCGGGTCCACCTGTAGTGCTCTCGTACAGCTCATCCAGCTTGGTCTTGGCATACGGAAGGGCAACCTGAACCAAACGTAACGGGTTACCTATGTGGCGCAGACAAAGACATAGGATGTATGCACGAACCAAAAGTACTAAAGATCGCCATATTTGGGAAGAGCTCAAATGTTCAAGACCCTTCCTTCGTCGAGTTGGACCTGCTGCAGACCGTTTCAGGCCATAAAAGTGCTCTGCAAAAGAGGCATCTGCAAACAGATACATAAGCAAGCGCACACATCGACCAATTTCAAGGTCATCATAGATCTGAACGTACTCCACTCTCTTAGGTAGTGCTGCTCTATTAACAGCATGAGAATTGCAAAAACTTCATCGTGTCTGTTCACCAGACGGAGAAGATGTCGTGGATATCTCTGTGCGTAAACTGCCAGAACATAGCGTAGTGCAGGCTTCAATAGGTCCCGCATTTTGTCTTGAGCAATCAACTCGAATACCGAGGGACGATAGACATCTGCGGCAGCCCCAATATTGCTTAAATACTCCATCTTTAATGAAAATTGCAATCAGAGAAGCGCAAGAAGTCCAAACACCAGATTTGCAGTTGAAGGCTGGCCTGCTGTGTGAGTCAACCTGTTGCTATGGTTATCGCTATAACGCGACGAGTCTGGCTCTCGTAACGCAACTTTTGTTGAGATCATTGGCAGGCTTTAGCCCTCTGAAAGCAGAACAACCCAAGAAACTTATTCACTGAATATCGATACTCAGCGTAACACCTTTGGGAACGGGCTGCGGCGGACACAATGACCTCTTTGCCACCTTACGGGAGTCCTGCTGGCCTGGGCCGCGGAGGAGCTATGGGCGGAAGTGTGCCCCATTCATACGCATCACCGTTCAATGTCCCTGGAGGAGGCGCAGGAATGCCCTCAAATACACCAGCTCAGGTTGGAATACGCCCGGAAAAGGTGGCGCCTAAAAAAGCAGCCAGGCCATCAGTGTGATACCATACGCTAATGTGCTAAATTATGCCCTCTCCGTACTAGTTCTATCAACGATCTGCACCGGGACCAATGCCGTCTGGACTTGCTGCGAGTCCCGTTCCGGCGCCAGCTCCTTCTGCTATGATGCCCAAGCGCCCAGCAGAAACAGCGCCTTCAGGAAAACCAAAGTAAACGAAGTATTTCGAGTGTCGTCTTTAGAGATCGTCTTCCTTACACCATATCTTTTTTCAGACGAAAGCGACCAGCAGATCGAGTGCTACCAAAGAAGGCAAGCATACTGCGTCGCGCCGCTTATCATAGAAACTCGTCTAATGTCCAATTTATGCAGATAGAGGCATATATACCAGAGTCGAGACTTTACACACAATTACAAGAGGTCGAGAAAAAGTTGGATGCTACCATCAGTCGGAAGAAACTGGACATGATGGAGCAGAAAAATCAGCTAAAGGTATGAAATCGATGCAAATAAGGTACGGCCCCGGACATTTATCTTACGTGCTCCACAGCCCTCGAAACGCACATTACGAATATTTCTATCCAACTTATCTTCCGATCAATACGTGGAGATGAATCCTTTGAGTGAAAATGAGGATGTATTTAGTTTGGAAAGTATGCGAGCTCCGTCATGGACGCTACGAATTGAAGGGCGACTTCTAGACGTAGGTCTTGGAAAGAGCGATCGATTTGGGCATATGTTGACAATTTGTATCAGCTCCCGAATAGCCGAAAACCGCAGGCAAATCCACCAAAGTTTTCAACTTTTGTGCGATCGGTAATTGTGGAGCTACAACGCGACAAGGATCTATACCCTGAAGGCAACATCATAGAGGTATGTTACGCAAGTGAACCTTCATGTGAACAAGCACTGATCACTATTTGAAAACCAGTGGCATCGAGGAGAAGGGTCTCCTGACTGCGACGGCTTCGAGATCAAGAGAAAGGGCGACAGCGATGTCAACGCAAAGATCTTGATCTACCTCGATCACAAGCCTGAGAAGGTTAAACTCTCAACGTCGTTGTCGAAGCTTTTGGACATACATACGGACACTCCCACCAATGTCATCATGGCCTTGTGGCAGTATGTGAAGGTTGGTTGCGGTGGATAAAGCTTCCAGCATACAGCATCTGATGAGTTCGGTCTGGTAGTCTCAAAAGCTACAGGATCCTGATGACAAACGGTTTATCAACTGCGACGAACAATTGCGACAGGTAATTATGTCTGACTACACAGGATGGAAGAGATGTCCTTAATGAATAGGGACCTTTGCCATAGATTTTGGGTCAACCAAGGATAACGTTTGCACACATGCCCGAACTATTGCGTGCGCATTTCGCTCCTCCCGACCCTATTGTGCTGGAATACACAGTAAGGTATTGTCGGGCGTCGTCTGCTACTATTGACGCATTTGGATCTAATCTCGGACAGTAGAACGGATAAGGAGCAGAACGTATCGCAGTTCGCGTATGATGTTGAGGTTGAAGTACCTAACCCTATGCGAGAACGTCTGGAGCAGACGCTGGTATCAAATCCTCAACTTCAAAGGGACATTGGGCAGTTGGATGATAAGGTTAGTTTTCAAAAGTTTGGAAGCCAGCAATTAGGTCGCGGAATACTTATTGCATGCCTACCGTGCCATGTAGATTACCACCTTGATACAAACAATCAACCATTGCAAGCTGAAACGAGATTTTATGCTCTCGTTTGCTAACGACCCTATTGGGTTCCTCAACCAATGGATGGCCAGTCAGAGCCGGGACCTGGAGGTACACAACTACAAGCTTGGTGGCGACGTAGGAGATGTATCTGACCTCATGACTTTCCTTTAGGTAATTCTTGGCGACACGCGATTCAACCTGGAAGAGACACGGAGAGCAACCTTCTTCGATCATTCTGTCGTGCAGGAGGCTGTTTTCCATCATTTGCGACAAAAAGATATCGAATGATTATTGGGTTTGTCGACGATTATATTTAATCTGACAGATTGTCGCCAGTAAAAAAATAGTACAAAAGTAAAACCTTAACGACCAAACGCATTATCTATGTGCAGTGGATAAGTTAAGTAACAGTCCCCATCAGTCGGGCAATTCTGTACAAGATATCAGTGATGATGTCGAAGATCTTATTTAAAACGCTTATAGTCGTGCGTTTCCACTTCCTTCCGTCTGTATTTCAAGCGTTTTCTGTAATTTTGATTGATGACGTTAGTTAATGGGTAGCTGAAGGGATACGCCGTGCCCGTTTGTGCTACTTACGAAACAGGCACTCGAGCTTCAATCAAACTTCGCTTCTGCAAGCTAAGGAAACGATCTTTGAACAGGTTACCCTCAGGCTTCAACTCCCGCAGGGAATCCGGAAGATCCTCGGTCAGTTGTACGTCCATTGGTAATGCCTTAAACCTATGATATATGTCTGTGTCAGATTACAATGTTCTGCTGGCACATGCTGGCTTCACCGGGAGGTTGTATACTCACAGATGGGGTCCCAACCGCTTTGTCTCCCGCTTAGCCTTCTCTTCCTGCAATTTTGCTCGTTCCTCTAATTGCCTTTGTTGCTCCCGCTCCTGCTGCGTTACTACCTTGTTTATCTCACCAAGCCGATTGAGCTGCTTTGCTAATAGCTTTTCCTCGCGCTGCTTCTCTGCCTCCCGCTCCTTGGCCGCCCGTCTTAGTTCCTTGTTACGTTGTGCCTTCGTTTTTCGTGCTTCGGTCACCATTCTGGTATGACTCAGACCATCATCTTTTGATGACGTGGCCGCCGCTGTCTCCACACCTCCGTCCTCTTGCTCCCCGTTCTCTTCTTCATCATCTGAGTCACCAAAGAAGGTTTCATCATCTAAATTATCTAACTCGGCAGGATATGAAAGCTTCTTTAATGTGTGCTCCTTTTGCTTCAGTTTCGCAACCTCCTCATCAACAGCATTTCGTAGGGCTCGCTGGTGGTCGTCAAAGCTTGGGTTATAAGATGCACCCTCATGTGTGAGTTCCACAGCAGGTATCGCAATTGGCTTTTCTACAGGTAGATTTGGTTTTTTCACGGGCTTCGGTTTGGTAACTTCAAGGTATTCAGTAGAATCGTCAACAACATCCGTGACTGCCCACAGATCAAAACCTCCCTTCTTCTGTGCCAATTTCCGTCTTTTTTCCGCCAGTCGCCTGGCCCTCTCCTCTGCAGCAGCTCCCACGCTCGCAGCACCAGTCTCTAATTTCCGTTTCGCCAAGCGGTCAATCAAAGCCGCGTTTGTTTTTGATGCTTGTCTCACTTTCACGCCAGGTACCTCGACTTTGACCGTCGACTTTGCAGTGCTTCGTGAGGTTACGCCAGAAAGTGCGGAACTCGGCGTTAGGATTTCATCGATACGAAGCTTTGAGTGTTTGTAGCGGCGCTTAATTTCGGCATCCCCAGCCTTATCGGTGAAAAAGAGAGCGTTGTCTGCCTTTTTATGGAGAGGACCGCTGTTAACAATTATAAGCGTCAGCATGACGTCTGATAGCAGATGCCCTTCCCGTTCCAGTTCCTTTCAGCACATGCTTCCACCGAGTCCCATTCCTCAAACCACCTACCCGAGACGCTCTTCACTTCTCAGTTCATGCAGTTGTTCCTCCACTTCGGTCACATCCACATTTTTTCTCCATGCTTTCTTGCCTTTGCGGCTAGGCTTGGCAGCCTTTTTGGTTGTTGTACTTGTCTCTACAGACATTGTTCCGATGGTGTTAAAAGTTGAGTTCAGCAAAGGTTGAAGACGGAAAGATGTCAAAAAGAAATAAAATGCACAGTCACATTTCAACAGAGTGCTTGTGCCACTCAGCGCTGCGCAAGCTTTGAAAGCCAAAAACGAAGGTTTTTTATTCTAATCATTAGCTCAACCATTTTCTGCAGCACGCTTAGGATCGCTAAAGAAACGAAATTCCGCTGGCGGGGTATGAGACAGGTACCATAACGAGTCTGCCTCGTGGCATTCCCGCTTGATTGTGGTAGCAGGGATGAACTTTGGAAAGGATGTAAGTGTCATCCGATCGGGGATGTCTCTATGTGATGATGCAAAAGAAAATTATTAACTCTGTCGACATTGGCAACCTTAGTTCAGCGAGCTCATGGCTGAGGCTGATCAGACGACGTCACAATTGGAACGGGAAAGGCGCGAGCTGGCGAGAAGGAAGGCTGCGGAAGCTGAACGTGAGCGACGTCTGCAAGCCGACGATGCCAAACGTAAAAAGGAACTTCAATCGAAACTGAAATCATCAGCGTCGTCCAACGGTGCGAAGGATTCTCGTTCTGCCAGCACATCCGGCCGAAAATCAAGAATAGACGAGCGCAAGAGCCTAGGGGATGAGAAAAAGAAGAAGCCAGCGGGAGGATACAAGAGTGATTTTCTGGAACTTATGAAAGAAGCCGAGAAAGTATCCTCGCAGCATAAGAACCTTCTGGAAAAGGGTGCCTCTCGTATAGGTCCAGAACAAGTTATTGAAAAAAAGACTTCAGGCGAGAGACCCAAAACCTCTGCAGACTTACGTCTTGCAAGGGCACGGAGTCGCACCGAGTCGAAAAATGGGACAGGGAAGCCGGTGAAAGTAGATAGTTTGAAGACACAGAGAGGATCATTGCGAAGCCAGATAGGCTCACCGAGTGGTAGCGAGGTGGGAAGGCGGTCCGGTGCGCATGAAAAGGTCTCATTGACATCGTCAAAGGCGCGATTAGACAGTCAGCCCGCTCGGCGTGGAACGTCACCAAACGTGACTTCTCAGGGAGTGTTAAGCAAAAAGAAACCTGATACCGACATCAGCTCTGTCCGACGGGGAAGTCCCCAAACTGGTAATGCCACAAAGAGAACCTTAACAGATGTTCGCACGAAGGTTGACGTTGCGGGTAAAGCAAGCATTCGAAAGGAGACCAGTGACTCAAAATTATCATCAACCTACATGGGATCTTCTGAGGAAAAGGGCCGACGAGCTGGGGACACTGGAACAAAAGCTAGGAGCATAACGTCGTCTGCGGTTTCCTCGGATAGGGTTAGATCAGCCCCGAGTTCTGTCAAACGTGGACATGATAATGACAGGGACCAAACAATACGGAAAAGGCAGGACGATGCGGAGGTTGTGAGCAAGAAGCGCCGGCGATCTGCGGATGCTGCTTCGGATACCAAGTCAGGGGACGGTTTTCGCCGTCCGTACGATATAGATCCCGATATACAAGCCCTTCGATCTGGAAAAACCTCAGTTGGTGATTTGATCTGGGGTATCTTTGGCAGAAACAAGCGAGAGTAAGTTCTCAGCTTTGACATCGAGAAGCTAGCTTTCAAGGATATTTACCATTTACTCTAGATATGTCGGGAGGGACGATCTGGATGACAGCGACATGGAGGCCGATATGCGTTCCATTCAGCGAGAGGAAGCTCGAAGGTATGTGCAGTACCGAGTCACCGAGTCACCTGCAGCGTCGTACTTTTACGTGAACGCTAATCCACTATCCTGCTGCTGACAGTGCGAGATTAGGAAGACGCGAGGACGAGGACATTGAACGGCAGGAAGAAGAAGCAGAGAAAAGAAGGCGACTGGGAAAGAAGGCAAAAAAGTAATTCATCGCACATAATACGGACATTGCTGGTGTGCAGTATATTTGTAATTAGGGATGTATATTTATATCAGATATATTTAAGCAGAGTACAGGCTTCGTTGGGCAGGCAATCCTTTGTGCATGCTTTTAATAAACTTGCAGGCATCTGTGAAATGAAATATTTCAAATTTCAACCGTCAACGGAATTGTCTGCAGCACCTCCAATAACCACGATAATTTGAAGCATCTGTTTGGTTGCATTATTCGTTGACAGCTGCCGAATACCAATCATTCATCTTGGCAGCGTTTACTTGGCCGTACATGCGATCGCGGGTTCAGTCGCCGGCAAACAGCCGCGGCGGTTGCCCAACGACCGTCGCCTTAACCGTGCTTACGGAAGCGGTGTGACGTCACTTTCATCTTATCAGCGATGGTTGATATGGCAACAAGAACAAGCAAGAGGCACGTGATACATGGTGTGGGCACGCGGACAAGGCGGACCTGCTGGGAGCTGCCTCTCCGCCTTGCTTGCGCCTTTGACCATCACGAAAACGGCCGTTGGTTCCCCTTCGCACTCCATCTTGTCGTTGTATCTCAGGGTTGAGGACGTAGGCGAATACCACCTGAACCAAGTTGAAGTGCCCGAGCGACTCTGTTTGCGCGCATTTATCCAAGCGGCGAACCCGAACTGTCGACGACATGGTCGTGAAGTTCTCTCCAGGACTACTGGAGCAGGTGAAGAAGCTCGCAACACATCCGCAAACCCCCGTCTCCCTCAAGCAGTTTGTAGAATTTGGTAGGTTTCAAACTGGACTGATAGATGCCTCTGGGCGGTTCCAGCTCACATGCAGATCATTGTGCTTGAGGCCAAGAACACGTTGAACGCGTTGAAAGCTAACGATTTTGAGCTTCGCTTTTGAAGGGCACCGACCATCACCATTAACCATCCTGCGTGGCAATCAGTTTGTTCAAAATGAGCTCCCAGTTCGCTTGGCTCACCGTGTTGTGGAACTCGAGAATCTGCCACATGGGCTGTCGGATATGCCCAGTATCAAGCGCGTGAAGGACTGGTACACGCAGAGCTTTGAAGATCTTATGAATCTTCCTGGACCGGAATCCTACGGTGTACCAATGAAAGCTTTGCAACAAGCTACTGACGACTCGGGTACAGGACGGAAAGGTATGTTGACACAATGGGCGCAAGCGGCGAAGATGCGGCTAACCTGTAATGTTTACAGGCCTAAAGTAAGCCAATTAAAATGGTCGCACCGTGGATATTAGCACGCTCGGCTGACGAATACGTTTCTGCTAGATACTTCAATCCTGGGAACAATGGTAACAATGGTAATGACATACAGGAGCTCGATGCGTGGAATGCAGATTTCATCAAATGCATAGAGAGGATCAAAAGACGTCACGATCCCACCGTAACAACTGTTGGTAAGTATGCTCCGCTGTGGATGAGCCCTGCACGTGGTATTTACATACCCATCCAGCACAAGGAGTTTTGGAACTGAAACAACATTGGCAACGATCGAATTCCCCTTTGCTGAAGAACACATCCGGCTCGCCCCTACCTCTTCCCACTGCAATCCAATCCTTTCTTGACCGCTTCTACATGTCGCGTATTGGAATTCGAATGCTGATTGGACAAACGGTCGCCCTTCACAAATCTTCGATTGATCCTCGCCTCACTCGTGATGACTATGTGGGCATCATATGCACAAAAACCAATCTGGGTCAGGTGGCAAAGGAAGCTGCTCAGGACGCACGAACCATTTGTCAGGACTACTACGGCGTATGGGGTGGGCCAGAAATCAAACTTCTTGGGAATCAGGACGTCGAGTTTATGTATGTGCCATCGCACTTGCATCACATGCTATTCGAGCTGTTGAAGAACTCGCTAAGAGCCGTGGTCGAGCGATACGGTGTAGATTGCGATGAGTGGCCAGAGATAAAACTGGTGGTGGCAGAGGGCAAAGAAGACATAACCATAAAGATCAGTGATGAGGGCGGAGGCATCCCTAGGAGTGGAATGCCCTTGATCTGGACATATATGTACACAACAGCCGAGAACCCTTTGCTGGAAGAAGGGTACGACCGCAGTGATTTTAGAGCACCAATGGCGGGGTAAGTAGTCGCGACAACCAGTCATTTACGACATAATCTTTTGACATGACGATATTTGAAATAGTTACGGGTATGGGTTACCTATAACGCGTTTGTATGCGCGATATTTTGGAGGTGACCTACGTCTGATCAGTATGGAAGGATATGGAACAGATGCATATTTGCATCTTTCCAGATTAAGTGATAGCGAGGAACCGCTACCTTGATTGTCATCATCCTTTTATGAACTGCATTAAAGCGATTGAACGGGGAATCTAGATCGAATGCTTTAAAAAGAATGTAAATATGAAATACATATGTCCTTGAACAGGGCAACCAGCGTTCAGCTTCCATAGAGTCTGAACAGCTTGCTGACACCCTCGTAAACCCCAAACGTCACACATGTGCCCGGAAGAACGCGGATGATATTGATGCCCATTCCCTTGTAGAAACCGCGAATACCCTCACGACTAGAACACTAGTGAGGAACAATCTGATTCACGGAAAGAATGTGCAAACGTAAATGCATACCTGTATATTATCTTGATGGTTCCCAAAACTCCTTTATAAACGACATTTTGGTGTCCTATCTGGTACTGCAGACGAGAGCGCAACACTTGGTATGGATATGTGCATACTGTGGCAAACACCTTGGATGTGGCTGCCATGACCAAGTACTCGCCCGTGTCCTGATGGCGCTTACTTCAGACTTTTCCGGGTGTCATGAGGCACATGTATGCATGAACATACCAGCTTATTTATGTCTTTCCCCGGCATGGCCTCCTGTCTCCATTTCTTCATCTCTTCATAGGCCATGAACTGGAGAGCACCGTGCGACACTCCAAAGAATGCCGGGACCATGCCTTTGTACAGCCCTCGAAGTCCTTCCTCGTTCCATAGACGTTTCAAGCCATCTAGGCAACTTTGGAATGAGCACCATAAAGCAAGCAATTGATAGCTGACAATCTATAATGTACGTACCCGGAACGCCTTTGTAGGCACCTGCGTCTGATGCCCGTGTGGCGCACATTCGGGTTTTGATAACCCAAAAAGGATTTGAGCAGACTGCAGTCAATGCACCTGTTCATGGAGTGAAGGCATACATGAGCGATCGATGTGCTTTGATGTATGATGTGCATCATATATGAGGTATTCAAACCTGCCTCAGCGGACGCAAGGAGGTGCTGCCCGGGTCCAAGTTGCTGGGCGGGGGTATCGCGCATCCAGTCTTTTATGATGGAATACCTTCAGCATACCAAAGAGTGAACATCAATCCCGCACAGTAGGCGGTAAGAGGCATTGAGTACTTACCACCAGAAATACATTCCCCATGACACTGTCGCTCCAGCCAAATTAGGAGTCACACCACGATACAGCCCACGAACCCCACCTTCGTCTCTCCATATACGGCGAAATGCATCGAGGCTGGACAGACGGCGTGTTGAAGCATCGACTGATAACAAATAAGATGTTGTCAGTGTGACGGAACACTAGTCGACTGGATACAACGGACAACACACTTTGAAATCGGGTCTTCACCAAGTCCAAAGGGTGAAGCAGGACCGTAGAAGCAGCTCCCGCGGTGAACCCTGCTAGGGCTTGATCTGTTGCGACGCTTCCTGTGAACGTCTTTGGTTGTTGATATGCCATTTGCATCTGGCGGACGGGAGGATTTTTGATGCCAGCGGTCTTCGAGATCCACTGTTGACATGGCTACGCGATGCCTCGTAGCTAAGCACCTTCCCTCCTCCACACCAACGAGAGCTTTCAACTTTGTTCAAATCTGCCTCCAAACAGATTGCCGGAGGGGACACACTCACTGCTAGTCCAGTGGCTCCAAGCAAGTTTCACTATCGATCAGGATGGCGGCACCTACTTCGATCTCAAGGCTAACCGCACAGTACACATGCGAAACTTCCTCCCAAGCTCAACCAATAACCATCTACTCAATAGACCTTTCGACTCCCTCCACGACGAGTATTACTGAACAGATGAAGGTGCTGAGCGCTTCTCTATTGGATATGCAGAACCAAACCAACTCTTTCCTAACGGAAGAGATGCGAAAGTTGGAAGGGAAGGATGTAGTAGAGGACAATGATAATGGAGAGAATGAGGAAGAGGATAGTGGAGATGACAGTGCCGAGGATACAAGACATGAGAGTTTGAATGGAGGCGAGAAACGGAGAAAACTTTAATGGTCATCAATAATCATACTGATAACAAAAGCTGTTGCCGCTTTGAAAATAGGGCTTTGGACACTTTCATCTTCCACTGGATTCTTATCTTTCAAACGCTGGAAGGACATGCATGCTGGAAGCGAGCTCATACTAGCGCAATAACTACCGTCTGGTCCCAAAGACTTCGACGGGCGAAGTGGTGCAGATCGTTGATTCGTTTTCATGGCAACAGTGAGTCATGCGAGCAGAACGCGGCGTTGATCGCGCGGCACTTCTGCTGTCGTCCTTCCACCACCCGATCTTCCCCATCCCCGCAAGCATGGAGCGCATCCTGACGAGAAACCATGCTATCAATGCACATACATCCACAGTCTCATATGGACACGATCTTCTTGTTACATTGCTGGAAGAGACGGCGACGGAAACAGCCCGCCTCCTCCAAGCTCCACCAACACCCTCAACGCCCACACCACAAACCCCACAGCAAGAGCATGCACAAGTTCCCCGAAGACCCTCGTCAATGCTTCTATCACGTAAACCGTCTACGTTTGCGGCGAAACCAGAAACCCTTCCTGCGCATCCTACGCGCAAGGTGTCCCAGGCTCTATTGGAAGACCAACACGTGACATCGATAGAACGAGGACCAGCACCTGCTGCTGGTACGGAGATAGTAACCAAAGAACTCTTTGCTGACGCAGAATACCAATCCTATCTTGACTATCTAACCTCTTGCTCATTGGAGTCACTTAAAAATGAGCCCGTGTCATTGACGAAGGAGGCTACCCGATTACAACAACAACTAGCGGATCTCGCCTACACTGAATACCGATCATTCTTGCGCGCGAATGAGTGCACGAGAGCATTCCGCGACACGTTTGAAGCGTTGGAAAGTCGACTAGACTCACTCACGAGCTTGCTGCCGGATCTTGAGAGAGAGTGCACTTCCTTCGCCTCCTCGTCAGCTGCTGACGTGTTGAAACAAAGACGACGCGAACATTTGGTTCTTAACCAACACTCGAAATTGGTGGAGATTCTCGAAATACCTCAGCTCATGGATACATTGATTCGAAACGGATACTATGAAGAAGCAATGGATTTGCATACTCATGTACAACGACTGCTGCTTCGATTTCCGCATTTCGAGCTCTTGAAGTCCGTGGCCGATGACCTTGATGAGGCAATCAAAGTCATGTTGGCACAGCTCGTAAACCTTTTCGCGGGCGATGTGAAATTGCCGTTGTGTATCCGTGTTGTGGGCTATCTACGACGCATGGAGGCCTTACCTGAGCCCGAATTAAGGTTGACATTTTTGCAACAACGAGATAAATTTTTTCGAAAGCGCATTGAAGAAGGTTGCGGGAAGGAACCGAGTGGTACTGGTGCAGGCAAGGATCATCTCGACTACCTAAAGAAATACATCGATGTTTGGACGTGTCGAGAGTGTTTTTTCGATATCGTTGCCCAATATCGAGGGATATTTTCCGATTCCCTAAACACGCAGACAAGTCACGCAACCACTGAAGCACATCAGGGGAAGTCAACTTCCGCACTCCTCTACGACGCCACGGCCCATCCAACACTCACGCAGTCCATTCTCACTTCATACGTCACATACCGCATCGAACACCTATGCACCACATTGAAAACTCATCTACCGCATGTTACGGACGCAAGTCAGGTCGCCAGCTTGTCAACACAAACCATGTATTTCGGGATGAGTCTTGGGTGGGTGGGAATTGATTTACGTGGATTAGTTGGACCGCTATTTGAAGAAACGGTTGCGGGGATTGTTGAGAAAATCATTGGGGAAAGTGTACGAGATTTTGTTGGGTGGGTGAAGGAAAATTCTGCTGTCAGCATAGGAGCAGAATTAGGGACACCTACCGGGCGTACCACGACAGCAAAGGATCCGTTCTTGACGGGCATCTACGTCAAACACTCTACCATTCCGAATGCAGAATGGACAACCCCACGAACTGGTGGCGGCCCTCAACCCATACGAGTCATACCGGCACCCACACCGCTATTGGCCCACCCACCTCTTGCACACCTTCTCAACGCCTTTTTCACCGCCTATAATAACCTACGCGCTCTCCCTGCACCATCTCTCCGGACCCGAATGGAATCGTATGTCCAGGAAAAATTGATCCTCTGTGCGGAGACCTTGGACGAGGGAATCGCGTCTGGATGGGATGGTTGGTCCGAAGACGGCAGGAAGATTGCAAAATTAGCTGCTGCTGCATGGATAGATATGTTAGTGCCAAACGTGATGGATGGTCTACAAATGGTGTTTGGTGGGCAGAAAGCTGAAGGTGCTAGTCAGCTAGAAAAGATTGTGGGGCCATTGAAGAAGTGGTTGGTGGATTCCAGCGGTCAACAGGACAATGCAGAGTCACAAACTGTACTCGCAGCAAATGACGAGGCCGTCCCTGTAGGACAGAACGGCGGACTCGCCAAAAGTGAGAATCAGAAAGACAGCGATGGTGACGACTTGCATCCCTTGGAAGCGAAACCGGATGAGGATGAACGGGATACAAACCTAGGTGACCAGGAGAGGGTGACACCGGCTGCTGTGAAAGTTACTGTCGCTGCACATCCTTTAGAAGGACCCGATGCATCGGGCAATGGCTGATTTAATAACAATAATAATTATCAGAGCCTCTACCGTAGTTTCCTTTGGCTGTCTTCATGTTTAGGTCGAGTTGGGACGGGATTTCAGTTCGTCACGAGCTGATCGTTAGATTTTGAAATTAGTCGGCATTTCTCTCCAGAATGCCAGCCATCATTCATGGCACAGGTGGTCGATGAAGGTGGACTGCGGCCATTACCAAAGCGAAAGTGAGGCCATTGTTTGACATCCAAACGGTCAGAGGATACGACCATCAATGAGCGTCACAACCCAGACCCAATATTATATTCTGATCATCCTTTCAGCACATCCAGTAGAATCACTAAAATCGGCGCACGCTCACCGCCCACTGTCTGGGCTACGTCTCTCACTTTCGATGCCATCCATTTCATTCGTATCTTGTTTCGAAACATCGTCGTCGTCACCTTCCCATCGCCCACGCTTTGCTGCCCGACCATTTTCTTCTTGATCATCTTCGTTGTCGTCACCATCGTCGTCTTCCTCTTCCTCCTCGCTCTCCTCCTCGCTTTCTTCGTCTCCATTTCGTTTTTGCATTTGTGCCATCCGCTGTTTCCATTGATGTGCAACAGCCAATAGCTTGAAGTTTGGTCGTTCAGTTTCGTCATCAGGGAAGATGTAATCGTAGTACTCCTCCCAGCCGCTCTCCTCCCCTGTAACTTCGTCCACAACCTTTCGGCGCTTCTTGACCGCCCGCGGCATTTTATCCTGGACCTTCGCAAGACCCTCTGCATCCCCATGAGTACGTTCAAAGTCCCGCCATGCTTCAAGGAGAACCACTCGTTCCTCCTTGCCTCCTTCTCCCCGCTTTTGAAGCGTTGTGTACGCCCGATTGAAGATCTTTCTTGCAGCGTCGACCCGCGCACCATCTTCACCATTGTCCAGAGCCGTGTATTCAAAGTTGGCAAAGCTCACCCAGACCTGTACCAGATGCACGTTACATGATGTACAAAAAATTCCAATTACTACCATGGGTGCATACCTTTACATGCTCAGTCCTCTGTAGCAGTCGTTCGTAAAGAGCTCTTCCCTTTTTCCACTCCGCTTCTTCAACCTCAAAGTCAATATATCCTTTCCACAACACCTCTGGCATATCGAGTAATGGTTGCTCAACGGCGATTTCAAAGATTCCTCTGCTCCTCTCTACATCACCGAGCATTTTTTCCAACTCTGCGTACTTGATCCAGGCATAGCAGTTACTGGCGTTCCATTGGAGATACTTTTCGTAAAGACTTCTCACGCGGTCGAATTCTCTAAGCTGAATTTCAAGTTCGATGTAGCCTTTGAAGAGCTTCTCCTTCGGACAAAGGCCGATAGCAGTACCAAGGGTCCGTCGTGCTGCGGTAAGGTCAAGGCGTCGAATGAGGAAGTGTGCATACTGTAGCCACACTTTGGCAAAGGTGAAATTTTTGTGCGGAACTATTTTTATACATTGCTGATACACATCCTTCGTGCGGTCGTAATCCTGCAATTGACAAGGTGTCAGCATAACGGTCTTGTCGATGATGTAAGCGAGTTTGGACCAACCTTCGCCACCATTTCCTCCCATACGGCGTAAAAGATCCACAAATATATGTAACGCCGCCAGAATCTCTTCTCGGCAATTGGCGGAACTTGAGCGATCGCTCGCTCGTACACATTTCGCACTTTGGCTTGATCACCTGCAGACTCTTCCAGCCGTACATAGTCGAACCAGATGTCATAGTTTTTCGGATTTGCGGCTAGTTCCTGGAGGGCGGCTGTCAGCGCACAATAATTCACCTTTAATAATGCCTACGATCAAAATACCTCTTCATATTTGACCCGCCGCTTTCCTATGATGACATCTTCAATACCCTCCTTCCCACCGTGTTGCTTTTCAAATTGGGTATACATGTTGTAGAGGTTTTCTGTTTGGCCTTTAGGAAGCTTATCTAGAGCGTACTTGTAAATTACACGGGCTCGCTCAATTTCTTTCTGTCTCGTCTCGAATTTGGCAAACGAGACGTAAACGTTTTGGTCAATAAATTCTTCGCCAAGCATTTCAAGACACTTTTCGTATATCTCGCGGGCACTGTCTGCATGTTCAGATGTTATTTTTCCCATTCTCACCTGATCAAGAATTCTGCATAATAGTTTACCTTGTTTCCCTATCGATTCCTCGAATTTGGCCCATTTGATCCAGTTTTTCGGCTGAGGATGTATTCCAACAAATCGTCTGAAGATGTCTCTTGCCCGGTCAAGTTCCCGATATCGCTTTTCCATTTTAACATAAGCCATCCACGCTTCCTCTGCCGGTTCCCATTTCATCCATCGTTCAAATACTTGTCGAGCACCGGCCACGTTTCCCAACAACTCCTCCATGTAGACATATTTGTACCAAAACGTATCCACACGAGGGAGGACTGACACAGCTCGATCAAAAATATTCCGTGCTCGATTTACATTCTTGTGCTTCATTTCCATCTCAGCATATCGTAACCAAAGCACCTGATTTCGATGGTCTACATCGAGTGCCCGCTCGTATATAGACCGAGCCCTACGCATGAGAAACCAATATAAGTAAGAATATTCCTTTATAAAAACAAGACACATGGTCTTTTATTCTGCAGACGATAACACACCTATCCATTTCCTTTACGGACTCTTCCCAAGCAGCATATTTCAGCCAGGCTGCCATGCCATGTTTATTGCGCCTAACTTTATCCTCAAACTCTTTTCGCTTTCGCAGCCGATATTCATCGAGTTCCTCTCCATCCGCAATCTTCTGTTTGGGAACGGTAGCACCGGCTTCTTGACGCTCCTTGGACTCACGTAGAATCTGCTCCGCTGTGATTTGCACAGGGGCGGGATTCTTGTTCTTGACCTGTGATCCAAGTAAAAGCTGAGTAAAAATACCCAACTTACAAAGATGTGCTACTTCCTCGCCTGCGCACCTTTGCAGGTCTTGGTTGCCTGTCCATGCTGAGTGGTTGGAGATGGAGATTCGATGGGAATACCTTACTAGATTCCGCCTAGCAAAAACCGAGCGAGAGAAGACAGAGACTCAATCTTATAGAGCGCTAGTACGACTAGCTTCAGTTCACGACTGCCTCGTAAATCTCAAATTGTGATGGAAGACGAGATCAGCTCCGTGCAACTCGTTGCATTTGCTCGTCACGTTGCCATGACAATGATGGCACAGTCAACACAGGGCAGCTATGTTCAAACGCCGATCGCTTTATTCCTTGGTCCCCCCAAAAGGCCTGATGCAACGATCGTGATAAAGTAGGCCATGCGGAATCTATAAGGCTGCTCCATTCAACTTGTGCTGTGGAGGATCTGCACCTTGGAGCGGCGCGTGTTCGCAAGGCCCAGGAAGCATGTAGCGATTCTGCCCAGCAAACAGAGGGTTGATTGCTAGATGACCAAAGACACTGGAAAGTCGTCTGAAATCTGAATTCCTTTGTCGGTCGATGCAGCGTTCTGTTGGTGGGTTCGGAACGTCAAACCCGTTTGGCATATCCGATCGGTAACGTAATCAATTACCCCATCGGCTTGGAGCTGTGCCACTACCTTGCAAGTTTCTCGTTGTGTTTTCCCGACCGTTGCGGTCGTCTCCCTGGATGAAGCCAAGCGTTCATGCATCGACAGCCGCGGGGGGGACAGTCCCACGGTGATGCTCAGAGCAGTGGGAGGGGTCGGCGGTATCAGGGCGGTAATAGTGACTCATTAGATAGAGGAGGACCCGCGAGAAGAAAGCCGAGCTGGGGTGGTCACTCACGAACGCACCAACGTCAGTCAAGAAAACGGCCCCGTCACGGCTGGAAGGAAGGGCCCCAAGGCCTCGCCGACGCGGTGACGTCTGCCGACGTGGCTTCCTCCTCTGCTGACGATTCCAATACCGCTGTTCCTATGGAGATCCCTGGATATTATTTCGTATGTTTACAGCGCGAAGCGACAATGACTTGTCCAAGCTGATGTTTACTTTGAACAGGACCCAGAAAAAAACCGCTACTTTAAAATTGTTCCAAGTAAACATGCGTCTTCATCTTCACGATATACTGTCGACGCGCTCCGTGAGCAAGAGGCAACAAAAGAACGAAACCGCGTAGCTGAGAATATTCAGAGGAAGCATCGTGAAGAGGTATAAGCCACTATCAGAGGCAACAGGTTACATATTTACTCATCCTGACTTTCACCCAGATTTTACCTTCCCGCCGGCATGGGGCCGGTTTCGTTTATCCAACTTTGCCGTTGTTTATAAGTGATCGGGAAATCAATGCCAGTCTGCATCGTCCAGGCGTCAATGTGCAAAGGTATCCTGGTGCATACAGTTTTATATATCTGTTTGACCAGACAGTCTAAAGCGGCAGCGAACATATCTAGCCGCGCGTGGGAAACTATGATAAAGTATCTTCGTCACCGGTCAACCATCCGAAATGCGGGTGGGGAAGTTGATGGAATCGGCTTTGTAATGCAGCCAGCAGACATCACCGATTTTCAGGTAGATATGCGCCGCTTCGATTGCATGCGCTCACTTGCTAAAGTCGCGGGAATTTGTGAACACAGATGCATCCTTTTCGAAATCATGTCTGTGTAGGCCAAACTGATGGCTCTGTAAGGTAAACTGAGCAAAGATTGTTGTGGTAGTTCCTGGCTTCTATCGCGACAAACTCTTACATTTGCTGTGCACCATAAAAGACTCTTCGCGTTTGACGTTGAGCAGAAGGAAAGTGGCCCACCCCAGTACGAACAGAAAAGCCCGTACCTTCTGAGACATGAGGATTCGGAGGTGCGCTGTCATTCGCTTGTGATCTTTTCTTGTTTGTATGCACTCTACTTATCATGATCCGGAGCAGATCACCTCACTACATTATGGGCATGTCTCAGAAAATACTAGTACGATCATGTAGGAATCCTGACGTAATGGCTGTCTTGGTCGTCGTCTAATTTGATCCTTTTGCCATAGAACAACGTGCTTGGGGCTTGGTGGTCGACCCGGATCAGTCCAGGCGTACCAGTACCGACACCAGTCTCCATCGATTGGGCATAATCTATTTGCGGCAGGTCAGTTGCACTCAAATGAAGCGAGCAAAGCGTAATTTTATGCCCTTAAGCCTAATTCCCCCCGATATCGTAGAGGTTGGTACCTATCGGCTCATGATGAGCAAGATGAGTGTTTTCACCAGCGCAGTCGCAACGCTACCTCATGAAGCGGGCGGGTCTATAATTGCGGCAGGTACTTGTATTTTCGTCTCGCTTGACGCCGTAAGTGGTTCTCCTCACTCGCTTGCGGAAATTAGGTGCCAAGGGGAAAGCAATTGTCATAAAATCATGGGAGGGAGGAAATGGAAATGCACAAGTCAGGCATTTGCTGATGCCTGGAAAAACAGACGTTCTTGCCCAAGCGTTTGACAAAATGGTTAGTGCGATTCCCTCTGGCGATGATGCAGCATGAAAGTCAACCCTACGATTCTGCATCCAGGGTACCGTTCTATATAGCGGGTGTCGGGACGGGTCGATACATCTTTTTGATGTGCGCACATCAGGAACGATTGCAAATGAAATGACGCTAGGTCAATCCGGCAGAGGCGGAACTGTCCAGACTCATGAAGGTGGATCCATACGAAGGCTGGCTCATCCTTCTGCAATCTGTTGCATACAAGATCTAGGTGCGAATCAAGTTTTATCAGCTGCTATGGATGGCTCGGTAAGTTTATCAAATCACGGGCGAGTACTACCGTGCCTAAAGCAGTGAGTTTATGCATCGATATCTGCAGATGTATATGTGGGACACGCGATTTCCGACTTCCCCTATTGTGGAGTTCCACGGCCATGTTAATACGCATGCAAGAATCAACTTTTGTGTGAACGAAGACAAGAATGTACTTATTGCAGGTATGTTTTTGAGACGATGCCAATCACGGTTAGTTTGTATCCAAACTTCACACTGTCGTTAGCTGGCCTAGACCGCCATCTGCGAGCATGGAGCATGCGTACAGGCGCGCTCCTTTCTCAGCAGCCACCCACACAAACGAATGCAATCGGGCCGAGAATCATTAGATTCATGACAGATGGAAAGGATAATAGTAGCGGGTATTCTGAGCAGAATTCATGGGCACGTATGGCTGGTGGTCTGGTCTGGGGGGCGTGCGGCAAGGACATAGAGATATGGGGTTTGGAATGAGTACACCTATTCACCACTTCAAATCGCAAGCGAATCATTTCTATTGGATACTATCATTATTGAGACTACATTATGATACAGTTAGTTGCTATAGAAAAATATGATGGAAAGCACACTTATGGTACACTCTACATTAAGCAGTCAAAGTTCCTTTGGTGCTTGGAACGTCATTTGGTGCTCCCGAGGGCGAAATGGCCTCACGCAGTGCAACTGCAAGAGCTTTGAAAGCAGACTCCGCACTATGAGGAAGAGCAATAATGTAAGCGATAATTCCGTGAGCGGATACACGGGCCGTGGCCATACCGGTGATGATCATTAAATCCCCTGATCACATCAACATGAACCGTCAATCCAGCGCTGGTAGCAAAGCTCTCGATAACGTGAGGAATCATCTCACAGCTCAGATCGCCAATTTTCTCCCTCTTCAATCCCAACTCCACCACAGCATGGGGTCTCCCCGAAACATCCACAACAGCTCGAGATAGCGCTTCGTCCAATGGAGCATACGCGTAACCAAAACGCTTTATACCGGTAGGTGGGCCCAGCGCTTGCTTGAAGGCGTAGCCAAGGGCAATGGCACAGTCCTCAGCGGTATGGTGATCGTCAATATGAAGGTCGCCCTTGCAGGTGAGAGTAAGAGACCAGCGGGAGTGCTTTGCTAGCGCATGTAGCATCTGTTCGCATCAAAGGCGTCAAAGATATATCAGTGCATGCTGTTTATTGCAAGGTCTTATTTGGAGGCTCCTGTTCTTCCTTTTTGCAGTTCCCTCTACACAGCCTTAAAACTTACATGGTCGAGAAATCCAACCCCTGTGTTGACCTCAATCGACTGGGCTTGATACTGATCGAGTGCGAGGTTGACATGAATGTCCGTCTCGTTCGTCTTTCGTGAAATGGTCGCCGTTTTCGTTGTTTGTGTCATGTTGTTGCAATGGTGTGAAATGGCGGACGACCCCATCAAACGCAGTAGTTTGATACTCGGTTGCCATGGCAACAGTAGATCTTTGGGATCTAATCGCTCAGCCTTTGACATTTGCAAAGACCTTTCATTTCTACGGCGAATAGGCACCGCCAACACTCAAGCAAGTCGTCTCAAACATGACCGTGAATGCGACAGGTGCAGGAGCGATATCTTTGTGACTCGATGTGCCGTCGGGCCATCATCAAAGATTGATCTTGCGGTTGTAGTTTTGTTGGAGATCTGAACGTTTATATGCAAGGAGCTATTGATCTAGTCGATTGCTCGATTGGTTGAGCGTTTCTTGTTATCAAATAATGGTAGATTACCAGGGCAGGATAGCGAAGACCGGCCATGCTTGGGGCCGAGGGAAACCAGTAGATGGAGAAGGGACGTATATACACTATCCTCCCAACTTCGTCTCTGAACAAGATGTACAGAACATGTCACTATCACCAACAAATCCCCACAGGGCCTCCCTTTTATTCACCAATGCGTTATGCTCCCTCACTGGATTATTGGACACTCTTTCTTGTCTGTATCCTCTCAACCCGATCGGGTTGTACGCCCACCGTGAGCTGCACCCCTTTATTGGCTGCACATCTTCTTCTTTGATCTCATCATTCTCTTGTTTACCTTCTCTTTGGAGCCTCAGTCTCACTCTCTGGATTTACATCTTCTTGAGAGTCGCATCCACACCCGGGCACATGTATCGCATAGAGCGTTTCCGCTGGCGATCCGTCCTCGGTATATGCATACGCTACATTTGAGGCCATGTTCTCGCATATTCACATCGTGCAGCAGTCACATCCGTCTTATGAATTACACTGTATCTGTTCAGGTTTCTTCCTCTTCCTCTTGAGGTATCGCACTGGTGGGCTGTGCCACATGCGCGAGCTGATTAGGTAAAACTGATCACCGAAAGTTGGTCCGAACGGTATTCACGCTCGTCTAAAAAAGCATGTCCAGATCCGCACCTTTTCGCCGCACCTGCCCAGAAATTGTACAGAAACGAATTGAATATGCTCGTGAACTTCAGTTTTTTGTGGTGCAAGAATTGGGCCCCATGGCGTTTATTATCAAGGAGCCAAATGCCCCCTCACCATCGCCCGATTCAGTGACTGCCAACAGAACAGGTCGAAAATTTAAAGTGGGACTTGGATCGCTGCAAACCTGTACTTGCTCTTCATTTATGAAGGATGGCGAGCTTTGCCATCACACGGTAAGTCCAAATTATGGACGATATGTGTCATATTTGACAGTGTGAGACATCTTCTGAGCGGCATATCTTGTTATTCCGTTCTCCTCAGCTTTGGGTAATGCTTAAGGTTTTTGGAGTGCCCCAAGATAGCGATATACTGTATCAGCAGTCACTGGTAGAAAGAGAGATTGCGGAGCTTATGAGATATCGAAATCACCGTGTAGGTTCCGCTGCGGGATGGATACCTTCGGTCCTGTGCTAAACTCTATATGGGGGCTGTAGCGACCCACACTACCACCACCTGAGGCTTCACCCAAGACTTCTTCGGAAACCTCCAGTGAAGCGGGGATACCTCCGCGTCCAATACAAGAAAATGACATCTGGTAAGATGAACTGAAATCAAAACAAGACAGATTGTACTCACTTCTTATTGCAGTCCGATATGCCAAGAAGAATTGATCTCATCGTCTTCATCTCTGACGTACTGCAAAACCAGCTGCGGGAACCACATGCACGTCAAATGTGTCAGAGTCCTCATGGAACATCAGAGCAAAAGCATGGGACTGGATACTGTGAAATGCCCAGTACGTCATTCTATCAGCTCTCATCTGCCATTTTGACAATTATATTCTCACCTTTGGATATGTTTAGCTGTGCCGAAAGGATTTAGGAACTGTCGAGGAGCTCAAAACCCAATTGTCCGCCGAAGAGAAAGGGGATCGGCAAAAGAGAAAAGAAAAGACCAGGAAGCCAGCATTGCACAAAGGTACGGGAAAGAAGTATTGATAACCTGATCCCATGGCTTCATCTATGTCACTACGACTAGGAACGTCATGTCAAGAATGCGGATGTCTCTCTATTGTCGGAAAGTGTCATCGGTATGTTATACATGAAGCTACATGCACGAAGCAATTCTGACCGCGTTACAGATGCACTGTTTGTCAGGTACTACAACTGTCACACGCAATATGTGTGCCTTGTCGATGCTGATGTCGACAGCAAATAGAGCTACCATCTCTGTGATAAATGCTTCACATCTGGGGCGCACAGTGATCACACATTCACACACCGATCCCGCCCGAATTCCCCATCTCGCCTATCCCCACGTCGTGTTGCACCGACATTTCCCCAAGCTGTTCTAGAAGACATGCAGACTCGGGAGCTGGGCGATGCAGACTATGAGGCCCTTCTGGCACTGGATTCACCAGGAGTGAATCAAGGCGATATCCCATTACATGTTGTCAACGGATTTCCAACGGACCGTGCGGTCGGAAAGAACTGGGTTGGAGATTCGTGTAAGGTTTGTATGCAAAAAATCCAGACAGGGGACGTTGTGAGAAAAATACCATGCTCGCATGGCTTTCATAGGAATTGCATCGGTACGTGCTCTTGGTCCGGCTAACGAAATGGAGATGATTGCTAACCTTTCCGCTTTAAGATCGCTGGCTCTTGCAATGCCGTACAACTTGTCCGACATGCGGCCTTGCGGCGTACTCGTCCATTACGGCCGATTCCATTGATACTACTACCGGCGTTGGCGATCCCATCGATCTTAATGCTGCAAACTATCAGGCTGCTAAATATCCTGATAAAACAAAGCGCAAAAAGAAGCGCAAAGAAAAGAAAGCTGTGCAGCAGCAATCCTCCGAGGAGCACACTCGTGCAAGTGACAGCTCACTGAATGCGATGATTATTTTCGGATCCAGGAGTGAATTGATGACCAAATTAAATCCAGAAGAAATGCAAATCTGTATAGCAGGTGATCATGCTTTCGCAGACCAGACGGGGGGAAGTACTTCTGGAGCCACGGCGGATAGCGTTATGAATGCTCCATTTTCCCGACAAACCTCATTTCGATCTCCAATAGAAGGCAAGATGAGTCCAACAACTTCCAGTGACCGCCGCAACAAGCAAGTGCTCATGGGAATCCGAGGCCGGCAACCGCAAAGTGTCCTAAAGGCCACTAAAACCGTCTCCGAAGGCATTACCCTACCTCCAATCCACATTAAAGGGATTCATGGCATTTGTAGCCCTCTTCCCCAAAAGGATAACCCCAACCCCAACCCCAACCCACACAAAGCACGAAAGGCTAAATTGCGTCCACAAAAACTGTCGTTTAGTGCTGGTAGACATGGGACGTCAGGGCAAGATACTTCGCTGAACGACCTTGTAAGCACAAGACAGCTGTCAATAGGTCCCCAAATGCAGAGACCATTGGTCGACATGTAAAAATGGCATTTATGCGGCAAGTGTAATGTAGATATGGCAATAAAAATGCCTTCCCATTGGGGACTTCACCAAATTAGTGGCACATGCTAGCGGGTGTTCAGTATGTCTGTATTCATTGTCCAAAGCATCTTATAGACCTCCTTTTGTTATTCCACGCAGTAGTCGTTGAATGAGTTCATCATTCTAGCCGTCACCAAAGAATTAGAATAGTGAACATAGTTCGTTTTCCTTTTTTCAAATACCTGAATTATGACGGCTTTTGCGCTGCTGATCTTTTCGAGCTAGTTGAAATAAAAGCAAGCGTCAGCATGTACTGCGGGCATGAGTGATTATTAAGGCTGCTTCTGCTCAAATTGACATACTTGTTCGTCAATTGCATTTTCAATGTCTCTTAATTGTGTTTCTAGGGCGGTAGTGCCTTCTTGTGTTGTACTAGAATAGCTTGTTAACCCTTGTACTGCTCATGCATACTTTAGCATGCTCACCTGAGCTCCATATCTAAGACGCTTTGGTACTTCTGCCGCTCTTTTCTCCACATTTCAAGCTCCCTGTTCATGCTATCAATATCTTCCTGCATGTAGTCCATGGTTTTACCAAGAGGATTTGTGCTCCGTGTGAGCGCTTGAATCCAGTTTCGGAGAGCTTCAATCTAAGGTAGATGTCAATCTCAATGCATTATAGCGCTTGGCAAGTGCCAAGATGTGGAGTCGTATCATACCTCCTTCTTTCCGCCCGTGCGGTCCTTGGCTGTTTTGGCTCGATCCTTGCTTTCTTCCACTTCTTTGGTCCCTTCCAGCTCCTGCTTCGTTTGGAGAATTGTTCGGACGAGACCACCTATATGGTGACGCTTTTGAGCATAGAGGACAGGACCTAAGAGAGGTTTTTGTATCTACCATGTTTCTCATCTGCCAGTGGCCCCTCTTCTCTCCCGGTCTAGTGATATGGTTGAGCATCCTAACCGTAAGGAAATGCAAAGCTGTCTGCTATCGACATACCGGCGCCAGCACGTCTTCATCGTCATGGGCTATTACTACAAACTGGTCATCGTCATCTTGTTTCCTTTCCGTGAATATTGCTGGTAGGTCCCTGATATGCGCCAAAGCACTAGGTTAAATATTGTGAAGCGCAAAGAGTGTCGACTAGAAAACTACTTTGGAACTTCCTCCAAAACAACTTCAGGCGCCCTCTGTCTTGGAGGAGCTGGCCGAGCGCTTGCTGGTCGCATACGACGTGGAGTTGAGGCAACTCTTGCTTGCCGATCCTCGAGGTCCATTTCAGCTGTCCGAACGGATTCTTCTGGAACTGTTTGGCAGTAATTTCCGTTAATTTACTAGGTATTTTCTTGCTAAAGGATAGTACATGTACCTGCTTCTTCCAAAGCTGGCTGTGGAAGCGCTCGTCCCTGCGAGGGGGCGACGGCTTCCACAGATGGTGGCAACCGACTTTCAGAAGATAGTTGGGGAGACGGCTTTGAAGGGGGCGGCGTTGCAGCTGATACTTGTGGTGATCTGAATTGCGACTGCGGTGATTGTGGTGACGGCTCTGTTGCGGGAGGGGTCTGTGGTTTTAGTGGCTGGTGCTGTGGTTGTGTTTTCTGCGCGGAATGATCTCTGGCTCCCCTTGAAGTTTGCGGTCGAGCATCTAATGCAGGATCTGATTTTCCTTTTTGTAAATCAGATAGGCTTCCTGAATCCCTGTATCAATAACATGCTCAATTCTTTAGTCCATACTCGGGTTAAATTCCAGCTGTCAAAATGAAGGAATTACCCGGCCTTTGTAGATCTTCCTGCTGAGAGAGACTCCTTGGAACCACGTCGTTTCCCTTGGTGCTCTCCCACAAGGACGCGCTTGACGGCATCGGAACTGTCCACCTGAATACATTATTAGCAAGAATCACTGGCTCGTTTCCTTGAAAAGTACACCACCTTTTTCAATACCGCCTTTCCTAAGAGCTGCAGCAGAAAGTTTGTTTCTTCTGGCTCCAATCCGGCAACAATTTTTAATGGAGATGCCTTCACTTCGACTCCAGTTGCAATTCCTGCAAGTAAGAGGCACAAGTTATAGTCTGCCGTCATTTTTCGAGTAGATATTCTTCAGGACAATGAACGCACCAACGCAGTCAATTATCTTTGTCAAGTACGCAATTTTGGCATCTTTTTCCTAGATCCTCCCGCGCATCAGTCGCTGGGTTGATCAGAAAATTAACTCAAGGCAAATTTAAAGTGTTCCCACCTTGACATTTTCAGAATTCATTTCAATCTCATCATATAGCCCTTTGGCAAATTCGGTTGTGTTAATGATCTCGCTAATGAGGTCATGAAGATAACGGAACGGCGGTTTGGAAAGGAGCTTTGGCGTCAGAGGAGGCTTTTTAATAATGCGGCCGAGGATGTCTGCTGTTTTTTTGATTGCATCCTCGAGTGTCGACATTTTCGAGTTTTACCGTCTCCACTTCCGTGATGGACAGGCCGGTTACGTTTTTAGCTTGTGAAATACGAAAGCCGAAGCGTGGTAGTGAGCAGCCAAACTGTCAGATCTACGAGTTCTTCCTGATTTTTATCTCATACGCTACTAGTAAAAGGTTGCTCAAAGTGCTGCCGGTCTTTCAGGTTTTACGACATGCCAACTAGGCCAGAGTCGATCAGATAAGCAAACGCGTCGCGGGCCCAAGCCACACTGTCGCGTCTCTGCTTTGGAAGTTGACTTTCTCGTTTTTGTTTTTCACTGCTTCCCACCATGCGGACCAGAGATATTAGAGGATTTCATCCTCCTTCATGGGCTTATGCGCTAGGCATTTTTCTTTCTGTGACTACGCTATGTGTCCCCCTGTCCTCCGCCGAAATGTCCGTATCCGCATCCCTCACGATTCCAGATTGTGCCAGTGGTCTGTATTGGAGTCCAATACTGATGGCCTGCACAGCCTGTCCTACCAGTGAAAATGAGATTCTTGGTCCTAAAGGTTGGTACTGGAAGGGAGTACGGATCTGAGCAAATGAACTTACTTATCGGAAGGGACGTGATCCAGGGTCATGTGTATGTAGTGTTGGCTATGCACGAAATCAAGTCAATGGACGCTGTGAAGCATGTCCGGCAGGAAAGGTATGCGGTTTGCTGAATCTTGAATTTCTCTTGAAGAATAATTCTCAACGCTTGTTGCAGGTTGGATCTACCGATGAGAGCTTTTGCATTGGTTGTGCCTCACCAGCATCACAAACTGTTCTCGCGCAAACTGGTAGCCAATGCACTTGCGGTTCTATGGAATATCTCGGTATGTTGTTTATGGCGCCTTGATCTGCCTGACTAGGGTAACATTATTTTGCATATGATTGAAGTGGATCGCAACGCCACTGGCAGACTTGATACCGCCATCTGTACATCCTGTCCAGCCAATTCCCACCCCAGTTTAGATTTATCTACATGTGTAGAATGTCCGGATCCAGGAATGAATGCTGTCAACAGTAGCGGCAGCTATAGTTGCGTTTGTCGGACCGATCTGGGTTATAGCGCAACTCCAGTAAGTAACGATACTTGAGTCCGGATCGCCTTTACAAGATATCTGATAGTCAAGCGTATCAGCAAGACCATACATGCCTTCTTTCGACAGACATTAGCCAGATAAATTCTTTGATCGGCAGCACGAATCCAAATACAATTACATATCATGTACGTGCACTATTCTTGGGTTGCATCATTCAGTTCTAATGTCGCTTACAGAATCTAGTTGGACCGGAGGGCACCATCACGCCCATTACCATTACATCAGACGTATTTGCTTCCCTATTTATGAAGGCGGCTTCCCAATGCCTGGTACTTATTCGCCTTGCGGAATATTTTGGTTATATGGAACACACGTTAACCGTTGTCAAACCTTGGCCAATAGCGCCAGCAGATTTCCCAAGCTTGTCAGGCGCTGGCTAATCTCTGCGTGCTCCAGTTATACGATTTTTCGACGGCACCCTGTCAAGTCTATCAGTCGATTATACGAGGACAGTCGTCCGTGGCAGATACACTTGACGCGTGAGTAGAGTAGCCTTTGCTACTGCCCAAGTAATCTCCTAACATTCAAATATGAAAAGGCCCCAAGGTTTGCCATGGCTATACTATGGTCTACTGAGCTCCCAGGAATCTACAACGTTTACAAGTCAAGTGCTTAATCTCACAGTGGATATCGGTTCTGGAGCGGTATCTACATTTCGACCTCTTGTTCGTAGTGCAATCATTAGTTTAAGACGCCTGTGATATCTGTAGGGTGTATCTCGTTTACCATTTGTCATGTCTACTTATTCGTTGAACGGAACATATCTGGGTTTGCAGAAGCTGACCACCCAGCTACAGGTGGGTACTCTTTTGCGTCGAACACAGTGGAGCAGAAGCTGACACGATACGTAGCTTTGCACTGCAGTGCCTAGTGAGCGAGCAGATGATTGGCGCCAGATTGGATACGACTACGTAGCATCGTGCACAATAGATTTGGCAAGTGCCATCAATTCCACTTCTGCTGCCACCTTTTACGATTTATGTAAGGAACATGAATATCCTAAACTATCACCCCACATAATTCAAATACCTTTCTCTTGGTAGTTATAGAGGATAGTTTGGGGATATTGAAAGCTGTACCAACACGCTTTATCAACTATCGTACACTTGCTGGACGCCAACCTAATCTGAATGCCGATCCTCTCGACTACGGCTCCAGTGTTCTTTTCCGCCGGTTTTTCAGCATTGACGATGTAAGTGGAGTCCAAGGCGGAATTTTAAAGGTTATTCGAGTGCCCCTTTCGATGACGTTCTGGTAAATGCAGCGTATTCGCATTCATTCTCTGAACCGACGTTAACTGTAAACTTGTTGAGGCAGGATTCGTAAGGCAGATTCAGATGGGCGGATTTACATACCAGTCCTTGATGTCACATATACAGAGCGAGACGTTTCCACACTCTCAGCACAGACAAGTATCTCTTTGCAGGTGAATAATCTGTTGTGTGGCAGGCCTTCAATACAATCTTCCGCTGACTCGGGATCAGTTTGTTTTCTCTGCTCTATATATCATGCATCTGGACAGCTTCTGGCGAGTCATGACTGTCGTGTTTTCACTGGTCTGTGCTACGGCAGGACTGCTGGCTTTGTACAGTGCCAGAGCATGGAGTACGAGAAATCTGACTGTATCGCAAGGATGGGATTTCAATGTAAGTGCTCTCGCTGAATTTGATAAACAGTTTGTTGAGGTTAATGATTTGTTCCAGTTCTTGAGTAGATGCATTCTCATTCTCGCTGGATGTCTAGCACCATTACTTTTCTGGTTCTTGCTTGCCGTATCCGCGTATTGGTTCTTCTTTTATAAGAACCAAACCGTGATGAAAGTCCTCTTACCATGGTCGGATTCCGATCTGCACAAGTTCAATGCAATTGTCGTTGCTACACTTGTCTGCCAGGTTTGTATTGGGTTTAGCAATACAGGGTTTTATGCCCAGTGCCCAGATCGGTAATTTGTTGACGGTTTCCCGCAGAGCGCTTACATTATCAAACAACTTTACGAGCAATGTACAATCGACATTTTCTTCATCGATTGGGAACGGAGTCGTGGGAAGGTTATGGCTGCCGGCGGTGAAGGGAAGCCACGGCTGGCAGCTGTAAGTGTGTGGAGGAGCATATTCATGATGAATGAGTGGAACAAGATGCAGGTGCGAGCGAGCGCATTCGCTTCGAAAAGTAAAGTATCTCATAACAGATTTCACAGACATATCGCCGGGTGAATATCGGGTTTTCGCTTCTGGCCATGTACTTTATAGTCGAGGGGCTCAAAGTTCGATATGCTGCTACTCCTCAACCGAATATTCACGACCTTACTCCTGGGCTAGTAAGCCCCATTTTGCTATTTGCAGTCGAATGTCTACTGTGGATTTTGCTCGCCGTTGGCCAAGTGAGAACTATCAAACTGCATAATGCTATACACGGCACTATCTAACTTCAAGATCAGATCCTTTTTCGTGCGGTTATCTATGAGAGATTCTACAAGGATAAACTGCTGGATTTTGTCGATGTTTTATCCATGGCAAACTTGAGCATTCTAGCGTTCGACGAATTGTGCCATGGCTATTACATTCATGGTCGCTCCGTCCACCCGTGCGCTGACACAAATATCGGAGAGCTGAATGCATTCTTGCGTAGGGAACAGGTACCCTTGGATTACTTGAACAGATATATACTTCTTACTTTATTGCTAACTTACATCTTGCAAATCATAGGCCGACTTGGTACCAAGGCGTGGAATGCAAGATACGGATCAGCAGTGCTTTGAAGTATATACACAAAAAGAGATGCGCTCCGCGTTTAACAAAGTGTATTCAATCGTGATTGCTGAAGTGGTATGTACGGTCATTATAGTATGGTCATATATGCGAATTCAAAGATGTTGCTTGGATTTCCTAGGAGGCACAAACTGCAGGCAATGTTGCTGCCCGACTACGTATGGATGAATGGCATTTTATTTCGAATATTTATGCTATACATTGGTTTTTTCTAATTTTTGAACTTTTTAGAGCGTCTATCTGCTGACAAAATGCAGCGGCGATTCAACGGAGCTGATGAAACCCGTGTTCGCGCATACGAAACTGTCAACCACTTTGTAAGATCGTTTTTTGATAAGGTACGACCTTGTTCTTTAATCGCAGCTGGAATGAATGAAACGAAAGTCATGGATCAGTAACCGCTTCGTTCCTTAATCAGAACCTAAAAGAATTCCAATATCATATCCGGGAACGTACATATTTTGAACGCTTCTTGGGTACCACTCCGGACGTATCACAGAACACTGTGCTTTTCCACAGTACGTTGATACTTCGGCTTTGCTCAATGTGATTCCGACATGTCAATCTAATCACACTTTACCCAGCACCTTCATCTTTCACGAGACTTCTGTTGTACGGTATCGAATACCATCTCCTGATATTGTACATCCTGATTTTCACGGTGGCGGATAACGGGTTGGAAAATACTGGTGCAGCAGCAATTATAACGTACGGTGTAGATGTTGTGATACGGGTGATACGAAAGCATTTTGGGGCAAGCAATTTGGCGAGGAAGACAATGATGGATAGGAAGTTTTTAATTTAGTTCTCACTTTTTGTATTTTTGTCAGTAAGATAATTCGAGGGGTATGCTTACCGTTCAGTCGACATCGGCAATAGTTGCTTCAACCTTAATCATTTCCAAGTCGGCTGGAATAGGCGGTCTTTTGATGAGCACTTTAATGATGGTCCACCAAGAACGAACGTGGCTCATCAAAGAACCATCTGATGACGAGGCAGTCGCAGTTGGGGGAGGCGGCGCATGGTGCAGTCGTACTGATCCTGAGTCCACTTGAACCATCGGGGTGTTTGCCTGGTTTGGTCTGGGACCGACACTTCGCTTTGACCTCATAGTCCAGGGATCCGGGCCTGCCCCACATTCGTACTCCTTCTCGAGTTCGATAAAACGCCAGGTGGGCATTCCTAGATAGACTGACATACAGAATATTAATCAGCTCGCTCCATGACATAGCATACATACTGGCCATGCTTACTAAGTTTGCAATGGAAAATTGTTAGCGTGAGTCCCGCGCCTCCTGTAAACATCATAACGCAGGCATAAACAAACAGGACGGCCGCAATCACTTGGGATGTCCCTGAATGGTCGTTCAAGATTCGGCCCACTGTTCAAAATAAGCATCGGTGAGCGGCAAATATCGCTCTAACGAGGGCGATGACCTACCGGTGGCATGAAACATAGTGGGTTCTTTGAAGTACAAGGCAAATGCATACAGAGATATCGCAGCACTCCAAAATGCAAAAAGCCAGCCGAAAACCAGAGCACCAAAGAAAGTTGGGTAATTCCTACGGCCGATGTCTTGCCCAAGAAAATCGCAATGGTGATCAAATCCATCAACGCATCTATTGCAGGGCTTGCAGTGTTTTGTGTTTTCATCAACCTTCACTTGGCATATGTGGCAATAATGCGTTTCTTTATTGATGACTGGAACTCCGCGAAGCTTGGTAAATCGGACATTACGCTCCACGTCAGCTGCCGGAACTCGGGGATCCTCCGTGTCCACAGAGCCTGTGTAGGCAGCCAAGAGAAACGCCAAGGCGGCAAAAGCTCCAGGAAGAACAGTGAAAGTAATGCGTTCTGTTCCAGAAAAGAAGCGAACGACCAGAAAATAGTATCCAAGAAGACCCAAGATGAACCACGACAGCAGGAAAACCGTTTCAACTTAATGACCCATACATGTCAGCCATGCAACAAGGAATGCAACTTTTGAATCCGTAGTTAATTACCTTGAAAGGGTCTTTGCCACATATTCATCTTCCACCATGCGTTAAAGTTTGCGGGGCCCGAGGTAGCGGAGCTGTGATAGCGCTCCGTAGATGTGACCATCAAAGGCAGTTTGATTTTTGCCGGCATGCGAGGAATTCGTTTGCCGTTCGAATAGTATTGAATTGGACGAGGCCGAGGTGGTTCTGGATCAATATCGGTATATACCGCCAATGGATCATCGTTGGGTCTTGTGGTCCCCATCGATGAATGTTGCGACGAATTTGAGTTTGAATGTGCCATGGTTTTTTGGGCAAGAGATGATGGAGAAATATCTAAATGGAAAAGAATGTTTCTGTTACCCTTTTTCAATATACCCCGTTGTTATTTACGTATTTCTCCGAATTCGACGTCAGCGAACTGGAAACCCTTGGAAGGGTTGAGGGTCGGAGGATTTCATACGTAGCCCTTACGTGATCAAAAACTAAGCCACTCCTGGCACCGTCGAATGCACCAACCAGCCCTTGCGCCTGGGCATCACCATTTTGGCCAAAACATGATGCTCAACGGGAAAGAAAAGCAGCCAGGTAGTTTTAAATGGGATGAGACAAGAAGAAGGGAATCCGGCTCATTGATACTGTGGGTTTAGGATCAGATGAGATTGCGTCAAATCGACAGATCACCCCAGAACCTGAGAACAACGGCACGAATGAGGTACTTTGAAAACATGATATCACAGCATACGGTTTATTGAATCCACATAGTAACGTACCTTTGGGAGCAGAACTCTAGTGGCAAGATTGACGTCTTGGGAAGTATAACCGTCGGTAAACGTCCACGCGCAACCGAAGATCACACGCAAGCCAAAGTGGAGGTAGGATAATCTATTTTGGCTTATTTGCCCGGGGCACGTCAGAAATACCAATCCTAACATTTCATGTAGAAACCCAGCACCGCAATGCATGATGCACCAATTGTAAGTCTGTCAACGGTGAAGGACCAAAAGAGCGAAGAGATAGGCGGCAGAAGGGACGGTGGATTGTCGAGCGGCGCAGCAGGTGTCAAGCGCCCTCGTACGTTGGACGATGACAAAGAGCATGACAGCGAAGACATTTCGAGAGGGAGTGGAGCGAGTGTCAAGCGTCCTCGTACACCAGACGATGAGGAGGAGGTAATCATCGAATCTTTCAAGAGTCGTATTTCCGTACATATTTTAACAGCCTTGCTATACGAGCAGGTGACGGCCAATGCACACGTATCGGACAAGTCTACTACCGAAGGTGGGCGCTCTACTGCTACACCGGAAGGAACCCCTGAGCCCGCAGAGGTGAATGGAAAACGCGACTGGCATTTGTAAAGTATAACTAATTGACGTGATCAACCTGTGCAGGTGACGACACCAACCCCTAGAGAGAAGGAACCGAAGACTGCGACGAATCCGTTCCTCAAAGATACCGGAAAAGACGTTACATGGGACGACCTGGTTGAGGAGGAGGATGAAGATTCTACCCAACCCGCCGCTCCCTCACAACTCGGCACCCCCATGAAGATATCCGGCCCATCTGCTCAATCAAGTCCTATATTCCCTTCCAGTTTCAGCACCGGTTTTGGCGGATGGTCGAGCTGGGGACAACCAGGAAATGGAAAGGCTGATGGTGGTTCCATATCTTCGCCTTCGTTCGGCCTCTCGAGTGCTCCGGTATGATCGTTCCGCTGCTGTCGGTTCATTATGTTGGGAACTATGTGCTCAGTGTAAACTCGATAGAATTCCGCAATGTCCACTCCTCACAAGTCCAACGTAAACGGCCCTGTTTTCGGCTCTAACCTGTCAGGTTCAGCATTTGCGTCCTTCGCCGCCTCTCCGTTGACGTTTGCGTCACTTGCATCCCCCAGTCGGCCAACCGAATCCAAGGAAAAGGTGTCCGATGACTCTGGCTCATCCTTTCCGGAACTATTAGCTGAAAAGCTTCAAGACGAGGAAAAGAATTCATTAGATCTTAATGCCCCCTCTCCTCTAATCAAACCCGTCAAGCATGATCTTGCAGAAACGAAAGGTGCGCAATTGTAGACCGTTCAAGTGCAAGATCTGCATATTCATGTTGCTTATCTACATAATAGCTGTTTCTGGAGAAGAGGATGAGGAAACAATATATCAGGTTCGTTAACAGATCCTGTTCTCGCATGCATGCAACCAAGTTGACGGCGGCCTTCTTCTTCAGACTCGTGGAAAGCTTTTTGTGTGGGACGCGAGTGTCAAGGGCAAAGAAAGATGGCGAGAGCGTGGGAAGGGAATGGTAAAGGTCAATGTCAAAAATGGCCGTGCTGAGCAAGGACGTCTGGGTAGGTATCCAACCATGCATGACCAATGTGATGCTCAACTCTCACTTTTTTTTCGCTGTCACCAGTCATGCGATCAGACGGGTCTCTACGATTGATTCTTAACACAAAGATTTTTTCCGAAATGAAGTGCAAGGTCATTAGTGAAAAATATGTAGAGTTTCTAGGGACCACAGTGGATCAGCCTGGTCAAATAGCGAAATTCTTACTCCAGGTATGGGGGAAGGATATATTTTTCAAAACATCTGTATGTGCGTAACTCATAAAAAACCTCTTGTTTTTAGTTTAATAAGCGTGAACCGGCAGATGAACTGAAGGAGGCAATAGATCGGGTATTGGAAGATGCAGGGGAGGCATAGTTCAACGCAAGGGCTTTGACATTTAATGCAATGGGACTTCATGTGAGCTAGGATTTCATTACGAGTTCTCCAGCTGTATTCAATGGAAACAATGCACGAACGCGGACAAACATAAACTCTTCGTAGCCGTGCATTTTCCATTATCTCCGAGTACCATGTGCGCGAGATCCACTCACACTAGCCAGCTATGGTTTCTATGGGAACAGTGACTCATCCCGCAGGAGAGCTTTTGGGTGTCCCATATATTTGAGCATTCGAGATCACTAGATCCTGGTGCCGACCGAGATGCTGCGAACCAAGGGAAATATCATCCGTGGTTGCCTTCCTTACTGTCGCACATTTGCGACCCAACCCCCCAAGGTACCCCTGCCGCCGCTACCACCACTACCTGGAAAAGGAAACGAAAGTTCAGATGCACCTCCGTCAACCATTGACACACCCTCCCCTCCTCCGCAACCGACATCCTCAGGCCTTTTGGATCGCTTTGCTAGTAAGCTTCGACGGGATATTGAAGAAATGGAGCAGAGGCGGAAGGAGAAGGAAGCGGCGGCTGGACTCTCACTCCCAGAGACTGCTATCCCAAAAGTTCAAAAACAGTGAGTGGTTGTGGCGGTATTGGGTTTGCCTTTTCTTCATTAACAGTCGATTCTTTTACTAAAGACCAGGATTGCTCTCACGGGTGGACGAACGACTGCAACAGCAGCGACGTGAATTGGAGGCTGCTCAGTTGGCCAAGAGGGAAGCGGGACAGTCTTCCAGAGTATCCCCATCCCTGCAGAAGCGAATGGATGAATACCTTGATTTAGACGCGAATCTTCGGGAGAGGGAAGAATTGTATGTATCAAAGTTGCTTTCTCACTGTCTTGTCCGCGTGATAGAATTAATGTGCTTCCCTTTAGATTGAAGAAGGCCTTCCGGGAAGGCTACTGGGATGACTATAAAGGTGCGATCGAACAACCCTTTTTAGGGCTGCTACCCATGTTGTTAACAGATTGAGCTTGTAGAGGCCGCAAGAAAAGGCGCAAAGCTGTGGGAAGCACCGCGTCGGATGCGAAATGCTAATGTGGGTGCAATGCATTTGCGTGACGGTTGAGATAATGACTTTACGAAGCTCCTTCTCCATATCTTCAGGCAAGCCCACTAGTACCTAATCCGCAAAGTCGAACATTGGCTGGCCAGACAACCGATGTGATGTCGCTTGTCAGAAACAAGAAAGCCTCTCTCGTGACCTTCATGTTCTCTGCCTTTGGCGAGGTCTGTGAAACTCATCGATTTTGATCCCCCGTGCTCACCTGTTGACATTCACATGCCTGCAGCCACACGTAAATAGCTTTGCGGATCGGTTTTTAAAGGAATTTAAGGACGTCCCGGAAGTGCAATTGGTTCAACTAAATATTGAGGAAAACTGGGTGAAAGCGCCAGTACTTAAAATGCTAACACCTGTTGTCCGATGGAGAGTACCAAAAGATCGAAGGGTTTGTGTTCTACTCGCCATCAATATTTTCTCAACGATTAAATTAACATCCCGTTTAGGATAAATATCTACTACACTACTCCTCCATCGCTGATGCTCGACGTTCTGCGGGGATGACGAATAATGTTCTAGGTTGGGTGAACTTGGTTGATTCACAAGGTCGTATTAGATGGCAGGCGCATGGTTTGGCCAAGGATCATGAACTAGCCACCATGATTAAATTGACCCGGAAATTGGCCGGCCTCTCCGATGTAGTGGCACCCGATATGATGGACGACGTTCCCCCAGATGTTGCTCAAGCGAAGAAGGCTCCGAGCGTGTGATAATCTTTATGTACAGGACAGCATTGCATCATATTCATTGATTAGATAGAACTGTTTCCATTCTTGTGCGTTCGTGAAATCTCGAACTTAGAGGAAAATTGTTTCCAAACTGTGCTCTTGTGATTATGCTACATGATCGATACGCGGTTGTGCATGAAGCGTCTCGGGTAGTTATTGTTCTGATTCGCTTTTAGCACAAAGCAGGGGTAGTCGGTAGTAAGTGGGCCTGTAGGTATGGAGAGCGTCTAACAACAATTATGTGCGCGGAGTGGTTAAGGAGAGCAGAAGCGGCCCTTGTGAAGGTCGTTGGTGGTTGAGGTTTTGAAGGGCCAACGATGAGCAAGGGATATCAAGAGATTTGCAGTTCTATCCCGATTGACCGTCGTGGATTGTGAACAAACTGTGTCATTAGTCCAATGCTAAATAATGCTCTTTTGTACTGGCCTTCCAGTTTCAATGCCAGACCCTATACGAGACGTTCGATGTTATGCTTCATATGGCGGCAAACGCGAGAGTTGTGAACCACCCACCTCAGATAGGCTGACCCTTGCCTTTACAAGTTGTTCCTTCTCAGGAGGAGCATACTCAACTCCAAGCACCAGATCCGCTTCATAACTGTACACGTTGAAGTCGTACCGTGTTGCCATCGTAAGATTCTTTCGTATTGTCGTTGCATAGCTCGCGCTTACATGTCCCATCATTGGGTTTGCGAGAAATGTCAAAACAGTTTTGGGTTCCGCTGGAGCGTCAAGCTTGGATGGGTTCTTGTATCGCGCTCCGAGGGAGACTGCATTTGCAAAGAGTAGTGACATGTTTAAATAATCCATGATAAGAAGTATGACTGGATTTTAACGGAACGTACGTCCACCACTTCGTTCCTTTGCAGTGTAGTAAACCTCCGAACCAGCAGACCAGTTCGAGCCGGAGAACCGATAGAGCCCGCTCAAACCGATAACATGGTCGTCTGAGCTGTAACTGAGTTCACTGCTGTATGACAAGCTCGAATAGAGCAGTTGAGTATTCACCTGAAACGACATCAAGTTAGTATCACCAGTCAAGTCAGATACCATTAAACCTGTTTCTACCGAGCTAGAGGAGTTTGGCGCTCTGGGCTTCCAGGAATTCACGCCAGATGCAACGATGAGGGTATTACGCGAGAGGGATTTGCTGTACAGCGCTTCCAAACGGAGGTCTTCAAACAGTCGTCCATATACCAAATAGTTTCCTGTGGAGGATCGGCTTAACGGAAGCTACTACACACTGCTGTAGCAAATTACACTAACCAGTGTCAGAGGACTTTATCGCCTCGTGCGTCGAGGGAACGACCGGTATGCTACTATTTATTCTGGCTGCTCCATAGACCTTTAGATCGTCTACACAGCTCGGGGTCAAGCCGCCCTCGTCTTTGAGGTGCATCGGCGGTAAATCCAGTGGTGCCGAAGTAAATAGAAATCCCACAGAGCGAATGTTGGGTATCCCTAGTGTGTAGGTCCCTTTCAACACTGGTGATATTGTCTTGCCTAACGTAATGCTAAAGCCATGCGGAACGGCAAAGTCTAGTAATCGGCGAGAGTCGGTCAAAAGGGTAGAGTATTGGTCCTCTCTCCAGTTTATAGAGTAGTAATACCGCCGAAGGCAGTATTCCATAAAGTCCAACATGATGGAATTGGCGGTGCGATCAACCGACGCAACGATTCTAACGAAACGCAAGTTGATACTCGAGGTTTTCCCCATCCGGCATTGGTAGACGGATAGTTGGATGGAATCGGAGACTTTGGATAATTACCATCGCGAGACTAAGCCACGCGACATATGTCTGCTCTTCATTATTCCTTGATAACCAAAAACACTTTCCAGCAACTGTATGCAGGTGAGATGCAGAATATGCTTTTCATTATATCATAAATTTGACCCATTCCAGTTGGTGATGTCAACGCATTGTTCAATGCCCGGATATTCAGGTAAGACGAGGCCATGGCGCTTGGCAAACTCGGGAGGTACAAATCGTCCTCCCAGATAGTGATATTTACCTATCAGGTTGATCCCAGTTTAGCCATGCAGGCTCGTAGAACAGATTCTAGCGCTCCTGTGCATGCTGTTATGCCTACCTTTGAAGAATTTCGCTGACTCCTTCGGGATTGTCAGAGATACCAGCATTTCAGGTTCAGGTCCTCGACCATTTACGTTTCCTAAGAGGAAGACAATGTCTAGATTATTTTTATAAACGAAAAAGCATGTCCAGAAGTCCATCCATACCTTTTTCTACATCCCAGCCGGAAGGGATATCGATGGAAACTATAGGCAATTTAGAACCTTTAATTTTCTGGAACCTAGATGGTCAGTAATTATAGAGCTCCCCCAAATGATAACGAAGCTGCTTACCTTAATCACCTCGTCAAACGGGGGTCGGATATCTCCACGGAAACTAAAACCTGTCAAAGCAACACGTTAGTGTCCCAACCGCGGATACAGCAGTGGTATGGAACGCTCAAATACCAAATATGGCGTCTAAGACAATAGTGGCGGTCTTTAGTTCTTCGTCCAAATTCTCTACGAAAGGAACATTCAGGTTCTCCAACTGTCTCCGTAAGTTCTATGCCAGAAAGGGATGCACAATACGAGGTTGGTAGTCATTCGCATCTCTGCCACATGAAATGCCAACCTTGTACAAAAGCTTCTCTGTAGCCTTTGGGTAGTGGACGACCGGTCTGTATCCGAAATGAAACAAATGGCGGGCGGCGACCAGTCCATCACCGCCATTATTGCCTTGTTCATTCCACCGGAAATGAAGTTAGGCGCATAGGTGGGAATGCCTTTTTGATTGTGATAACAACGAACCTGGACCTAATCATTTGTTTTTGCAGATGTCAGTAATGTTAGGGGCCATTTTCGCAGCAAAATGTAACGCACCCGCGCACACCAATACTCGCTGAAAGCTATCTTTCGAATAGACCTTTGCCAATGCCATAGCCACGCTCAAACCTGCCAACTCCATCAACTGTACTCATGTACATGGACACATTCAGCACTGACGTGCGGGTCGCTGCATGGTAACCAAGTACCTGGTCAACTGAGAACCCTCCCTTCTCTGGGTCCATTAATTCATTGTCCAGCTCTTGCGCGAGCGTTTGCCCAATGTACTGTACGTATGGCAGCCCCACGGCATGATAATATTGAAAACGGGAGAGGTCAAAAACCCGACGAGGACAAGAAGAAGTCGATAGAGTTAGACAGGGCCGAATATGATGCGTCGCCAGCCCCAGGATACGCCATCTACATGGAGTATGAAACAACACCTTGTGGACCATGTCTTAACCAATGAAAGGTAAAAATCGGCAGTCGGGATGTGCAGTGTTGAATGTCGTAGAGCCAAACCCAGCTGTGTGCTGTGCAATTACGTAGGGAGTGAGTCAGATAGCGTAACCATGGCAACAACCAGAGTCCTCATTTCAAACCCCGACTCAGACACCTGGGATCCACTGCCCATCCTCCTCCATCTTCATGATTCCAAAGTCTAAAGGAAAAAGATCACGCCCAATACCCACCTGGACCTCCCAAGATAATCCAGCCATTGCAGAGCTCTTGGCGGCGTACTCCTTCCCACCAAAGCAAAAACTATCGTTATCGCCTTCCCTGCTGCGTAGTCGCACATTTCCTTCATCTCCAGCTAGCTCTTCTCCACTTGTCCAGGCCGATATCGCAGTACAGCCTAGTACTCCAATAAGAAGCAATAAGTCAGTGCTTCAAGCATGCGTTGCTATTAGAGATCTACTACCAACAACCGTGCCACCTCTGGTTCTTGTTGATCAGCTGTATGCGCAACTGGGGAACGCTAATGTAGATCGCGAGCTGGTATGTACGCAGATTGGCCGAGTTACTAGCTTTTCTTCCTTGTCACGACTTCCCTCTGACCAGTAGGAACATGTCTTGCTTTCATTGCCATAGGCCCGTTTGTGTCGTCTTGGTGCCGTACGCAAATTCAAAGTTGGTGCAATTGGAGAGTTTTGCATCATGCTCAGCTGTGATTATGCGGATCAAATACGTGAAGTTGCCACCATGCAACATGGCGGGATCACCGCAACAGAGGACACGGATAGCCGCTCTCGGAAGAGGCGTCCAGTAGGCGAAACTGAACCAGAGGGTGATAATGCGCCCCCAACAGAGAGGCACGAAAGTGAAAGTAATCTGTATGGTGCGTTAGTCCTAGCTTAAGATGCTGAGTTTTCTGTTAGAGGAGACGTCTAATACCAAGTTGCAGAGCGTTATATTCAATACGTCACCAAAGGGCACTATGAGACAGTACACGTGTCGAAAGCAGACCTGCAGCGTGAACTAGTTGCGTCAGACGATGAGATCAGGTGATTCATCTACGTCTGTGTGGGCGAGAATGCGGAAGGCGGTTTTCTAACGATGTGGTCATTCCAGCACGCTATTTTCTGCTGGATTTCTCACGCTTAAAGATGTGGACGATTACTGGATATCCGTCCGGAACGCAGGGCTATATTGGACAAATTTTATAAAAGGCCGTCAGGAGTTACTCCAAGCATTCAAAAGAAGGAGGTACAATGAAATCCTGGAAAAGGTAGGAAAGAGGTGTGCCGTTGAGCATGAGGGTTTTTGGTATGCTCACTGGGCTTATGCTTCCCAACGATCTAGGAAATAGAAGAAAGACCATTAAGATCATGTGTCCTACCTCCGAAGGTCATCCTGTTAGAGTTGCTAGGGAAAGGGCTCGTTGAAAGGTATGACATTGTTACAGGGTTTTGGAAATTAGATATGTTCCTGAATATAGATGACCAATTCAAACAGCTTCGATACACCCACGGGTCGTATGATACGCCTGAGGAAGAAGGCAGATGCCAGAGATGTCAAATGGTGATGACTTCCACCCCAGTTCTTTGCAGCCCGCCATCATGGTGCCGGCCCTTCGAGACCGCTTTCACGCCAGCGAACTTATGGAAGCGCATGCGGAGGAAATCTGTTCATCTTGATGAAGGACGGAGCAAAGTGCATCTCGAAGATGTGACGGTACTCACCACCTTTTGCGGCAGACGTACTCTGTTGGCCTTGCACCAGCAATGAAACGACTCACCATCACGTCATTTTCTATACTCGGCGGCCTCCTGCTCCTGCAAGTTCACTTGTTTTCTAAATGGCCTAATTGGGGTGATTGAAAAGGTTCTTGCCAGCGATGGCGAGCTGATCCTCTTGCACTAATGATTCCAAAGTTTCACCGGTCCTCTTGAGTAACTTTCTAAGCCATGGCGCAAGAGATCTGATCGGCGGCCGGGCTAGTTGCTTCAGCTTTGTTCGGGGATGAGCCGATGGCACGGTCACCGAAGTTGATGGATGTCACCGATAGCTTTGAAATGTCGAAAGCGACGGGCTGACTTGCAAATCAAGAAAAGATGTGCACCCATCGCTCGAATTTTTGCCTTGCAGACTTGGGGCAGAGAGGTGAACACTTAGCTTGCGATAGTATTACGGTAGATCGTAGCGGGATTCATATTAGTGATAGATCCGGATGCTGTTCGAATGAATATAATGCAGCATGTCTATTGTTTTAATAAGACGTCAGCTAAATCATGAGGTGCTTCGGCCTTGCCTTCCAACCTTCCAACCTCCACATGGCGATAGACTGCTTCTTAGACTGTTGTCCACGTAGAAACCGAGCCAAGCCATCCACTACATCCGACGTAATCTATTGGTGCAGTTCCATTCTTCTTCGCCTGAACCACACCCTATCGTGGCGAACTAGATGGTCTTTAATCAACTAAGTAGAAAACTGCTACATTTCTATTCGTGATCTGCAATGAGGCCTGGGTTCCAAGCAGTAAAAGCGGCTCTTTCGCGGCAAGAATTGGGGAGTAAAGGTATGCAAAGCATAGAATGTTAGCAATTGCCGTAAAAGTATTGTAAACTATTGCTGTTGCGCATTCTATCCCGCAACCATTGATCATTGATAGTGTAGAGGTGACAGAAACTGGCACTAGCTACTACACCAGGGAATAAACCAGCGACAACTGGTTCGGAAAACCTAACTAACTACTACTAGGCAATTATACACGCAATACGTAACGGTTGTCCTAACCGGATAATTGCCCACCACCACACGCGGTCCCTACTAGGCCTTGATCTGGAACTCTTGATGGCATTGAAGCCAGAGTCTTCGCAACATTGGGGAGACTCGCAAGCTGGAGGATGTTCAGTGACAAGGCTTGGAGACTAAAAACTGCATGTCAGAAGATGACCCGATGACAAGAAATGCCATTGATACATACCAACCAAGCTCAACTAATGTGGCAGCATAATAGTAGGTTTTGTTATCGGATCCGATTGGTTGCCACTGGTTCTGATCACGGTTGCTGTCGGGCGGTCGAGGTCCTCGGCACCACCACATCGGCGTTCTCATGATTGATGAGAGTTGGGCAGATGCTTGTGAGTCGAGGATGGGTAAAGAGGAAAGAGGGAAGAGACAGCTAAGGCCGCCCTTTTATAGACCTTCCACATGCGCCTCACCGCAATTTAAAAAAAAAAACATTACATGCATGCCACACCGCAGTTTGGAGAACATTAGCATCCATGCCTCCTCACCGCTTTGAGCAATAGATGGGGGTTCTGATTATGCGATATGATTAACCGGATTAATCCGGATAATAATGGGTCCTAGTGCCATTTTCAATCACCTCCACACTATGTATGAGATAATGATCAATGATCTTGATCTGTCTCTCCCAGTAAGGCACTGTTACAACAAGATTAGGACTAGATCCAACTTGATGTAGTAGAAAATATGATTAGTGAACCATGGCTTGGTTTATGTATGAAAGCTGATATTGCTTCATATATTATTGACAATGCAGCAGATGTAGAGTTCATGTACATGATATGGTATAACAAGCTCATCATAAGGGAGCGCAGTACCTCTTCGTTATCGCACAATACTCAAGGGCCTAGGTGTAGCGGCTCGACGTATTCGTCTACTTTCCCTTTTTCGCATTTGATCCCGAGGACCGCTCAGAAATACTTCATATATCTGAACCTCGGTCGCACGCCGATCTATCTCTGGTAATGGCCTTGGAGAATCGAGCACAACATGGACTCCCGGTATCCATGATTTTAACATGTCTCTGGCGACGATGGTCACCTCAGGGCACCCAGTGAAGTCGACTGATTTCAGTCGTGGTGCTGACTCGCCAAGATATGATGCTACCCTATTGGTGATTCCTCTACAGAATCGCAGGGAGATATACTGCAAGTTCGAGATATTTTCGGTGAGGGACTTGATTGCATCATCCGTAAGATGTTCACAATGTGAAAAATCGAGGTGCTCAAGGCGCTGGCTTCCCATGCGCAGCTCCCGGAGACCGTGATTCGTAAGACGTTTGCAGAAGCTGAGAATCAAGGTAGTGAGATCGAAGCTGGTAGACCCAATCCACTTCAAACAACGATCAGTAAGTTTTTCGCAATCAGAGAGGTCAAGATAGCGGATATGCCTAGAAGGTAATGGTGCAGTCCTAGTTAGTCAGGCAAGACCATGGTTAGCATGAAAAAGTTCGGGGTAAGTACCTGCAGTATCGGACTACATGAAACATAGTCAAATCAGTCATCTTTGTGCATCTCCGTAGTTGCAGGTGAGTAATTTCACTGGTCCCCGACAGTATCTTTTCCAGCTGCTCGTCCCCAAAAGACCTGCAGTAGCTCAAGTCCAATCTTTTCAACTTGGACCATTTGTGACGTGCAAACCCCGAGCCCTTTAGTTGTCCACAGTAACTGAGATCGGCCTCAACAACTCGAGTAAGGTTCCGGGTAAGATAGCCCAGGCCTTTGTCAGTGAATCTCCAAGAATTAGACAATGAAAGGTAGTAGATGTTCGGACACAGTGCCGCCAGAGTTTCCAGATCCCGATCTGTAACCCTCCAGCACGTCTCGAGACAAAGCCCAGTGAGATGATCCCCTGTGAGCTCCCAAAAGCTGGTAAGAGTTTTATGGGTGATTGTTGAAAAAACTGGGGAAAAGTCCAAGGTAGTCCATTGGATTGGACGACGTAGAAGCTCATTCCACCGCTTGCACATTAGACGCATTTTGAGTCGCTCTAATGGGTTCAGGCATGAAAAGATTATGCGCAATGCCCGTTCCTCCAAATCAGCGATACTTTGCACTTCCGTGGTACTGAGAGAGCATTGAACTATAGTTGAGGCTCCGCTAATATAGCTGGCGTCGCTTCCCCTTCGACTTGACGGCCCTTCAGGAGCGACTTTTGCTCCACGTTCCCTGCGTTTGGATGAGCTCGACTTTAACCCTTGAAAAAGCTTGGTAATCCAGCGACGGCCCTAAGTAATAGCATTCCGTTAACCACTTGATGAATGACTCTGGTAGAGAATCGCGCACATCTTCGCCTCACCGTCTTGGGGACATCATTTGTCTTTTCATGCCCTGAAGGTACGTTTCCTTGTTCTTCAATCAAAAGGGATTGGTCTGCTTGTCCTGGAGGACACGATTCGTTTTCGTTTGTTACTGGCAGGCTCTCATTCGCAACCTTCGATCCACGTCTGAGAAATCTCCGGACTCCTCTTAGCTGCTGCGGTTGAGACTCGTCCCTGTCGCTTGCTCTCGCTTTCGTTTTAGCCTTTTCTTTTATGTCAGCCTTGACTGAATCGACAGCGGTATCCCATATTTCTCTCGCCTTCTTCTGAATGGTATCTGTGTCTACATCGGCATGTAGAGCGCCTTCTGTGGATAGTTTCCGCTGTTCTATCAGGCGAAACCGTTTGTCGGCTTCCAAGACAATGTTCTGATAACTCTCCGGATATTGTTGGAACACCTTTTGCAGGGCCTCGGCTGTCAAAATCATCATACCACACGACTTGGATGCAACACGCACGGAAGCGGTTCGAGGAATGCCTCGAAGCAATCCTATTTCGCCAAAGAAACCACCCTCCTTGACAGAATCATAGACTGTTGATCCGTCTTCCGAGATAATTTGCACCTTCCCATGCACGATAAAGAACATCTCGGCCGACATTTCGCCCTTATGAACGATCAGTTCCCCAGCTTTCCGTGCGCAGACAGATGTCGTAAGTGCCACTGTGCGCAAAAATCCGTTCTCGCAGTTTTGAAAAATCGGAACCTGAACAAAATACTGTGAGGCTCAGCTGTGATGTTGGATTTCGTTGTTTCTACATACCTTTTTCAACCGTGCTGCCGTTGCGTCAATATCGTACGCCTCAGGCAGTGATGATTCCGATAGTTGATTAACTGCTCTTGTCCTCTTCTGAAACAGTCGGTAGTTCTCTTCTGCTCGTGCTTGCATAGCATCTCTCAGCGTAGGATGTTGCCCAAGTACGTGGGTGAGGGCATCCTTCGACAGTTCGTACAGAGTCGTCTGTGACTTTGAACGGACCGTGGCCGTCCGGTTGATTTCGTAAAAAAGGGCCACTTCGCCAAAGAATGCGTTTGCACCCATTTCAGCATATATGCTTTTACCATCCTCAGATACAACCTGTACAGTTCCATCCATCACAAAAAACATGCTCCGGGCGACCTCATCCTTACGAATGATTACACTTCCCGGTGGATATACATGAAGCTTCAGGACCAGCACTAATTCGTGAAAGAAGGCGAGAGATCCATCCTTGAAGAGCGGGACCTAAGACAATTGCACTCTTGTCAGAATAGTTTCTGCTTTTCCTAATGTGACTGCCAGCAGCGTCACCTACGTTTTTCAACCGCTCTCTGACAACTTCCAGCTCCAACTGCATCGCTTGCCGCTTATTTAGCTTGCTTTTCTCCCTCTCTTCATTGAACTTGAATCTCAGCGTCGCTTCTTCTTGAATTTTCTGGTTAACTTCCGGATACTGCTTCAATAACGTGTCCAGATCGTTCTTGGCCAGTTTGAAAACCGCCATTTGATTCGATGTACATCGAACGGACGCAGTTCTTCTCACATCAAAGAATATGCCAACCTCGCCGAAGAAAGAGCCGGGATGAAATTCAGCAAAAGTTTGGCCATCCTCTTCGCTAAACACTTCCGCCGTGCCTCGAACGACAAAGTACATCTCACGAGCAATGTCATCCTTTCGAATAATGCGATCTCCGTGCCGATATTGAAGTGGGCACAAGCTTAGAGCTAGCATGTGAAGAAATCCCACCTCACAATTCCGGAAGGCAGGGATCTATATAACAAATGTGTCAAAGCGAGCGTAGATGCAATTCCCATTTTTCCTTATCATTGGCATATTACACACTTTCTTCAAATCATTCTGGGTCATTCCTAACTTGAGCTCTTCACCAAACTCCACTAGCATGGAAGATTCCCGCTGTTTCATGTACGAAGCAAATCGCTCTTCCGCAATATATCGGATTGAGGTGGCCACCTCAGGATGCCGTTGAATCGCCATCTTCAGGGATTCCCTGGTGAGAGTAAGCACTACGCATCGCCCCCTTGCTCTGCATGATGCGGTTCTGTTGAGGGAATTGATCAGCAAACGGCATCTACATCTAGCAACCGCGCTGACTATACCGTGGAACGGAAAATAGGACTCCAATCTCGCCAAAAAACGATTTTTCTGTCATTACATTGATGACAGTTTCACCTAAGCGACACAAAAAGCTGCTTTTAGCTTCATGGAATCCGTCTTTTTGTCCTGCCCCCCCATACTTGCCCCATGTCAGCCCAACAGCCACGACTCACCATCCTCAGATACAACCTCAATATCCCCTCTGAATACAAAAAACAAAGCTCGCCCAACCTCGCCTTGCCGAATTACATATGAATTGTCATAATATACACGAGTCTGCATCGAATTGGCCAACGTCATCAAGAAATCCTCGTCATGTAGATCCTTGAACAGAATATGTTCGTCGAGGAATTTGCAGATTGAGAGATCCATTGACGACACACTTTGCAAAGGACTAGATTCCTTTGATTGGGATCTTGGGAGAGTACCACATTCTCTCTGTTCTGCATGGTGGTGTAGGATTGACACATTGGGAGAAGATCGACAACCACTCATGACCACCGGATTCAGTGCGTATGGAGACAGGCTGGTGTGGAGTGAGAGTACTTCCGCATGGATTTGCTTTTGAATACGGGCATGTGGTTCATGGCCTTTCCTTAACCCTGGGGTTTTCATATGCGAGTGGCCAAGACAATTTATGGTCGGCCGTGGCGCGGCATCGCTTGGTAAGCAGAGAAACGCGCTGACAGACCTATCGAGGATCCACAACAGACCTTTTGGCAAGACTGTTAACGCACAAACCGCCAAAATGACACTGCCAAAGCGAGTATCATATCCGCCACCCCCAGTGCCTTCTAAACCTCATGTGCGGTTTGGAGATATCATCAAGGAAACGGCGTTACCTGATACGATTGTGCGGCAGGTGAGTCGTTCAGGCCATAGGTGGACCAATTCCGCTTTTGTATGGTGTTCTTTCAAAATATGCCTCATCAGAGTTAATGGAAAAATATTGAGCCATTTTGGATATCCTACCTTTGTATAGTTGCATATTGTCTTTTACTGACATGTTACTTCCTAGACGTCGCTCATGCAATTGACCCGGGTACTGGATCAACTCAGTAATTTTTCTCTCTACGCAAATGAGATTGCATCGGGTAAGTCTCCCAATCTTTGTAGACGACCGTTATTGCTGATATCAAGTTTAACGGATCCTTCTCAAAGACCTTGTCAAGTCATCAGTGTCGATTTCCGAAAGAGTCGAGGAAGTTCAGAAGCGTATTGATGCTTTAAAGAATGCATCACCAAATGTAGAGGAGAAGCTGGCAGTAGCCAATCTTGCAGAGTCTATGAATCATGAACGTATGCAAGCCATTTGATTGCTAGTTTGCGATATTTTAATCAATGATTCGGTGCATTAGGATTTGACTGGAAATCCCAGCTAAAGCTTGGGAGCAATCTTTTTACAAAAGAAACCGAAGACCCCTCATTGCGGGCTGTTTACGAAACATGTAATGATGCACCAAACCTATCTCTTATGGATCCATTCAGGGCTGATGGCCAGCCTTGCATGAAAGTGAGCAAATGTTCCCAAATTGACACTTTTTCTTTTTTGAAATGCGGAGTGCTTACAATAATTGAACATAGTTTTATTCATATCCCGAATTCTTTGCGGAAGAATGGAAGATGCTGATGCAAAAGGAGTTTGATGAAGAACGGAAACGAAAAAAGGAGCGAAGAGAGCTAAAGAAGAAGGCAAAGGTGGGTGCTTACAAACATCTATTAAATCAAACAATGAAACTCCCAATAATGTGCGTGAAATCCTAGCTACAACGGCCTACAGCGGCCGGAAAGCTCCAAGTCCAAGAGCTGCAAATCAAGCGCTACAATTCTCAAGGGGAGCTGATCACAGAAGGCGGCGAAAGTGCCGATACATCCAATGCACCATTCCGAAGACTCAGCATTGGGTCTTCCGATAGTCCATATGGTTCAGGACGCGGTATGCCACCTGCTGTTCGATCGTGGAATAAGGCGGAAATCAGAACGTCCATTATGATGCGTCCAGCGCTTGCCTGGGAAGATCATGGACGACCGTCGCGGGGACACACTCAAGTTGAGCGCTCCAAAACTTCACGAACCAGAGTGAATACTCCGCCGCCACCTCCACCACCACCGCCTCCACCATTGGCATTTGCAGGAGCACCCTCCACCGTACCAGCATCTGGTGGTGCGCCTATTGCGGCAACTGGAGCATCAGCCTCCGCAGCAGCAGCAGGCAAACCTACACTGTCGCCAGCCTTGAGTAACATGAACTTTTTGAACGAGATTCGTAGCGGACAGGTTTGTTGAAGGATTCATATATTATGTCGATCACCCAGTACTGATCGCATGTACCTATGCCAGTTTACATTGAAGAAGGTGGATGCCCCTGTCATGACAGCAGCTGAAAAGCGCTCGGCACGAGATCAAGCAAGCGATGTTGCAGCGATACTGATGCGGCGTGTGGCGATGGAGATGAGTGATAGCGAAGACGGTAACAGCCCCCTGTTGGTCATTGCATTTGGCTAATATCAGTGAGCTCACGATTTCCATATTGTTTCAGAGGACTCTGCGGACGATGATGATTGGGATTGAATAAAGCAACGATAAAATAAAGATTACAAGGTTACATAGAGGCAGATACGTTAATGAGACTGGCTTATCAACAAGTATCAGTCCCTGGAGATGGGTCTCTTTCATCAGAAGAGATTCAAAGTTCGCACTGCACTTCAAGTCGTTCCATCTACATGATCGAACTATCGTCGCCCTTGATGGCAACCCATCATTTCAGTCAGAGACTGTCAAGGGTGATCAAAAGCGCCGCCTTCGTCGAGAAACTATCCTTTTTCAACTGTTGGTTTTATTCCTGTTATGACCTACCGCATCCGCGAATAAAATAAGCGGAAATGCAACTGCCGCCTAACTCCACAGTCAGCTGTTTTCTAGCATTCCAGTCGGACGTAGGGAGTCCACATCACTGTGCAGTACTACATCCAAAATCATATCTATAACCGTCTCCGGCCGAACATTAGAATCCCACGATCCCACTTCCGAGAGCAAAATAGAGACGACGAATATCCGCGCCCCATTTTGGAATTTCGTGTAAAATCCCGTTCAGAGATCGCAGCTACTGGAAGAACGGCCAGCGGAGACAGCGACGGAATGCATTCGTATGTGGTTCTAATGAATAGCCAGACTGTTATGATTGGAGCCGGCTAAAAATAGTAACGTCACGAACAGCCAGTTGCCTTCTGACCGCTTCCCGTCATTTTCAACGCCCAGAACCCACTTTGCAAGGAACCTTCATAACCCAAGTTTACGTATTTCATCATGGGAGGGGTCTTGACGTGCTTTGCAACGGAAGCTGCTTGCTGTTTTGGTAAAGCTGCCTGCAACTGCTTTTGCAAATTATGTGGGACGAGGAGGTGGGTGCAGTTGGTCGATAGCACCTTGGCAGAGTGTGGTGCAGTGACGTGCTTACTGGTTCATTCCCTGGTAGCTCCACAGCGACAAGAGTCGGATATGCGTTCATGTTTGTATTGACTGCTGTTCTGTCGTGGGTAAGTAGTACATGCGTAGGTACGGTCTAGGTCTGTATAGCAGCCAGCAACTGATCACGTATTTGCAGATCATGCAATCAGATTGGGCGTCACGCAAACTTAAAAGCATATCCCATGGATACTTGGAGCTGAAATGCCCACAGGGAGATTGTTATGGGTATCTGGCTGTGATTCGAATATGTTTTGCCACGACGCTCTTTGTAAGTTGTTGAGGATAAATAAGCCCTGTCACCTGCTTAAGCCATGTATTCTCAAATTCATTGCTTTTGTAGCACGCGATTATGTCTGCTATTATGTATAACGTTAAAAGCAGCCGCGATTTTCGCTCGTCCATACAGAATGGCTACTGGGCGTGGAAGCTACTAGCCTGGGCTGGTCTCGTCATTCTCAATTTCTTCATACCGAACGAGTTTTTCATGTTTGTCGGAAAATACCTCGACACGCCAGGAGCTTTCGTGTTTATCCTCATACAAATAGTCCTATTGATAGATTTTGCGTACACATTCAGTGAAACTTTACTGGGTAAGTATATTCTTCAGTGGAAAAGGTCACCCAAGTCTCACGTTCTCATCTTCATGCAGAAAAATGGGAGGAGAAGCAGGACAAAAGGTGGCTTGGCTTACTGCTCGCCATCACATTTGGCGCTTTTCTCTGCTCGATTGCCTTGACTGGTGTCATGTACGCGTGGTTCGGTAGCAGCGCCTGCAAGCTCAACCAGTTTTTCATCAGCTTCAATCTTATTCTCTGCCTGATTGTCACCGCCCTGTCTGTTGCCCCACCTGTCCAAGAGGCGAACCCGAAGAGCGGGCTGGCGCAAGCAGCAATGGTTACTGTGTACGCCACGTATCTAGTTGCTAGCGCCATTGTCTCTGAGCCTAACGACAATGGGGAGAACGTCTGCAACCCGACAAATAAGAGCGGCAAAACCGAGACGACAACACTTGTACTGGGATCCCTCTTCACCTTCCTGGCCCTAGCATACAGTACCACACGTGCGGCAACAAAAGGTGATGTGCTGACCACAAATGGGGACGATGAGGCTAGCCTCCCTTTGATCAGCGAGCAGCCTTCTGGGAGGTCATCTCATTTGCGATCAGCAGTGGAGAGTGGCGCGCTCCCATCCCGCGCGTTGCATGACGATGACGACGGAGATGATAGCGCATTTGGGGTTCCAGATGACGATGAGAAAGACGGAGTTCAATACAACTACTCCTTTTTCCATATCATCTTTTTATTGGCGTCAATGTACCTGGCGATGCTGCTTACTGGGGTAAGTTGTGTGTTTACTTCGCTGGAAGCCTACTCTTGTCAGTAACAATTTTGTATTGTCCGCCTCCTAGTGGGATATGGTTGACAAGACTGATGGCGTTGCGGTCGTTGGTAAGAGTATGGGTGCGGCGTGGGTCAAGGTCGTGTCAAGTTGGCTCGTCTTGCTACTTTATGTGTAAGTGCAAGCCACTGCTATTGTTGTCGAATATCTGTGCGCGTGCTTACAATGTATCCATTTGCAGGTGGACGCTGGTTGCGCCTGTGTGGCTTCCTGACCGCTTTGACCAATATGGGCTTTAATCCGTAACGTCGTTGTTTAGTAATTCAAGCCGCGACCATCCTTTTCAGCGTACATAATTTTTTTTGCGTTTGTTTTTTGGTACCTCTATCACATTCAATAAACTGTGGCCCAGAACCTTCAAATCTGGCTTATTCAGCAGGTCCATGTATTATGCTTGTGAATTTGTGATAGTAGATACGTATTCCGTGTCCCCTCTCCACCTGGCACCCAAAGATACGTATGCTCATCAAGCGACGTAGCGAAATAATCTAGTATCCTTTCTGTGCAAAGTAAACTATGACGAATGTCTATCGCTTCTTTCCCTCCTTCTTTTTAATGGTTTCATCGCCGATAAAGATTCCTTTCTGATTGTAAGGTTCCGGGGGTCTCCACTTTCGGATGCTTGCAGCGAACTGCGTAATTTTCTGCAAATCATTCCCTTGCAAAATGATTCGTGTTGGTGCAGGGATCTTGACATCCACGCCTTCGGGGATATCCAACAAAATGGGATGGGAGTAACCCAACTTCAAACTCAGCTTCCCTTCCTCGAACAACGCCCTGTACCCAACACCATTGAATCGAATGGGAACCGTGAACCCTTCGTGAACGCCCTCTACCATGTTTTCAAGCAAGGCTCGAGTGGTACCCCACATTGCTCGCTGCTTTCTGTCTTTGGGATCTGTGACCGAAACGGATAGAGTCCTTTTCGGTGCTGTTGGGTCATGTGCATCAATTTGGACAGCGACGAACGGTTGCAGTGGCATTGACAAGGAACCTCGAGGTCCTTTGACGGTAACTTGTGTGGTAGCGCGGGGGAAGGAAGGTGTCGGAAGGTAGGGTTCGGTGGTTATGGCAACCTCATGGGGATACTTGAGAACTCGACGTCCAATCATGGATTGTGAAACACCAGTCGTTGTAAACGAACGGCAAGCGTAATGTGAGAAGGAGGTCCCCTCTGCTCTGACAAGGCGTTGGACCCACATGTTGGGTTTGCTTGAGCGATCGGCAGAGGGCAACAGATGGATCTCAGCGAAACAAGAAACCTGCAAAAGGCCCAAAGGACTTGCTCACGTCCCAGCATAGCAACAGGGTTGCTATGGCCATTTGAGGGTTACGATCGGCCTCTTCGTGATCTACACTTGGTTTTCGCAGCTCTTTATTCCAGAATACACATCAACATGGACGCATCGGTCGTATCTGCCGCACAAATGCCCGACTACGGCGATGATATGGCCGTTGATAACGAATCCGACGATGGGAACACGCATATTGTGACGCCGGGAGAAGTTGTCACTCGGGACACGGCATTCATGCGGTTGGTTCCAATCACTATTCTCCAAAGTTTCTATTTTATGGCGCTAACCCTCACAATGTTGGTGAACAAGAGGACACGGCACATATACGGAGGATGACGCTTTGGTGGCTTCTATGGCAGGTGTGGTCGACAGAGTCAATAAGCTGATATCCGTTCGACCACTGCGAACGAGGTACGGCGAAACATCTTACGATGATATGTATAAGCCTTGGTCCTGAAATCTCATCTCACTCTTCATTGATTTCTCAGATATAATGGAGAAATTGGTGATGTGGTAGTAGGAAGAATAACGGAGGTACAATCCCTGTATTTCCCTATGGGAGACAGCAGGAATTGTAAAGCTTTGTCCCGTAGGTAGGACCGAGACGGTGGAAAGTAGATATCAACGCGCGACAAGATGCAGTTTTGTTATTGTCGTCGGTCAACTTACCGGGAGGTGTACAGGTATTTACCAGATCAAAAAGGCACATTCACATTACCAGCTCACGAGATGTTAAATCTCATAGCGACGGAAAACAGAATCAGATGAATTACAAATGCGATCTTTCTTTGGCGAAGGCGATATGTTGAGTGTAAGTAGTTCCGCTGGGAATATAAAAGTAGAATCGCTTTGTCGCTAATGTAATCAACAGGCGGAAGTTCAGGCCTTTTTTCAAGACGGTGCGGCGTCACTTCACACGCGAAGTATCAAATATGGAAAGGTAGGCAGTGTGGGTCGCTAGGCATTGTAATAATACACTAAACAAATCATACTAGCTCCGTAACGGCTCACTGGTCATTGTTCCGTCCGCGCTGGTGAAACGGACGAAATCACATTTCGCTACTCTCCCATGTGGCGTGGACGTAATATTGGGCTTGAATGGATACATATGGGTGGCAAAACACGTTGCGATTTCTCCAGAGATTGTGAATCAGCCAGATGCACTATATCATAATGAAAATGAGGTATGTTTTACCATTGAATGCAGACGCTCCTTTATGAGGTAACCGATCACTGTTTTTCGTGTAGCCAATATCGGATGCAGAACGTCAAACGATAGCCCGAGTCTGCAGTAGCATTGTTGCCTTGAGTCGACACAACAATTTCATCAATGATACCATGATTGTATATACATTTGAGGCAAGCATGGGACATCCAGTGAAGGACATGCTAAAGCCGGACATATGTCAGCAAATAGTGCTGGCAGCGAGGGCACAATTCCGCGAAGCATCGCTTCAATAAAGTCGCCTTCCTCAGTCAGTTTGAGTCCTTTTTATCAATGTGAAGTGCGGGTTAAGATCAATCAGTCATAAGTAGGGGTGAGGGAAAAGTGTGTCGAGGGACTATTGATTGCACTACAGGTCGATCGCTCTCATTGTGCTTTCACTACCCAGGATCGTGCATGAATGGTCAGTATGTTTATATTTGCGTAACCATTGCCCGACGCGATCAAAAGCGTGTGCGTCTTAGGGATGAACTAAAAGCTTGCGGCTATTCATGAAGGTACAGCTGCCATTGCAGCCATTCACCTACATTAGAATCAATATCATTCGTAGATATCAGGTCAATTAAAGAGATTCAAGGAGGTGGGAACTCAACGTCCGATACTGCTCCTAAAAGTAAAGTCACATTCGCCAACTTTCCCGGATTTACTGATCAGTGCCAAAATACACATGGAACACATGGATGTGGATGTTGATGATATGCGCCGTTGTTACATGAATTCAACTCCATGCTGGAGGGGTTCGCCAAAGCTTAACAAGTTGCTCATGTACAGAGCGACGAATGTAAAAAGCGGATAGGGAAAGATCGTTGGCGCTCACTGATAGTCAGGTCACTCACTGCCGACTTTCATTCCAGTCCCGCAAAATTTGGTACTCTACAGGAATAGATTTACATCACACTTACCATACCGCTCGCGCTGCTCACTATCCTTGACGGAAAGAAAGTGAGAAGGATCTATGTTCACCAGCAATGGAAATGTTCCAAACAGTGTTCCAACCACGCCGTCGCTTACAAGACACGCCATGCTGAAGCAACCCCGACACCTTTGCTCAGCGATCGAAGCGCTGTGATCGCGGGAAACGTAAGCGCTGACGTAAACCACAGTCAGCATACATCACGTGCGCTCATTTCCCGTTGAGGAATTGCGGGAAGTTCTGCTTTTCATCCCAGCGGGATTTGAAGGTTTTGGACGGGAAATCGCAAATGAACGAGATATTGTAGACCAGCAACGCAACGCTACTGGTTCTTCATTGCAATTACCAGCACACAAACGCATTTCACACCTTCCCGGCCTCTAGCTGGTTGACATCCCGGAAGTGGTCGAACCAAGGTATGCCCAGATAATCGCCAGTTAAAAGTGAGATTACAATATTCACAAACGGTACAGCATATTGCAGCAGATCTCCGTGCAGATCGCCGTCGAAACGTCAACTCGGACGGGGAACTCTTACGGGAAGAGCGTCGAGACTCAAGTGGCGCAGCATTTCATCTGACCCGATCAACTGTTGAAGGGTTTTAAACGCTTTGTCCTTTTGTCCATTAGTTTGATTTCTTTGCAAACATGTCCGCAAAACTCGACACGACAAAGCGCATCACCTTCATTGGTAGATAATGAATGTATGACCATCTTGGGAGAGCATGCTCCAACATTTCTTTTATAGGTGGTGGTAACATGGCAAACGCCATTATCGGCGGCTTGCTAGCCAACGGATATCCCCCAACAAACATCATTGTATCCGAGCCTTTCGAAGCTTCACGCGAAAAACTCCAATCCACTTTTGGAGTATTAACGACCACTGACAATGCCGCTGCAGTGGCATTCTCTCAAGACCCAAAAAATGTTACAACACCGGCAGATTTGGTCATGCTGGCCGTGAAACCCCAGATAATGAGGGATGTCGCCCAAGGAATTGCCCACGCGGTGCAAAAGCACAAGCCTGTTGTGGTCACCATTGCGGCAGGAATAACGCTGAAGGATTTAGCAAAGTGGTTGAGCTCGGACGCGCAGGGTAACGACATATCAGGCGCTCGATCACCCGCTTTGGTGCGAGTCATGCCCAATACGCCAGCACTGGTGTTGGAGGGCGCTACTGGTCTGTTTGCAAGCAGCGAGGTGACAGAGGAGCAAAAGACATTGGCATTCAATGTCTTGGGGGCAGTTTCTAAAAGTGCTTTCTGGGTGGAGCGAGAGGAGCTATTGGACGTTGTCACTGGATTGTCAGGTAAGCAGCCTAATATGGAAGCGTTCTCCATTAATGACCGTAACCCTATCGCACTTTAGGATCTGGACCGGCATATTTCTTTCTAATGGTTGAATGTCTTGCAGCTGCGGCAACGGAGCTGGGTTTGCCATCTGAGGTTGCACAAGGTCTAGCAAGACAGACGTGTCTTGGTGCAGGCAGAATGCTAGTGGACACTGCTGAAGACCCGGCAGAACTACGGAGAAAGGTGACTTCTCCCAACGGTACAACGCATGCCGCCATTCAATCGCTAGAGGCAAGTGGAATGCGGCAAGCTTTCAAAGATGCCGTTGTCGCTGCCACTAAGCGGGGGGAGGAATTGGGAAAGATGTTCAGTCAGGTAGGACCTCCATCGCCTTTTCCGGTCATCGTCGATGCTAACAAAACCTTGTAGTAGCCAACGGTTAGCGGACCAAAATTGTAATCTGTTTGATGCGTTCATAGATCCGTAACTGCTCCAAAATATATACTCTGTGCGTTTGAGTATAAACCACACAAGGAAGCCGTGTGGAAGCTGTGGGATATGATATTCACAAAATATCGCCCTTTTCTCCTACACGTTGCCGTATTTACACCATTGACCCAGCTACCATATTACGGTCTTGCACCATGACCAATCTGACTAGTACATTAAAAATCGCTCGTTCACAATTGCCGCCGACTTGTTACAGAATGGTTCGACTTTCGGCTGTTCACATCAACGTAATGGTACACGACAATCAATCCAAACACCAGAGCGCCGAGAAAGTTCACTCCTGCCGCTAGTTGATCGTCTGTTATCATGGCCAATACAATACGTAGCCTAAAAAGGGACTGCTCAATACGGCGAAAGACAAGATGACTTGGTTCTGGTCACTGCACGCGGGCCAGATGCCTCCGTTGCTCACCTTCCACACAACAACTAGAGTATTAGGCAAAAGTAACGTATCAGACAATGTATCTTGCAGCGTCCGGCTGGCTACAAAGGGCAGAGTCGTGACGATCAAAAAGAGGATGGAAATGCGCGAGCGGTGAGTTTGCCCGCGTCCGCCAACTTGGGAGCCAAGCATCACGTGATTTCGAGGCTTGGATGGAGGTCCCTCGTCAGCCTCCCCGTCCCAGCATCGGATGGTGAATACACAGATCTATCACCGATTGTGCCCCATGATATTACATTTGCGGGTGACATTGAGGCGACCGCAGTGTGACAGAATTTACGGTCCTACTTACCACTTTCTTACCTTCATCTTCCTCGGCGCACTGCAAAGAGAGCTTCGGTATTGACTTTTGGATACAGGGAGATGGGGGACGAGGAGGAGGCTCCACGAAAGGGCGTGGGGAGCCTGGCAAAGTTTTTTGAATCCCAAATGCCCACTACTGACACATTATCGGCGGACCGAGGTCATAACAGTCATCACATACTACCAGGCTCCAATGTGGGCAGCAGACGCGTATCGACTGTGGGGCGATTCACAACCTCTTCAGTACCAAAAAGGACATCAATCTACGAGCGCTCTGGAGTTTCGCCACCGATTGAGCGATCAATAGGGGGTTGGCCAAATGGGCCGCTACACGGCAGTTCGCCTATATTGAATGCTGGCATGGGATCTCCCGACACTGTGTTTGGGCGGTCAAACGGGTCGCATGGGGATTTGAGACATGGAGGAGGCAGTACGGTAGTACCTCGACCACGACGTGAAAATAACGAACAAGCAGATGACTCTGCGTCAGGGAAGAAAAGAATATCGGTGTCCCGATTGAGTCAGTTTTTTGAAAACGCCATTGATTTGCATACGCCTTATCCGCCGAGCTCTGGTGCTCCAGGAGTAATATCCCGTAATACTACATATGTTGGGATTCCAAAGTCTGGGTCAACAGGAAACCTTCACGAGCATCATAGCCGACCACTGGGGAACAAACCTCCACCGCCGTTACGACAACAGCGTCTTGGTGCATCTGCCTCTGCCGAGCATTTGCCCAACCATGCACGACCGGGCTCTGGGGCAGATGGCTATATTAATCCCTTTCTGGCAGACGAAGAGCGATCACTGGAAACGTTGCTCTCATCAGATAATATTGAAGTACCTAAAACAGTGCCAGTTTCGCAGCGCATTGCTTCAATATCAGCGGCCATATCTGCCACCCATGGTGAGCGTCCGTCTTCTATTTACACTCCACCGCGTTCTCCACTCTCTGAATCCTCGATGACATCACGCAATACCTCACCTTCTACGCGCACGTTCAGTCCCGTACCGCCCCCTAGCTTGCCTTCTTCACCAGCATTCAAACGTGCCCGGCCACCGGTTGTGCCGAGCCCGGCGGCTTTGGGTATGAGAGATTTTTCATCGACTCCATCACTATCTGTTGGCGCACCTATGGATGCCGCCCACAAAACACGCCCCCCATCAACAATCATCGTCATGCCTGACCCGCGAAGTACTTACCTTCCCAACCAATCCCATCACGACACTCCCATACATGATGCCCCCGTCCCACAACCTCCCAATAGAGCCCATTCGAGTCAGGCGCTTCTTTCCGTTTCTGAAGAAGGCAGCAGAACCCCAAGTCCGCTTCCAGATGGCAGCAGAGGGGAAGCGAAACGGGACCATGTTGTCCGCGAGATAATTTCAACCGAGAAAGGGTTCTTGAAGGACATGGAGGTGCTAATGGATGTAAGTGGAGTGCCATCAATTTTTGAATATCGACAAGATTACCAAGCGTATCCTCAACTTAGGTGTATGCACTCCCGGCATCGCACGCACAGGTGCTGTCACAACAAGACCTCAAGCATCTTTTCTCTAATTTGGACGTAGTCATAACAACGTCTAGAGCGCTACTAGAGTTGCTAGAAGCGGCAGCAGGAGCACCGGATCAATGGATTGGTGAAGCCTTCAATCAAATGGTACGTTCGTACGCTCAGTTGACGTGGGCGAACGACGCTCATACAGTGTTGCAGATGCGGAAGATTGAGACCACATATTGCGAGTATTGCAAGCATAACGAGGCTGCCATGACGAAGCTGGCCGAATTCGCATCACCGGAATGCCCGCCGCAAATAAAGGACTTTCTCAAGGTTCGTCACATTGGAAATCTGTTCAACTTGTTTAATATCTTTAGAGTACTGATGCCGGGTTTAGGACTGCCAAATGAAGCTTCAAGGTCGAACCGGCGCTTGGGACCTTGGGAGTTTGGTCATTAAGCCAGTTCAGCGCGTACTCAAGTATCCTTTACTTATCAAGGTACTACATAGTGGAGCAGATATGATTACTACGTTTGCACTCGGGCACAGCCTGAGAACAAAGAATCTATTTATATGAACATTTGGATCCATAGCAACTGCTGAAAGAGACACCTCCGGCGCACCCCGATTTCGAGCAGCTTTGCAAAGCCGCGGAGGACATTGAACTTGTGGCCGAGAAGATCAACGAGGTCAAGAAACGCAAAGATCTCGTTGAAAAGTACGTCGATGGGAAGGGGAACGTGAACGTAATGTGAGTATTGGGTATCTAGTCGAAACTTGAAACTATTGATAAAACTGGATAGTTGACACGCTCTTGAATCCAGACATGGAATTACGAAAAAGTGGACACGAGGCACTCAACAGGTACGCCTGTGAAGCCATATTTCAATAATTCAGCAATCCGTATTATTTAGTGACCGCTACTTTGGCTGACATTAGCTCAAAAAAGCGACCGGGCTAGCAGAGCCCGTTACCACTGTGCGTAAATATTCGTGCCTCATCACCTAGAACTATTACATATTAGCTCATTGTGCTTGCATTTTAGTCGGACGCATTGTATGACGCTCTAGTTGACAAACTAGATCAACAGTTCCGCGGCGTGCAGCAATTAGGGAGTGACCTCGCACAGTGGTTAGCAAGGGTAAAACGTATGTATTTCCGTCGGTAAACTCGGTCAATTATGCTCGCCGTTAGCGATTTGCAGCTCTGACATTGTGACTTTCTCCCTTTTCTCGCATTCTTGACTGGTAGAGTTGTTTGATCTTCAGGAGACCATCGCTACTGCGTTTGAAGATGTATATGTCATGGAACGCTCGACTTCATCTTTGGAGGGTGGTGATGACTTTTTTCCCATTCAAGAATATCAGAAAGCGTGTGTGCGCCATACTATTGGAACATGGAGAGATGCGGTAGTGTTTTGGTGAAGGGCATTGTCATTTATTCGTGCATGGATCTGACAGTAGCATATTGTCATTCCCAGGAGAATCAAATCAAAACCGTCATTCAACCTGCCCTGGATACGTTGCTGAAAAAGTTCAAAGATCCGCAAACGGTGATGCGAAAGCGGGAAAAGAAGTTGCTTGATTACGAGCGCGCGATGGCGATCAAAGCTCGAGGGGAGCAGGTAAGGGATGCTTCAATTTACATAAACGCAATCACAGTGTCGCCTCGATGGATCCTGACGCACTCTGCCAAGGTGGACAAAACACTCAACGACTCTGCCGAAGCGTATAGCTCCTTGCATGCTCAGCTGGTGGAGGAGCTTCCACAGTTTCTAGACTTGGTCGCGAAATATATCGACGTCGTGGCTGTGTATATTGCAGACCTGCAAGCACAGGTTCATGCGAGTATTGTCTCCGAGCTAAAGCCGATTTTGGAATTGACGGGAGGGACTAACCAAGATATTATTGGGGGTTACCTTGGGGCCATGGAAACCGGGGGAAGGGTTGACGTCATTGCGAGAAATGTTAATCTTCTCGCAAGGTGGAGAAGTGACATATGGGGTCCCGAAGCAGCGGTACGAAAGTCACAGGACGAGAATGGATGGGACAATGTACCTCGGCCGAGAGCAAACACTATTGGTAAGTAGATTCAACTATCCTGTTCATTTTAATTGCCATGTATCCTCAACAGCCAAATTGTGTAGCGACACCAGCGTCCATCGAAAGTGAAATGCAACGAGGATTTGCTACCAACCCGCAGAGTCGAAGCTCGCCAAATGTCTTCCGAAGCGGTTCGGTAGGGAGGATGGCGGGAGAAAACGAGCCAAGCATTCTTGTTAACGCTGAAGGTACCTTTGACTTTTCATTTGCTCCAATGTATATTCCGGTGCTTCGTGTTGACTTTGCTTCGTTACCCTCACCAGATTCTGCTCATCCCAATACATTCCTCGGCTCTTCCATCGCTCCTCTCACTCCCTCGCCTTACGTCTTCTCAAGTGGAACCTCACCATTGCCCTTGGAACCCACGTCAACAGCCGCTCTCCCTGTTCCCGATATCACTCAAGACCCAGCACCACCACCCACTCCAGACACGTCACCAGAGTTTGATGCGGTGGCCTTGTATGATTTCGAAGCTGATCTACCAGAAGAGGTCGATCTAAAGGCCGGCGATCGAATTGTAGTGTATGAGGCCGACGGGCGCGGGGGGGACTGGTGGTTCGGTTATGTGAATGGGAAGGAAGGCTGGTTTCCGGGGTCGTATGTATCTCGCGTGGAAAAGTAACGTTTCCAGACAAGGTTCTCAGCTTTCGAGTCCTTGTTTCTTCATTTTTGGTGACTATTTTCCTTGTATTGACATGCTACCATAGTGTATTCATGTAGTGTAGGCCAAAGCTTTAAGAATTTTGGGCGGCCTTTTTTGTCAAATTTCAACTATTTTTATCTATTGTCTGCCTCTCGCTCTACATACTCTAAACAAAGAAGCACACAGCAAACTACAAAAATAACTACTTTTCTCTTTGGAGAAGATTCTAATTACAAGCTAAAACTATCTAGTACTATGGGGAAGGCGGTACGGCCTCACTTGAGGGCGGTACGTTTACTCGTTGTGGGGCCACCGGAGCACCGGCGGCAGATGAGGTAGCTGTGCTCACTGCGGGTGCCGCAGCGGGTGCTGCAGCGGGTGCAGCCGTTGCAGGAGACATTGGTGTCGGAGCCGGTACGCCAGCCGGCGCCCCCATAGGTTGAGATGTATACTGCTGACCATAGTCTTGTGGGCCATAGCCTGGTTGTACATATCCATAAGGTTGCTGTCCATATCCATATTCCGGTCCGTAAGCATACGGCTGTTGCCCGCCGTATGCAGCCGGGGGAGGAGGATAAGGTTGCTGTACATATGGCTGTTGTTGCTGCCAGTACATTGCATCACTTTGCATAGTTGGAGGTCCACCCTCATAGCCACGAGTATAACCTCGCTGTTGCAAGGGGACATCATCTTCATAAAGCTCCTCCCATTTTGCCACCTTTGGCGGAGGTACGGGAGCATTCGTTGGTCTCGATCCAGCGTATTTCCTAGTCAATGTCCGTCGGATCGCTCCCATTGCACCGCCACTGGCAGCCGCACCGTCCGCATCAAGTTTCGCAGCTGCCTTTCTCGAGCTCCGCACAAAACACGTCATGACACCGAGTGCTGCAAAGAATCCTCCGACGACACCGGCCGCAATACCAATGGTACGTCCTGTTGATGAACCGTTATCTTCGGACTTTACGGGCGCATTTGTGGTGGTTGGTGTGCTTGTCGTTGCCGTGTCCGATGCTGTTGTTTCTATTGACCGAGACTGAGTTGACGAAGGGACTTGAGAGACAGTTGTTACAATCGTTCTGGACACTGTCGCCGATGCGGAGGGAGGTACAGTTATCGAAGGTTGCGAGGATACCGTCGAACTAGGAACGGAACTAGGAAGGGGAGTTGGAACGGAGGAGGGAGCACTTGACGGAAGTGGTAGCGAGCCCGTAGGAAGGGGAAGAGGAAGGCTGGACGAAGGGGTCGGTTCTGGTGAAGGTCGACCTCCGCCTGCCTGCACACCCAAACTGTACCCGGCGAGCACAACGAGAAGCGAGACGATACGCATAGCCTACAGAATGTTGCCCAACCAAAAAGTCTAGAAAATCTCTATTGGAAAAGATGGGCAATCACCGACATGCCCAACGGGTGAAAAAAGCTACTTTTCCCTTGTGCTCCCCCTAAAAGTCCACCACTTGACAAACTCCGTGTTGAAGCGGCCGAAAGGGAAAAATTGCGATCGTTTCGCATTTATTTCGTACGAGTTTGTATTTTACAAGGTACGTTATTGGTAGTTGATCTGTGGTTGGCCTAGTGGTCAAGCGCAGAGATTGGGATCGCGCAGTAGCGAGTTCGATTCTCGCCGTGATCCATAGGACGGAGCAGGTAGTTTTTTTGATCTGACGTGGCACATTCAGTTTGGGGACCTTTGCCTGCACGTTGCTGCAGTGTTGGACATTTCCAAACCAATCATTACCGAGTCCTGACGCAAAAAAAAGGGTCGACGGGTGCTTGAAACTGCAAAACTACCGGGGTGGTCAAAGTCGCTAGCGGACGTTTTTTTTGTCACCGTTTCTCTGCTTCTCCTCAACATGGGCGGGGACACCACTGAAAGCCTTGTTCCAAGCAGCAAGACTCCACAATGTAAGCGATAAAGGACTACTCGACTCACAGGCAGTCGTCACCATGAACTATGTAAAGCTGATGTTGACTTTTGACAGGGGTCATTGGAGTGTGTGCAATGGACACAAAGGGTACGGCTACTTGAGCAAATTGGTGGAAACTCTGGCATGGCAAAACATCTTATATTTGGTTCTGACTAATAGCACGATCAAAGCCCATGAGAAACATTCTCAATCGATTGCTTTCGAGTGGTGATTTTGAAGCAGTGGTATTTGGTGACAAGGTCATTTTGGATGAAGGTAAACTAAAAAATATTTGATGCTTTCCCATGCTGGTCCCCCCGCGCGCGCTAAGATCCAAAACTTTTAGATGTTGAAAATTGGCCAAGCTGCGATTTCTTCATTTCCTTCTTCTCCAATGGATTTCCGCTACAAAAGGCTATTGACTATGTGCAGCTCCGTCGACCCTTTTGCGTCAATGACGTTCCCATGCAACAGGTCCTGTGGGACAGACGCTTGGTCTTGCAGATCCTGGATGCTGTTAATGTACCTACGCCGCGCAGATTGATCACCCATTGTGGTGATGATCCCGTTGTTCCTCAGAATACTCTGGATCGGCTCAATAAGCTTGGAATACAAATTCCGACTGGTCCGCAGCCAGTGGTTCATGCGGAAATGGTTGATGAGGATACGATAAGGGTTGGAGACCAGCTTATTAAAAAGCCTTTTGTGGAGAAACCAGTGTCTGGAGAAGATCATAATATCTTCATTTACTACTCTCGAGCAATGGGCGGGGGAGTTCGTAAACTCTTTAGAAAGGTAGGAGCGTTGACAAAGGCCCGGAAGCGGAAACTATGGTTCAATACATTTCTCTTCTTGTCATGGTAGGTGGGGAATAAGTCAAGCGAATTTTGCCCGGAACTTGTTGAGATCAGAACCGATGCCTCCTATATTTATGAAGAGTTTATGAATGTCGACAACGCTGAAGACGTCAAAGTTTATACTGTCGGTGACAGGTACAATCATGCGGAAACGCGAAAGTACGTATAATTATCTGCTCTCGCCTCCAATGATTGCGTGTAATGATGTTGGCGGTGGATCTTAGATCCCCGGTAGTCGATGGCATCGTTCGCCGTAACGCCGAAGGCAAGGAAATCCGTTACGTGACACCGTTGAACCCAGAGGAAGTGGAGATGGCGAAGCGCGTCACACTGGCCTTTGGTCAGACCGTATGTGGCTTCGATCTGCTGAGAACTAACGGAAAATCCTACGTGATCGACGTGAACGGGTGGTCCTTTGTAAAAGGCAACGATGATTATTACGATAAGTGCACAACCGTGCTTCGTCAACTGTTCTTGGAACATGCCGCCACAGTTCAGCCTGGCAAACTGCACAAGGAGCCTAGCATTGAGAACCAATGGAAGTTGAAAGCGTTCCTGTCCGTATTACGGCATGCCGACCGAACTCCGAAGCAGAAGATGAAGGTACTATGATGTAGCGTTCTGGACCGTTTGAGGAGGACGCTGATCAAGGCTTCAGTTTATCTTCCGCAGCCCACCTTTTATGGACTTGCTAGACAAAGGCGAAGGCGAGATGGTCTTCAAGAAGCCTGAGCAGCTTCAACGTGTTTCCGATGCGTGTCGTCAAGCACTAGAGGAAGGATTAGAGGACAAGAGTATTCTAGAACAGCTCCGTGAAGTGATGACAGCTAAGGCACATCTGTCAGGAACAAAAGCTCAGATAAAGCCTTTATTCAACAAGGCAAGCAGGATGGTTGACAAAGTCCAGCTCATCGTCAAGTGGGGTGAGGGTTCAGCATCCGTGTGTGCGTCAAAACGTTGTTCATCGCTGATTACTTGCAACAGGCGGCGAGTTTACCCATGGCGGACGACATCAGACCAAGGATCTGGCAGAGAATTTGCGGAAAGATCTCAAGATTATCAACCGCGATCTTCTGGAAGATGTCAAAATATACAGTAGCTCCGAACAGCGCGTTACAGCCACAGCCGACATCTTTATTCGATCCTTCCTCCACCTTGCTGAAGCACCGCAGAACTCTATCGTTGTAAGCAAAGAGATGCTGGATGATTCCAATGCTGTGAAGGAGCAAACGGAGGCCGTCAAAGTCAGGCTCCAGGAGATCTTGAACCCGAATCATTCTGCAACTTTGCCTTTGAACGACCTTCCGCCGGACGTAAATCCACCCACATATGTTCAGGATATGATTGATATCCTGAAAACATTACGGGTCACAATGAGGGAGAACTATGAAAGACTGGAAGTGGAATCTATCCAGCGACGATGGTGTTGTGCAGAGACGCCCTGGCTATTCAAGGTTTGTAAAATGATCATGGCGAATATATACGATATCCTTTCTCATTTGACCGGGCTTAGGAACGTTGGGAGAAACTCATGAAAGACTTTTGCGACGTGGAGCGAAGCTCTTTTGAGCCTTCAAAAGTTTCGGAACTTTACGATTCGCTAAAGTATGACCTGATACATAACCGTGATTTTTGTGAAGGTATGCTCCCTAGTTTTCTTTGAAGATTGAGTATTCTATCGCCGTACTGACTGCTGTGGTGATTGCAGCCATCTTTGCGTCAGAAGTTCACGGCCGTGATTTACTTAAGCAGCTGTATTACAAGTCCAAAGTGATGTTTGACTTTGTTGCCCCGCGAGAGTACGGCATTGAGGTTAGTTACTGCTTGACTGGGATGCCAGAATTTGTTGATTAATAATTAAAGTTTTATTCTGCAGGATAATGAAAAGCTTGAAATTGGCGTTCTCAGTTCCGTTGTCCTACTAAGACAGCTTGTGGCGGACCTCCAAGCGGCGCGCTCTTCACCAAAGCCGAGCACCAGATTTTACTTTACAAAGGAGAGCAAGATTATTTCTCTTTTAAACATTGTCCTGCTGTGTGGTTTGCCTACCCGAGTTGAGAAAGTTGATGAGCTTGACTGTAAGTGTACCAGCATTGGAATATTAACATATTCCCTTGCAAACGTTTCTCACCTGCTGTCGTCGTGCAGACTTGACTCAGATTACCTTTGAACTGTATGAGCGTCATCGCGGTCTGGGGGCGGATGACCCCGATACGAGCGAGTTCTCACTTCGTATTGGGTTCAGCCAAGGTAAAGCAGCATGGAGGTTCAAGAATGTAGGATTGTAATTGCTAATGCTTGTTACTTCGTACCAAAGGTGCCCATAGTCCGAACCTTATTGATTTGCATCTGGATAGTCGACACTCTCTATCTGTTGCACCCAGGATGTAGGTGCAACCAATTTCAGCATCGATTCAAAGGCAAAAGATTAACGGCTTTTTTTCTTCTCTGATGCAGATGGATAAGCGATCATGTTTCTCTGGATGAAGCCCTTGGCTTCCTCACACCGCGTATCAGTGGAAGTAATAGCCCGAAAGAAGGACGACGCTAAACCTTGTCCCTTCCGCATATTATTTATTTATTACACATGGTGGGCAGCTTGTGAATTGCATGCACAGGACTGTCCCTACATAATACATACACATCTTTGGGCATGCTATCTCTGTATTGCAGACGAAACTGTTCAAACTAGGCCTCACGTAGTGTAGAGGTGACAGAAACTGGCACTAGCTACTACACCAGGGAATAAACCGGCGACAACCGGTTCGGAAATGCTAACTAACTACTACTAGGCAATTATACACGCAATACGTAACGGTTGGTTCTAACCGGATAATTGCCCACCACCACACGCGGTCCCTACTAGGCCTTGATCTGGAACTCTTGAATGGCATTGAAGCCAGACTCTTGCATCCAGGAGCGAATCGACTGGGCAGCGTCACAAGCCAGAGGATTTTCAGTAACAAAGGCTTGGAGACTAAAACTGCATGTCAGCGAGATGACAGAAATGACAAGATGCAATCAGTACATACCAACCAAGCTCAACAAATGTGGCAGCATAATAGCAGTTTTGTTAGCAGATCCGATTGGTTGCCGCTGGTTCTGATCACGGTTGTTGTCGGGCGGTCGAGGTCCTCGGCAACACCACATCGGCATTCTCATGATTGATGAGAGTTGGGCAGATGCTTGTGAGTCGAGGATGGGTAAAGAGGAAAGAGGGAAGAGACAGCTAAGGCCGCCCTTTTATAGACCTTCCACATGCGCCTCACCGCAATTTAAAAAAAAAACATTACATGCATGCCACACCAATCTGAGCGATAGAGGGGGTGCTGATTATGCGATATGACAATCCGGATAATATTGGTCCTAGTGCCATTTTCAATCACCTCCACACTTTGTAAGCAAACACCACGTGATTGATGACTCAACGATCGACGATGCCTTTCCCCAAGCTCATTGCGTTTCCTTGCTCTTGATGACTTTGCTATCGGCACCGAGGAGAAAGGGCATCTGACAGTGGTATGTGCTCGAGTGGGATAGTTTTGCTCGACATAGAAACTCCAATGTCTTGTATCATCTCCTAAGTTGTTTGCATTTCGACTAGAGATCTCGCGATTTCCGTTTACTACTGGCACTACCAAGTACCGAAAAGCTTTGAGATCCCTGATACAGCAGAAGCAGTGCGAAGAGTGACCGGAGTATCTTTAGCCACTTGGTTGTGTCTGTCACGCCGTCAACATCCATATCGTTGACTTCAACAATGGCAGAAGCCGTTCTCGCATCGTCCACTTCCGCACATCTGGAACCTTTCCTATTGCTGTCCAAAAATGCAAAGGGCGCTGCTTGCGTACAACTTATTCAAGATGCCTTATCGGCTCCCGGAGTGTATGTCTTTTCAGAGCTTCTGGAAATGCCGACGGTGCAAGAGGTGCGATTTGGTGCATGCATGTAGACTGTGGTTATCACCGACATTTGATGACGCAGTTGCACAGTTAAGTCAAAATCCCGAGCAAGAACCTTACGTGAATCTTCTTCGTCTGTTTGCATACGGCACGTATCAGGATTATAGAGGTGTGCATTGTACATGATGCTATCACAACCCGGTCTTTGTGCTGATGCTTGGAATTATAGCAAACGCGGCATCTTTACCTCCGTTGAATGATGCGCAATTAAAGAAACTGAAGCATTTGTCCATTGTCACATTGTCTGGCGACAACCGCGTATGTTAGGCCACAACAGCGGTCCGGATGTTCACCTTCGAACTGAGTGTTCTTTTGCAGACCTTAAACTACGACCTTCTTCTCCAATATCTCGATATCCCAAACGTGCGAGAACTGGAGGATCTAATTATAGACGCAATATATCAAGACTTAATAAGAGGAAAGTTGGATCAACAGAAAAAGTGTCTCGACGTAGAGTATGCGATGGGACGAGATCTTCGACCGGGCCAGGCGGACAGGATTTTGGTGGTCTTGGGTGCCTGGTATGTCAACCTGTTAGTTTGATGCGTGGGCGGATTACTAATAAATCTTCCAGGGCCCGGACATCAGAAACTATACTGACAAATATTGACGAGAAAATTGGACACATCACACAATGGAACGCAATGCACGCAAGAGAACAAGAGGAATATGAGAAGCTGATTGAGCAGACAAAGAAAGAGGTGCGGGAAAAGGGTGCTGAGAAGCACAACCGACCCGCACCGCCAGATTTCAGCGATTTTGGGGAGTATGCGGAGGAAGGAGGGCGGAAGGCCGGCAAAAGGTATTTGCTGACATTTTAGTTTGTTTATTGGACTTTGATTAACTGCAGCTACGAATAGGTCCAGTAAAGGGAGATATGGCGGACCCAGCCGGCGATGATGTTCTCTCCCTTTGTTTAAACGTGGATAATAAAACGTGCTCCTGTTCTATTCTGACTACTTGGAACCTACAGCTCAAAATTGCTAGCGTGCTCTGACTATTACGGAACTAACGTTCCGAAGCTGCGCTACCTATGTCAGGCAGTTTCTTAAATCTCTGGAGAAGCGGAGCTTTTCCGCCTGTTACTGTTATTCGCGGGCCTAATGCCTGTTGTGCTGCGTCTGTTGATTGGGTTTTAAGTTTCATCTTGAGATCCAAGGCTTTATCAAGCAGCTGTTATATTAAGAATTAGATTTAGCTCGATCCGAGGGACTGAGGTGACAGACTGGGGATACCTGAAGCTTCTGTGCGCGGAGCGCATCGTTTTCCTTTTGAAGCTTCGCAATCCTTTCCTCTGCTACTCGCAGCTGTTGTCTGAGCTCGGCACCTACCCCGGCGCTCTTTGCAGGAAGCTAAATGGTGGAATGTAAGCTGTGACTGGCGCATCTGACAGTATGTTGTAGAAGCCTACCGGTGGGCGGGTCTCGATTTGCGACAGCTTTTCTTGTAGGTACGTGAGGGTCTTTGTGAGGTCTTGAACCTCCTGGAATAGTGCTTGCTTTTCTGATAGTGCGAGAGACAAGTCCCTAGACAGTTGTTCGTTGTTATTTGTCAGGTTAGTTATGGTTGCGATGTGTATCGTCCTTTCGGCTTCCAATTGCAAAACGCTTCCACGTAGCTACTCGAGCGGGAAAGCCGAATTCGTTAGAAAATTGAGCGACAGATTATATGACATTCGCAAAACGACGGCGGCGGCTTACATTAGCTTTCTCTGCATTCAGCACGTCAAGCTGTGCCTCTAGCGCTCGTAGGACGTCCATGGGCATATCAAGTGATACTGTGGAGCTCATTGTGCCAGTTCTCATTCCGCCATCCAAATACTCTTGTTCGGTGGTCCCTTGACTGGACTGCTGCTGGTCAATTAATTCTTGTGAAGGATTTTCACTGGGTTGGACAACTTCATCGTCAGAATTTTGATTCTCCACCAGTTGACTTGGAACTGCCGAATACGGTCGCTCACCACCGTTGAGGGTCTCTACTGACTGTCCCAACGTTGATTCTAGGTTGAATTGTTCGTCAGTTCCGGCGGGCACCATATGGGACGAGGGGCCTTCCCCTATAATTGCACTCGCGGTGGATTCTGCCGTGTTCACCCTTGTGCTTTCCCCAGGAACCGCGCTCTGTGACTGGCTTTCCTCATTTGGTAGAGAGGCATATTGACTCGATACGATTTCATTAGCCATATTTTGATCAGTCTCGGCAGGTTCTGATGTCTGCGGTGCATCCACATCTGCGCCAGGTAAAATGTCAGGGTCACCCGATGACGGCGGTCGGGAAATTACGGTGCGCAAAGTCTGGGAAGCCACCTTCTCCAAAAAGGGTCGTTCTTCTGAAGCCGATGGGGTAGGTGTCGGAACGTCTTTCGACTGGACAGCGAGACCATCCTCCGTATCCTTATGCGGTGCCTCTTTTGCTTCACGTTCGTTTTCTTCATCCGTGGTATCGATGCCCTCGCCCTTGGTGCCACTTTCCGATTCCGGGACCTCTGTACTGTCAACAGTCTGGTCATGCGGTTCAACAGATGATTCCTCAGCCGGCACGCCTACTTCCTCCTCGGTTGTTGGATCTTGGCGTTCAATTGGTGGTGGAATTAGTGGCAGAGGTGCATTTAGCTCATTGTGCTCCTCTTCGCCTACACCCGATTGATTGTCGTGTATGACCTCCGCAAGGGTTTCGGTACCTTCCAATCCCGCACTTGGTTCACCTTCCTGCGGTAACTCGCGATCATCAGTTTTCCCCACTTCTCCGTCATGGGAGCTCGTTGTACTTGATTCATCTCCATCAATACGCGGGAGCTCGCGATCATCAATATTTCCTACTTCTCCGTCATGCGAGCTCGTTGTACTTGGTTCATCTCCATCAATACGTGGTAGCTCGCGATCATCAGTATCCCCCACTTCTTTTTCGTGAGATTCCGTTGGTGCGTCTCCTATCATCACAGACACATCCATTTTATTGCCTTGAACCCGAATCTGTAAATAAGAGGCGACTTACCTTGTTCGGGTGGGAGAATGCGGTCCGCGCCAATATCAGGCTCTGCTAATGTAATCTCACTTTCCTTGTTGATGGGGTTCACTGGATCTGGCGCTTCCTGATCTGCACTGGCTACATTTTCTAGTTGGTCGTTGATTTCTATCGAGTTTCTCTCCACAAACTCTTGGACTGATCCCTCCTCCGCAGTGTTTACTGGGGGTTCCTCCTCCGTTTCTTGCTCCTCCATACTCGCAGGAAGGTTATCTGTATTGGCATCAGGCGCTTCAGGTTCCAAATGGGGTGTCTCTTGATTGAACTTTGTCGACGAGAGTTGTAGTTCTCTGGCTTCAGCCCCATGTGCTGATCCTACGTTTCTGAGATTTTCGGCGGGGGAACTATCATCGGCAACATTGGCATTATCTTCATCTGCGGAATGCGCAATGTTTTCAGATATATCTGGTCTTTGTGTCGTTTGCTCTTGTTCAGCATCTTCAGCTATGTCATCTGTAGTTGATATTTCCTGCGCTTCAGTGTCGGCAATAGCATCTATATTGGTTGTGTTCTCAGATTGTTCTGCCATTGCACAATCTGAACAGGGAAACACGTTATGGGATGTACACGAAATTCTGGCTCCGAAAAGTCCGGATGAAAACGTTCCAATGATTGCCTCCAATGCTTAATACTGACACAGCTGGTCAATGCAACGTTAAGATGATGACCCCAATCCTCGGTTGGGGAGAGGATCCTGGGGATCATGAATGGACTTTTACAGAATAAGGCCATATTTTGCGGGTTTAGTGTTGTGGAAAATATTCCAAAATGTGCATACGCTGTGATGTTTTACTGAATAGCTCAAATGCCCGCAGATGAAATATAATAAGAATAGTATCTTGCTGCAGAAAGTAGCCTTGTTATCCTTCCATTTGCCTGAATTCAATATTTGAAATGTCAGCTAGATGACCCTAATTTTACTAGTCTCAAAGTTATAATTGTCACATACTTGAGTGTAAACACCCTTCAGTGTATGGTGATTCACAGAATAGTCGCTTTTACGATCTATTTTAGTTTGGGACATATGGTGCACAGTGTCGTTTTGAACCGTCCAAGATCTTCACTTCAACCTCATCAACTTTCCGTTACTTGTGGTAAGTGAACTGATAGTTATCAAGCATATCTTGGTAGTCAAGCAAAGAAGAGGTGGTTATGGTTAAAGTTCCGTGTATGCCCCTAGAAATTGGTCAATTTGTCCATATCCTCGCGTAGTGTCATGTAGGCGACATCTATCTTTTCATTTCACTGAATCTATCTGTCCGTGATCCCTCTACTGGTCGCTCTTTTTAACATCCGCTTCGTCCACATTGACCACAACATCATACGGAGCTACTGGAAAAGAAATCGACCTGTAGCATAATACGCTGACGACTTCGCCCTGGTCTGTTAGTGTACGTTCGACCTGCCATCACGCCTCAGAGCAACCCGCGAGCATCACTTTACGCATGCAGCAATCAACGGGCTAACGTCACCCCAAGCCTGCCGCTCTTTGGCAAAGACCAACTAAGGGCCCGTATCTACTTCGTTCTTTGGACTTGGATCGTTATTAGACATTTGTATTTATAATTGGTTACAGATGGCATATGAGTAAAAATACGTCTATATTATGTGGTGGAGTTGGATGCTCTCACTCTGTGTTGCCGAGCACATTGTTTTCGTTTACGAGCAGCTGCCAAAACGGTTGAGTTTTGACGCGCTGAAAGTTGAACTTCAAGTTTATGTCACGTGCTCCGTGAGACTTGGATTTCAGAACAGTTTCGGAGCTTTCGCGCTGAGACTCCAAGGTCATGATGCGAGATCGGTTCGTTCACACAGACGCTGCACCCCCGCCAGAGGACGAGGTGAATGGGGGTGAGTAGATGCAGGCAGGCTGACTAGCTTTTGCCTAATGGACTACTGAGCATGATACTGCACAGAATGGGAATTCAAGGCACTCAAAGCTAAACGATTCGACCAGTCATCGGGAGTATGGAAGTACAGGGTCGCATGGAAGCCAACCCTTTATCAACAGGACGGCCGAACTTGGGGTATGAAAGAGCTGCAAATGGAACCCCCTCCCTGTTTTGATGTAGCCGCTTAAACTATTCCTTGGTTTTCAGTCAAGTGTTGGTGTAAATATTTTGGTCGCTTTGAAAGTTCAATTTTACCGGCCGAATATTGACCTTGTGCACTTTTGGTTTACAGTGGATACTTGGGAACCTGGTTAGTAAAAAGTCGTTACTCTATGTGTTGATCTGTACTTAACGTTGACCTGTCCTTTCACATGGTACCCAGCCGAGAATATCGTTAGTTTCTTATTGTACGCATTGCTTTGCGTGGCATTATGATACTCAGTGCAATCAATTCTAGCCCAAGGAATTCCGGGATGAATTCAACGACCTCTCTATTGTGGACGACGAGGAGGTCAAGCTGGACATGGCGCACTGTGCAAACTGCGATCAGCGCCTTGTATCGCATGATCTGAAGCGACGATCGCGGGCTGTAGATGGTGTACTTTGCTACAATTGCAATGCCTCCCTTGTGCGGACGGGTAGGCTTCCATTGTTAAAAAAAAAGGATCCAAGTAAAAAGAAGTCGATGACGAGGATGAATGGAGCGTTACAATCTGGGAAACCCTCTACAAGTCTGGTCCCAACTGGATCAAGTACTACGAAACGATCTCAGGACATGGATCTTGATATCAAAGCCCGTCGTCTTGCTGCAAAGGCTGGCTCGAAGATTCCTGACAGAAAGTCCCATGCTAGTGGTAGCACGTCGCCACAGCGTCGGCCCTTGAAACGTGATAGGAGCCCCGATCGCTCGGCAAGTCCTGAGAGAAAACGCTTGAAGAAAAGAACAGGAACTGGCGCCATTGAAGTTCCAGTGGATGAAATCATGGAAAAGTACAAACCGAGTGTACCTAGGGGAGTCTTCAATGCTCACTCAGACGCTGTTAGTGTCAAACTCAAGAATATCTGGTCTGGCGACGTGGCTCAGTCTGAATCGCATGACTGGAACCTATCTTTCTTTGATGACGTGAACAAGACGCTCAAAAGCATTGATCCTTCTGGAAAAGTGAGAAAATATAGAGCAGATCCAAATGTTGGGAAATGAACTCACCATAATTTTCAGAAACCTTCTACCTTGAAGAATAGTCTGTCGCGTAGCACAGCAAGCAAAGTAACGTATCTGTTCTACTCGAACCACGCTTGCCCTTTTAAATTGACATTTTGTTTTACAGAAAAAGGCGGTTGCTGCTCAGATAAAAGGACATCTGGTAGATAGGCGTTACTCTGCGACAGTTTTGAGACACTATTCACTGATATCTCTCGATAGAGTACGGCCGTACAAGTTCCACAAGCAGTTATTCACAAAAGCAAAGAAGAAAGCCCATCTGGATATGGCAAGAGGCAGCCATTGACAAAAACAAGAGTATCTGCGATGGACGACGTGGAAACGGCGGCGATCAAGAAGAAAAATCTTCAGGGCAACCCAGAGGTTGTCTGCATGTGGAATGGCTGTGGAACAAGGTTTCGGTCTCAAGAGGAGCTGGCTACTCATTGCAAGGCTGTTCACTTTAATGTACCCTAGTGGATGGTGTTGCGTAATAGGGCACTTATTTGTAAATATTCAATAGCAGATGAAATATATATTGACCCATGTTCGTGTATAATGCCGGTAGTTTCTAATAGCAGTGTGCATCGGTCAAGAAAAGGAGAAAGCTGGACGGACGGGCTTTCAACGACGGGGGCGAAAACAACTCAAGTGTCACGTGTCAAAGTGCTGCGCAATTGCTCTCAGGGCCTGCCATTGAGATTGGCAAACCCAAGATTGCCGATTTCATTTTGGCAAGAAGCGAGGCACTTACCAAGAAGGGGGCTTGCATTGACGCATAAAGTAGCTGCGGCGCTCTAGCAGGAACTTTCTGTGAGCTCTTGCTCGCTGCACGAGCGACTCTGTCGTCGATAATGGAATCAGCGCCGAGAGAGTCTTTGTGTCGAAACCTTCCTTCTCTTTTCCAAAAGTACATTTGCAATACACACCAGTCTTTTGAGCCGTTCGACTTTGGTCTCAGATTCATAAAATCAACTTTGCTCGCACTTGAAACTGACTGGCGCTCCAAACAAGAAAACGCTCGCCCCACAATCACGGCCATCCTTTTACCACTCTTCTTCTATCTTGGAGTACCGGTGATTTTGACCGGTGTCTACGTTTTGGCCAAAAAAAAGCTCAATACATTGGCACCGGCTGCTACTCCTTTGGAACGCCAAAAGGTATCAGGTCAGAACGAGGCCAAAGTACAGCGACAGAGAGCTACAGAGCCTGACGGCTCGCGAAGCAAAGAGAGAAGCGACGAGTCAGTTCCTCGGCCGCAAAAGAGCGCATTGCAGCCAATTACCAACCATTATACCTCAACTTCTCAAGGTATTTGGAGAAACGATCGGAACGCCGGTGAAACCGATCCAATGCTAACATATGTGGTTTTGATTGCCTTCGTCCAGCTACAATGGCAAGTCATAATATGGTGCGAACACGCGCGGCGAGTTCTCCTTCACCAGCGTTGGAACAACACAAAGCGCTGGCGGATCAGGCATATCGCTCCATCACACTTGGCCTGGATTGTGATGATAAGGGTGATAGACCTGGTGCTCTGGAACACTACAGAAGGGGCGTTAAGGAGTTAAAAAATGCCATTGAGCTGCCGTTACCAACGAGACAAGACAGGTATGTGGTTTTCATTGCAGCGGAAAGTAATATGCTAGAGTCGATTAGAGTCGTTCATCATTTTCAGGCTTTAACATCGGTTTCTCATGCAGGGAAAAGGCCGAATCACTCAACGCCAAAATGAGGGGAAATCTTGAGCAGATAGAGAATCGTGTCAAAGAGCTTGTACAAGCACCAGGTTCGGGGTAGCTGTTAATACCTATCGACAAAGAGTCGTGCTCATACTTATGGGTAGCAATGGCATCAACGTCCGCGCCTCCACGAAATGCCCAGAATGTAAAGCCACGAGTCCCTTCAGCAAACGTCAAGAAAGCAGTCCCTAAATCAGAGGTGTGCACGTCCGCGCAAGATGCTGCTTCAAGCATAGATTTAAATTATTATCTGAATGGTTGCAATAGGCGCCAAAGACTTCTTCAAATAAGCTCAAAGTGAGCAATTTAAAGAATGTCGATACAGCAATGGCGAACCGAATTTTGAACGAGATCGTCATTGACAAGCCATCTGTCACTTGGGAAGATATAGGTAATTCTCGGCGGGATTCCATCTTTAGACCGGCCTGACCAAAGCTCACCCAGTATATTTTTCATTCAGTTGGTTTGGAGGGAGCCAAGACGGCTCTCCGCGAGATTGTGATTTTACCCACACTTCGACCTGAGCTATTCACTGGTCTAAGAGCTCCCGCAAGAGGTGCGAAGGAATGGCGTCAGCGTGTAGTTGCGGAGCATGTTCTCAATGGTACGTATATCTGCAGGTGTACTATTATTTGGACCTCCGGGAACTGGAAAGACGATGTTAGCAAAGGTAAAGTGGAAGAGTCTGAAAGCAGATTGAACAAATAACTAAATGCGGTACTATGTCTCCAGGCTGTGGCGCATGAATCGCAAGCGACGTTCTTCTCGATCAGCGCGTCTTCGTTGACATCCAAGTTTGTATGTAATCGTTCACCCAACTAACGCTAGGTTTAGCTCATATCTTCGTGATCATTAGGTGGGTGAAGGTGAAAAGATGGTGCGGAGCCTATTCGCCATGGCCCGACAGCTGCAACCGGCGGTCATATTTATTGGTATGGTGCGCATTTTACATGGTCCAGAGGAACGACTGATGGACCGCCGTGACTTCAGATGAGATCGACTCTATCATGACAGAGCGAAGTGAATCTGAGCATGAAGCATCTAGAAGACTGAAAACCGAGTTCCTTTTGCAATTTGATGGCTTAGGGAGCAGTTCCGATGATCGATTATTAGTCCTTGCTGCGACCAATCGTCCTCAGGAATTGGTATGTCTTGATAAGAGTGTAGATTGTATGGATCAGGCGCTGACGTTCATATGGCCTTTCCTGCTTGAAATTAGGACGAAGCTGCACTGCGTCGTCTGGTATGGCTCTTTTAGCAGAGACGTGTCTTATGATGTTGATCCTCATTATGGAACGAATAGGTGAAACGCATTTATATCCCGTTGCCGGAGGCTGCAACTCGAGCTGCTTTGATTGGAGCACTTATTCAAGGCCACAAGCATGAGCTATCAAAGACAGATCTGAACCGTTTGGTTGCGTCCACAGAAGGTAGCGTCCAGTAGACAGGACATGCGATTTGACACGTTATACTTATGACATTGGACAGGGTATTCGGGAAGTGACATTACAGCATTGGGTAGGGTCCCATCTTTGTATAGTCTATATCCCTTTTGTTCTATCACTTTGTCATTCTAATCATCTTATGCGTACAGCGCGGGAAGCATCTCTTGGACCCATACGAGAATTGGGAGACCGCTTGATGTCAACTTCCGCAGATGCCATTCGGCCTATCAATCTGCGGGATTTCGCCGCAGCCTTGAATATCATCCGCCCATCCGTATCACATGGAAGTCTCAAGCAATATGACACCTGGAATCGGAGCTATGGTACCTATGGGGCTTGATCTCTCCAAATAGTTTTGTATATACACACCCTACGCCGTCGCGTTGCATATTGTAGAATGTATACAGCAAATACCATAGGCCTAGATGCTTCGTGCTGTATTACCATTTCCATTTATGTATTGAGATGCAGTGTTGGTAGTTACAGCATCAGGAATTTCAATCATCCATGTTCGTAGCACCAACGAACGAGAGCTTTTAATGATGCGTTAAGCGCTTACGCGAGACGCGATCGGTAGGGCAAGCCTCCATGTACGGATGACGTGTGTTGGGACATGCGACTTTGAGGGCGTGAAGGAAGGGTCTTCCGTCTCAGCGACCGCCAACAAACAGATAGAAAGAAACTGTTTCTTTTTTGTCTGCTACCACTCCCAGCGAACCTCGAAAAAAATGTCCACAAACCCAAGCACAACCTCTCTTCACTCTGCCGGTTCAAACACTATTGACACTCAATGCAACCCGCATGTTGACCCGAATGCAAAGATTGCGCTTATTGTCGGCGATGGTCCGTAACCTAGTGAACTTCTTTCTGGCTTTAGGCACCGGGCTGACGAAAACTATTTCGCTCCCTGTTCCTTCAGATATCAAAACGATGAATGCTACAGCCCACACATTTATGCAAAAAGGATACGCCGTCGTCACTGCTCGTTCTAAACCAGAGTCCACGGTTGTCAACGTCCGCTCTCCATCAGGTTCCACAACTGGTACATCTCCAGGGGAGGCTAGTCAGTGGATTGTGGAACATGTGGATGACATGGGACATGTGGGATCTGTTGAGAAGATGTTTGCAGATGTAATCCGGAAGGTAATGCATTTCTGCCGTAATATGGCAGATTGGGACATGGTTACAGGTTTGAAAACCTTTAGGTTGGTACACCCAACGTGGTTGTGATTGATACCATCACCTCCACTGTTGGAGCGTCCGCAGAAGAGAAACCATTGTTGGTAACGACGTTGAACATTGACGCCTTTATCAAAGACTTTACGAGAAGAGTTGTTGCTGCGTGTCGGTAAGTATGATGTGTCGGGCCACTTGTTTGCAGGAAGGTTTATGGTGATGGTTTCGTTACATCATTCATGTCCTTACATTTCACACGTAAGGCTTGCCCAGTTGGCCATCATTGGCTTTCGCAAACGGCAATCTCACGCTTCTCAACTACAAAAGCACATTCTCCTTTTCACAATTGACAAAACTAGAAACCCGTCACTGTCTGTCTGCAATGCGTCTATCAAGTCGCTGGCGGAGTCATTTGCCAACGAATGCCGCACAGATAGTGATGGGGGACGCCAACATATTAATGTGTGCGTCGTGGACGCGGACATGCGTGCAAGTGCTGAGAAACTGGCTGACGCTTATTGGAATTGTTGCGCTGGCAATCCATCTCAGGCTGACAGTGGTATTGAAGGGAAGAAAACGGGACTCCACTACGAGCATGTCGACGCGCGACCTTTTGCGGTTGAGCAGTAAGCAGGTTGAAGGAATACCATTGCCCTTTCACATTTCCAATTTGTATCATGTCCAAGCTCTATGATCTGTAATATAAGGAAAACAGAATGTAAATCACGACGGTCGTAGAAGCATTTTGGTATGGCGATTGAAAGATGATTGCTTATTACGTAAATCCCGGATCTAATGGGATCGAATGCAATCTTTTCTGTGGCTTTGCTGTTTCTCGTAAGTCGAGTTGACGATCGTTTGCGTTTGCACTCTAGGACCTTTTCCGAAACGCAACCATGAAGCTCGATGCAAAGCTTCTCAGGTATATGTCAAATGATGAGTTTCGAGTTCTCACAGCTGTTGAGATGGGGTCTCGCAACCACGAAGTGGTACCCACTCGGTTGATCGCTCACATTGCAAAGCTAAAGTCGGGTGGAGCAACCAAGATACTTGGGGAGCTTGCGAGAAACAACCTTGTTGCAAGAGTGCAGAACGCAAAGTATGATGGGTATCGCCTAACGTATGGTGGTTACGACTATCTCGCTTTGCGTACAATGTCCAAACGTGGGGCCATTCACTCGGTCGGAAACCAAATTGGAGTTGGCAAAGAGTCCGATATCTACATTGTAGCCGACGAAGAAGGAAACCAGCGAGTTTTAAAACTGCACAGATTGGGGAGGACATCCTTTCGAAATATCAAGGAGAAGCGGGATTATCTTCGGAACCGCAACGCTGGCTCTTGGCTGTACCTGTCTCGACTGGCGGCAATGAAGGAGTATGCTTTCATGAAAGTACTACACGAAAACGGATATCCGGTACCGGAACCAGTGGATCAGAATCGTCATTGCATTGTCATGGGCCTGGTGGATGCATATCCACTATGTCAAGTGCACGATGTAGAAGATCCGGGAAAGCTGTACTCGGCATTGATGAACCTCATTGTGCGTCTGGCTTGCGCTGGGCTCATACATGGAGACTTTAACGAATTCAACCTTTTGATTAACGACCGCGATGAACCTATTTTGATTGACTTTCCGCAAATGGTTTCCACTTCTCATCGAAATGCGGAAATGTATTTCAACCGAGATGTCGACTGTATTCGGGCTTTTTTCCGAAAACGGTTCCATTACGAGAGTAAGCTCTACCCAAAGTTCACCCGAGATACCGAGCGGGAGTTTTCTTTGGATGTTGAGGTGGCAGCTAGTGGCTTCACGAAGAAGCAACAAGAAGAGCTTGAGAAGGTGGGTGTTTGCGCAAAGGTTGGGTGCCATGAACAATAGTTGCTCAAAACAAACCTGTCAACATTTTCAGCTACAAGAAGAATTGGGGGATCAATCTGATGATAGCGGGTCGGAAGAGACGGATGACGAGGAAGCAAGCACTGACGAAGATGGAGATGTGGAAACGGAAAGGGATGCGGCTACTGTCGAGGACGAGCTATTGCAGGAGGTTCCCTCAAGCGACAACCTTGATATATCCGAAGCTGATAGTCAGCACTTGATGGAGAGCCTGAACGAGAGGGTGCATACTTTGGCAATTGATGATTCGCAGTCGCGTGTTCCATCTATGTTGCAGGAGCGGGATCAACTGGAACAAGCGCCATCAGGATCCGAATCGGAGGAAGAGGAGGAGGTGGACGAGGACAGGATATTGAGGAATTGACATCGCGCTCACGTCC